GAGTGCTGATGCGCCGCAACACATTTTGGGCAAATGTGTACCAAGCTTCAGTCAATTTGACAGGCCATGAGCTAAAGGTGCTATCAACTTTTCCTGTGTTTTTGCTTCAACGGAAAAAATCCTATTGCTCACTCCTAAAAGCCTAAGGCTCATAGGTCACAGCGGCAAGCCAAGTGTACATCCAAACCGCGCTTCCTCAATTCTAATGAAGTCGTTGGATACCTCTGCATTCTTCCCGGGGAAGCCTGGCTAAAAATGGAATGCCGTACCGACCAGCGCTGGACATGGGGGACATCCTCCCTTTCACCTACACTCGGCATACTCATATGCCTTTCGCCTGCACTGGGCTTTTCTAAGCTACTTTTCTCGAATGTTTGGCCGCTATGAAGGAAACCATATACCACATTTCGTGATGAGGATAGGTTCGCGTGCCTTAGGGTGTTTTCACATGTAACAGGATTTGTTAAGCCGCTACGTTGAACAACGTTCCAGGAGATTACCCGACAACCGAGGCAACCGAGAGCGCCAACGGTACACTCGAAAAGCACACAGAGGAAGAAAACGGATGAGAAATTTGGCGATTCCAGTTTTTTTCCTACGCAAACAATGTAAGATATGTTTGCGTTGCGCCCACAATAGGAATTGGACTTTCTGCGATGCCTGCGGAAGCTCATACGCTGCGTTGGCTTAGGAAAGCTTAAGAATGACTTGTATATGTGCAGATGAATGTGAAGTTAAGTTACAGCGCTGCCCCAGCACACACTCGAAGAACATGTACGGAGACGCAAATACTTTCATGGGGCATGTGCTTTTGCATGCGTGTTGTGGCCGACCGTAAATGAAGACTTCTAATTACTCAAGAAGACATAGAGTAAGAAAAAAGTTGACAGAAAAGTATTGAAGCCTTACTTCAGCAATGTAAACCTGTCGTCGACTCACAATAGAAATTAAGGACCCACAGTAGAAAAGAAAACGGTATGTGATGCAAGAAGATAGCAGCAACACAAAAGAGCTTATTTGAACGGCAAAAGAACACGGAGTTGTTCCGGCAAGGATGGTGTTGCGAGCTGCGCACCCGGAATACAGCCGTCAGCGCTGCACCCGTAGGAATGAAAGCAGCTGTGGAGACGCTCAATTTGCTAGACCGAAGAATACAATCACGCGGCCCCGCCCCTGCAGTCGTGGACTCTTGCATGCTCAGAGACAAGGCTCGAAGAAGGGACAAGTGCATGCGTGTCTAGGACGCTGTTTTGTAGGTGATGACGCAAGTACACATTGTACGGATGCAGAGAGGGGGGATGGGGGTTTGGGGGAAGGGGACCCTTTCCCCACACGCCATAAGATGCATTCGCAGCCAAAATAAACACCTTCTGCAGATTTCCTTTCCAAACGAATAGGGCGGCTCAGAGTCTTGGCAAAAAAATAAGATTCGCAAGTGATTGCTAAATAGCGTTCACAAGGAATCCGAAGCGAAGTAAACCAACCCACGGATACCTTGTGCGACGCCCCTTCTAACCGTTCCAGACCGGTAGACCGGTACTGTGGCATCGCCAGGTCACCCAGGTCGCGAAATGCCATTGTGCGGCTTTCTGGCAATTAGCTAAACTGCCTTTTCATCGGCCTATTCGTCGGCCAAGCTGGACCAGCCGCAGCACCCACCCATCGACCTCAGCGCCACCACTATCCCACTTTGGTGTGGCCTGGCTTGGCTGGCCGGGTGGAACGGGCCACCGTACCAGCGCCCCGAGCGCCCCCAGCAATGCCAGCCAGCATAAGCCATCACAACCACCAACAGCACCACTACCCCTAACCCCTGAAGCCCCTACACCAGTACCTTCTACACGCTCCTGCCCTCAACACCCCCTCCTTCTCCTAGACACATCCACCACCAGTGCCAAGCTCCTGGTCCTCAACCCCGATGGCTGCCCCACCTGTGCCTCCTTCCCGGACCCTGCAAAGCCAGGCGCCGTCCCCCTCTTCATTCGCCTCCAGGATACCATCTGCATCTAACTTTTATCTGCTTCACCAAACATCCCTCTCATTTTACCACGGCACTTCCCTGCAAACCTCGGCACCCCTTTCGTAGCCTGTCCATCCACTCCGTTGTATCATTTGTCAAGCTGATTTCTGCCGCCCCACACACCACTAGCCCACTTTGGCTTGACTGCCGAGGTGGTACAGGCCGCCCCAGCATCCAACAGAAACCACCTACCCATGCCAATATATCAAACCCGACATGATGACCCGCGTGTGACTTCATCCAAAAGCCCTCACAACCAGGCGTCCACCAAGCCCCCTGCCTACCCTCTACCCCGCCGCCGCCCCCAGCAGCACCACCAGCACCAGCAGCACCACCAGCCACCAGGACCACCTACGAACACCAGCACACCCAACCCCGATTACAGGTACAAAGCAAAACAGACACCAGAACCACCACTGCCCCTACCCCAGGCCTCCAACACCCCCTCCATCTCCTTAAACCCTAAAACCCTAAACCCTATGGGGAACTAGGGGCTAGGGGTTAGGGGCTAACAGGGGACTCGCGCCAGGCCTCCAACAGGGGTCAGGTGTACCTTAACCCCACATCCCGCACAACGCCCAAGCCAGCACATCCAGCACAGCCAGCCGCACAGCCGGCACATCCAGCACCTCCAGCCACCCAACATCCACCAGCTCCACCGTTAACAGCACCACCTCCAGCCCCTGCCAGATAGAGCAATACCAGCACCACTAGCAGCAACAGCCACATGACCACCAACACCGCCACCAGCACCACCACCCTCCTTGGCCCCTTGCTTTGTCCCTATAGGGCTATATGCCCCTAACGCCCCTAAGTAAGCTGGTGAAAGCCCTAGCCCCTAGCCCCACCCACGTCAGCACCGATGACAGCAACCATACACCATGACCGCCACCAGCAGTGTCACCAACCCTTGCCACAACACCACCACCCCGACCCCTGAACAACGTCTCCAGTATCATCCCACCCACATGACTTCCCAAACATCGCCTATTGCCGCCCCACACACCACTTTGGCTTGCCTGCTGAGGTAGTACAGGCCGCCACTGCAGCAACACCATCAACACCTACCAGCAGCCGGCAGCGCCACTAGCCTGCACCAGCAGCCACAACACCACCCTACGCCATATAGCCCCTCTTTACCCTCTTGCCCCTAGCCCCACCCCAGCCCCTGGCCCTGACCCACCCCCTTTTCCCTAGCCCCTCCGCTGCTTGTTCCGTCGTAAAGGGTGTCAGTTTATGAAGATGTTTTGTAATTGCTATCTTAACTACAACTGAAAAGCTTCGCGTATAATACGAATTCCATTCAATCCTGGTTAATCCTACTCGAACCGGCCTCCCCAGACCCCGATTGGGATTTAGGTCGGATGGACGCACATCCGACTGCCAATCCACCCCGATTCGCCCCGATTCACGCACATGTGGACACGACTTTACTAATCTTGTGTATCCTCCTATCCTGGGTGGGGTGCACAAGTCCTTCGGATTCTGCGCTGTCTTCGGTACGACTATGGGGTTTTGGCTGTGGGCAGTGTTGACAATCTAATTGACATGGTTGCATGTCATTAGCTGGACGTCGATGTGTGACTTATGTGCATACCAACGCAGCCCTCCAGCCCTCCTCCTTCTGGTGCCCAGACGTATCAAAGTGCCACATCTGGACCTTTAACCAAAAATTGAGCAGCAGAGCCATTTTAGCGGAGCGCCCTGTGCTGGTGGCTGCAGAAGTGGGTAGAAGTAGTGGTAGGGCATTTTGTCTCTCCCAAGCTGGCGGCCCTCAATCTGCGGCTGCAGCTTCCGCGCTCGCGGCTGGTGCTGCAGGCGGTGCACCACTGCCCTGTTGGACTGCGGGGGGCGGACCCTGAGCGCTGGGGGCAGGGGGGTGCTGCCGGGCTCCGAGCTTGGCAAATGGGTGGAGCGAGGTCGTCGGGGAGGGAAGAGAGCGGCAGGGTGCTGGAATATGGCAGAGGTTGATCGGAGGCGCTTGTTGGTTGGGCGGCCGCCCGGCTAGATAGCCCTGCATTCTCCTACCACCCCTGCCGCCCAGCCCCGCACGGCCATCACCTCCTACCCTGCCGCCTGGCGTATTTCCTCCATCGCCCCTGCTACAACCAGCCCTGCACAGCCACCTCCTGTGCCCTGGTGTCGTTCCTCCGAATGGAGATGGAAGGGTCGTGGCTGTCTCGGGAGCTCGGTCGTGGGAGGGTGGTCGCGGGAGGGTGGTCGTGGGAGGGCGGCCGTTTAGACGTGAGGCGGGGATGTAGTGGTAGATCCGGGTGAGGAAGGCGGACGCGGAAAGGTATTGTCGGATTAAGTAGTGGGATGGTTACGAGTGGGTGTACACCGATGTGGCATCACACTTACGTGGTTGCGCAGTGTGAGGCTGATACCAATGGATAGCGTATGGAAAACTCTAATCGGGATAGTGATTAGGGTTTTGTGTCAGAGACATGATGCGGCTCGGTTGGCTCCTTTTGGTTTTCGGTGGTTTAGCGCACGATAGCTGCACCCCTTCCGCAGCTGCTGCTGGCGCCATAGCAAGTAAGGGCTTGCGTAGGCAGGGAGGGCTGAGAGAGGAGAGGTGTTGCGGCACGTACGCTGAGGAGGGAAAGTTGCAGTTGCCGCAGCCGTAGGTTGGGGATGGAACTCTTATGGCTTGACAAACCCCTGTAATGACCCGTGGGTCACTTTCACAACCAACAGCATTTCAGCGGACAGGGGCCGCAGCTGCTTGCGCCGGGCATGTGTCGGCAGGTGCCTTGTGACAAGGTGGCAGCAGCAGGCGGTAGTAGTGGTGGTGCGTGTGCGTGGTAGGCAGGGTCGTGCCGTTGCAGCTGTACATGCAGGCTGGTGGTGCGCCTCTTACATACAGGTGGCGAGGAGCCTAGGCCGAACTACCGTACTACATCAGCGGCGGCAACAGCCTTGACAAGCTGCAGCAGTGCAGTACAGTGCCCAGGTACCAGTAGATAGATCTATGGCTATGGGCAGTAGCGTGTGGGTTGTTCCAGCAGCCGGAGGTAGGGGCACAGCCACACATCGCATTACTATACGGTTACAAGTACAGTCCATACACCTGTACTTCCATACGAGCCAGGGAGGCCAAGGATACTATCGACAAAGTAATTGGTCTTGTGGTGAGGACCCCTCCTGGGCCATCGTTTGGTTGCAGCTCTGCGACAACGTACAGTGGTTCCTGATACACAAGCGGGTTTCCCATACACAGCTCATGTAATTAGATAGCCAGCAGAGCCTCACGTCTATGTCCTAATGTCGTCCCTCATGAACCTACTGCCGAAATTGAACAACAGACTTCTCGTGTACTCGCTGTGCAGCTTATTTCAGCACTGGCATTCCTTCCACAGAAACACAAAACCTATCCACCACAGCAACATTTTCAGAAATACTATTATTGCAACGCCTGCAAATAACCCGTTCAGACGTGGGGCGCACTCCATGGTAATTCACTTCAAGATCCAAACACCCAGGCCTGGAACACATTACCAGTCCATGCCCGCTGCGGGGAAAGCGAGAACGGCACTGGCAAAGCCAGCCAGAGCAGGCCGTGGGGTTACTACAGCTCATGCCAATCAGCATCTGGACCCAGAGCTCGTGGATACATAGCAAACAAAGTCGCAACGTCTACCATTACGGTATGTAGCAAGTTGGTGTGGCTCTCACCGTCCAAGGTGGGGCTTCCATCCTTCTCATGCTCCCATTCACCTCTACCACCATCACAGAGATACCTACCGTACGCATCAATGTGATTACTAAAAGTATTACTAAAACGTGTGGCACGCAATGGGCACCCCTGCTTGAACGCCGGACCTACAGCAGAGAAGGCCGGGTCGGCCATGAACATATCTGCACTAAAGGGCCTCGAGCATTCGCCCCTAATTGCCAAAGGCTTCAAATACGGCACAGGAGTCTTAAGATCTACGGAACCAAAAGCCCTAGCAAAACCTATGACAGCTAGGGAACTAGCTAGGGATTAGCCCTGCTGGTTAAATGCTTACTAATCCAATGCTGCAGGGTGAAAAGCAGGTGGTTAACCACACGCACCGTGTTTATCCCAACATGCATCTAGCATGAGCACCGGGGCACAGGCTGGTTTGCTCGATGCCTATGAATACGTCGAGCAAGGACTAACGCATGGCAGGGCCTACCCGCCAACGGCACTACCCTGATGGCTAACGGAGACATAAACAAGCATCGACGTTTTCCTCTATGAAACACAATGAGAGAAGGCACTCGTCCAGAACTTGGCAGCATAAGCCCCAATCCATGAAAAGATAAAGGCGAGGACACTGACGGCAGGCTGACCCTATATCTCAGCGCATGCTATAGCACTTTGCATGGACCCTTTCCAGGCCCACTGACTTCATGAGCCATGCGTAATGTACGGCGGCAGCCGCCTTTCCCTCCAGGACATGATCGCTGAGCTAATAAATACCACTTGCCCTCCATGCGCAGTCTGGCCCCAAGACCCTGGACCCTACCTGCGAGCACATTTCCTGCGCCTCTGTAATCACGCCCCATCACAGGACATGGTCATTGCATGGCAACGTGCATGGCTGGCACCCAGTTACCCGTTGATGTCACTAACCAGATCACAATAGCGGAAAGGGGGCCTCAGCACAAGTAGCCATATAAATAATAAACCAAGTGGCAAGCAAGCAAATAGTCCAGACCTTTAGACCTTGGTAGCACGACATTCACCAAAATGACTGGGACCTTAGGTGCGTGCACAGTACATGCGACAACTAACGACAAAACGCCATCAACGCGAGGTATAGGAAGCGGGGATTACGCTGGAAGACCAACCAGTGAGGAGACCGCACTGGCCAATCGTTAGACGTACATTCCAAAAGCGCGTTGACCGCCCTACCCCAGGGGGCACACCAGGTCCGATAGAAAGGCCGCAAACCACCTATACCAAGCACGTACAGCCGAAGACCAACTACTGAGAGACACAGGGCCCATGAATGAACTGAAGGAAAAACCTGTCCGAGGGGGGACAGAGGAGGGAGCCGAAATTAAGTAACCGACCATGAGCCACCACGGAGGGGAAGCTGCCTCCGGCCGGATCTCCAGGGCTGCTGGCGGGGCTGGTCGGCCAGCTCCGGCAGAGGGAGCGGAAGGAGCGCCCGCGGAGGCACTACCGCGACCCGAGCTGGCGGGTTGCTGGGGCGGGCTGCTGGCGGCAGTCGGCTGCGCTGCTCCACGCGGTATCACCCGCCGCGGCGGCCCCAACAGCTGCACGTCCTGCTGCTGCGCCGTCGCTGCAATATGCTGCAGCTGCAGCTGCTGCGGCTGCTGCTGCTCCTGGTGCTGCAACACACGCAGCGGCGGCTGTTGCGGCTGTTCGCGCCGCTGCTGCTGCTCCGCCATGGCTGTTGGCTGCTGCTGCTGCTGAAGACGACCAGCACTGCTGCCGCCCGCCTGCTCCCCGCCACTCGCCCAGGGCTACCCTGGCGCCGCTGACCCCGCCGCCAACGGCGGCACCATCACCGCTGCTCCTGCCCCCGCCGCCGCCCTCCTCACCGTCCTGATCAGCGCCTCCAGGGTTCCCCTCCGCGGCGGCAGCTCCCGCACCAGCGCACACGTCTCCAGCGCCTCCCGCAACCCCAGCATCCCATTCGAATGGTAACCAAATCACTTCCTCATGCCTCACATGCCTTCACCCCTCCCTCCCTCCCTGCCCCTAGCTCCCCGCTCGCACCAGGCCGCACGTCCAGGCACACACCCCAGCCTGCCTCATCGCCACCCTCTGCTGCCGCTGCTCCCTCCACCGTCATGTTCTTGCCATGCAGGCTGCGAGCCGTCGCCAGCAGCTGCGGCCAGGTGGCGGGCGGGCCGGGCGCCCCTGCCGCCGCCAGCACGTCAACGCGGTAGAGCAGGTGCAGCGCGCCGCCCCCCAGCGGCACCGCCGGCAGGTTGCGGTCGTACAGGGCTGCAGGGAGGGAGAGGAGAGGAGAGGAGAGGTGAGGCGGGGAGGGCAGGGTGCGCATGGGTGAGGAGGAGGGTGAAGGCGGCAGGGCGGGAGTAGTGGGAGCCGTTCCCAGCCTCCCTTTCATTGTGCGCCCCCCACCGACACTGCCTGTGGTTTCCTATGGTTTGGCATGGTCTTTGACCCCCGACGCTGCCAAATGCAAACAGAACTATTCGCGCCCTGTCGCAGCCCCCCTACAGGCGGGAACCAAGTGGAGCACCTGGCCGCACCAAGCCCCACACGTCCAGCGACAGGTTGCCCTCACCCGTCAGCCACATCATCCTCACAACACCCCCCACACCTCTCAACAAAACACACCTGTCATGGCCCGCCAAGATCCGTCGATGCCATACCAATCGAGGCCGGGTACGGCATCCACGGCGTACGACAGGTCTGCCACGAACCCCGCCAGCTGCGCCTCCCCCACCCGGCCGGTGGGGACCAGCCAGGCATCTGCGTCGGGGGCCACATGCCAGGGCGCTACCGCCGCCGCTGCTGCTGCTGCCGCCAGAGGTCCGGTTAGGGAGTCACTTGAGCCGCTGGGGGCGCCGCACAGACCGGTGCCTGCGGTGGGTGCTGCGTTTGCCGCTAGTGGTGGAGGCAGCGCTGCTGTTGCTGTTGCTGCTGCGGAGGAGGTGGCGCTTCCATTGCTGGCTTGGCCCGGCAGGGATAGGGGCTGCAGCCGCACTGCCTGCCCCACTGCATCTTCCAAGTCCGACTGCCGGTCAGCTGCTCGGGTCAAGAGCGTTGACTGGAAGGCAGCGAGGGTGATGGGCTGCGAGGCGGCGGAGGAGCGAGGAGCAAGTGGGGCAGCATGGGGGGGGGGGAGGTAAGGGCTAAGGGGGACCGCGCAAGATCAAATACGGGGGATGGCGAAACATGGCGGTGTTGTTTCGGAGCGCCACCAGCGCCTCCCCAGCCCGCCAGCCACCTGACGCAGCGCCCCGAAGAAGCGAGACAGCTCCTCCGACGCATCTAGCGGTACTGCTGCTGCGGAATCGACATGTGCCGTGTCGGTGCCATTGCTACTGAAGCTACTGCTGCTGCCGCTGCTGCCGCTGCTGCCTGCCTTATTGTCACTGGCGGGCCGGCTGTCGATGAGAGTAGTACTGCTACCAGCTGGGTGCCGCCGCTGCTGATGCTGATGCTGGTCCTCCTCTCCTTGCGGATGGTGGTCGCGACTTAGCATGCACTCCTGCTGCTGCACCCGTGTGTTTTGCACCGCTTGCTGCAAAGGCTGTGGTTGCGACGCAGGCGGCTGCAGCTCCCGTACTTGCCGCTTTTCCGCAGCGCAGTCAAGACCGCCGGTGCCTGGATCCCCATCCTGACCTCGTGCCTGCGCTACAGCCGCCTCTGCCCCTGCCGCTGCTACCACATCCCCTGTCGGAGGAGCCCCGGGCTCGCGCTGCTGTACATGCAACCCCTCCCACTGCCGACCCCGCTGCCGCCCTTGCCGTCCGGTTACCTCAGCCCCCGTCCCAACTCTCGCAGCTGACGCCGCACCCCTATGGGAGCCATCCCCCTGGCTGCCGCTGCCGCTGCCGTTGTCAGCCTCCCCATCACTGCCCCCGCTGTTGCTGCCGCTGTTGCTGCCGACACCCGGGCCAGGTCTGTTGTTAGCCGCATCCAACCCTGCAGCAGCGGCAGGCGCTTCTGCCGCTGCCACGCTGCTACTGCCGGCTGCCGTGCCCCATAGTTCCTCCGGCAGGGCCATCATCATCGCCAGCTGCCGCCGCCGCCGCAGCTCCCGCACCAGCCGGTTCACAGCAGACATGGGCAGCTGCAGGCGCCCGTCCGGCTGCTCGGCGGCGCGCTTGATGGCGCGAACCAGGTCACGCACCTGCTGGGATGTCAGGCAGGCTGCATTCTCGGCAGCGAGCATGATGAGGCGCGCGGTGACGCGGGGATGGGCGTGACGTTGACCGGGATGCGGAGGGTTGCGGCGGTCGGGAGGTCCGTGTCCCGGATCGCCGATTGATGCGGAAGGCCGGTGGCTGTTTGCATTAAACGGTAGCGGTTCTGTGGAGTTGGAAGGATTACGGTCTGGGGCTGAGGACGGTTCGGCGGCTCGGCATGCCACATGGTTACCGCGACTGGGCCTTGTGGATACGTTTTGTACGTGGATCTGGCCATCTGATGTTCGTAGAGAACTCCTGTGTAGACGGCTAATGCGTGAAGGCACTACGACGGGCGCTTGCGGTGACGGAGTTTGGCTCGACCGGCAAGGAAGGACGCCTCCGAATGCACCAACAAATACATGTTGACGCATGTCAATGTAACTGCCTCCAATTGTCCTTAGCACAATTGGCTTCGCCGCCTTCAGCCACAAACGTCATGCATAGTCGCCTACGGACAAATTTTAAGGTAACCCATATGATTGAATGGAACGTCACGCTATTTTCAGCGGATTGGTCCTGGCAGTGCGGAACAAACCAGAATGAACGACTTAACCGAGTCGTAATAGCATGCCGATGCGGCAACTGAACTCATCTCAGCTATTCTGCTGCTAGAATAGTAGGCATGTATTTCGCTACCGAATATACTATGTTCACCTAAGTTATCTGGCATGGTATTGCGTCAACTGCTCGGTGCTTGCCATCGCCTCCACTCTTTACATACCCGCCGCAACCTAGCGCCATTGACTACACTTCAACTCCATAACACCTCTTCAAGCCATTCAGCCGCGTCTCCACGCTTATTACCTTCTCTGCCGCCGGCAAGGCGTCCCCAGCCCCTTTTCCCTCTCACCGCCCGGCTTCACACCCCGCAGCCTAGACCCCTTACCCGCCGCCTAAGCAGCGTCAGCGCCAGTCACGACGGTGCAGCCTCAGCGGGTACCTACCTCGGTGACCTCTACCCCGCCAGCCCGCCCACCCACGACCACCCGGCCGGCCCCACCGGCGGTGACAGCAGCCGGGCGCGGCGGGCTACGCGCGGCCGAATGGCCAATTCCAAGTACGAATACGTCAAGCAGTACGAATTGGACGATACGTTGCTGCCGGGATGCTGGATTGTCGTGCGCATAGATGGCAAGGGTTTCACGAAGTAAGGAGGAGGCGGGAGGGAAGGTGGTTAGGGAATAGTTGGCCTCCCAGGCTGAGTTGGGCCCGAGCCGGAAGCACTGATGGGAAGTAGCGAGTGCGGACACAAATGAATGGAATTAGGTGCTTACATGTAACCTGGCGCAAATGGAGTGCGGCCTGACCGCTACTTCTAATACTGCATTCCTACGTACCCTTCTGCTGCCATTGCCGGGTCTGAACGAGCAAGCCCTCGAGCCCAGCTCCCTGCCTACCTCTCGCGCCGCCCTCCTCCTCGGCTTGCCACGCCCTACCCCTCACCACTCTGAAACCCCCCCCCCCCCCACCAGATTCAGTGACCTGCATGGCTTTGAGAAGCCCAACGACAAACGGGCTCTGGACCTGATGGACGAGTGTGCCAAGGTGCGAGCGGGGGTGGCATGGGTGAGGTCCTGACCGGCTACCTCACAACGGGGGTGGCATGGGTGAGGTCCTGACCGGCTACCTCACAACGGGGGTGGCATGGGTGAGGTCCTGACCGGCTACCTCACAACGGGGGTGGCATGGGTGAGGTCCTGACCGGCTACCTCACAACGGGGGTGGCATGGGTGAGGTCCTGACCGGCTACCTCACAACGGGGGTGGCATGGGTGAGGTCCTGACCGGCTACCTCACAAAAAGAAGCACCGTGAGAGCCCATGCCTACTGTGTCCTGCTCTGCTGTGCGTGCTTGGGTGCTACCGGTATGATGCGTGGTGTTGGGTTGGCGCCGGACGAATACGCGGCATTGCTCTACGCTCGGCTAGTGCATCGACGTTGCATTGGCTTACCCCTACATCGCGCTGTGACCATGTGTGGGGTGCAGGAGGTGATGAACGAGTTCCCGGATGTGCGACTAGCGTACGGAGAGAGCGACGAGTACAGCTTCGTGCTGGGCAGGGACACCGCCATGTACGGTGAGGCGGAGGGACGGCCGGGGGGTTCCTGCTTCGCCCTCGCTCTTCAACTCCACTGCTGTGTGATGTCATACGGACCGCTGCCTCAAATACCCTTCCACTGTCGCGTGGCTCTGTAAGCCTTTTCCCTTCCTGCTTTCCAAACTTACATCGCCCAATCCCAGTTCTTTCGCTGCCAACGCCAGCCTGCACCTGTCCCCTTCCCAAAACTTTGCCGCTCCACCCCTCGCTCCCTCATCACGTCACCAGGCCGCCGCGCCTCCAAGATCGTGTCGCTGCTGGTGAGCTGCTTCACCGCCACCTACGTGGCCCGCTGGTCCGCCCACCTGCCCGACACGCCGCTCCGCGCCACGCCCATGTTCGACGGTCGCGCCGTGTGCTACCCGCTTGACCACGACCTGCGGGACTATCTGGCGTGGCGGCAGGCGGACACGCACATCAACAACCAGGTGGGGGATACCGTTGGAGGAACCAACTGTCAACTGCCAACTGTCATGCATGCTCCGGCGGTGAAACGTGCCAAACCGTGACGTGGAGTGGTCCTAGTAGTATCACGACTTGCACACGACACAACTAGCGCGGCAGTGTGGTACGGGACCAGCATGTGTGTTGCATCATGGTTAGCCGGCCCAGGTGGGCAGAAGTGATAGAGCACAAGCCCATGGGAGGTGGTTAGGAGCTTAGGACCCCGTCGTACTCCCACCTAACCCCCCGTCTCTTCTGGGATTCCTCTCGCGCCCCGTCCTCCGCTCGCTCGTTCCCTTGCTGCAGTACAACACGTGCTTCTGGGCGCTTGTGAAGGGCGGCAAGAGCCCGGCGGAGGCGCAGGCGGTGCTGCGGGTGGGTGTGCGGTCGGTACTGTAGTGGGCGCCATGAGGCGCGAGTTGGCGGTAGCACCTGCCCTCTGCTTCCCAGTTGTACGGCATGGCCCGTACCGGCCCTCTTGCCGGCAGCATACGGTTCTGCCTTGGGAAGAGTTCCCTTGAAGGCTTAAGGAGCAACAGCCTGAGCGCACATATGCTCTTGTAGGTTTGTTTACCCGGCTATGTTTTTTGTTCCCTATGCTTCCAAGGGTGCATGTGTCCCTTTTACATATGTCATGAAGTCTCCCCTTATCTCCTGCCCTCATCCCTTAACTCTTCACCCAGCCTCATCTCTTCTCCTGCCTCCTTCTCATCTTCCCTCCACCCCCAGGGCACCCAGGCCGCCTTCAAGAACGAGCTGCTGTTCCGCGACTTTGGCATCAACTACGCACACCTGCCGGACCAGTTCAAAAAGGCGAGTCCTTCCCTAAGGGGGGCAAAGAGAAAGAAGGCGGTGACAGGTTGCAATGGTCCGGTTTACTAGGGCGGCATTACTGGTAGCCATCCTAGACATAAACGTAATTACCGGTACGACCACCATTAGCGCGCCGTATCATGTGCTGCGATGTTCACGTCAAGGACTGGCGTATCCTTATTGCGGGTTTCAGGCAGACAGCACACACTTGGTTTATACGCATGTGTTCTGTCCCCCAAACCGCGCACCTGCTTCCCATTCAATTCCTCGCCCGACAGCTAGCTATGGTTAGTACAGTTACGCGGATGAGGTACTTCCTTTGTTGAGCACATGGTACCTGCATTCCCCTCCCCCCCCCCGCCGAGTCGGGATATGGGATCGGAAGTCGCTGTTTCACATATTTCCCCCCCGCCGCTGGGTATGTAGGGGTCTGTTGTGATCCGTCAGAAGGCGCTGCTGGAGGTGAAGCGGCGCGAGGATGGCAGCCCGGTGCTGCGTGAGCGCTCCGTGCCCACCGTGATGCACGCGGACATCATCCGGGACGACTTCTGGGAGGCGCACCCGCAGCTGCTGGCGCCGTAGATAGATAGGGGGACGCAGCTGCTGTTGATGCCGTATGTGGAGGTCCCAGCTGCTTCTTCTGGCGCCGTAGAGAGCCGCAGCTGTAGCAGGGGCAAGCTTAAGCAGACTGAGCTGAGAGAGAAGAGGAATTGCGGCGAGTTAGGGACGGGACGATGCAGATACTGTAGCCGCAGGATGGTCGATGGAACGGCTGGTGATAGTATGCGAAGTGACCCATGGGCCACTTTAGCACTAAACCCCCCCAACAGGTGTGCTGGCCCCGTAGCACGGGCATGCCTGGGCAGATGACCTTAGATAGCAGCAGCGGGTGATAATGGTGGCGTGCGTGCATGGTAGGTCAATTACAGCTGTACACGCATGCTGGCAAAATGTGTATCGAAATACAGCTGATGCAGTGCAGGTAGTGATGTAGAATGTGTGTCTGTCATTCCCGTTCACTAGCATAATATCCTAGTGGCAGCGGGCTTGGCTACCGCCGGCATACCAGTGGGCACTATCTAGCGTGTGTTGGTTTAGCATCAGCTGATTATTTGATGAGCGGAGGCAGGAGCTCTAGGTGATGCGGTGTACACACTCTGCAAATCAACTCAAGGCTTGCAGAACAGGGTCTAACAGGGTGCCCTAGCAAGCGTGTTGGCATAGCAACGGGGAGCCGCCTTTGCAGAGCGAGCCTGTTCGGGCTAGTTGCAGAGAACAGTATTGTGAACGGTTTTAACTGGTTGTTTATTAATGTTAGGAGCTGTTATGGCTTCAACAACAGGGTCGAAGATGGCATGCTGCTGTTGGTGTTTCCAAACCAGCAACAATTGCATGGAACCGGTGTGACAAGTATTAAACCACCTTTGTTAAAGTTGTTGCTATTGCTCAAATGTCAAGTGAAGCTTTTGAAGTGTTGTTTAACACTGTAAATGTGTCTCGGCCTTAAATGTCTAACAGTCCAAAACTAGAAACAACAGCACCCATGCTTGACCGCACTACCACATCACATTGATCCGGAGCACCCACACACCAAACAGCAGCACCAGGAGTTGAAACATGCCTCATTGTGGCCGCCATAAACAGCCCCCACCAAACAGCGTGTTCCAAAGTATGGATGCTAGACACTGCCATGCAAAAGGCGGCACCAGGAACACACACACGCAACACCAATCCTTCTGCCATACTTGTAACCATATACCGTACACTGGTGATAAAGCTTTACCTTGCGTGTGCTGTCGAACCCAGAAGTGACGGCAGGCAGGTCATTGTGGCCACTGAAAGTAGCCCCCACCAAACAACGGGGAAAAGGAAAGGGAACTAAGAGCACACGCATGCTAAGCACCGCCATTGCCAGTGCAGTGCAACAGGTGCCGCCATCGTACAATGCACGTACAGGGCTGCACAAACAATTAGGCTCCATTACCTCATCAGAGGAGCATGTGTAGATCGTTAATGTGCAAATTTGTTAACTGACAATGACACCAGCAGTGGGGTAGCCACGCCACAGGCTCACCCCCTTTTCATGCTAGTCCCATCCCCTGCTGGGCACAGCAGCATGACCTAACACCCCTGGACTCTTCATACTCCTGTGGGGGCACCTCCACCTCAGGGGTCAACCATCTAGAGTCCAAGCGTTCCCAATACTTCACACGTAAATCGTTAACGGGTAATCCTAGTACACTATAGTACTGGGTGAAGCGAGCGTGTCACCATACACGGGCCTAGGAATACCCAGTTCGGTTACAAAATCAATGACCTTAGCAGCCCATAAGTCGGCTACACCTGTACATTGGCTCTGCCTCGCTGTACTTGCCTTGACTTTTAATGCAGATGGCCAGGTTGTTGAGGGAGCTGATGGTGCTGGGATGCTCTGCGCCCACCACCTTGGTGCGCAGCTCCAGCGCCTGCTGGTACATACATGGGCTCTGCCTCGCTGTACTTGCCTTGGTTGCCAATGCAGCCAGCCAGGTTGATGAGGGACGTGATGGTGTCAGGGTGCTCTGCGCCCAGCACCTTGGTGCGCAGCTCCAGCGCGCGCCCGCTGGTACATGGGCTCTGCCTCGCTGTACTTGCCTTGGCTCCCAATGCAGCCAGCCAGGTTGATGAGGGACATGATGGTGAAAGGGTGCTCAGCGCCCAGCACCTTGGTGCACAGCTCCAGCGCCTGCTGGTACATGGGCTCTGCCTCGCTGTACTTGCCTTGGTTGCCAATGCAGCCAGCCAGGTTGATGAGGGACGTGATGGTGTCAGGGTGCTCTGCGCCCAGCACCTTGGTGCGCAGCTCCAGCGCCTGCTGGTACATGGGCTCTGCCTCGCTGTACTTGCCTTGGTTGCCAATGCAGCTGGCCAGGTTGTTGAGGGACGTGATGGTGGAAGGGTGCTCTGCGCCCAGCACCTTGGTGCGCAGCTCCAGCGCCTGCTGGTACATGGGCTCTACCTCACTGTACTTGCCTTGGCTGTAAATGTAGCTGGCCAGGTTGCTGATGGAGCTGATGGTGTCAGGGTGCTCTGCGCCCAGCACCTTGGTGCGCAGCTCCAGCGCCCGCTGGTACATGGGCTCTGCCTCACTGTACTTGCCTTGGCTGTAAATGCAGCTGGCCAGGTTGCTGATGGAGCTGATGGTGTCAGGGTGCTCTGCGCCCAGCACCTTGGTGCGCAGCTCCAGCGCCCGCTGGTACATGGGCTCTGCCTCGCTGTACTTGCCTTGGCTCCCAATGCAGCTGGCCAGGTTGTTGAGGGACATGATGGTGAAAGGGTGCTCAGCGCCCAGCACCTTGGTGCACAGCTCCAGCGCCTGCTGGTACATGGGCTCTGCCTCGCTGTACTTGCCTTGGCTGTCAATGCAGCCAGCCAGGTTGTTGAGGGACGCGATGGTGTCAGGGTGCTCTGCGCCCAGCACCTTGGTGCGCAGCTCCAGCGCCTGCTGGTACATGGTCTCTGCCTCGCTGTACTTGCCTTGGCTGTCAATGCAGCTGGCCAGGTTGTTGATGGTGCTGATGGTGTCAGGGTGCTCTGCGCCCAGCACCTTGGTGCGCAGCTCCAGCGCCCGCTGGTACATGGGCTCTGCCTCGCTGTACTTGCCTTGTCTGTCAATGCAACTGGCCAGGTTGTTGAGGGACGTGATGGTGGAAGGGTGCTCTGCGCCCAGCACCTTGGTGTGCAGCTCCAGCGCCTGCTGGTACATGGGCTCTGCCTCGCTGTACTTGCCTTGGCGGTATATGCAGTTGGCCAGGCCGTTGATGGAGATGCTGGTGCTGGGATGATCTGCACCCAGCACCTTGGTGCGCAGCTCCAGCGCCCGCTGGTACATGGGCTCTGCCTCGCTGTACTTGCCTTGGCTGTCAATGCATCTGGCCAGGTTGTTGAGGGACGTGATGGTGGAAGGGTGCTCTGCGCCCAGCACCTTGGTGTGCAGCTCCAGCGCCTGCTTGTACATGGGCTCTGCCTCGCTGTACTTGCCTTGGCTGTAAATGCAGCTGGCCAGGTTGCTGATGGAGCTGATGGTGTCAGGGTGCTCTGCGCCCAGCACCTTGGTGCGCAGCTCCAGTGCCCGCCGGTGTGCGGCCTCTCCACCCAACATGGAGTCAAAGTTGGCGAGGCAGGGTGCTAGGGGACCATCACGCAGTGCGTTGGCTGCTGCCTCCAATCTGTGCCAGGTGTCATTGAATGTGGGCGTCAGGACGCCACCCACATCTAGCAGCAAAGATTCCAATTCCCGAGTCGCAGATTGCAAGACCAGCTCCAACAGCTTGGGTGCTGTCGCTGCTTCTGCTGCTGCTATCTGGACCGCTGTCAAGAAGTCTGGCACACGCTGCCGTGCTAGGCGCAGCGCCAGCAGAGCGTCAGGTGTCATATATAACTGGCCCCACTCTGTGAAGGCAGTCATGATGTGCCCCACAAACCGCTCACAGGCATAGAACAACGCCTTGGCAAACTCCTGGTGATGTTGCTGTTGATGCTGGTCGGTGGCTTTACTCGCCGCGGCTGTTCCTGATACAGTTGCTGCTGAGGTCAACCCGCCTCCCAGCCCCGCAGCAGTAGTGCGCACGGCCATGTGCAGGCTGTATGTGCTTTGAGCCACATTACGCACCACCAGGCCATGGCTGTACAACACTGCAAGCTGCGCACGAACGCGTGACACGTCTCTGCTGTCACCGTTCACTACTACTGCGACAGATTCCTCTTCAAATTGGGATGAGAAGACAGACAGCTGGACAAGGAGCAGTTGTTGTGGCAGCGGCAGGGAGGCCAAGGTGAGCTGCAGCAGGGCAGCGGCGCTATCATTATTGCTTGTGTTGGCGGATGCAGCCTCCAATACCTGCGTGTACACGTGTGTGTGTGTTAAGAAAACTGGCCGCGAGGTGAAATGTACTGTGATTGTCGGAAGATGAAGTGAGTGTAGTTGAGCATAAACAAGAGCAAGCAGTTGGGAGAGGTTCGCATGTGAACCGCGGGTACAGGCACCCGGTAAGCAGTACGGGTATGTGAGCACCACGTGTTGGACATGCTCCAACAAACAACCACATGCTTCTCATTGAGGCTGAGTGAACAGCAAGAATAATGCTAATTACCAATATATGTGGCAACTATAAGACAGATGCAACAGTTTAGGCATGTATTGCAGGTGTTGCAGGTGTTCAACATTAGCATGTAACATGTGGATGATAGGCAGTCAGCAGATGGACGAGTGAAGCACCCGGGAGCTGAGAGCCGCACGCACACGACACACGCCACCCCGCCTCGTGGCCAGTTGTTTTAACACCCCGCACCTACCGCCAGTGTGACTCTGCCATGTGCCAGAGCATCTGCACACGTGCGGAGCAGCAGCGGCACCCCACGGCACATGTACAGCAGGGCGTCCACATCAGCCGCTGCTAGTGGGGAGGCACCAGCCCAAAGCGAGGCAATCAGCTGGCGGCCAGAGCCGTCAGCAAGGCCACATAGCGGGTGGTCGACACAGCTACTGTTGCTGCTACCACCAGATGGTGATGGTCCAGCCATGGGCGCCCGCGATGTGACCAGCACCATTGCAGCCTTGCACACCTGCCGGGCGACAACGAGCAGGGCACAAAGACGGGAGTTACCCAGCAGTGCAGTGCTCTCAATGAATAATGGCTTAGTAATACGCAACTCAGCCAGTGCAGGGGCGGGTCAGCAGAAACGGGGAGGGGCAACCACACGAAGGGCTGGGCAGAGCAGCTGATGCTAGTCGAACGATACGGTAGCATGAACAATACGATGCGGTGTGCCTAATAAGATGGATTGACAGGTGCAGCTTACGCTGCACACTCGGGCATATGCATGTAGCAAGCAATGGTCACTGCTAGGCGAGCTTTGCATCTCACAAATTGCACGATGTGAATGAGGGAGATGGAAGAGGAAAATAAACTGGCGCGGAGGTCACCTGGCCGCTGAATGCTCCCACTTGTTTGCAGGAGCCCTCCATTATTATCCAGCACTGCTTGTGAGAGGCCCGTTGGGTCCAAATGTTCACCCCCTCGTCTTTCCCTCACTCTCCCCACTTTCTTCCCTCCCTCTTCCCACCCTCTTTCCCTTTCTCTCCCTTACTCTTCCCCCTCTCCATATCTGGCCCACTCCTCCGCACCTGGGCCATGACGTCCCTGAAGCCCGCGCCTCTCCCGCCGTCAGCCTGCAGCACGTCCTCGGCGTTGTCCACCACCAGCAACACGCCGCCGCCACAACTATCCGAGGTGGAGCGCAGCCATGCAAGCAACTTGGGAAGAGCGTCGTCACCCTGCATTGAGGTCGTGCATAGACATTAAAGACGATGACGTGGCTGGTGGCCGCCGTTTACATGCTTGTGCAGCTGTGCGTGGGCACAAGGTGCATGTGCATGTGCATATGTGTCGAACACTTTAACTAAAAAGGGAAAGAGCCTCGTATGTGGTGTGGTGAATGAAGGGAGCCACTGCAAGCCTTTCGTTTCCTGCAGTGCCGCCCCCACTCCAACCCACCCAGCCACCCACCGTGGTGACACTCCCCCCCACCGCCAGCACAATGCGCAACAGCACGTCGTCCACGGACCGCGCCTCACGCAGGTCACAAAAGTACGCGCCACCTGCATGTGTGGCAGGGCCAGGGGGGTCAGCCGGCACGCACAAAAGCGTGCCTGTTATAGCCAAGAATCAGCCATCGGTTAACCCACGCACTGCACGGCCCATCTTTCTGAGTGGGGGCTAGTGCCTACCGTGCCTTCACGTGATCATCGCGCAGCCCACTTAAATGGAGTTTTTTTTCAGCTTCACGCAGGGGTGTAAGGAAATAAAATTGGGGCGGAGCCCCCCCCTTAAGCGGCTTCGCGCAGCTCATGTCCACCACTGCACTTTGACCGTAAGAACCCATCTGTGTAAGCCCGGATCACCAAGACAGCTCTACATACATGGACCGCTACGTGTTCCATGGGGCATACTAGCATGCAGCCTGGGGCCGGGCAGCGGAGCTGACGGGGTGCTGGGGCATGTTGGGGGTGCGGGGAAGGGTCCCGAAGGGTTTTCCCAGTTTCGCGCACCCCTGTCAACAATTAGTTATAATTTGCGTGAAACTGCGCATTGCCCGAAATAATTATATAGTAATGCGCGTTGGTATGGGTGAAGGTACGGGTACTGGAAAAGATGACAAATGGATTATAGCATGTGCATGGCACTCCTTAGTGCATACATGCCGGCGCACCTGGGCACGCCCCCTCCTTGGCCAGCCTCCACCCCACATCCACCGCCAGGCTGGACTTGCCCAGGCCAGCACCGCCCAGCAGGCACACGCCGCGTTGGGCTGCGGCTTGCTCCTTCACCAGCCGCACCACCAGCTCTGCATCGGCGTCACGGCCCGTGTAGAGCGGGTCAAGCGGAGGCAGGCGGCACTTGGCCACAGCGTCGTGCTGGGTTTGGCTTGGGGGTCCCTCAAGCTGTACCACCGGCGTGTTGGCATGCTCAGGTGCATTGCTGACCACTACGGCCCTGCCAGCAGCGCTGTCGCCACTGCTGCCTGTGAGCTGGCGGACGCGCTGCAGCAGGTCGGCGTCTCGTGGGAAGGCCAGCTTGAGCTCGTCCACGCTGATGTTCTCAGCGTCTGCCAGCTCCACACGTTGTTGGAACGCCTGCTTCGCCTGATCGCTGTCCAACACGCCACACAACTGCAATAGCATCCACACAAGCGATAGGTACACCAGTTCGTGATCACCAGTGCACGCAAATTGCCACTATGTAACGAATGCAGTGCCTTATCACCTGGAACAACCACAGCCCAAGCACCCCAACACCGAACGATGCATCTTAGGCAACCCACTATCAAACAAGCCCCAGCGCCGTATGCAGTCATGAATGGCTGTGATGTACACATGGGTCTTGGTACAGACAAACCGATTTCCGGGGTGAGAACTATTTGTGGTTCTACGCATACCAGCACCACACATACCATATGAGACTGAGGCGTGGCAACACATAACATCCAGCAGCGACTTGTTAGTCAATGCCTAATCACGGGCACGCACGCAACCCCATTGGCCCTTCCCAGCCTTTCTCCCTCTTCCTCTCCCTACCGCTGTGACGTAGCTTGGCTCCAAGTACACCTCCGTCAGACCACTCGGGAACTCCGACCACCACAGGCGCCAGGGAACCTGCGTGAAGGTTGTGGGGCCAAAGTGTCATTTACTATCTATTGGTCACGATAGCTGTTGTCACAACTCAATAAATGTTGGTTGGTCGGTTGTTGGTGCACAGCGTGGTATGCCTGCTTCCAAGGCGGTCCAGGCAACCATAACTGATCACCCCCGTCTGTATTGCCCCTGCTCACTTTCCATTCCCCCTTGAAGAAAGTGTGCCAGAAAACTCGCAGGTTCATGTGACGGATTATGCGATGGAAGCCCATGTTGCCCTCCTCGGCAAGCGCTTGCTTCACCTGCACGCGGGCACGCACCCCCAGGTAATGTGCAATGGTAAGAGGCGCAGACATGCAAACGCCAGGGAAGGGCAGCAGCACGGGTGGCGAGCAGCACAACTAAACAAGCTAACAAGGCCTCCACCGTTAGAGGCTGTACCCTCGTAGCATGTAGGGGCGCATTCTCTCACCTCTTCCCTGCCACATACACGCATGCATTCTTCTCACATGGCGCTTTCTGTGGGAACTTTACCTTCCGACGGTCACAGCTCGTTCCGCCACGAAGTAAGCCAGTTATCTTTTAAACGCATGCGCCCCTTCTCCCCACAACAAACAACAACATGTCTGAACCATTGCCAGCCTCCCCCATCCCACTCACTATCATGATGGTCAGCCTCTGCCCCAAGTCCAGCTTCTCCGCCACCGCCTGAATCTTGTCCTCGTTTGCCATCACGGCATCCAGCCCCCCCAAATCCTTCACGGCAGCACGCGCCTCAGCGCTGTGGTCCTAGAAGTGGGGAGGTGGGAAGCAGAGAAAGGGGCAGCGGCGTGCTGGGCAATGCGTCAAGAAAAATGGCCACAGCAGTGAGCAGTGTGTGCACGCGAGTAACTGCCATTAGTGCCATGGTCGTCCGGAGCTGGGTAAACTCCCATGGTTCGAACACGCACCCACGCATACCCTCTCTTGCAGAAGATCGGATGTTGCAGCAAATCGTTTGCTCCATAGCCACGGCTACCCAAGCAATGCGTTTATTCTAGTGATGCATGCACCGCTAGCGTGAGAGGCCTCGCATGCTGGTCTCTAGTTCCTTATGCTAATAACTCGCTTATGCACGTGCTGCCCATATCCGGGCAGGTACATGCCAGCGTACACACACAGACTCCGCATCTCGCACACGCACATGCACACTGGCTTCCCTCCGTCCCTCCCTCACCATGTAAGCCATCTGTAACTTCATCTCCTCCATGGCTGCCCGCATCTCCTCCGTCATGCCGGCCACATTCACCGACACCGCGAACTGCGCCTCAATCGTCAGGTCACGCAGCTGCTGTGCGTAGTCCTCGTACTGCTGCTGGTCGCCGCTGCTGGTGATGATGCGGTAGAGCCAGATGTGTGAGGAGAACTCGCGTGCGTACTCCTCAAGCTCCTGCAGCCGGGCAGAGAACACGTACGTGCATGAACGACACAAGTTAGAAGAATACAAATCTCTTTACTGGCGGAAATGGCCATGCGGTGGCACCTCGTGTTGTCGGCCACTGAAAGTGCTGCTTGACATGAAAGCTCTTTAACTAGGGGCCGCGGGCGGAGGATATCATGATGTATGCTTGTTGGTGCATGACACAGGCCCTAGTGCCGTGAGGCCGGGCTACGCAGGGGGCAAGTGCCACTGAACGCCCGCTTACCGTGAGCAGGTCCTTGAACCGACTCATCAGCTTCATGTACGCGTCCGACACCTTCTGGTGTTGCTGGGGTTGCTGTGTTGCTGCAGCGCCAGTCACCACCATCGCTGCTACGTGTGGCACGTGCCTGTCGGCAATCAGGTCGTACAGGTCTACCGCCCGCGCCTGCAGCCTGGTAAGGTTATCCTTGTTGGCCATAGCCTTGGCCACGAGGCCCATGAAGACTCCCAGCGAGCCAACAACCGCGTCACCTGCGCCATAAGGAATGTGCATGCGTTGTGTTGCATGGCGCTCAAAGTGTTCAGCCCTGCGGCGCCCCACCATGCATTTTTTTAAGAGTCATTACTGGTTCAAGGGCCCAGCGGTGGGAGACACGGTCGCGCACACACATGTACTCTCGGGTCTCTCACGGCCAGCTTTTACAGCACACATGTATGGCAGAACCACTGGCGTGTGCGCTATTGCCGTTTCTGAGATGACAACCGGATAGCGTGCTGCATGGCGCAGGGCATGCAGCCCCCTGGCTCAGCGTGACCATGCATGGACGGTTGCACAAATGCGGCCGGCCTGCTGCCCTGCCTCCGACCCCATGCCAGTGCGTCAGATTGAACTTGCAGGGATGGAAGTGCACCATATGCGCCTACCGAGCCTGCTACCTCTTCCAGGCTACATAGAATGAGGGATGAGAAACTATGACCGGCCATTAAGACGCCCAATGCATGTGCTAGTGCCTCCAGTGACACCATGCAGCCGCTGCCCAACGAACGCTTTGACATACCAAACATGGCACTCACCAGGGAATGGGATCATGGGCTTGACGGTGTCCAGGAAGGTGCTGCCCACTTCAAGTCCCTTCTGAACCCAGTCCTGTGCACAAGTTGTGATGGGCAACCGCAATTGGGTTTATGGTTATGTATCACCTATTAGTTGGTGTAGGGCGATGCCAGATCGGGGTGCCTTGTTTATTGCTGGAATAATGCAGCGTAAACGTATGGCCTTGATAATCACCTTCAGTTTTGTGGACTTGGTGGTCTGCCCCTGAGGAATTCGTGAAGCAGCTGAAGGCGTGGCATTGGCCGTCGTTGGAGCAGTTGCCATTGGGGATGCAGAGATTGCTGATTGAGCAGGGCTGCTGTTTGCATGTTGAATAATGCGCAAGAACAGTCTTGTATAGACTGGTTTTAGATCGAGATTCCTGACGTCCTCTTCAGTAACAAGGGCCAGGTGTTCAGTTCTGTGAAACCCAAGCTCATCCACAAACGTCTTCGCCACATCCGGTGGTATGCCGTGCCTTCGGAACAGCTCATGCCCTGACGTCGAACACTGTACATGTTCCCAGCCTGCTGCAGAGTCCTGCAGCAGGGACATGTAGGAGTTGCTCAGCCTTTGAAGTATGGGCAAGAGACGCACATATTCAAGAAAGCTAGGCCCGGAATCTCTATTTTCATATGCAAAATACTTGTACGAGGCCAAGCTCTTCTGTGCATAACATCGGTAACCTAAAGAGGCATGTGCGCACCTGAAAGCACCATTCCTGCTCTGACAACGTAATTCATAAATATAATGTGTATGCGTACTATATTCACCTGCATAGGACTTCCATGCGCCACTGCTCCCTTGTCCGCTGATGCGCCGCAACCCATATTGCATAGCAGCCAATAACGATGACCCTAAAACCAAAGGCAAGTGCCTTCACTCCTCTATTAAGTACAGTAGGTGCGGTTGTCTATGTGCGTGTGCACTACTTAAGTTTACATGTAATTACAGCCATACAAGCAAAATCTGGCTGCCGTTTCTATGGGGACCACTGACATGCACTATAGGTTTAGTAATATGGGTAAGGGGATGCGACCTCTTATCCCCTTAGCCATCTTGGTAGTATGTCACTTAGACCCCGTTGGGTACGGCTATCGAGGCCAATACCGAGGCCAACGATTTGGTGTGCTGCAGAACGTGCATGCTATTATTCCAGCAAAAACTGCCCCTATGAGTGCTTGTTCCTTGGCCAGCGAGGCCTTCGAAATGTCGCTCATTTCAGGGGTCGTTCGGAAGGAGACCTCAGGAGTCGCAATGTTACTGATTGGAGTAACTCATTTGAGGCGAAAGCGGAATGTATATGCCAATGAATTGTCAGGAAGCGGTAGACCACCACTGGGGGCAATAGCAACACCTGTGGCCGCTCATCACTATATAGACCCTGCCCCTGGCAGCCCCCTTTTGAAAGCACGCCCGGCTACTGCGAGACTGCCCGTGTGCCTGATCCGCCTGCAATGGACTCATCACCATCACCATCCGCTCACTCCGTCCCCAGCTAGAAGCGGGTGCTGGCCTCCGTGACCACCTCCTAACCTGCAGTGCGGGTGAGAAACTGGGGCGGGGTTGTGCAGGGGCGGGAGGCGGTCATCAGGAGTATCACCCGTCGCGGCTCGCACCTTATGCAGCTGCTGGGGGCGAAATGGAGGAGATAAGAACACCTCATTGTATGTGACAAGGCTCCATCATGAATCACATCATGGTTGCCGACCAGGAGGGCATAGAGGAGACAACTAACTGACCAGGAGGGGGAGGAGAATGCACGGGCGGGGGACGGGTAGGAGTAGCCCTTGGGAACTGGGTAGGAGACAGGCGAGCCGGAAGATTATTCTTATCGAGGGAGGGCATCATATGGCCCACGGGGCCCGCGTTGGGGCGGTCAGGGTGGGATGAGACAGGTGGCGCATAGGGTTAGGGAGCAATCCTGGAAGAGCTGCTGCCGGCTCGGCACGGGTAACCCGTCATCGGTCCTTGCTGCTTAGCCTCCTGCATGCATGCTCGAACCGGAAAGGCTGGGTTGAGGCCTCAACAGCTTGTGTGCCCAGTCTTCTTGTCCCCTGTCCTGCTGGCCCCCGCAACTTCTCGCCAGCTGGCGGCCCTCAACCTGCGGCTGCAGCTGCCTCGCTCGCAGCTGCTGCAGGCGGTGCGGCGCTGCCCTGTTGGACTGCGGGGGGCGGACCCTGGGCGCTGGGGGCAGGAGCGGTGCTGCCGGGCTCCGAGCTTGGCAAATGGGTGGGGTGAGGCCGGGGAGGGAAGAGAGCGGCAGGGTGCTGGAATATGGCAGGGGTTGGACGGAGGGGCTTGTTGGTTGGGCATTCTCCTACCACCCCTGCCGCCCAGCCCCGCACGGCCATCACCTCCTCCCCTCCCGCCTGGCGTGTTTCCTCCATCGCCCCTGCTACAACCCAGCCCTGCACCGCCAACCCCTGCGCCCTGGAGTCTTTCTTCCGGATGGAGATGGACGGGTCGTGGCTGTCATGGGAGCTCGGTCGTGGGAGAGTGGTCGTGGGAGGGTGGTCGCGGAAGGGTGGTCGTGGGAGGGTGGTCGTGGGAGGGTGGTCGTGGGAGGGTGGTCGTGGGAGGGTGGTCGTGGGAGGGTGGTCGTGGGAGGGTGGTCGTGGGAGGGTGGTCGCGGGAGGGTGGTCGTGGGAGGGTGGTCGTGGGAGGGTGGTCAAAGGATGTTGGTCAAGGGAGGGCGGCCGTTTAGACGTGAGGCAGGGATGTAGTGGTAGATCCGGGTGAGGAAGGCGGACGCGGAAAGGTATCGTCGGATTAAGTAGTGGAATGGTTACGAGTGGGTGTACACCGATGTGGCAACACACATGGTTGCGCAGTGTGAGGATACCAATGGATAGCGTAACGCTATAGGGTTTATAGAAAACTCTAATCGGGATAGTGATAAGGGTTTTGTGTCAGAGACATGATGCGGCTCAGTTGGCTCCTTTTGGTTTTACCGGTATGTGGTTTAGCGCACGATAGCTGCACCCCTTCCGCAGCTGCTGCTGGCGCCATAGCAAGGGCTTGCGTAGGCAGGGAGGGCTGAGAGAGGAGAGGTGTTGCGGCACGCTGAGGAGGAAAAGTTGCAGTTGCCGCAGCCGTAGGTTGGGGATGGAACTCTTATGGCTTGACGAACTCCTGTAATGACCCGTGGGTCACTTTCACAACCAACAGCATTTCAGCGGACAGGCGCCGCAGCTGCTTGCGCCGGGCATGTGTCGGCAGGTGCCTTGTAACACGGTAGCAGCAGCAGGCGGCAGTAGTAGTGGTGGGGCGTGTGCGTGGTAGGCAGGGTCGTGCGGTTGCAGCTGTACATGCAAGCTGTGGTGTGCCTCTTACATACAGGTGGCGAGGAGCCTCGGTCGAACTACTAGATCAGCGGCGGCAACAGCCTTGACAGCTGCAGCAGTGCAGTACAGTGCCTAGGTAGGATGTGCATTTTGTCATTCATGGTTGCCGGCATAGCTGCCCTACCAGTAGATAGACCGTGGGGCTACATATGGGCAGTAGCACGTGGGCTATTCCAGCAGTTAAATAAAGCAGCCATCGCATTACTGTACAGCTACAATGGCTATTACGGCTACAACGGCTACACCCGTACGTCCGTACGAGCCAGGGGGGCCAATGATACTATCGACAAAGTAGTTGGTCTTGTGGTGAGGACCCCTCCTGGGCCATCGTTTGGTTGCAGCTCTGCGACAACGTACAGTGGTTCCTGATACACTAGCGGGTTTCCCATACACGGCTCATGTAGTTAGATAGCCAGCAGAGCCTCACGGCTATGTCCTAATGTCGTCCCTCATGGACCTACTACCGAAGTTGAACAACAGACTTCTCGTGTACTCGCTGTGCAGCTCATTTCAGCACTGGCATTCCTTCCACAGAAACACAAAACCCATCCACTTCAGCAACATTTCCAGAAATACTATTATTGCAACACCTGCAAATAACCCGTTCAGACGTGGGGCGCACTCCATAGTAATTCACTTCAATACCCAAACACCCAGGCCTGGAACACATTAAACGTCCATGCCCTCTGCGGGGAAAGCTAGAACGGCACTGGCAAAAGCCAGCCAGAGCAGGCCGTGGGGTTTCCCCCTTCAAAGCTAGGGCTATCCGTCCATTGGGCGTACATAGCAGCACGCCTTGGCACCTCTCGGCGCCTCATGCTCGAAGAGGGCCACCTCTAACTCGAGGGCTACCCAGCAGGAGTCACGGCGCTCCCTGCACTATGCTACCTTAGTAACTAAAGAACAGGTAAATTTAGCTGAGTGTAGTACCGGGCCAAACCGGCGGCGTCACAATGCAATCGCAGGCCTACATAGGGATGCCTACGTCAAATCAAATTGAAAGCCAGTGACCATCGCGGTCAAGCAGTTAACGTGCTACATACACCAATTGCCGACAGGAGACCAGGTGACTAAGGCTGTTGCCCTTCTTTGGTGCAAGCGGCAAACATGCTGCCCATGCCGCCCATCCAGGATTTCACACTACAAGCATTAGCTGCCATCCCTACAGCTCATGCCAATCAGCATCTGGACCCAGAGCTCGTGGATACATAGCAAACAAAGTCGCAACGTCTACCATTACGGTATGTAGCAAGTTGGTGTGGCTCTCACCGTCCAAGGTGGGGCTTCCATCCTTCTCATGCTCCCATTCACCTCTACCACCATCGCAGAGATACCTATCGTACGCATCAATGTGATTACTAACAATACTACTAAAACGTGTGGCACGCGATGGGCACCCCTTCTTGATCACCGGACCTACAGAGAAGGCCGGGCCGGCCATGAACTTTCACGAGCAATGTCATGTCTGCACGAATGAACTGAAGGGGCTCGAGCATCCGCCCGTGACTGCCAAAGGCTTCAAATACAGCGCAGGAGTCGGATCCACGGAACCACTGCCCTAGCAAAACCTATGACAGCTAGGATTAGCCCTGCTGGTTAAATGCTTACTAATCCAATGCTGCAGGGTGACAAACAGGTGGTTCTCCACACGCACCGTGTTTATCCCAACATGCATCCAGCATGAGCACCTGGGCACCACTGTTATGCTCGATGCCTATGAATACGTCGAGCAAGGACTAACGCTGGCAGGGCCGACCCGCCAACGGCACTACCCTGATAGCTAACGGAGACATAAACAGGCATCGACGTTTTCCTCTATGAAACACAATGAGAGAAGGCACTCGTCCAGAACTTGGCAGGATAAGCCCCAATCCATGAAAAGGTAAAGGCGAGGACGCTGACGGCAGGCTGACCCTGTATCTCAGTTAGCGCATGCTATAGCACTTTGCATGGACCCTTTCCAGACCCACTGACTTCATGAGCCATGCGTAATGTACGGCGGCAGACACCTTTCCCTCCAGGACATGATCGCTGAGGTAATAAATAACACGTGCCCTCCATGCGCAGTCTGGCCCCAAGACCCTGGACCCTACCTGCGAGCACATTTCATAACCATATCACATTAGCGGAAAGGGGCCCTCAACACAAGTAGCGTAAATAAACCAAGTGACAAGCAAGCAAAGTAATCCAGACCTTCGGACCTTGGTAACACACAAGCACGTCATTCAATATTCACCCACCAAAATGACTGGGACCTTAGGTGCGTGCACAGTACGTGCGACAACTAACGACAAAACGCCATCAACGCGAGGTATAGGAAGCGGGGATTACGCTGGAGGACCAACCAGTGAGGAGACCGTACTGGCCAATCGTTAGACATACATTCCAACAGAGCGTTGACCGCCCTACCCAAGCAGGGGGCACACCAGGCCCGACAGAAAGGCCGCAAACCACCTATACCAAGCACGTACAGCCGAAAGACCAACTACTAAGAGCCACAGGGCCCATGAATGAACTAAGGAAACATGTTTGAACGGGGATTATCCCACACAGAAAAGGGAGCCGAAGACTAAGTGACCGACCATAAGCCACCAACACCAAACGTACATGGCTGCAGACCGAGAAAAGGCCACACTAGGCCCCTAGGCTTTAAGTAGTCCAACCAGGGTCACAATCATGGAGAACTAGGGGGAGAACCGGAACCAGGCGGCCTACAAAACACAACACGGCTACCCTGACGGGCAAGGAACGGGTGGTTCGACGGAATTGAGGCCCAGCCCCGGGGAATGACACCTAAACTGGCAAACGAGGATACCCTGCTGGCCCAGAAATCAACAACCACCTCGGCGCCGATGTGTCGCAGACGACCAGTGGGAACAGGTGTACACGAATCCCAATCACGATACAAGTATTGGCGGCCTCTCTCCAGTGCCGCCAGAGCAGCCAATCAAAGCTACAACATCCCAAACAACGGGCTTAATCCCACGTGGGGGCAAGACAAGCCACAGCTGGGACCGTGAAAACGCATCACTGTGAGGCCCCTCCGCAACCCCCGTAACCGCACCCATAGCCTCACGGAGGTATAGGAGCTAGAAAGTCGTACAACCTTACTGCAAACCATCCAACCCCTAACTACCGAGGATCCATCGCTCTCACTCGCTCACTTCCTAGATAGCATGCACACACAGCTCCAAATTACGGGCAGTTTGTTTTGTGTTAGGGTGCTCTGCGCCCAGCACCTTGGTTCGCAGCTCCAGCGCCAGTCGGTACATGGGCACTGCCTCGCCGTACTTGCCTTGAATGTGGATGCACCTAGCCAGATTGTAGATGCAGGTGATGGAGTAGGGGTGCCTCGTGCCCAGCACCTTGTTGCTCAGCTTCAGCGCCCGCCGGTACATGGGCTCAGCCTCACTGAACTTATGCTGGTTGTTGATGCAGCTGGCCAGGTTGTTAATGGAGGTGATTGTATCAGGGTGCTTCATGCCCAACACCTTGGTGCTCAGATCCAGCGCCCGCCGGTAGAGGGGCTCTGCCTCGTCGTAATTGCCTTGGCTGTCGATGCAGATAGCCAGGCTGTTGAGGGAGCGGATGGTGTGCGGGTGCTCTGCACCCAGCACCTTGGTGTGCAGCTCCAGCGCCTGCTTGTACATGGGCTCTGCCTCGCCGTACTTTCTTTGATTGAGGAGGCAGTTGGCCAGGTTGTGGGTGAAGCTAATCGTGTCAGGGTGCTTCAAGCCCAACACCTTGGTACTCAGGTTCAGCGCCTGCCGGTACAGGGGCTCTGCTGCGCTGTACTTGCCGCGATTGATGATGCAGTTGGCCAGGCTGTTGATGGAGCGGATGGTGAAAGGGTGATCCTCGCCCAGCACCTTCGTGCTCAGCTCCTGCACCCGCTGGTACATGGGCTCTGCCTCGCTTTGGTTCTGGATGCAGCTGGCCAGGTAGCTCAAGGAGCTGATGGTGTCAGGGTGCTCCACGCCCAGCACCTTGGTGCGCAGATCCAGTGCCCGCCGGTGTGCGGCCTCTCCACCCAACATAGATTCAAAGTTGGCGAGGCAGGGTGCTAGGGGACCATCACGCAGTGCGTTGGCTGCTGCCTCCAATCTGTGCCAGGTGTCGTAGAATGTGGGCGTCAGGACGCCACCCACAGCTAGCAGCAAAGATTGCAATTCCCGAGTCGCAGATTGCAAGACCAGCTCCAACAGCTTGGGTGCAGTCGCTGCTTCTGCTGCTGCTATCTGGACCGCTGTCAAGAAGTCTGGCACACGCTGCCGTGCTAGGCGCAGCGCCAGCAGAGCGTCAGGTGTCATGTACAACCGGCCCCACTCTGTGAAGGCAGCCATGACATGCCCTATAAACCGCTCACGAGCAGTGGTCAACGCCCTGGTGAATTGCTGGTACTGTTGGTGTCGCTGCTGACCGCTGCTGGTGGCGCCGTTGCTGCTGGCCGCGGCTCCTGATACCGATGCTGCTGCTGAGGCCAACCCGGTGCCCAGCCCCGCTGCAGTGGTGCGCACAGCCATGTGCAGGCTGTATGTGCCATCAGCAACATTGCGCACCACCAGGCCATGGCTGTACAGCACCGCAAGCTGCGCGCGAACGCGTGACACGTCTCTGCTGTCACCGTTCACCACCACGGCAGCGGACTCCTCGTCAAACTGGGACGGGAAGACGGTGAGTTGGACTAGGCGCAGTTGTTGGGACAGCGGCAGAGAAGCCAAGGCTAGGTGCAGAGCGGTGGCGCCATCATTGCTTGTGTTGGTGAGTGCAGCCTTCAACGCCTGTATGTGATTGTGTTGCACGGGTGGGTGGGGTTATCACTAACAGACTGTGGTATATACTTGTAATGTGGTATATACAGAACTTTCGGGTGAAATTTTCAGGTTTAGTGTTGGTGTGCTCTGAGAATGTATTGGAGCTGATAAGCCAGATGAAACTTTCCATTTAATCAACGCAAATGTGTGGCATGCGGATGGCACGCTGGCAGACAGCTGCACAGTAGAGCACCCTGGTGCTGTGCGCACCACTGCAGAGGAGCAGAGAGCTGCCCGCCCCCAACACACGCACACCCCGCACCTACCGCCAGTGTGACTCTGCCATGTGCCAGAGCATCCGCACACGTGCGCAGCAGCAGCGGCACCCCGCGGCACATGTACAGCAGGACGTCCACATCAGCCGCTGCCAGTGGGGAGGCACCGCCCCACAATGAGGCGACCAGCTCCCGACTTGGGCCACGTTCGACGCCACGTAGCGGGTGGTCGATAAAGCTGCTGTTGCTGCTACCACCAGATGGTGATGGTCCAGCCATGGGCGCCCGCGATGTGACCAGCACCATTGCAGCCTTGCACACCTGCCGGGCGGCGACAACGAGCAGGGCACAAAGACGGGAGTTACCCAGCAGTGCAGTGCTCTCAATGAATAAGACACCCAAGGGCGTCACCTTCCAATGGACAGGGTAACGGGCGGTACGGCATTCATTCATTCACCAAACATGTAAGCAGTTTTTTCACCAGTGTATCACTCAGGAGAGATGCTGATAGGGAGAGGCAAGAACACGAATGGCTGGGGCAGCGAACACGTTTTGGATGGGTCGAAAAAAAGCAAACGGAGGCCATGCGCCCCTGGCATGTGAGTGCGAGCAAATGCATGGAGCAAGCAAGCAACGGCCATTGCTAGGCGAGCTTTGCATCACCGATATCATGGGCTGCACAGTGCATGTGAGTGAGTGGCAAGGCAAGCAGGGGGTGTCAGCTTCCTCGAGGCTGGACAAGAGTGTAGCCCCCTGCTGAGGACGTGACCACATGATGAGAGGGCTTGCTTACGCTGGATCGACACATACAGGCGGCAGCTCTCAATGACGCTTTGCAAAGTAAATGCGTACATTCGCAGGAAAACGAGGTTTTTCCCTCGAGCGTTGGAACCAGCAGCTCACAACGATTGCGTAGCTACATACATAATAGCATGCATCAGGTGTAGGTTATAAGGCCAACGCTGGTAGATAGGTGCAGCCTTCAGATAAAAATCCCGTACATCCATACTTGGTGCTGGCACAGGGTGCAGTTAGCCCTGACTAGGATTGTAGGATAAATATCCATCTCCAGTGCTTCACTTCTGTAAACTACCTCCTCTTACCAGCTGCTCCACTCCTCCCCACCTGGGCCATGACGTCCCTGAAACCCTCGCCTCTCCCGCCATCAGCCTGCAGCACGTCCTCGGCGTTGTCCACCACCAGCAACACGTCACCGCCACAACTAGCCGAGGTGGAGCGCAGCCACGCAAGCAAATTGAGGAGGGCGTCGTCGCCCTGTATTAAGTAAGGTTGTGCATAGGAGGTATTGTTGGATTACCGGACTTCATGTTAAATACACACACGGCCAAATTACGGCCACTCCATGCGTCATTTCCTCCATGGTTCCCTTCCTCTTCCATACCACTACCAGACCCTCGTGCACGTCTGTTGCGATTTGCGAGCATACTGCTGGCCATGGTATGCGGATGAGTGAATGGACTAGTTCTGCCTCCGGGGCATATATATACGCCAGGCAACATGTATAGATAGGATACCGGTAGTGTTTGTGTGGTGGCCCCGCCCCCAGCATGAGCCTGCAGCTGTTAGCACGAATTGACTTGCAAGTGTGCAATAGCAACAAGGGTGGAGCCCTTGTGTTTAGTAAGATGGCTGAATGCATGGGGTCACAACAAGCCTTTAGATAGCTTCTTACTTGCCACAGCACCCCCAACCACCCACCCACCGTTGGCGGTGTGGCGCTGCCCACCGCCTGCATGATGCGCATCAGGGCGTCTTCCACGGACGACACCTCACGTAGGTCACAAAAGTACGCGCCACCTGCATGTGTGGCGTGGCAGGGGGTTCACCGGACACGCACAGCACCTTGCCAAGCTAGGAATCACGCACGCATGAGCCGCACAGGCCGGCCCATCTTCACGTACTGGTTATGCACCTGTGCGCTGGATTACGCAACAACCTATTCATGGCGGTACTGCCGACGCACCTGGGCACGCCCCCTCCTTGGCCAGCCTCCACCCCACATCCACCGCCAGACTGGACTTGCCCAGGCCAGCACCGCCCAGCAGGCACACGCCGCGTTGGGCTGCGGCTTGCTCCTTCAACAGCCGCACCATCAGCTCTGCATCGGCGTCACGGCCCTTGTAGAGCGGGTCAAGCTCAGGCAGGCGGCACTTGGCCACAGCGTCGTACTGGCGACGGGTGTGGCTTGGGGTCGCCTCACTGCTGCCGGCTGGTGTGAGCGGCGGCTCAATGACAGCGCAGGCAAACACGGGTGTGCTGCTGCCGCTCACTGGTACCTCTGAGTACCGGTCCCTGCTGTGGCCACTGCTGCCTGCCACTGTGACGGCTATGAGCTGGCGCACGCGCTGCAGCAGGTCGACGCCCGGTGGGAAGGCCAGCTTGAGCTCGTCCACGCTGACGATGTCAGTGTCAAAACGCTCGACTTGTTGCTGGAACGCCTGCTTCGCCTCATCACTTTCTAACATATTGCACAACTGCAATAGCATCCACACACAACACGTGTCTCAGTTATTATAATGTAACAAACAATTACACGGCTCAACTGGTTTATAATACACAATGGACCGATGCGTGTCTGCGGTATGTCACATACCCTCGGTAGCAAGCTACGGTTTGTTTAGTAGTTACGCGGCTCACTTGCTTGAGAGCACACCACTACACCACACCACCTAGCTCTGCATGTGTGTGGCCACCCAAACCCAATGCCCAGCTGTCATGCCCTTGGCACGCTCAGTACGTGCACGCAACCTCATCATGGCCCTTCCCAACCTTCACCCTTCCTCCTCCTACCTCTAAGACGTAGCCTGGATCCAGGTGAACCTCCTCCAGGCCACTCGGGAACTCCGACCACCACAGGCGCCAGGGAACCTGCGTGAAGTAAGGGTGCTGGTTCAGATTCACGGCGTCAAGTTGTGTGAAAATAGCTGGCACGTTGTGTATGAGGTTCCTTGGTCACTAGTCGGTGCACAGCAGGTAGGGCGGGCGGCAGCCTGCTTCAAAGGCAGCAGACTAGTGAAACACAAGTACAGACTCCAAAACTGTATGTATCATGAGCCTCGGCCGACCCCTTTCTCCTTACATGCCACTGCCCATTGAAAAAGGTGTGCCAGAAAATGCGCAGCTGCATGTGACGGATTATGCGGTGAAAGCCCTTGTCGCCGTCCTTGACCATACTTGCTTGCATGTCTGCAATCGCATGCTTTATCTGCGTGCGGCGGGCACAGACACATGGACAACGTGCAGCCGTAAGTGGAGCTGCATACGCCGGAGGCACTCCCGGAAAGGTTGGGATAGGAATTTCTCGAGTGGGGATTGGGGAAGGCAATACGGGTGGGTGATACAACCAAACATAGAAGGCCTCCACCGTTAGAGGCTGTGCTCTCCCAGCGTAAAGGGGCGCATTCCATCCAACCCACCCCTATGTCCTTGGGTCCATATCAACACGTCTTTCCCACATGCTAATCCATGTGCGTGTTGTTGCTTGGTGGCGCTACCTGGCGATATCCAACTCATATTGAACATGGCGAGTAAAGGTAATCTGCCGTACACGTTAGTCCAAGTCTCTGGATGGCGACTTTGTTTCCTGTTTGGTAGGAACTAAGAATGAGTCATCCTAGCTAGTCGCTTGGCAGGTTCTCCATTTAGACGTATGGATGGACACAAACTTTTACCTACACGAGCCACTAACGAACAGACAAGAAGTAAGTATGGACCGCTGCCAGCCTCCTCCCTCTCACTTACAAACATATAGGTCAGCTTCTGACCCATGTCCATTTTATCCGCCACCGCCTGAATCTTGTCCTCGTTTGCCATCACGGCATCCAGGCCGCCCAACTCCTCCATGGCAGCAAGAGCCTTAGCGCTGTGGTCCTGGATATATATATGTATGGGGAGCCGGCAGAGCAATTGGCAGCAGCGTGCGTGCTGGGCGTGCGTGTCAACAAATGTGTCCGTTTCCGGTGGAGGTTGCTTGGGGTTGGGCTGGTGGTAGTAGGCCCGGATCCACCCGCCCATGCAAGGCAACCGGCAGCGGCGCAATGTTGACTAGCGTGCGAGTATGTCCATCAAACATGGCAACAACGCCCAACACATGCTACGTGTGAGCATTAAATTCTTGCAGGTAAATAACAGTTTGCTCCATGGCCATGCCTCCATGCCCTTGATGCACTCATGCACATAACAAGTTGCAATAAGGGGCCATACGTACATGCACATGACTATTGCTAATTTACTTTTGCACATGCTGCCCACATCCGAGCAGCGCAGGTGCAGGACGAGCAAAGCTGTGCGCGCAAATACTCCGCACCCCGGCCTCTGTCCCTTCCTCCCTTCCTCCCTCACCACGTACGCCATCTGTGACTTCATCAGTGACATCATCTCGTCCATTTTAGCCCGCATCTCCGCATTGTTTTTGGCCTCTTCCAGTGTCACCGCGAACTGCGCCGAAATTGTCAGGTTGCGCAGCTGCTCTGCATATCGCTCATACCGCCGTCGGTGATAGTTTCCGGAGAGGAAGCGGTGGAGCCAGCCCTGGGAGGAAAACTCGCGGGCGTACTCGATGAGCTCCTGCAGCCAGGCAGTCAGCGGGATGCATGCACATGTGGGCGAACATACACCAGCACAGGTCCCAAGCACACAAACACACCGGAGTGGCCATGCGGTGGCACCTCGTGCGCTTGATAGTTGGCACAAGATTTTGTGCAGTCAGAAACGCGATGGGAACATGACACAAGCCGCAATGCTGTGCGGTCCACTACACAGGAGGCGAGTGCCACCGATGAATGCCTGCTTACTTCAAGCAAGGCGTGGAAATGACTCATTAGCTTCTTGTACGCGTTTGGCACTGGTCCTTGCTGCGGTTGTTGCGTCGTTGCAGCGCCAGGCAACACATGTGGGGGATGCTTTTCCATGATGAGGTCGTACAGGTCCACCGCCCGCTCCTGCAGCCTGGCCAGGTTATCTTGGTCGGTCACAGCCTGGGATACGAGGCGCATGAAGGCAACCAGCGAGCCAGCAACCACGTCGCCTGCACGTGTGCACGACACATATGGACACGCTTATAAGTGTTAGCATATGCCGGGCTGCGTAAATTCTTCAACCACGCAGCGCCCCACCATCGTGCCTTTGGGGCACTTAACGATTTGCCCCAAAGGGTGCACGGGTGGATGGGGGCCACGCCCACATGCATGGCAAGACCACCGGCGTGTGCGCTACACTGCAAATGGTAGGATGGCGTGCTAGCTGGCTGGCTCAGGGGATGCAGCCCCTAACCTGACTGCGACTGTACAGGGATGCGATGCGTACAGTACACACAAGCAAGCAGCCAGCTGCTTCCCGCCGACCCCAATGGGGGTAATGGGATGGATGTACCCACGCATGGGCCTACCAGGTTAAGCTTGCCGCCTCTTGCAGATGCAAGGGGTCAAGAATGCGATGGCTTGGGGCGGGGCAACACACCCAACATATGTGCTAGTGCTCTCCAGCAAACTATGCAGCAGCCGCTTCCCAATGAAGGCTTCTACAATACAGGGCGCTCACCAGGGAATGGAATCATGGGTTTGGCGGCTTCCAGGAAATTGGAGGCCACGTCAAGTCCCTCCATAACTCTTTCCTGTTAAGGAGTGAGGGGCAAGGGGGGTACGGCAGGGGCACTTTAGTTAACTACAAGCATTAAAGTTTCGGGTGTTATATCACTTTCCAATAATGGACCGTATCGGGGTGCTATGTATGTCTGTTGACAGATTGCTGCAGCGTGCATGTATGGCCTGGTTTTTCACCTTCAATTTTTTTGAGCCAGCAGACCTTGGATCTTCTGCAGAGTCCTGAGTAACAGATAGAAATTGAAATTGCTCAGCCTTGGAAGAAGATCCAAAGACGAATATAGACGAAGAATTCCTTGACAAACTACACTTCTTGTATGCGTGTACGAGGCCTAGCATTTTGGTGGATAACCTAGATAGGCAAGTGTGCTCCTGCAAGCACGGCTCCTGATCTGACAACGTAGTTCGTAACTACTATTAACGCATCTTACAATCCCCACCAGAGACTTCTCATGCTGCCTGTCTTTTGATTGGCCGCCACCCATCCTTCGTAGCAGCCAGGAACTTGTGCAGCTATAACACCAAAGATCAGTTCCTTTCGTTTATAAAGCGTAACAATTTTTCTTGAGCGCGTGTTCAACTAAGAAAAGCCGTGCAGGTATAGCCATACAAGCAACAGTAGACTGCCATTCCTGAGACTACTACGGTGACATTCATTTACACGGGCGATAACATGGGTAAGGAATTCCACTTTGGTGAACTCAATAGTACGTCACCTCCTCAGGATGAGTACGGCTACCGGTGTCACATGGATCTCATAGCAATCCCGAGGCTGGGACTACATTAGGCTCCATCGACAAACTTCATTTACTAAGGCGCAGCAGTTATAGATCGTGCGGAGCCATGCAAGTAGCGAGGACTTTGAGGGCCGGCAATGATAGCCACCGACATAGCTGCCTTTCTGCATCGAAAACAAGTTTATAGTAACTCAGACAGTCAGCATGCTTTTACGTCTAGCAAATTTGTCTTGCAAGCCAGCAAAGATCGTTGCCAAGCGATCGCCCATCTCAGGGAAGTTCAGGTCAAACTTAACTAAAGGTTTTGAACCCTAATGCTTTAAGTCTAGCTGTGAAAGATGCAGGTACGGGTAAACTGTCAGCATCCGGTAGCCCAGGCTGACCACCTGGTGTGTTACTCCCGCTCAATATTTTTAGCATTTCTGAACCTGCAAGCACTAAGAGCTAATGTGGCAACGTGGTCACAAATCCTGCTAATGCACATTAGGATCACCTGCATTGAACTTCCATGCTGCTGGATTGCTCGCCTGTGAGCTGATGCGCTGCAGCCCATCTTTCGCAGTACAGTATTGCTGCAACTCGAAAGCCAAAGCTCTACTGGATGTTGCTTTGTTAATTTTAGATGGTGCAGTCGTTTACGGGGTCGTGTCCATTTGCCATATATACCCGTACCATACTAGCAACACTAAGCTTCCGTTCATGCGGAGACCACTGCAGTCACCAACTGTGCAAAGAAGTAATGTAAGACCCGGTGAAGCCATCTACGTTGTTTGCGGCCCAATACCTGCAACATCTTGAAAAGCCGGGCCGAGCGAACGCTTGGGGACCGACGATGGCCACAAGACAAAGGTACTTTTCGTTACGGGGCTACACAGGACTTCAAAAAATGCATGAAACAGGTGTACGAACATCTTTAGGCCAACGTGAGCGGTAAACCGGCGCGTGCGGGCCAATAGTCGGCATGCGGTAGTCCAGCCTGACCACTTTGTGCGCTGCTTCCGTGCAAATTATATAAATGAATACAATGTGCTACAAATACCTGTGCTCATGTTCTTGGGTGTAGAAGCTAGCACCTTGAAGTATTAATTGCCATACATGGGCCCCGCGCGGGACAGGAGTGACGATAAGGACAGCTCCTTATTGCAGAAGACGTTTCCATCAATTGTCGCTCGTTGCGATCCAGCAGATGCCGACCCAATGGTCACCAGAGACAAGGCTGGGTTATTTTGTTAGGCGCTACCTGGCGCTACGGTCCATCCTTCAGGCTCTAAACATCTGCGCTTTGCCTTCGTTCTGCTTCCGCCACGGCAACTCAAAGCAATGGCAGCCGGATGGGCCGGACTTCTTCCCTGCTGCTGACCGAAGCCATGGCGGCATCACCAGAAGACGGGTTACGTTGCCTACCATGAGCAGCTACCGGCACGAAGCGAGGAGCTGCATTCCCTTGATCTATGTGGGGCATCTACGAGCGCAGTAGCTCTTATCCACCGCACCAGTTAGCGCTATGTCTTATGTGTGGCCGCAGAAGTAGGCATGCAGGAGGCTAGGACATCAGCCGCCATGCAGGACGTGATTTGAGTAACGACGGCAGTCGGATATCAGTAGGGTTGAAGAAGCATCCTAGTTAAGGCGGGCACTATATTTTGTAACCCAGGGGAGCCAGCAAGGGGGCCACGGTGTTACCTTGTGGGGTTACCTGGTGCTGATATAAGGGAACAGGAATGCACGCAAGGAGATGCACATCTTGTTCAACGCAGGGACACGGTCACCGGACGGCTTGCCTAATACGTTGGCGTCTGATGCTGGCCTCGACACGTATGCACTCGGCGTCCATGGCTTAGAGAAGACTCAAGTCCGTCGTAACCGAGCTTACTATACACTTGAGCTTTGCACGGGACCACCCTAAACTGACCCCCCTGTTCGTTTGTCGTCGACCTGCCCCTCTGTTGCAACGCAAATGTGGTCTGCTGTCCGCAAGTAAACAGTTGCGACACACCGGTTTTTACATGATCTTCACGTTTTACCCGCTTCCCCGGTGGCCTGTGAACGGCTGATCACACTTGTGCTGCTGCTGCACATGGCGTCCCCACATCCACGACAATGCCAGGACAACACTTCGCCCCTGACCCTGAAGCCTGTGGCCACATGGCTGACCACACCCTACCAGCCGGCAACTGGCTCGCTTGCCAGGACCTTAGGTACCATGCAAACTCCAGTCAGCTATCTAGCGCCTCTGCAGGCTCCTGGCAGAGAAGCATTTACAAGGTCCTGCATGCGGCTGAGAGCTCCTCCTTAAGCTTCCGGGGCCCGCCGCAGCTCCAGGCCGGGATGGGGCCACATGCTCAGACCCGGTCCACAGCATTAGCACCAGCAGGACTAGCAAGGCCACAAGCCAAGTGCCGGTGAAGCGACCTCGCAGCCGGCCGCCCTTCAAACGCGACCTTAACCCGCATGCTGAGGCCGCCTCTTGGCGCCTGACCGGCCTTATGCTTCCTTGTTCCTTCCTTGGGTCCCGACTGTCCTTCCCCACCGGTGTGCTGGACCTTCACGACATGCAGCAGCTGCTCCCCCCGCTGCGGCGGCTGGAGTTTCGACCCCAGTGAGCTGCGGTCGCCTAGCACCAGGCGAGGGGGCCCGGTGCGTTTGGAGTGCGTGGGACGACTGGCCAGGCAGGGAAGGGCTCTGTGGCGTCAGGAGTGGTCTCACTCGCGGTCACGACCAGCTTCCCTGCCGCCCAGCTAGCAAACTAACCTAACTGGATGGTCACATCGCGGCCTGGCGTGTCGCCGCCGTCGCCCCTGCCGCCCACCCCCGCACCGCCCTGCTTATTTTCCCCATTGCCAACCCATGTACGCACTGCCATTCCCTGCGCCTTCAGGGCCTTCTTCGCCGCAGCCGTTACCCCTGCTGCCCAGCCCCACAACGTCATCCCCGCCACTCCTAGCGTCTTTTCTCCGTCCTTCCTCTGTCGACACTTGTACGTTACGTAGTAATGGGCTGTGGTGTGAAGGAGGGTGGGCTTGTAACGCGCCAATCCGCGCTTTTTCTTTGTTTTATTGCGGGCGGTATGCCTTCGGCGGGTTACTGGTTTCATGGAAGCCTTAGTAAGGGTATTTGCGGTCATGCACGCACCCGAAGCCCTTCCTGGGTCTTCACGGTGCTGCGCAGTGCAGGTGACTGAGGTGTTGGTTGGATTGCGGTTGGACTTACAACTCTGTGGCGTCATGTTCATGTGGTTGTTGCCTGCGCTCTGCGAGGCTGATCTCGCTGTAGGATAGCGCATGCAACACCCAGAAAATTGCATACTGTGGCAAACGGGGTTTCGTAGGCAGAGACATGAACACTTGATGCTACCCGACCTGACACATGAGGCTGGAGAACGAACGGCGTACGGATGTCCGCAATGGGGCCTCGCCTTGGGTGTTTTGTACGAAACGTGGAAATGATGCGCTGAGCACCCTTTGACCCCAAGGGGATTATGCCGCTTATGCAGCATTTCGAGACGTGTTGCTATTGGCGGCTCTAGTCCGTAGTGGACAATGCCGCATGTGGGAGGTCATTTGGCCCGGAGGAATGTAAGTTTAAGGCATGAAGGCTGGCGGCACCCACGGCATTGTATGCTCGACATAATTTCTCCTTGAAAGGCGGCATCTCGCGGGCTTAAGGGGTAGCTCACTGCACTCATAGGATGAGGCACACGCATGCAAGATAAATTGGCTAGTATGTACCCCTATGCATGCATAAGCGTGGAACACCTTATTTCGCTGGACAGGACACGTGTACCACGGTGTCTACCGCGGGACATGCGCAGAATGCCTCAACGTGGATTGTGGGGTGTAAGGCGCATTTCAGTCGTGTGTTAAAAAAACTGGCCGCGAGGCGAAACGTACTGTGATTCAGTCGTGTAGAGAAAAGGAGGGGGACCGAACCAAAACAGCCACAGCTATCCACAAGTTGAACACACGCTGGATGAATGCGGCGTGGGGAAGAGGAGCTGCGGGGGACTGCCGGGGAAGAAGCCGGACGGCAGTGTGAACAGGGGCATGCTGAGTGAACGTTGCAATGGGCGAGAGAAGCTGCAACCCTAACCATGTGCAGCTTACTACAGGGCCTGTCAAATGTTGTCAAGAGTTGTGGAGAGGGCGAAGACGCTGATGGATGCTCGCCAACAAGCCACACTCTTGTGCTCAAATAAGGTTTATATTGAGGTTCTTGTATATTACAAAACTCGATGAGCACAAAACTACTTCGTTGGATTGGATAATGAATTCATTGCATGTCTCGGAAATCGTACAATTTGCGGAGGCGTTCATGTAATCCTGATACAGCCCTGCGACACTGCTCATCGGCAGCATAGCACCTCTTTAGTCGCTGCTTTTGCCGGGCCCACCCCGCTCAACCGGGGAGCTGATCGTTAGGGACCCGCCGTCACCATGAACGGTCTCGTGCTGCGTAGCCTGGTGCGTTTTTAACATGCTATATAGAGGATGCTTAGTCGTTAGAAACCGGTTTAGGACTGCCGGCTCATTTCCTGCCTTCCCGTCACGCTGCAGGGCGTGCTGTCGAGGTCTTGCGCCGGCAGCGCACCCGCTGTGGAGGGCGCCGTCCGTGCATTCGCCTCTGGTAAGCAGGCTTAGCAATCCGAAAGTATGAGGCACACTCTTGCGGGGTTGCTATGCGGCTGCGCTACATCGGCACATAATCATGGTCGCAGGTGCCGCCCCTTCTAAGAAGGATGTGCTCTACAACCTGAGCAACCCTGACCCGGATGCTGAGGCCTCCGTCAAGGAGTACCTTTCCTCCCTATACAAGGGCGCAAAGCTTGAGCCCAGCCAGGCCGATGACTCGCTTGAGCTTACCAGCAAAATCGAGAAGAAGTACAAGGCTGCTCAGGTTGTGGAGTATGGCCTGCAGGTAAAACTGTTCCTCGAAGTTTGGGTCTTCTACGTTCGGAAGGCAGTGAAGGAATGCAACGCTGACTTCACTTTTGTCGGCCTACCTTTTCTTCATAATATGTAGAACATCAGCGTGCCCCTGGGCTACAGCAAGTCGGACCTGGCCCCAGTGAAGCGGTATGCTGCGGAGCTGCGGACTCTCGGGAAGCAGGTGCGGACGCGTGGGGTTACAGTCGAAATGGCTTGAGGGCATTTGTCATAGCAGCGACAAGCGCTCCCCACGGACTGTCACTAGCTAGGGGTGGTGTGATGTTGGGGCCGGTGGAGCAGAAGTGGGGTCCAGTGTGTTTACAAACAAGGGGGAAAGAGCGCCATCGACGGTGGCACGAAGTACTTCGCCAAAGTAGTACATCGTTCTGCTGCTTTGGACCCCGTAACGGTACACTTGCGGGTAAACCGGGGTCAGAATGTCGTAACAAGCGCGCATGGGACTGCGCCGTTGCAGCCTAAAGTTATTGGCATGGAACGCTCGTTACGCCATTTGCAGTTGGGCGACGGACTGTTCAGCATGCTTGATAACTGTTCTCCAGGAGAGTCTGGGCATTTGTGTTGCAACTCATGGATCCCTACTCCTTGAACACTATTGCAAGCTGGACCCCGCAAAGTCGGTGTATTGCCGCCCTCTTACCCCCCTCTTACCGGAGCATGACTTTTTTACCACCTGAGATAAGGCATACCGACGCTCTTCGTGCCCATCCCCTCACCTCTGCCCCCTTCCAGGCTGGCTTCGAGGACGCCGCCACCGAGGTGTCTAAGCGCCTGAGCTCCACGGCCTCCACGGCTGACAGCGTCAAGGAGCTGCTGACCAAGAGCCAGTCCCTGATGAGCGCGGACCTGTACTCGGCGCTGCTGGAGGCGGTGCAGCAGGTGGAGAACGCCACCAACGCCACCCTCACCCTGGACGGCGCCTCGCCCGCCTACAAGGAGTTCGCCAAGAAGGTCGAGGTGAGTGAACGCGGGGGTATAGAGAGGGTGAGGATAAGGGGTTTACCCGCTGGAGGATGGAACGGGGTAGAGAAGAGAGACATAAGCGACCGATGCCAGTTGGAGGGCGAGGGTTCTGGGAGGTCTCAGGGAGTCAGCAAAGCAATGGATGAAGGAAAGCAGTTGGAGATTGAGGCGTAGCAAGGAATCCACAGGTCGCTCTGTCAGGCCGCATTGCTTTTGGAGCGGGGCGCTTCTTGGTTGCCATTCTACGGGCTGTTTCGTCATGACACATGCCGGCCCTTCAATCCTGCAGGCCATCGCCAAGGCCCAAGGCATCCCCGCCACGCTGTTGGTGGCTGCCCAGAAGACCCCCACGGACGAGGTAAGCGGCGGGGAAGCTGTTTTGGGTTGCAGTCCTGCGCTTCAGTGGGTAGTTGGTGATAGTTATGTGCTGTGCCGGATGCAGTGTCGCCAGGCCCTATGCCGTTATCCTTGGGCCCTGTGCCAAGTTGCTCTCTGCCCGCCTCCAGGTTGTGGCCAAGGAGTACGCCCGCTGGCAGCAGCACGCGGCCGTCAAGGACGTGAGTAGCCCGGGGAACGGCAACTTAGGTCCAGTAACGTTCATGGGTTCAAGGGCAAAATGAGCCCTTCATGATCGATGGATGCTTGATCGATGCCTGTCCTTTTAAGTATCGGGGCAATTGCAAACCTGTTGTCCAAAGCGCTAGGCCTGCGTACGGTGGCGCCAGCGTCCCAAGCCTGTCTCTTCCCTTTATAACCATCGCTGTTGCCGAACCGACCCGCAGGCCATTGCCGAGCTGGAGGCGCTCAAGGCGGACGCCACCACCCTGCTGGACAAGCACCTGGGCAAGTCCGCCGAGCAGGTGCGCAAGGAGCAGGCGGCGGCCCTGACCGCTGCCGTCAAGAAGGCGGAGGCCGCCAAGGGTGCTCCTTGGGCCGTGCAGTTCCTGGAGGACGTCAAGCGGGTGGAGTGGTTCGATGCCTGCGTGGCGGAGAACCCCGCCGTCGGCCCCAAGGTAGCCGCGTAAGAGCATGCTGGCTGTAGCAGTGGCAGTGCCGGGGACACATGGAGCGGAGGAGTGCGTTCGCGGTTCTTAGCAGCAGCAAGCTTTGATCTCCGCCCCGTTGTTCTCAGCACTGTGCCAGGAAGGTCGGAACGTGCGAGCTGTGCGAACGTGCCTATGCGGGCTGTGCTTCGGATGTGCGAGTTTGTTGGGAGGACTGGCGGGCTAGGGTTGGGCAGAAGGGTTGGAGGCCGCTAAGGGTTAAGGGCGGCATCGGAGTCCATTACATGGGCTTAAGCCTGGCTTATGTTCTATCCACGCTGAAGGCAACGCCATGGTTCAGGTGTCAGGCAGACGTGTGGGTAGACCACCAACAATCGTTTGTCATGGGTGTTGGCGCATGTTCAATGTGCCGTCCTAAGCGTGTAAACAATTGCGGCGTGCCGTTGCTGCCTTTCCGAGGTATAGGAGATTTCCCCCTGCCGTTGTCTAGCCCCAATATGTAAGTGCAGAAAGGTTAATGGAGTATTGCGATACAGCAATAAGACGCTCACAAGATAATCACGTCATAATTGAAGCGGTCAGGACACGTCTCCGTTGCCGCTAGGGTAGCCAAACATGCTCACAATGGGCAACCCCACATAACGTGGCCTTTCTCAAAGCGGTCTTTATGCATACGCGCTATTTCCTTCCTATTTTACAACACAGTACTTGCACGTTTCTAGCGTATAGTTAATGAGCAGAGACATGTGGTGATTGGTGGTCCTAAGAATCCGTCCAAACGAAGGCACTAGACCAGACATCGCCGACAATTCAATTAATTGCAGTTGCACACATTTCCTTATGTCTGTCGTTAACCAGCAGGATGTCCTTGGGAGGCCCAGTTGGTTCGTACGGACCCCTTTGTGGCCGCCTCGTCCTCACCTCAATTGCCGCCCCACCCCATCAGATAACTTCTACCTGCGCCTCTGCTTAACCGACTCTAATACACTAGGCTTTAGATCGCTACTTTTACACTATCCTAGCGAAATGGCCCTGTGCATGCAGACCAGGTCGGTCGCGGGCGTCCGTGCCCGGCCCAGCAGCGTCCGCAGCACTCCCTTCCGCGGCAGCCGCATGGTCGTTCGCGCCACTCCTGCTGTCTCTGAGATTGTGGATAAGCTCAAGACCTTGACGCTACTGGAGGCGTCTGAGCTGGTGTCAGAGATTGAGAAGACCTTCGGCGTCGATGCCTCGGCTGCTGCCCCTATGGCTATGGCCATGCCTGTCGCCGCCGCTGCTGCTGCGCCAGTTGTAGAGGAGAAGACTGCTTTCGATGTGGTGCTTGAGGAGATCCCTGCTGACAAGAAGGTCGGCATCTACAAGGTGGTCCGCAACATTGCCAACATTGCGGTCAACCAGGTGAAGGAGTTCACCGCTACGCTTCCCAAGGTCCTGAAGGAGGGCCTGAGCAAGGAGGAGGCTGAGGCTGCTAAGGCACAACTGACGGAGGCTGGCGCTAAGGCCAAGGTCGTGTAAGCATGGCCTTGTCTTAGCGATCATCTGTACGGGCGCGTATAAAAAATAGAGTTTTGGGTGGGCATAATGTGAGATCAACGGCAAATTTTCCTATCTTGTCGGCTGGTTCCACTGGGCAGATAACAGGACATTGTGAGCGCGGTTCGCAAAGTGTTTGCCTGCTACCGGCAGCTTTTACCCTTGTGGCTCCTGTCTCATAGGGTTGCTTACAGTTTGAAAATTCAGTTTCCTGACTTGCTGGGAGATGAGTATGGGACGACTTGAGTGGTGCTGTGCGACTGGAGTGCGCTAGGCTGGGGTGGCGCACCCCGGTGGAGTGCCCTTGTACACTGTATGATGCATAGCAGTATGGCGTGTTGGTAAGAGTGAACCCCCAGCGAAGGGAGTGGTGGTAAAATGTTAACAGGCAGTTGGCACGGTTGTGGCAAGTATGCCCCATGTAACAGCTAGCCGCGGATCATCTTTACGTAACCGATCCCCAACAAGGGGCCATACACATAACAATAGTCGCATGGAAAATTGCAGGGGGGGCCACTTCACCTCAGTGCCGTTCTAGGTTGCGCGTGCTGTGGCATATGCTTGTCAGCATGGCTCGTGTACGATTCGTATAACGCAATGTATCCCCTTGTCAATACTAGAGTCGGACAACATGGTGACCGTCTTCATGCGAGCATTACTGCCTACACTGTCATACACACCGTTTGTCCTTCGACCCATGGTCAGCTTAGGACAATCTTGGGTAGTCATCGCAAGACATCTTCCCTAGGAAAGTGCAGTTTATCACACACAAACGCATAAGTGGATAGTTCCATCGTTTTCGCTTCATTCTAGACACGCCGCTAGACTGCTGTGCCACCGCAGCGCTCCTACGCTTGTTGCCGATCAGGAAGGCTTCCACGCCCCCGCCCTCTCCCGGCCTCGCCCCGCCCACCGTGCGCGCCCCCACGTCCACCCCCGCGCCCGGCACCCTCCCGTCCATCCCGCTCAGCTTGCTGGATACTCCCACAATCACGATCCCCACCACTGACATTGCCTCCTGCCACCGGTACTCCACTGCCCGTGCTGCTGCTAACACCCACTCGACCAGCCCCGCCGCATCCACTACCGGTATCAGCTACCAGCACCTTCCCCTCAATCTGCCCTCCAGCTGCGGCAGGCGTACCCTCCTGTCGCTGCTGCTGCTGCCGCTGCTCCCGTCCTCTTCCGCCCTGGCTACCACTCCCGACGTTGCACCCCTGCCTCCCGCCCAACGATCGCCGCCCCCCACCGCCATTCCCCACCCCACCCGCTGCCGCTACCCCTCCTGCAGCCGCCGCTTGATCTTCTGGGACTCGCCGCTGACCCCGTGGCCGGCCAGCTCCTTCAGACCTCCTTGACTGTTGCTGCCCTTGCTGTTGCTGCTCCCGCTGCTGCTGCGGCGGCGGCTCCTGCTGCTGCTCGGAGGCTTTGGGGGCATCCGCCCCCAGCGTCCAGCCCGCAATGGAGTAGCATGTCGCCTCATTAAGCCCTCCAGCCGCCCGCTGACGTGCCAGCACCGCCGCGTGCCGCGCCTGCACCCCCCGGTATGCCGCCAGCTCCTGGGGGCTCAGCCGGTGCTGGTGCTGGTGCACCGCCTCCGTCGCCTCTGTCGCGCTCGACCCAGACCCCGCCCCCTGCTGCTGCTGCTGCCGCCCCTGGCTGCTCCGCGATCCTGCAGCTGCCAGGGGCCCCCTACAGGCAGCGGCGCTTTTGGACCGCTCCAAAGCCAACTGCTTCCTCAGCTGCGGACCCATGGAGGCCAAGGGGGCGGGTGTACGGCACACGGGGCAGCTTGTCTCGTAGGTGCCGTACTCATCTCGGGGAGGAAGGTCTTGCTCCTGCGCGGCGGGAGGAAAGCAGGATTTGGGGGTACAAGGGAAAGGTTAATGGGTAGCCTGGGGTAGCATGCAGGTGTAACCGACAACCGGCTGGCGCCTTTCTGAAAGGAGGCATGTGGGCTCGTCACATACGGCAGGTCCGTAGTCTGAGGAAGCACGGGTAAAAACGCAAGCACGCTGCCTGTAGCAAACCTTTCCCGAGACCCTTTCAACCGTGGTCCTTGTGACTCCCTTCATCTTGCCCAGAATGCACACCCATGAGACTCTCTCGCATGCCCTGCATAGCTGGCATCATCCATACCCCCATGTACCCACCCTCCGCCCCCATGTACCCACCCTCCGCCCCCGTGTACCCACCCTCCGCCCCCATGTACCCACCCTCCGCCCCCATGTACCCACCCTCCGCCCCCATGTACCCACCCTCCGCCCCCATGTACCCACCCTCCGCCCCCATGTACCCACCCTCCGCCCCCATGTACCCACCCTCCGCCCCCATGTACCCACCCTCCGCCCCCATGTACCCACCCTCCGCCCCCATGTACCCACCCTCCGCCCCCATGTACCCACCCTCCGCCCCCATGTACCCACCCTCCGCCCCCATGTACCCACCCGGAGCACAGACGCCGCCGACGCCCCCGTGTGCTTCACCAGCTCCCGCTCCTGCGCCTCCAGCGACTGCTGCCGCCAGCCCCACCACCCAGCGTAGCAACCCCTGCGGCGGGAAGTAGCCAGATAAGGAATGAAAAATGAGAGGGGCGTGTAATCGCCTTCAGCAGCGGCCATGGCGACAGCGGCAGGTAAGGGAAGCGGACATGGGTCAGTGACCCAAGGTGCTACACCTGCAGCAGCACCTGCAGGGTTGAGCCTTTGAAGGATGTGCCGGTGCATGGCATGTGGACTCACATACCTGTGGAAGGCGTGGTAGCAGGGCAGCCGCACCAGCTGCTGCTGGTCCTGTGAGTCCGGCTCCTGGCTACTGCCGCGGCCTCCCAATGGAGGCTCCAGCGGGCATAAGCAGAAGGCACAAAAGCCTGGGGAAAAGGGTGCAAGCAGATCCGGAGAATTAAACAGGTGGAAAGAGACAAATCTGGCGACCACAGCTACCAGGCGATGTCACGTTGGTGTCATTACTGAACCGAGCACCCCTCCCATCCGGGCATCCTGCCTGGGGTTCTGGTACGTTTGCATGCAAAAGCATGGCATACATCATATTGGTTCCAGACCAAAACCACAAACCTTCAGGGTGGTTCTCCTCCGTCGCCCAGTCCAGCGCGGCCTCACACAATGCCCCCAGCGCCATTTCTCCCGCCAACGCGGATGCTTCTCCTTGTAAGCGCTCGCGAAGGTTTGCCAGTCGTTGATCACCTATGCCTTTGGTGTCAAGCACATCTATTGATGGACTAGTTTCCGGGTAACCTGGCAACACCCCAAGGCGCAATCGGCCCGATAGGAATGCCTCATGTTGCTCAGAGACTCGCGGAGCTAAGCGGAGGTCTATGATTACTACATACCCATCATCGCTACAGTTTTCCTTGATAACTACGTCATCAGCGTACGTGGCCGTCAACGCCTCAAGCTCGATTTGTAAAACTTCCTCCATCATACGTGCAGTGCTGCAGATCGAAGAACCATTCTCTGATAAAGTCATGAAATAACATGCTTTACCTGGTATACGCAGGCTGGGCAGTGCTTCTTATCTTTATGTACGGCATGTACTGACTCGCTTGTCAGTATGCATCGGCAAAGATTTGCATGCCATTATAGGAAAGAAATATATCATGAGTACAACAGTGATCTGTAATTCCATGGATGATGACCATAAATGAGCTGTAGTCCCGGAGCGCATCTACCCAAGCTGATATGTCTCTCGAAGAGGTCTTTGGTTTAGACCGTGCTGAAGCGCCTGATGGCCTTTCATGTTACATAGAGGCCCTGCAGCGCTGGCGGGTATGGCGCAACAACCCTCCTCTCTTCTACTCCACATGCATCCAAAGTGCGCTCCAGTGGCCCAGGTGCGGTCCCACACCCAGTACCTGGAAAGCTAGGCGGCGTATGAGAGGGCAATAGCAACACGTTACGTACCCGCTTTCCTCCACCCTCTTCAATCCTAGGCCGCATAGCAGCACGTACTCCCTTTGCCAAGCCATGCCCCCACCCCTTTACTACCTCCCACACCCTCTCTTCCCCTTCCCCCTCCTCGCTACCACCGCCCCGCCCCCCGCACCTGGCCCCGCAGCTTGACCGTCCAGCTCTTCCCTCACCTCCGTCCCTCCTCCGTCCCGGGCCTACTGCGTCACGCCATCCTGTACGGCGGTACGGCAGCCGAAGACGGCTTCGCCACCATCTCCCTCGCCTCCGTCGCCATCGACGACCCCATTACCACCGCCGCCGCGGCGGCAGCAGGTCGCCCTCCGCTGCCTCCCGACGCCGTTCACCGCCTGTCCGCCCCTCTTCTGGAGGAGGTATGTGTGCTGCGGCACCAGGGCGATGTGGACCGGCTAAGGTACTGTCCCGGCAGGCCAGCGCTGGTGGCGGTCAAGTGCTCGGGGGAGCGGCTGAGCCTGTACGACATAGGGCCCAGGCTGGGGCTGCTGGACGGTGGTCTGGGAGGTGAGGGAGGTGGCAGGCAGCAGCAGGTGCAGGAAGGGGATGGGAGGGAACGGGAAGGCGGCGAAGGGATGGATGTGGACGGGGACGGTGGCGGCAGCGGTCCAACGATGCGGAAGGGAGCCGGGTCCTCTGCAGCAGGAGCAGGGGCAGCAGCAGCAGCAGGAGAGGATGATGGGCAAGGTGGTGAGGAGGTGCCCTTGGAGCCGGTCAGCGTCCTCAGCTCCGAGCAGCAGGATGGGGTGTCACTTGCGTGGGGCAGCAGCAGCAGCGGCGGCGGCAGCGGAGGGCCGAGGCTCTACAGCGGCTTGCGCTGCGGCGCCGTGGCCGAGTATGCCGTACGGGAGGACGGCAGCCTGGCGGAGGTGGCTGTACGGCAGGGGGGCCATGACGGCGACGCTGACGTCGTGGACCTGGCGTGGGGTTCGGAGGTGCCTTGGGAGGGAAACGTGACGGAGGCGGGGGGGACTGCGGCTGCGGCTACCGCCGCCGGCGACGTGATGGCGCCGCCAGGGCTGCTCGCCTCCGTCGGAACGGACGGTCGTACACTGCTTTGGGATCCGCGGCAGTTGCGAGTGGCGCTGCATGCGCCGAGGTGCCGACAGGATGTCAACGGCGTCGCGTTCTCGCCTCCAGGGTCGGGTGGCGGCGGCGGCAGCAGTGCCGTACCACAGCTAGCAAATGCCGGCAATGATGGCGTTATTCGTGTGTACGACATTCGCTACCTACACGGTGGTCGTACAGGCGGCGATGGAGGAGGAGGAGGAGGAGGAGGGAGTGCAGCATCCACATCGACCGCCGCTGCCGCCTCCCATGGGCTTGCGTTACATCGGCTCAAGGGGCACAACTGCCCCGTACGGCAGCTGTCGTACGGTCCGCATTCCGGCGGCTTGCTGGCGTCAGCAGACGAGCAGGGCCGGGTGCTGCTGTGGGAATTGGGCTGTCGTACGGCACTACAAGGACAACAGGACGGCAGGGGCCTCCTGACGACACGACCAGAGCTACTGTTCGTACATGCCGGCCACGTGCTTTCCGTGGACGACTTCAGCTGGAGTACGGAGCTGTACGGCACTTTGGCCTCGGTTTCGGGGTTTCTGGATCCAGAGGTGGTTGAGAAGGTACGGCAGCACCCCCGGGGCGGTGCGGAGCTGGAGGGGCAGCCGCCGGCGGTGCAGGTGTGGCGGCCGGCAGCGGACATGCTACCACCTCCGCCCTCATGTTCGCCCTCATGGAGGTCACCGCTACTGGCGCGGTCGTGACACCCCTTGTAGTCACACCCCATTGGCTCCTGTGGAGCTGTTGGTGGGGGTGGTCGCAGCCATGCGTGGTGGTTAGGACGGGTCGGGTAGGGGCGCGGAAATGCGTTGAGCGGTCGTCCTGAGCGGCAGGGTTGATGGCATGGCTTGCTTCCTCTCTTTGTCATGCCGAACGGTTGGACCTTGCGAGAAGCACCGAGCACGAGGGCACCTCTTGTGCGGCGTGCTGCTGATTTTGTGGGATGGAAGGGCGCGTGAGCCTGGGAGGTGTTACGGGACCCGCCCAATAAAAGGACAGTGTTGATGTTACAAAGAGGGGCAAGTTCCATGCCATTCGCGGCTGTAGTGCATGTGTTATCGGGTCCAAATGTCCGCGCCCCCAGCGTGTTGCTGTTGCTCCTGACAGGCCTGGGCAGCAACACAGCGGTGGATACACCAATAGCAACAGCAGCCATAGAAATATATAGCGGCAACGGCAGTTGTGTTGCTGTTGCTCCTGAATGATTGCGGCTCCCGAGGTGCGGAAGGCAATACACGCGTACTCTCTAAAGCCATGGTACTTAGACATGGTGTATAATAGTCATGCTCTTGTCTCTCACATTCCTCGTCAACACCGGGTCAACACATACATATACATTTCCCGCTCACTCCAACATGAAACGCCCCCAACCACAATAAGGTCTGCGCGGCAAGTGTTGCAGTAGTGTTACCAGTAGGATAACGCACTCACATAACAACTTAGCAGGAAGTACGACAGCGCGTTGACTGCGTGTTATAACTGCGTGTTATAACACCGCACTCTCACGCGCATTTTTCAAAGTCCAGACTCGGTGGGTTCAAGCACCCCTCAGCAACACCTGACCAGCGCCCAACCACACCCACCGAACCCCTCCCTCATTGCAGCTGCCAGATGCGTGCCGACCGACGCATGGCGACAAGGCCGTGTAAGACGGCCGTAAGGTGCGGTGGACTGGACTGTCATACAGGAAAACATATTGGCATCGCAGAAAGCTCCATGCCAGGGGGAGGAAACCTGCCGCCATCCGACGAAATACGCAATACGTAACCGCGCCTCTAACCAATCGCACTGCTTATACGGTAACACAGGAGGCAACACGAACGAAATACCGCGTGATGAAACCAAATAACTTCACACTCCATCAACAAAACGCTGACACAATAACCATATGCTTGTTCATAAGGGTCGGGCAAGACGGCATAGTACCAATTAACCCCCCGCCACGTGCTCAGGCACGTTGCACAATCCGTATGGCATCCCTCACTCGCGTCTCTCCTTGCTTCCCTCACCCTGCAGCTCACGTTCGGCGGTAGCAGCGCCGCTCGGGGACCCTCTCCAATGCAACGTACAGCAGCAGCACCCTCCCATGCTCTCCAACCCCAACCATATAATACCAGTCGACGTGCAATAAAACTTGCATAGATGCCGAGGACCTATAGTCTCCAATAATCCTTAAAAAGGCCTGCCACAAGGGCAAGCACCCCCCTCCCCTCCCAGTCCAGCTCCTCCTCCTCCTCTTGACTGCTTTACAACACCCCACAGTAAGTCCTGCCGTGGGCACGTGCGGTGTGGGGAAGTCCCAGCGCTCTCCCGATTGGTCATCTGCCGCCTCCTGACCCCCTCCGTCGGGATACGGTATGGGACTGGGACTCCGTTGCTTCACTATTCACACTTTCCCCGCCTGACCCTCCCCACCACACCAGCTGATATTGCAGGGTAGCCCCGCAGGTACTAGCGCGCCCCCCACCCCTCACGACACGAGCACCTTGTCCGCCCAGCCCAGCAGCAGCTGCCGCCCCAGCGCCGGCGCCCCCGCCACCACCTGCCCCAGCAGCCGCTGCGGGTCTATGTCGCCGCGCACCAGCGCCAGCAGCCGCAGCAGCTCGCGCACGTGCAGCGTGTTATCCTCGGTGAGCGCCAGGAGCAGCTGGGGGGGGGGGGCAGGGGGCAGGGGAAGATTTAGAAGGAAATCATTCTTGTCGAATGAAAGGAGGTGGGGAGAGAAGGGGGAGGAGGGGGAGAACAGCAAGCGCCCCGGTAGCAACAGTATCCCTCTTTCCCCTTTCCCTCCCTCCCCCATGGAGGGGGTATTCTTCTATGGTTTGGTATGGTCTTTGACCCCCCTCTCCCCACCTGGTTCCTCAGCTTGTCATCCAGCAGCAGCACCCGCAGCACATCCTTGGCCGTGTCACTCAGGTCCAGACCCCCACCCCCGCTGCTGCTGCTGGCACTACTGCTGCTGCTGGACCCCCCAGCTGCTCCCCCTACCCCTGCCCCCCCTCCCGCCGCCCCCTCCTTGGCCAGCTTCAGCAGGTTCTCCAGCCGCCGCCACTGGAACCGGCCGTCCTGGAACAACACCTGTGGGCAGGGAGGGGGGCAGGGAGGTGGGCAGGGAGGGGGGCAGGGAGGGGGGCAGGGAGGTGGGCAGGGAGAGGAGGAGGCGGTGAGGCTAGGTGAGACGTGGATGGACGGCAGGGGCATGTCACTTCCTTCCTCCCCAACCAAAGCCAGCCCCAACTAGCTCCCCTCACACACCCCATCCTGGTTTGGCCCATCATGCCCCCCCTCCCACCCCCCGCACCCCACCTGGAACAGCCTCTCCCTCAGCGCGGGGTCCTCGTCCGTGAGCAGCCTGCGCGCCACGTAGGGGTAGGCCACCTCCAGGAAGTGGAACTCGGGCTTCAGCGTCATGCAGATGCCCTCCTGGGGGGGGAGAGGGGCGGGGGGGGGGGGCGGCGGCAGGGGGAGAGACGGCGGAAAGAGTTAATAACGAAGAGGGGCGGGGGGAGAGACGGGGGAAAGAGAGTTGATAACAAGGAGGAGGTGTGTTTGGGGCTGTTCGCAAGTGGGGGGGGGGCCGCAGAGAGAGGTGCAGAGGGCGGGGCGTTCACCGCGGGATGCTACTACCGTTCACCACCTGGGCTCCACTAGCTCGCTCGCATTCACCAGGAACTTATCGGTATCATCCCCTTTGCCACATTGGGCATTCTTCCCCCTCCCTCCCCTCCCCATCCCGCCCACCTGCCCCCCCGCACCTGCGGAGTGCGTATCCCAATAAATCCCCGTCCCTCCCCACCCCCCCGCACCCACCTGCGTCAGCAGCGACCTGATGACCAGCGAGTAGCGCTCGGGAATGCGGATGGGGTACTGGTAGACCAGCTCGTTGAACTTGGAGGTCACGGTGCGGAAGTTGAAGTCCGCCAGCGACTGCCCCTTGGAGTCCGCCCAGATCTTCTCCAGCGCGGGCACGATGGGGGCGATGTCGGTGCCTGCCAGGGGGTGGGGTGGGGCGGTGTGGGGTGTGTGTGGGGTGGCAGCAGTGACCCATGGGTCAGCATGAGAGAGGAATGAGATGCAGGAATGGGATGCGGGGAAGCAGTGAGTCAGCAAAAGCAGTGTGCATCAGTGGCCCTTTCGTTCCTTCCCTTTCCCCCTCTGCTCGCCCTCAGTGGCACTCAGGTGCGGTTCCTTGCAGTAACTCCTCAAAACCCCCTCCTCCCTCTCTTTCCCCCCCCCCCCTCCACCCCTTCCCCACCCACCCGGCGCCAGGAAGCCCAGCTTGATGAAGTCCTCCGCCATGGCTCCGTAGTCCTCGTTCACCGCATGCACCACCGCGTCGATCAGCACCGCCTTGTTCCGCGCACTCAGCTGCGCTACGTTGCCGAAGTCCACGTAGGCGATGCGGCCGTCGCGCAGGCAGAAGATGTTTCCCGGGTGCGGGTCGCCGTGGAACAGACCGAACTGGGGTTTGGGGGCGGGGGGGTTGGGGAGAGGTGCGGTGTGTGTCTTAAAATAACTGGCCGAGAGGGCCGGTGTGTGTGTGTGTGGGGGGTGTTATGAAAGGGTTACTCATAAAGAAGTGTAGTGTCCTTATATTCATACACGTATTACACGTTACACCAAGCACATCCTCCCCTCCCTCCTCCCCCCATGTTGCATACCATGACCACACGATACCACTTACCACACGGTACCTTTCTTGTTTCCCCTCCCCCCTGGGACTCCGTTGATGCATTTGTCTATATTTCCCCCCCTTCTCCCCCCTTCCCCCTCACCTCCAGCAGCTGCCTCAGCCCGCTGACCACGCCGCACTTTATGAAGTCGTCCACCGCCACCCCCGACCTCCGGATGGCGTCAGGAGCGGTGCAGCGGATGCCGTCTATCCACTCCATCACAAGCATGCGCGGGCCGCACAGCGCGGGGCGAACCCAGGGGATCTTCACGGTGGGGTCGGACCTTTCGGGCGGGGGGGGGGGCCGGGGGGGGGGAAAGAAGAATCCCAAGGTGTTTAGTGATGGGGGGGGGGAGAAATTCCAGTGCGTGGTGTGACATTGGTTTAAACTGGAGGGGGGTTAATTAATAGGGAGGCATATTCCGCATGAGGCTGGAGTTTTGGATTGCGTATACGGTATACGGCAGTCAAACTTGTTTGGGTTAGTACAGACAGCAGCACACAACGTGCAAACCGACATAAAGCTCCCCTCCCCCCATCACCACCTGAAGTTCCTCTCGAACTCCTGGATGTTCTTCGCCTCCTGCGTGTAGTCCAGCTCCTCCAGCAGCTTCTCACCGAACTCGTCCACGATCAGCACCGCGTCGCAGCCCAGCCGCCGCCGGGATAGCGCGTTGAACAGCCAGCCAAGAGACCTGGGTTGGGAGGGGGGAAAATAGAGATAAATGCATCAACGGGGGAGGGAGATGCGGAGAGGGAGAGGGGGACGAGAGACGCAGAAGGGAGTGGAGTATGGTGCGAACTGAGCCGCGCGTGTGTGTACCGACCACGGCTATCGGCACGCAAGCAAAGATGTGCCTTGCCAATCCTGCAGCCCCGCGCCTGAGCCGCTGCCATCCTCTCTTACTCCCCTTCCCATGGTGAAGCCTCGTCAGTTTTCCTTATTTCTACCCCCCACCCCCCTTCCCTCTCCCACCTGAACACGAACAGGTCCCTCAGAATGGTGGGCTCCACCCCCGGCCGCTGCACCTTGATGGCCACCTCCTCGCCCGTGTCGCGCAACACAGCCTTGTACACCTGTGGGGGGGCGGAGTGGGTGACACCATGGTATCACAGCTCTATCCTTAACACCATGCATTCTGCTTGGCTCCCCTTCCTGCGCGCCCCCGCCTCCCCGGCCCCCCCCCCTCGCCTCGTCATACAGCTCGCCAGTTTCCCCTTCTTACCCCTCCACCCTCATCCCTCATTTCCTATGGTATAGTCTAACCTTTGGTCCCCTCACCCCCCCCCCCTCCCGGGGAGATGTGGGATTGGGGCTCTGTTGCTGCACTTATCTTTTATTCCCCCCCTCCTCCCCCCCACCTGCCCCAGGCTGGCTGCCGCCACGGGCCGCTCGCTGATGGAGCTAAACACCTGCTCCAGCCGCCTGCCCAGCTGCTCCTCCATGATGGAGAAGGCGACGGAGTCGGGGAAGGGGGGGACGTCGTCCTGGAGGGGGAAGTGGGGGGGGTAGGGTGAGTAACGGGGCTGTTCACAGGGGAACGCCGGGCTGGCAGAACCCCCGAGTAGGTGCGCTGTGAGCGCACATGAAGCCCACAAGCGGTATGCACATGCCGAGCTGGGACGTCGAGCACTGGCCCAAGCCTGCTTCACTTCTCATTCCCCTTTCTCCCCTAGTCCTCCCTCCCCCTCTCCCTCCCCTTTCTTCCCCCTATCCCTCCTCCCCCCCGCCCACCTGCAGCACGCACAGCTCGTTCATGTAGTCCTCCCGCACGATGTCGGGCCGGTTGGCCAGCACCTGGCCCGCCTTGATGAAGGAGGGGCCCAGCGCCGTCAGCATCTCGCTGTGACGGGAGGGGAAAAGGGAGGAGGTGGGTTGGAGGGTGGGGGGTTGGAAGGTGTGGAGGCTTGCCCCGGTGTGGGTTGGGAGTTCCCTTAGGAACACCCAACCCAAGCTTTCCATGCCCCTTCCCTACGTCACATACCGGTACTCTCCATAACCCGGCCCTCCAACCCCCGGCTTCCATCCCGCTTCCCCCTTCTCCCCTCTCCTCCCCCCCCCTCACCGCAGCTGCGCAGCCCGCATCTTGACCCGCTCCGGGGTGTCCTGGTGCCCAGTCAGGCGGTCCGCGGTCAGCGAGCCCACGAACCAGCCCACACGACCCGTGATCTCGGCTACTCGGAACTGGGCGGGGCGGAGGGGAGGGGGGCAGGGGAGGGCGGGGGAGGGGAGGGGTCGGAGGGAGACAGAAGGCAAGGCGAGCGGTGCAGGGGAGGGGACTTGGGGCTTGGGATACACCCGGGGTAGGGTAGGGGAGTGGGAGCATTCAAGCGCTCCGGGGGGTAGGAGGGAAGGGACCGAGGGGGAGAGGAGAGGGCTGTCGGCCCGAGTCGGATGCGGCCTGGGTGCGCGCGAGTGGGAAAGGGAGTAGCGGAGCAGGGCGTATGTAGAGCCGGGTGCTGGCAGGGTGACAGCTGACAGGTTGTACGGCAGCGGCAACGGCTAGCTAAGCTAGGCCCCAATGTGATTGTGTCCCGTACGGCCTCACCAGGCATTTGAATGCGTCTCCCGGGCCCCGCAGGACCCTGCTCCTAACGTAGTCCGGCGAGTACTTGCTGATGATGTTGCAAATGTCTTTCTCCATGTCGAGCGGCCGTTGACGGCTGCGACAGGATGCGGCTTGGAGTGAGATATAAAGGAAAGCAACCAGCGTCGCGAACCGGCCCTAATGGCGGGGAGCTGCCGGGTTGGGTGGCCGCAAACCCAGTGGTATGCTTGCCAAGAGGACAAGCCCAACCTGCCAGGCTCACCCCGACGACAGAGCGCCTGGTGCTCTTGTAGGAGCAAGGGTAGTTGCTGCCGCATGGCAGCGCAGGCCTCGCGCCCTAGGCTGGCAAAAAGCGACCCGTGGTTGGTGAACATGTTGCCGCCTGCCGAGCTGGCATTGTCGGTGTATTTGCTTTGCTTGCATTTAACAAAATGTACAAACAGAAATTGTTATCGTTTATAAGTGAAGGGTAACAGTTTGGTGCGTTAGAGACCCGCCCGGTCTTAAGATTCCAGTCATAAGGGTTACAAATATAATGGTCTTCAACATGGGGTGAGGCAAAGAGCTGCGTATGCGGTGCAGCCCGGGTACCTTGAATGGCTGATATTATTGCCGTGGTACTGCAAACTGTTCTCCACCGCAAGCGTGCTTGCTTGCCGAGCTAGCCACCATAAAAGAATCAAGCGTCCAACATACATACTTCACAATATGCTCCTCGGAGGAAGAGTATAAGTATCCACCAAGCTAAATGAACAGGACGCTCCTTTCCGGAGGCGGGCCCACGCTATGCCCATCGGTCCGGGAGCGCATCTTATCATCCTATCATGCGACTCCGAGCTATGTCAGGTGCCAGAAGCAATCGGCCCAGCCTCTAAGCCGGCAACGCCGTCACCAAGACTGCTTGCCTTGTTGTGCGGCCAGCAAGGGGTCTAAGGCAGGGAAGAAAGGCGGCGATCAAGGATTCAAAGGATTCGGAGAGCCCTCGAAGGCCCAGCGTACTTTGGCGTTCGACCAGGACGTGGATGAAGAGGTGCAAGCGTCGGCCGCCGCCAACAACAACGATGACACGGATGAAGAAATTAGGCAACGACCTGCATACCAGATGTATACTGATGCGGGTTACAAGGCGCAGCGTTACGTCGGACCGTTGAGCTTGAAGCACCCCGAAGGCAAGTGATCATTAGCCGTTTACGACGCAAACATTCTTGTCGGTGGTTACAGCAGGCACACCTCGTACCCCCTACCGAGGAGAGCCTCTAGATCCACCGCACATAACTCATCCCGGATAACCCGATACGGGCCGACAGCATTTTATACCTGCCGAGCTTGTAACTGACTATTCGGGGACACATGTACATAAATAATACTCAGTATGCCTTGCTATGTTTGCTGTGAGCATTCTCTGCACGAAATCTCCACCGGTGGTTACAGCAGGCACACCTCGTACCCCCTACCGAGGAGAGCCTCTAGATCCACCGCACATAACTCATCCCGGATAACCCGATACGGGCCGACAGCATTTTGTACCTGCCGAGCTTGTAACTGACTATTCGGGGACACATGCCTCCGGTGTGCCCCTCTTCTTAAATACATTCCATGTACATGCTTGCTATGTTTGCTGTGAGCATTCTTTGCACGGAATCTCCACCGGTGGTTACAGCAGGCACACCTCGTACCCCCTACCGAGGAGAGCCTCTAGATCCACCGCACATAACTCATCCCGGATAACCCGATACGGGCCGACAGCATTTTATACCTGCCGAGCTTGTAACTGACTATTCGGGGACACATGTACATAAATAATACTCAGTATGCCTTGCTATGTTTGCTGTGAGCATTCTCTGCACGAAATCTCCACCGGTGGTTACAGCAGGCACACCTCGTACCCCCTACCGAGGAGAGCCTCTAGATCCACCGCACATAACTCATCCCGGATAACCCGATACGGGCCGACAGCATTTTGTACCTGCCGAGCTTGTAACTGACTATTCGGGGACACATGCCTCCGGTGCGCCCTACTTGTTCTATACATTCTATGTACTTAATAATACACTCCTCATTGCTGGACATTGCTTCGGTGGCTAAAGCAGGCATTCCCCGCAGCTTGTACCGGGGAAAGCCCCTAGATCCACCGCACAAAACTACCCGGATAACCCGATACGGGCCGGCAGCTTATCGACCTGCCGAGCTTGTAACTGACTATCTGGGGACATCCCAAACCCTGCCTTCGTCCGTTCCTCTTCCGGAACCACTCTTTCGTGCCCAAGGGCATCGTCCCTTCCCTTCATCTCGCACCGCTATGCCCTTGCGACCCTCTCTTCACCTCCCGCCGTCCTCTTGCTCCTCTCCCTTCCCTTCCCCTCAGGCGAGCCGCTTCCCACGCTGTTCACCTCGGCCCCCGTGCTGCCCGGCGAGCTGCTGGCGCTGCTGCCCGCGCTGGGCTTCGTAACGGGCGGCTTCCTGCAGGTTCCGGAGCTGGAGGACCTGCACGCCGCCATGATGGAGGAGTGCATGGGGCCACCGCAGCGACGAGTGCTGGACATCCTAGACTCCCTCATACCGCCCCCGGCTGCCTCCACCTCCACTACCTCCACCGACACCTCTTCCTCCACCTCCTCAGCGCCATCATCGTCGACCCGTCGGACCCCCTTTGGCCCCAGCCAGCCCCTTCCCTCCCTTGCCACACTGGACCCCAAGTTCTGGTCGTCCCGCGGTCGCGACACCAGCGCGCCCGACTTCCCCTCCCGCCGGCTGATGTCGCTGCTCAGCCGCGCCGCCACCGCCGACGACTCGCAGGACGCCGCCTGCATGCAGGCGCGCCACCAGAAGCCGCTGGGGTACGCGGGGCTGTGGCCGGAGCTGTCGCTGCTGGGGCACAGCTGCGCGCCCAACACCTCGCAGCTGGTGGTGGCGGACCGACTGCTGCTGCACGCCACGGATGAGCTGCCGGCGGGGACGCCGCTGACACGCAACCGGGTGGGGCCGTCGGTGATGGCGCCGCTGTCTGTACGGCAATCCGCGGTGGCGGAGTACCTGCGTGACCGGGGCGTGGAGGTGCAGGAACCGCCTGAGGAGGAGGATGCGATGGCGAGGTATGAGGCAGACGGCAGCGGTCCTGCAGAGGAGGATGAGGCGGAGGTGGCGGCACGGCGGCAGAAGCGCGCGGAGAGGCTGACGTACGCGTGTCGCTGCGCTCGGTGCCGGCTGGAGGCGGGCGTGTCGGAGGAGTTGCGGGAGACGTTGGAGGCGGTGTTCAACTGGTACCAGGACGAGGTGGCGGCGGTGTGGAGCCGCGCCAACCAGGAGCAGGACACGGCGCTGCTGCGGGGGCTGCTCAAGGACTGCGAGACGATGGTGGTGGAGGTGGAGCAATCGCTGGCGGGCGAGTCCTCTCCGCCGCTGGATGAGGAGCAGAAGCACTGGCTGCGCGCCTCCGTGTACGACGTGTACGATTTGTTAGTCACGTTGGACGAGCTGGTGAACCAGGACGGCTCCGACCCGCTGTACCTCCAAACCTGCCTGCAGCTGCTGCGTGTGGTGTTGCCTGGGTCGGACAACCACGTTGAGGTGGCGTTGAAGAACGAGACGCTGGCCAACCACCGCTTCCAGATCTTCACGGAGCTGCTGAGCCGCGAGCGCGGCGACAGGGGGCACACCAAGAGTGACCGGAAGAAGCTGGCGGCGCTAAGGCGGGCGGCGGATGAGGGGTCGGAGACGCGGCTCGTGGCGCTGCTGATGCGGTATGGGTGGCTGTCTCAGGAGACGATGACCAAGCTGATTGAAGGCCTGGAGACGTACATGGAGGGGTTGGAGCAGGCGAGTGCCATGGAGGCGCAGGGGGTTTCGGAGCTGACCCGGGAGATTGAGGTGGAGGGGGTGCGGGTGCAGATTGTGGACCGGTTGGAGGTTTCGGAGGCGTCGCGGGTGGGGGCGCAGGTGGTGAACAGTGGTGGCGGGGGTGCACGGGGGGTGATTAACCAGGACGGGGTGAGGTTCATGGTGGTGGAGGGGAATGCAGAGGAGGAGGACGTGGGTGGGTTTGCTGAGGGCGGGGATGCTGGGGAGGTGGTGGAGGCTGCGGAGAAGGCGGATGCGGAGGATGAGCATGTGTTGGAGGCGGATGCGGATGTGGAGCTGGATGCGGCGGTGCGGGCGGCGGTGGACGCGGCGCTGGCGGCGGACATTGAGGAGCTGGAGCGGGAGCAGCGAGTGGGGGTCTGAGAGAGTGTTGCTGACGCGCTGTAAGGAGGGTCGTGGAGAGTAGTGTGATGGCGGGTTGGCGGCATGTGCTTGGACAAGGACAAAGACTATGGCGGGGATTGTCCCTGAAAGTGTAAGCGCTTTGTAGGTTTTTGCAGTTTGCTTGACAGCATGATAGGCATTGTTGCTACCTGTGGCTGTGGCTCCACACGGCATATTGTTGTGGGAGTTTGCAGGGCCAATGATGTATGTCCGTATTTGCATGCATGCATGGGAGTGTTTGCACACTCGGCTATCTAGCATCCGTTTTTGGACGCTGTTTTGGATGCCTTTGTAGCCTTTAGTACCGGTAGGTCGGACCCGTAACCCCGTCAGCGTTTTGGTTGGTAGCGGAAGCAATTACCGTAGTCAATTTGGCCACGGGGACAAAGTACGAATGGTTTGCTTTACACCCTACTCGCTGTACGTCATACCTGTCCGCTCTGGACAGCGTTTCCACATGGACCGGTCCCGCTGTAAGCCACCACCTGTTCACACACAAACCTTCCTAGGTTTGGAACTTTTTCTAGCCTAGGCTCAGACACCCTAGTCATAATCTTACCATGCTTCTTCTCACCAATCACACTGTCGCTAGGAAAGGAAACACCAGCAAGCATACAAGCTACAAGCCATGTTTACAAGCTGCACTGCTAATAGAAAGAGCAATGTCGCAGCCCAAGTGTCCAGTAGTCAATCACAACACGGCGTCACAAGCTTTAGACCTGCCACACCAGTGCCACAGCCTGCCTGCTTGCCCGCCCCCTCTCTCCTTTAGTCCACACCCCCTTATCACACGGTCAGTTAGTCGTTTCCTCTTTCCCCCCTCAGCTGCAGTCCCCGCTGCGCAGCCCCGCCACCAGCTGCAGGTATCCCTCCTGCTCGGGGACCAGGTAGCCGTGGCGAACCAGGAAGTCGATGATCACCAGACTGGGGGGGGTGTGGGGCAGGGCGGGGGCAGGCGCGGGGGGCGGCAGGGATAAGGACTTGATGAGTACCTACTAACCAGTGCGCGACAGAGGGACTGTGTGTTTGGGGTGCGCGGGAGGCAGGTGGCGAGGTATGGATCGAACAGGTAGTCTAGGGTGGTGGTCAACACCGCAGCAGCTTCCCCCCTCTCCCGCCTATCACACAGTCAGATGTTTCCTCTTTACCCTCTCCCGCTGCCTCCCTCTCACTTGCAGTTGCTCTTGAACTCCGTGCTGCCCGCCACGATGGCCGCCACCTCCTCCACCGGCAGCAACCGGAACTCCGACACCTCGCCGTCCTGGGGGGAGGCGGGGAGTGCGAAGGAGCGAAGGGCAAACAGGAAACAATCAAGGTAAGGGCGGCGCTTCTGCATCTGTCATGCTGGCTAGGAGTGACATGACCCCCTTCTCAGCATCTTTTACTGCTTGGTTTCCACTTAGCTCCCCACCCGCGTCTCATTCACACACTACCGGCATGCGCCACCACCCCCTCCCCTCACCAGCGGTGTCGGCACGAAGTCCGGCGGCAGCTCCAGGTCATAGCAGAACAGCACGTCCGGCTTGTAGCCGCTGGCGCTGATGGTGGTGTACGACACCGCACCCACGGGGCGGGCGGTGGCGGCCAGGGGCGCGGGGATGCCCGCCTCCTCCTCGCACTCCTTGAGCACGTTGGCGGCGCAGCTGAGGCCGTGGGGCTGCGGGGCGTGGGGTGTGGGAGGAGAGGAGGGGCGGTGTAGGGCGGCGTAGGAATGGGTGATGTTTACAGTGCATTCTTGCGGGGCATTCTTGCGGGGAAGCTTGACAAGTACCGGGTAAGGCGCCAGGTTGGAGCCTTAGCCCCTCTCACCACGCCTCTCCCCCTCCGAAGCCTGACTTTCACGCTTGGCTCTGCTGTTCCCCGTTCCCCACATAAGCGCCCCCTCACCTGCCCGCCAGCCACGATGTGGTCCAGCTTGCCCGGCCACAGCGGCTTGGTCATCGACCGCCGAGCCACCCACAGCTTCAACCCGCCGTCCGGCTGCCGTACGAATCCGTTGACGTGGACGCCGTACGCCTTGATGCCCAGCAGGGTTGCGGCCGCCCGCTCCACCAGCAGCAGCGGCGCCGCGCTGAAGGAGGGCACCACCGGGTACAGCTCGTTACGCCAGCCGGTGATGAAGCCCTCCTCGCGGAGCTGCTGGAGCACCGCTGCAGGGCGGAGGAAGGGATGGGGGAGAAAGGACCATAAGGAGAAAGGATTTTAGGAGAAAGGAAGCAAATGAGGGATGTAGGTGGACTGGTGGAGTGAGGAGGGCGGAAGCTGTGCTGGGTGACGTGCTGACGCGGTGTCGTGGCATGATGGTGGAAGGGGAATGCAGGAGTGTACGACAGACAGGTGTGGAGTTGACGGGGCTTCTGTGTGCTTACCCGCTACCTTTTCCGAGCGCTTTTCGGGTGTATCTAGGTCAGCGGTAAGCGTGACTTTCCCTGATGGTCCGGATTGGCCCTCCACAATGAACACCTCGGGGAACCGCTTGACTTGCTCCAAGAACCTGTACAAGAACAGCAAGCCACGGCATGCTTTGCAGTCTTCTTGTGGTACGCGCTGTGGGGGCCGTGCACCGAAGCTTGTAACGACGAGCAACATCGCCACTTCCGCACCTTGGCTTCAATTTGCCTACTTCTTTGCCATCGACTACAAACGGAGTCAAGGTTGGCAACTCCTCCATACCAGTATTACATTCGCGAATCCGCTGAAGGAAGCCATCCAGGGTCGGCATGTTTGCGGCAATGCTTGCTGGCCTCGTTCCAAGTGACGTTATAAAAGCAGATGAAACACGGAGTGTTGCCGGGCGTCCTCGCACATGCCTCTTTGCACAGCAAGAAGGATCGCGCTTGGCTAACTGTCGTTGTAAGCAACGCATTTAGCAATATCAGGTAGTTGTTGCCTAAAATGGAAGACGAGTATCACATCCACATAATGCACTCTAAAGATTATGCAGTCGGGGCTGAATTTGCATTAGGTGCCCCATGGGCCTTTTCGGGTTTCCGTGCGCCGTCCAATTGTCAACGAAGTTAATGGGCCGTCTCGACATCTTGGGCGTGAAGAGGTCTTTCCATAAGAGCGCAAGCTCCTACGGATAACCGGTCTGTAATCATACGCCGATGTTTCCCCTCGACGTCTCGAGCTGAGCCGCGCGCAACAGCGCGTCAGGGGCGTCCCACGCCGATTACCCCAATGGCTCATTCCCTTCTCCAGGGGGGGGGTCAAAGACCATACCGAACCATAGGAAGCCACAGGTTGGGGCAAGACAATGGGGATAGGAGCGGCAGGGTCTCCAGGGGGGGGGCGCTTTGCTGCTCTCAAGGTGTGCCGGGCTCGCGTCGTCCGCTGGTATGATTTACGTTCGTTGCCAGATTCAGTTGCATCATGGTCATCGTGTGGCGCCGGCGGTACCGTTTGTTGCCTTCACGACTGTACACGTCTGCAGCTCATCTTTGCCCTGCTCGCCTCGTCATCAACGTGTGACTTCCAGCTGGATGCCCAGTTGCCTACCCAGTGGGCGCATGCGTACCCATTACCCGCCTCACGTCTAGTGAGGTAGCTCATTGCTAGTAATGATACGGAGTCCAAACACGTTGACCGCACAAACAGGCGCATTACTCCGCCCGCATTGCGAAATCCCCAGCGCTCATATTATTGTCACAAGCGGTGACTAACAATGGTGGTCACCGGCATACGCCAATACACAACAGACGCCGCAACGCCTAGCTAGCTACAGTTGCTTTATATAGGTACACAGTTGCACGACCAGGATGGCATGCACTTTATTAGGCAACAACACACATCGAACATTCTTCCCTCCACATGCTCCATGGTTGCATGTTGGCAGTCATGGATGGGCGAGAGAGACCACGCCACCCACGCCAGCGTAGCAATATTACACCTTCCAAATCTTCGAAAACCTACCTACATAACCAAGTGAAAGCATACGGGTCTGCACCCAGCTGGTAGCACCCATAGCAGCCTATTTGCTGCATGCCACATCCTGCGCGGCTGGCACCACTTGACAAGGGGCCTTTCAGCCCCCCTTATAAAAACACGCTGTCAAGCAGCCCGCACCGGCCCCCGCATGAAACCACGCACCGCACCTGCTCTTGATAATACCTATAGCCTACGGTTTTTTCCTGCATTACTCTTCTCTCATGCCGTCTCATCTTCCTACTTTTACTACCTTGCCCTTATATGCCGTTGTGACTGGCTCTCTCTCTGACGTCCCCATTTCTCTCCTCTCCTTCCCTCTTTCTCCCTCCTTCTCACGCCCCCCGCGGCACCCCCAGCCACGCCACGCACTGCCTGCCCCCCACCTCCCCCGCCTGCCACCCCACCGACTGCACACCCAGCGCCACACGCCGCGCCCAGCCCGGCACCTCCAGCTGCACCAGCCGGTAGCGACCCACGAACGCCTCGCCCGCCCACACAGCCGAGCAGCTCCAGGAGGGGGCCGGCAGCAGCTGCGGCAGCGGACAGGAGGGGGGGTGGGCAGGCAAGGTTGAGCCGGGGTGAAGGAAATATCGTAGGGAAGGGTTGGACCAGGTAGCAGGAGGAAGAAAGGAAGGGTTGGGTGTCCTTAGAGTCGGGTGCCGTGCCATGTCGCCGACCCACTCACCTCCCACGCGCCCGCCCGCTCCGCCGTAGCCACGTCGGCAGCGCCAGCAACACCCTGGTCGCCATGCACGTCGCTGCGTCCCACCACCGTCAGCTCCTCCGCTGAGAAGTGCGCCCATACCTGGTAGCAGCGGTGCCGCGGCTGCCCCCACTCGTCGAACTGCGGCTGCCAGCTCAGCTCACACGTCAGCAGCCGGCAGCCGCCCTCCTCACCCTCCTCGCCCTCACTGCCAGCCCCGCTCGCTGCGTCGTCGGCGTCCTCACTGCCCTCGCTGTGCTCAAGTACGGCAGATGATGCGGCCGCGACTGCTGTCGCCACCGGGGATTCAGCAGCAGGGGCAGCAGCAGTAGCTCCTCCCGTGGCAGTGGCAGCAGCGCCCGGAGCACGGAGCTTGACAGGCGACTCACTGATACCTCCTGTGGCCCTCTCCCATCCGTCATCCTCCTCTTCCTCCTCTCCATTAGTGCCCCCCGCCTCCGCCGTCTCCACCTCCTCGTCAGCACCCGCCTCGTCCTCATCCTCCTCATTCGCCTCCACCAGCTCGCCACTGACCCGTGGGTCACCCAGATCCGCCTCACTCGCATCCGCCAGCCCCGTCGTGGCCGCCGCCGCCGCCGCGGCAGCTGCGACCGCTGCTGCCGCCGCCGCCACCGTTCCCGCCGCACTGACTGCGGCATCCGCTACCTTACCCGCGACGGTACGCACACCCGTGGCGGGTATCGTCGCTTGCACGGCGCTGCTTCCGCGGCCGCTGTTGCCGCCGGCGGCGGCGTTGCGACCCGCGGGTCGGCTCCAGTGAACTCGGAAGCAGCGAGCGCCCGCTAGGGGCGGCGAGGCGGGCGGCGGCGAGGGAGGCGGCGCTGCCAGGACTCCCGGGAGGGGGGGAGAGGGGTATAAAGGGCTGTGGGTAGCGGTAGTTGTGGTTGAGGTGGTGGAGGCAGGTAGGTGGGGCTGGGTGGGGTCTCTTGCTGCCTTGGTGCTGCTGGCTGTCGTGACGGTGTGTGCGGGCTGCAGCGGCGCGGGAGGTTGTGTGGCCGGGCGGTGCTCCCTCAGGACGAGGCGGCCTGGGGGTGGGGGGCAGGAGGGTGGGCCGGACAGCGGTAGGGGGGCAGGAGGGCAGGTGGGTGAACCGGAGTCGCACGCTGAGGCAACAACGATGCCACCGGCTCAACCCGCGCCCCTAACCCTCCTAACCAGGCAACATGCGGACCCAGCCACGCACCCAGGAATGCCTTGAGCGCGGGGAGGCCTCCTCCCTCGGCCACCCTAGCCACCGGAGCCCCCGCACGCCCGGCTCCTCCTCCACCACCTCCACCGCCTCCGCCGCCACTACCCGCCAGGTAGCACACAAGGCCCACAGACGTCACCACACAGCCCTCCGCACCGCCACCACCACCACCATCACCACCGCCCCCAGCCGCCATGCAGGCTGCTAGCAGGCTGCGAGGCAGGTGCGCCCCGCAGGTGATCCAGGGCAAGCCGGCGGGGACGGCAGAACCGGAGGCGGTGGTAGTGGAGGGCATGCAGGAGGAAGAGGAGGTGGTGGAGGTGGAGGTGGTGGAAGGGGCGGTGGAGCTGCTGCCGGCGTCCGGCAGGGGGCAGGTGGTGGCGCCGGTGGGGGCGGAGTAGCAGGAGATGCAGGTGAAGCCTGGGGGGGGGGAGGGGAGAAGCGGAGGGGAGGGAAGAGCCGAGAGTGAGGAACTGAGGATGCGTAGAAAGGCGCAAGAACGACAAAGGACGAGCTCTCGGGCACCAGCAGCCACCCTCCACCCCCCCCGCCACCCATTCCTCGCACACGCCACCCCTGCCCATCTGCCTCTCCCCGCCCCCCGCCTCACCAGCCCTCCTGAGCTGCTCCACCACCTCGACGTCCCCAGCGCCCCAGCACCCCACCACCACCCCCGCCCCCCCGCCACCGCTGCACCCTGCACCAGCCACTGCCGGCACAGCTGCTACTGCCGGGGCAGTAGCCGTACTAGCAGTAACCATGCTAGCAGTAGCAGCAGCAGCAGCAGCAGCAGCAACAGCACTGCTGCTGCCCGCCAGCCGCAGCAGCAGCGCCACCCGACTGGCTCCGCAGCCTGCTACCGTGTACGACACATCCAGCCCTGATGCGGGTACGGGCAGCGCCGCGGAGTAGAGCTGGTGGGTCCAGAAGGCGGCCGCTGGTGCTGGTGCTGGTGGTGCAGGTGCGGGTGTTGATGCGGGTGCTGGTGGTGGTGCTAGGGACAGCGCCAGGCAGGAGCCCCCGCAGAAGGCGACCTGCTGCGTGGGGCGCACCAGGAGCGAGGGGGAGGGCGGGGGGGAGGACGAGGAAGAGGACGCATGCGGCCCTTGCTGCTGCGGGTGGGTCGCCGGGCTGCTGGTGGCAGTGGTGGCACTGGCACTGCATGGAGTGGTGTGTGGCAGGGTGTCTTGCGCCGCCAGCTGGTACCAGGGCGCGCAGCTCACCCGCTCCCCCTCCAGCCACACGCCGCGCCCTGCCCCGCCGTTGAAGCAGGTTACCAGCGGCAGCAGCTGCAGCTGCGGCCGGGAGGGGGGCCAGCAGGACTGGATCTGCGAGGAGGGGGGAGCAGGGGTGGCAGGGGTGGCAGGGGTGGCAGGGTGTCAATAGAACGCAGCCAACTATCGTAGCAGGGTAAGGGGCCTCCGTATATAAAGGTCCGTATTTGGGTACAGCGATTACGGAGGGTAAGATTAATGGGGGCACGGACCCTGCTGAGCCCTCCCAGCTCGCCCCCACAGCCACGCATCAGGGTCTCACCCCGCCCCAGAACGCCTCCTGCCGCGCCTCGAAGCCACTCCGCCCGAACTCCTCCCACACCCAGCCCGGGGCGAACAGCGCCGCGGACAGCCCGGCGCAGCGAGCAGCCGCCAGCGCCTGCGGGCAGTTGAACTGGGAGCGGGGGGGGGGAGGAGGTGTGGAAGTAGGGAAAGGGGTAGAGGAGGGAGGAGGTCAAGGAAGTTATGTAAGGCCACAGAACGCCAGAACACAGACAAGGCGGGGAAGGCCTGTGAGGCAAGTCCAGCCCCCAGGCCAATAGCACGACCCTCCCTTAAAACCAAGCCACGCGCTTGCACAGCGTCTCTCGCCGTACGATCCCTGCATGACCCCACCCGTCCACCCGTCCACCCCCTGACCCCCCGCACCCGCACCTGTCCTCCGCCGTACGTGCCCCGCCCAAACACATCCACGCCCATGTACACCTCCGCCGCCCGGCTTCCCGCCGCCTCCGCCACCCCCCGCAGCCCCTCCCGCCGCCAGCCGTAGTTGACGAACAGCGCGTCTGCGGCGTCGAAGAAGGGCGCGTTGAGGGGCGTAAGGGCGTTCTGCCACACCAGCCGCCCCTCAGTCGTGATGGCGTCGTACCTTCGCAGGGGAAGGTGGGGAGGGGTGGGAGGGGTGGGGAGGGAGGGGCGGTGTGAGGTGAAGGGAAAGACACATCCCTCCCGTGAAGCCTCCGCCACCGGCCTCCAGCCCTTGCTCTCCCTTGCTGCACCCGCTGTCCCCTTTCTTGATCCCCCGCCCCCGCTCATGTTGCAAACCAACATGACGCCTTATCACACAGTTCCTTCGTTGTTTCCTCTTTACACCCCCTCGCTCACCACACCACCATTGCATGCGGCCCCACCACCGCTCGCATCCCCGCCCTCAGATGCGCCAGGAAGTGCCGCAGGTTGCCCAGCAGCGCCCGCGGCAGCCCGTTCTCAATGTTCACCAACCAGCCCTCGAAGCCGCCGTGCGCCGCCAACCGAACGAGCGAGTCGGCGGCGGCGCGCGCGGCGGCGGGGGAGGCGAACAGTCGGCAGCAGATGTCGCGACCCGCGGCCCACTCGGTGATGAAGGTGCCCAGCACCTTGACTCCGTTGCGGTGTGCTGCGGCGACCCAGCCGGGGGGCGGCAGGGTGACGGTGTGGTGCGAGAAGTAGACGAAGACGTCCATGGAGGACCAGTGCCAGAGCCTGTGGGCGGGTGAGTGGGTGATGAGGGTTTGTGTGGGAGGAAGGGAGGAAGAGGGAAGGGAAAAACACCCAATGTAAGAGGAAGAGGGAGGAAGACGGGTTAGGAGGAGTGCAGGAGGGCGGAGGAAAGTGGCAGCGTGCGAGCAGGCAGGGTGAACAGCCTGTCAGCGCAATAACACGTACAACGGCACCAGGTGCAGATACCGTCGCACATGTTCCTCCGGAGACACATGGCCCACCCTGCCTCCTTGCCTCCTGCCCTACCGTATCTTCACAGCCAGACCGCACCCTTCCCTCGTCCCTCCCTCCCTCTCTCTTCCCCTGCCCCTGCCCCTGCACCTGCCCCTGCTATACAATACATTGGATGTTCTTCTTGTTGCCCACCTGAAACCCCCCGGGTCGTCCCCGCCCTGCCCCCCCCCACCTCGGACCCTGGCAATTGGCTTTCCCTTTCCAGGTAAGTTTCCCGTAACGCGTCTCGATAACATGTGTGCTCGTATACCCCATATGCGTGTTGCTTTGCTTTTCGTGACCGGCGGCGCGGCGCATGTCTCCCTAGTGTTACCACGCAAGGCGGCTTCTTCCTCAAGTCGTCTCGGTTTACGGTAAGCAACGATTCGGTAAGTAATTTGAGATGCGTGTTATTAGTGCTTCCGAATGCGCTCACTGCATGAGTCGGGATATGGGATTGGGATTTGTTGTTTCACTTTTATATAATTTTTCCCCCCACCTGAAACCCCCCCCCCCCGGGTCGTCCCCGCCCTGCCCCCCCCCCCACCTGAACCCCCCCGGGTCGTCCCCGCCCTGCCCCCCCCCCACCTGAAACCCCCCGGGTCGTCCCCGCCCTGCACCAGTCGGTCCTGCAGGTAGCCGCCCTGCATGTCGTGACACACCAGCAACCGGGGGCGGCGACAGGCGGGGGCGGGCGGGGGCTGCTGCTGCGGGGGTTGCTGCTGCAGGGGGTGGGGTTGCGGAGCGTCGCGCAGCAAGCCGCCCCCACCGTCTTCAGAGTCAGCAGTGTTACTGCTTTGATCACCAGCAGCAGCAGCGACAGCAGCAGCAGCGGCAGTGGTGGTGGCGGTGCTTGTGGTGCTGGCGGTGTTGGTGTTGGTTGTCGCAGCGGGAAAGTGCGGAGGGAAAGGGAGGGAGGAGGAGGGGTCTGCGGTTGGCGCCGGCGGCGGCAGCATGAGGGGCGCGTTGTAGGTCTGGCAGAAGGGCGCATCCGGGTCCTCGGAGGGGTTGTTTGAGGGGTGCCAGGCGAGCAGGCGGGGGAGGCTGGTGAGGGGGCGGCACTCCGGGGCAGCGAGGCCTGCAGCGGGGAGGAGGGAAAGAGCGAGGGAAATGTGTGGTTGGTTTCAGTGAAAGGAGAAGCCAGGAAAGCGTTACAAGGGGCCAGGAGTACTTGAAAGCGAGTTTGACGTTCAAAGATGGATAAAGAGTATATTCGCAAACGGCAAAACTGAATATGGAGAAGGGTCATATGCGGCGTGGATGGGCGACATGCCGAATGGAGGATGGTCGGCCACACAAAGTCGCGAGCTGGCCCACACACCTCGCCGCAGCTACCACATTTATGAATTATTGTACAAATACTCGTCCCCATTGGAACTAACCATCCACGATGCCGCAAGGTCAGGAACAATGGAGCTAGGGCCTGTTGCACGCGACCCCAAAGCTTTTCACTTAAGCCCTGGGTGTAAAGCGACAGCAAAACTCGTCCTCTAACCTGTTACAAGTAATGTCGGTTTGCCTTCAGGACTCGTAATAGCACCCTGTGCCAGGTAAAGGTAGGATTGCGCGCCATGGCGTCAGCTCGGGTCATAATTGCGTGGCACGAGAGTGGGATTACAGCTAAATTTATCCGACCTGATTCCCGAGAGTCCGCTTTAACAGCTCCCTCACACAGTCGCTCGCTGGGGCAAACAACGCCCTGGCCATGCGACGGTTGCGCCATAAGTATACAGCTACAGCGCCGGCGCTGACAAGCATAAATCCTAAAAGTGAACGACTACGTCGCCTCATCGTAACGGCGGCTGGATGTTGTCTTGCAGGAAAAGGGTTTGTCGAAAGGTCGGGAGGCTGAACGCAGCCCGCAAATATAATACAAGAGCTAAACCAATAGCCTAACACGGCGTCAAATGAGACGGCACACTTTTGCGCCAGTACAGAGGCCAGGAGCCCAAAGGGACCCTGTACGTAAGTGTACGAGCCCAGTACCCTTGAACGCTGGACGATCAAACGCCGCAATTGTTCCACGCATACAACTAAAGGGATGCAAGCTTACACACCAAGTAGTAGCACTTGTTGTAAACCCGGGTCGACAACGAGCGCCAATGACCAGAAAGGGCCCGCGGGTCATGCTGCGACTGCACGCCAAACTGCTACCAGACTGCGTTGGCAACTATCTTTTGCACAGCTTTAAGTCGGACCAGCCGTACATGAAAGCACCGGTGTGATCCACAAACCTTTTGCATCTGCAATCTCGCAGACAGGCAGGATACCCAGAAAGCAGGATCTCAGTTCCCATCCATTTGGTTGGCTTTGAAAGGGCTTCGGCAGGACGGCAGCTGCACAGGATTGCAGCCCCTGCTTCTAGCCCGCAACACATTGCGCATCAACCACCTCACCGGCCCCAAAAACCTAGGCATTCTTTGTCGTCAAACATGTCAACAACAGCGTTTGTCCAGGCAACCGTCAAGTCAACTCGTGCAACGAAGCTCTTGCGTCAGGGAGTCGCCGATTCCCTGTAGCGGCAAACGACATCACCGTTAGGCGTTAGCAGGACTGACAACTAGGATACTTAGGGCTGTTACCGGTACATTAATCGTCAGGCAAGCTTGTCCAGTAGTCCACGTGTAAAACATTGGGCAACCGGAAACCACACAAGACGCTTACGTAAGTGAACGAGCCCTGTCTCCAAGACCGACACGAATGCCTTGCCCGAACAGTTTCAACGCATAAAGGTCAACGCAACGAGTAACATGCTGCAAGCCTGCCATCGCATTCTGCGATTCAGCCCACGTCAACGCCCGTAGGATCGGGTCCGTGGGTCAAAAGGTGCTTCGTAGGCCGCCTCAGCAACAGCGCACGCGTCTTTATATCCACAACGTGATCACAATTTCGGGAACTGGGTATAGCATACATTACAGCTACCAAAACCAAAGCAGTGCGCGCGCTAAGCATACCTAAAGTCATTGCCGTAGCTTATCGCCCCAGCGAAGGCGGGCATGGCGGCGCCCATCTTCCATTTGGGCTGCCCCTCAGGCTGGGTGAGTGGGGAAGACCATGTGCCGTACAGGTGTCATGTAAATGGAAGAAGCCAGCTGCCGAAGAAGACGTCATTTAGGTACTGCGCAAGCTGGATGCGCGAGGCAGGCGAGCAGTGCAGCTAGGGGTGAAAGCCACAACGGCCCACAACCAGGTCACATTGCGGCGCGTGAAAGCAAAAGCTGCCTGCTGCCCCCGCCTCCTCATCCGCCCCTGCTCTCCCCTCTCCTACTGTCCTGCAGGTTAACGACCCCAACGGTCCCCTGCTCTACCGCGGCCGCTACCACCTGTAAGAGGGGGATGGGTTCCCTGTTCCCGCCCTGAAGCCTGTTCCTGCGTCCATGTCCCTACAACAGCCCCTGCATGCTCCCTGTGTCCGTCCGTCTCTCGTTCCCGGCCCCTGCTTGACTGCCTGAATTCCCCCCCTCTCCCCCCTTCCCTCCCCCCCTCATATGGTTTGGTATGGTCTTTGTCCCCCCCTCCAGCTTCTACCAGCTGCTGCCCCACCAGACCCACTGGAGCTGGGGGCTGGCCTGGGGCCACGCGGTGAGCCCCGACCTCGTCACCTGGAGGCAGCTGCCCCCCGCACTGCTGCCGGCCGGGGAGCCCCGCGCCGCTCCCCCCGCCCCGCCTGCTCCGTCACCCCCACCTGTCCCTGCGGCGGCGGGCGGGTGGGACGCGGCGGGCTGCTTCAGCGGGTGTGCCGTACTGGACGAGAGGGGGGAGCCCGTACTGCTGTACACGGGGGTCAGGTGGGAGGCGGGGCGGGGCGGGGTGTTGGGAAAGGGCACGAGTCCCGGCCCTGACGGACGCTAGCCTCAACCCGCTACTCGCAACGATGCGGCGGCGGCCATGTCCTCAACTCCTTCCCATGTTCCGATACCGGTACTCGCCGCCCCGCTGCCCCCTCCCCTCCCAGGCTGCGCCCCGGCGTGTCCCCCACCGCCCCCGCCGGCTACGGCACCGTGAGCCAGCTGGCGGAGGAGCGGCAGTTGCTGGCCAGGGCGGCAGACCCGGGTAGGGGCTGGGTGGAGAGTGGGGCGAGGGAGGCTGGGATAGTTGCTGCTTGCTGGTGTGCAGGGCGGTCTGTTGCGGTGGTATTGCAGGCAGCGTAGCGGGAAGCAGTGGCGAGCCCCCTGGCTTTACCCCTCCCCTCCCCTGACCCTCCTCCCAGACGACCCCGACCTGGTGCGGTGGATCAAGCAGCCGCAGCCCTGGCTGGACGCCCCGCCTCCCGGCATGCCGTACAACTGCTTCCGCGACCCATTCGTGGTGGAGCGACCCATGGGTCAGCCACCCGCCGGCGGTGGTGGCAATCTCAGCAGCAGCGGCGGCGAGTGGTATGTGATGCTGGGCAGCGGCGAGGGGGACTACCAGCACCCGGACTCCCGGGGCTGCGCGCTGCTGTACAGATCAACACGGCTGGAGAAGGGTGCGTGTGAGGGCGGTTCAAGGATGGGCTGCTGCGTCAGATGGGAGCGGGCAAACGGGATCAGGAGGAAGGTATCTATGCTTGGCAGTCCAAACTTCGTGTGACACATGAACACCTTTCACCCACGTTTTCGACCTACCCCCGCTCCTCCCCCCCACAGGCTGGCGCTACTGCGGCAAGCTCTGCTCCTCCCCCTCCCAGCTGACCGGGGCGGTGTGGGAGTGCCCGGTCATCGCAACACTCAAGCCACACACGCGACCAGCCAGCCACCCGCACCCGCACCAAGAGGGGGAGGCGCCGGGAGAGGGGTCAGACGCCGCCGCTGCCCCCCAGCCGCCCGCCGCCGCCGCCGCGGACGCTGCTATGCCGCCTCCGGAGCTGCCGCCACAGCTGTCAGCGGGGATACCGCCACCGCCGCCTGCCTTCCCGCCTGCTGGACACTCCGTGGGAGTAGCGGTGCAGGGGCAGCAGGGGCAGCATCCGGGAGCTGACAGCTCAGCCAGGGCGCATACGGAAGAGGAGGAAGGGGTCAGCAGGGCGGCGCAAGCGGTGGCGCATGCGGCTGCGGGAACGGCGGCGGCGCCCCCGCCCTCGGTCCCCCTGGCGGCTGCAGGACGGGCGGAGCAGGCGAGGGGGAGGGCTGCGGATGCGGGGGAGGCGGCGAGGGAGAGGGCGGGGGAGGTGGGAGTGCCTGCTGCGGCTGCGGTGGAGGCGGAAGCGGGAAGGGACGCTGACGGCACCGCAGCAGGGGCTGATGAGGCTGGTGATGATGAGGTTGATGATGCTGACGCCTTCGCCACCTTCTTCAGCGTGTCTCCGGGCATATGCGGCAGCATCTACTGGCTGGGCAGGCTGCAGCGGCAGGAGGGGGGGCAGGAGCCCGAGGGCGTAGAGGAGGCGGCTGGTCCGGCCAGTGTGCTCCGCGGGTCGGGTCAGGCGCAGGCGGGTGCTGCTGACGGTGATGACATGCCTCCTGGCGGCGGCAGCGCCACCCAGTGTCCCTATCCGCCTGCTGCCGGTGTGAACGCCAGCGGCAGCGGCGGTGCTGTCAGCGGCGGTGGCGGTATCGGCGCCAGCGGCGCCAGCTTCCCCCCTGCCCCTCTGCATCTGGACCTGGCCTCCGCCAGCGGCCCCCACCCGCTGGACCTGGGGGATACCGTGTACGCACCCAACCTGCTGACGGATGCGCAGGTGGGGGGGAGGAGGGGGAGGGAGAGAAGGAACAGAGGGGGAGGGAGAGAAGGAGAGGGGGAAAGACAAAAAGGGGGAGGGAGCGTTGGGGGCATGAGGGTAGCGGGAGTCCTGGTGCGCGCGAGTAGGCGATCGGCAGCATCTAGCCACCCGCAGTCAAACGGCTCACGGCTCCTCTTGACGGCCCCAGCTGCAACTCCCTACCTGCGTCCTCTCCTTTACCTCCTGCACCTCCTCCACCCTCCCCCTGCCCAGGGTCGCACCCTCATGTGGACCTGGATCAAGGAGCGCCACACCTCGGAGGAACCCGCCGCCCCCGCAACCTACGCGGGCGCCATCAGCCTACCTAGAGTGCTCACGCGCGTTACCCCGCCCGCCAGCAGGGGCAGGGGGCAGCAGGTCGACAAGGGGCAGCAGGCCGACAAGGGCCGGCAGCAGCAGCCTGCCCGCAGGGCCCGGCTGCTGCCGCGGCTGCACCAGGCGCCGCTGCCGGAGCTGGCGGCGCTGCGGAGGGGCGACCCGGAGGGACCCACGGGTCACGAGGGGTCGCTGCTCCTGGCGGGAGCAGCAGGCTGGAGTGAGCCCATGTGAGGGTGGCGGGGTGGGGTGGGGGCCTGAAGCGGTGATGCAAGGGGGAGGGCAGGCAGAGGGATCACGCAGACGGTTGCTTTGCATGTGGATCATAGTTTTCATACTTCCCGCCCTCCCACCTCGCAGACGCCCACTGTCGGGGAACCCGGGCGGCGGCGGCACCGCTTCCCCCGCCGCCAGCCTGCCCCCCAACAGCAGTGGCGGCAGTGGCAACAACACCCCACCAGCAGCACCGGCACCAGCAGCAGCAGCAGCCCCTGCGGCAGCCCCCGCCCCGCCCCCAGCGCTCTGCCACGTGGACCTGCACGTGCGCATCAGGCCCGAGTGGGTGGAGCCGGCTGCCGAGTACAGCAATGTACGGCATGACGCGGATTGCTCATCAGTCATGTACGACAGGACGGCCTACGGCGGCGGTGGTGACGGCGGAGCCCTGCCGTACTGCGGGTCGTGGCTGCTTGCGATCCAGCCGCGTGACGTCACTTCTCAACTGCCGGATGGTGTGAACATCAATACTAACGACACCGAGAATGATCACAACATCACCAACGGCTTTGGATCCAACAGTTCCAACGGAAGCAACGGACTCAACAGCAATGGCGGTTGTACTGCTGGCGGCGACGCTGCCGTACTGTCGTACAGCTTCGCCAGCCGCGAGCTGGCCGTCACGGTGGGCCCCGCGGAGGCGATTCGAGCGCTGATACGGTCGCAGGAGGGGGCTAGCAGGCGGTCACTGGCGGGGGGGAAGCCGCGGCACAGGGAGGGGGCTGCCGCTGCTGGTGATGCTGCTAGTACTCCTGCTCATGATGCCGCTGTGGGCGCAATGAAGGAGGGCACGGCCGACAGCACCGGCGACCCTGCCGTCATCACTCCTGCGGCGGCATCCGCTGCTGCTGCCGCCGCCTCCACCGCCGTCACCGCCACTGCTAGCCAGCAGCCGTCCTCCTCCAACCCTTCCCCGCACGCAAACGCCCCCGCGGGGCCCCACCCGCACCCGGCGGCGGCCGCCGCTGCCGCCGGAGAGTCCGCCTCCGCCGCCGTCACCGGCCTGCCACCCGGATGCCGCCGTACAGGCGGGGTGCTGGGGTGTCAGCCCCCCTGCTTTCCCCCTTCCTCCGCCTCCTTCTCCTCCTCTCCCGCCTCCTCCGTCCCATCCCTGGAGTTGCGGGTGCTGCTGGACGGCAGCCTGCTGGAGGTGTTTGCGCTCAGCAGCGGGGAGGCGCTCACCACCCGGGTCAACCCGCCGCTGCAGCAACCGGATACGGCAGCAGCTGATGGCACGGCAGCATCTGATGGTACGGCAGCTGCTGGTGGTACGGCAGTTGCTGGTGGCACGGCAACTGGTACAGGTGCTGCCGGAGGCGGCACTGGCGACAGCGGCGGTGGCGCCCGCTACTCGTGGGACTTCAGCATGCGGGCCGTGGTGGGCACCAGCTGGCCGGATGTGGGCTGGGAGGAGGAGGAGGTGGAGGAACTGGGGCAGGGGCAGGGGCAGGAGTGGCCGGTGGGAGGTGCAGTGGCTGGGAGGGAGGAGGAGGCAGGGGCGGGGCGGGGAGAGGCGGGGGGACGTGGTGGAGGCGGTGGCGGTGGTGGAGGCGTAGGAGGCGGAGGGAAGGTAGTGGATGGCGGTGGTGATGGAAGTGAGGAGGCGGATGAGGAGGGTGGCGGAGGCTGTGGGAGTAGGGTGGGGCGGTGGGCGGTGCGAGTGGAGCTGTGCCGCATGTGGGAGATGGGCGGAGTTTGGGTGGAGTGAGGGGAAGGAGTTCTGCTTCTTGGCTGCAGCAGTGGGTCCGAAGGCAACGTTGGGTTGGTCAGTAGGTGTTGTTTAGGAGCATGTTAGGAGCATGGTGACATGGGCATTAGGGATGGACAGTGAACACTTTGCGAGGCTTTGGTTGCGGCTTCTCTGCAGCTTCTGCCATGGATGATGTCCGAGGGTGAGACGGGGACATGTATACAGGCCACGCCCTACTTCGCTTTCTTACTTGTCACGATGTGATATAAAAAAACGAGTGTATAGCATATGTGCGCGTCTGTGCGAGCTTTGCGTTAGGACAGCTCTTGGGCGGGAACGAGCGGAAACATGCAGCGGAGCCGCATCTCGGGCATTGCATACTTTGTGTCAAATCGTACTGACAAAAGGAATATCTGGTAGTCCTGATTCTGGCTTTCCAGCAAAGCGTAATCGAGTTAGCCGAGCTTACCTAGTGACCCCGTCTGCCTAGGCTGTGCACGCTTTGGGAACTAAGCAAGACAATCCGTAACCGAGTCTGTGTATCTCCTGTAAACAGAGATTGCAAGCATGTTTACAACCTTTCTCGAAGCCGGGAAAAAACGGTGCGTCGGTACCTTCCCCTTCCTGTTGGTTGACCGCCAACGGTCTCACCCGTTTTCCCTTTTTGCGCAAGCCCGACCACCTTGCGCCGAGGTAATTAGCTTTCCTTTTCCACGAGTGAATGTTAACTCCAATAAAATGCCTTAAACAGTTTAGGCGTGTTCCCAGTCCGACGGACGACTGACGAGAGTCTGCCTTGCGCTCAGGCCTGGAAACCAGACAGCACGATGAATACTTCTTAGCAAGCTCGTGGCACACCTAGATCTTAAAAACTTTTAGTTGGCAGCGCCTTGGTTAGATGTGTACTTTGCTTGCGACCATGCATGGCATACCATTGAGGCGCTTAGCGGGGGCGACAACATGCCTTTTGGCCGAAATACTACTGACATATATATTTGCAGCTGACGCCGCTAAGACGCTTCAGTTTCCGCGACCGTTGTCTGCTGCCGTCTGCCCATCGTTTGCGCGCTACACTCGCCTACACCGCTCAGCTCTAAACCAGCACGACCATGGCCGACACCCCAGTACCATACCTCGGAGGCCCGATAACAGCCGCTCGCACCACCTCCGGCAACGCCTACATGACTATACTGGGCTTGGCACCCCCCAATCCTCGGCCATGGATGCTCCTCCGCGCGACAGCAGTTCCAACCCACTTGCCCATAGCAGCACAAAATCCTCTTTGCAAAGCAATAATAACAATAACGACAAGGAAAGAATCAACACCATCACTACAAGTCACCGCCTTTCTCGCAGCCTGTCCTCAATATCCCGACCGAGACATGTCCATTTCCAGCCCCCAACCCGCCCCTCCAACCGCACCCGCTGGCTGGTCACTGCCGACCCAGACGGCCTAGCAGACCGCCTAGTAAACGCCGTCTCCTCCTTCTACTTCGCACTCCTCACTGATCGAGTCCTCTGCATTCTACCAGCCGACGACTCCCAACCCGGCCTCCAAGCCACATTCTCCGCCCCAAACATCGATTGGACATGCGGGCTAGGCGCTGCCGGCGGCGGCGGCGCAGCCGCCGCCGGCGGCCCCTCCTTGTCGGGTCCTGACACGGCCTTTTGGGACCCCACGGAAGACGACGCCTGGCTGGATCCAGGCTTCCCCGTGTACGGCACCTTCGTACGGTCGCACCTTGGGTCGGTGGGTCCGCATGCGGCAAGCACGCTGGTGCTGCGCATGCATCGGGGGCTCAGCGTGGCGCTGTTCAACAACCCGCACCACAGGTGGGTGGGCGGGAGTGTGAGAGTTATGTGCAGGTACAAGGTAAACTGAGCCGCGGAAGCACTGACCCTGTCTGTAGTATACCGGAGTGTGATGATGGCGTGGGGAGGTGCAGTACCGCTACGTTACACGCGAGGAACGGCTTGACGAAGAGGGGGTATCTGAACGCATGAGGGGCAGACCCTAACGCGGTTAGGCCTTGCCATGCTTCTCTTTTCTGTCCCTCGGCCCAGCATTGTCCCCATGCCTGCGCCCCACCCCACTCCGTCCCTCCCCCCCTTCCCGCCAAAGGCAGCAGCTGGAGTCGCTGGGTCTGCGTCCTGACACCGCATTCGGCTGCGCGGTGCACTACCTGTTCGGTCTCAACGCAGCCACCCGGGCGCTGGCAGCAGCCGAACCGGAGCTGCATGCGATGATGGTGGACGAGCGGGTAATCAAGATCGGGATCCAGATCCGATTGGGTGACGAGCGGATCTTGCAGCAGATTGAGAAGGGAGGTGCGGAGGTAGGTGGCAGAGGGGGTCGGAGGATGTGGGGTGAGAGAATGGGGGCTAGAGAGGATCCTTGTGCGGCGGGAACCCGTACGAACGAGCCCTCCGAAAGCATCCACTGCATGCAATCACATCTATGGATAGTCCACGCTCCCGCTCTCCTTCCTTCCCACCCTCTCCCTTCCCCTTTCCGTTTCCCCTGGCGCCCCGCAGACGCCTCTGCCCCCCGCGTCCCGCAGGGTGGTGGAGGGCTACTTGGCGTGCGCGGAGCGGCTGGCCGCCAGCGTGCAGCTGCTCAGCGGGCCGCAGCAGCCGCCACCCGGGGAGGAGAAGCAGCAGGGGGAGCAGCTGCAGCAGCAGGGTAAGGAGTGAGCTTAAAGCAGCAGGAGGGGCAGCCGCATGCGTGCATTGCCGTACTCTTGCATGCAAGCGTGATTGCTGGGTGAGGGTTTCGGCCTGTTGTTGCCTGCCGTATGGGCCATCTCAACGCACAGCCTTCCTCGGCTCATACCGTACCTCGCCTCCTGCACGGAAACCGGCTCCTCCGCTGCGGACGACAACGCGCCATCTTGACAACAACAACGCCCCGCAAACACCCCCCCTGGCCCCTCTTCCACTGTGCCAGGGACCCCTGCGCCCCCGCCCCCCGCCGCTCCGCCCCTGCGCATCTACTTCTACCTCATGACTGACACGCTTGCTGTACGACAACTTGCCAGGGAGAGGTACGACGTTGTCGCAGTCGCAGCCGGGAGCGCATGGGAGGAAGGAAAGAGTACATGTTTGTATGAGGTCCCCAAACAGCTGAAGCCACAGCACTATATTATTAACAGAAAGAGTATTCGCAGCATTTCAACCTGCTCCTCTTCTTCCCCCCTCCTTCCCTTCCTTCTCCAAACCCTCTTCCCACCCTTCCCTCCCCTCACCCCTTCCGCCCTGCCCCCCCCAGGTTCGGCCCCCGCCTGCTGCTGCTGCGCACCCCCTCCGTTCAGTTCTACCGCAACGTCACCCCGGCCGGGCTGCGGGCCACTGCGCTGGAGCACTGGTACCTGTCCCGCTGCCACCACCACATTATCACGGCGCACAGCGGCATCGGGCGTACGGCAGCGTTCGCGGGGCTGCGACCGGGTCCCAGTGTGTTTAGCATGGAGGTGGCGGAGGGGGTGCGGGTGGGGGGAAGGGGGTGCGAGGTGTGGGGGGCGGACCGGCCGCTGGATGTGTATAATACCTGGTCGGGGGTGTGATGGTGGGTGGGGTGGGATTACCGGTAGTTAAATTGAGCAGCGGAAACACTGACCCTGACCGTGATATAACGGAGGATGATGGCGTCCCAGTTATGGAAGCAGTGTATTGGTGGGAGGAGCGAGGGAAGGGAAGGAGGGGAGTCGGGTGTGCGGCGGGTGATGTAAGGGGGTGTGCAGGTGTGTGTATTAGGCATGCATGCGTGTGAAGAGCAGGTGTTGGCAACTTGGCATGAGTGCTTGCCATTGTACATAGGTGCCACTGTAGGCCAGAGCTGTACATAGTGGTATGATGTACGGTAGTTTGCGTTGGCTGTCCTGCGCAGGAATAAAACGGCAATTAGCGATCAATTGATAGGTTAAGACAGGCGGGGACTGTGCTGTCCTATATAAGTAGCGCACGCATTGGGAGCATGAGGTGTATTACCGTACACCGCCGTACAAAGGAGCACACTGCTGTACATTTTCAGTGCCTCCGCTGGGTCTTCCTTTTGCGTGTGATGTAGAAGAGGAAGAGGTGTAGGAGAGGGGAGATTAGGAATCGAGAGCGGACTACTGGACTAGTGTAAGTGGCGATGGGAGGTGGAGGAGGGTTACTGCATGCAACTGTCGCTACCCCCTCAGCTGCTCAGAAGGATATGGCGGGCTCTCCTTGGCCTCCAGCCCCGACATGGACGCCACCAAACGGGAATGGCACCATAATGAGGTGGACGCAGGAAGAGTGAGTGGAGTGAGTGAATGGAGTGCAGGGGTGGAAGCGGGTGTCCAAAACGCGCCAAATGCCTCCTACAAGCAACGCACCCCACACACCAAGTCAATAACAAGGTACACACACAGCCACACACCAAGTCACCCGCGGAACCCTGCTATCTCCGCACCGCGCCCCCACTAGCCCCCTGACCCCATACGTCCTCCTCGGCTCTCTCATGCACGCCCGCCCCTCCCCTGCATGCATGCCCCCCCCTCCTGCGCTGTAACACCCTATCACTCCCCCTGCCACACACAACCCTGCTTCCTCCTCCTGTTCCCACCCCTCACTTCGCCTGCGCATTTTCCACACCTAACCAATCCTCTCTGCCTCACATCCCCCGCCTCTTCCCCCCCTTCCCCTCCCCCCCCCTCACTTCCCCCCGCTCAGCAGCGCCAGCTGGGCCATCAGGTCCTCCGTGCTGCCCTCCACTCGCCCCACCCCCTCCGCGGCCAGCGTGGCGGCGTCAACCCCGCGCTCCAGGGGCAGAGAGAACTCCAACCCCTCAGCGGGGACAGCAGCGGGGGCGGAGGTGGGAGCGGAGGAGGGAGCAGGAGCGGATGAGGTGGAGGGCTGCTGCTGCTGCTGGGCCTCCTCCTCGGGGCTCATCTGCGTGAGGGGGGAGGAAGAAGTGGAGGTGCGAGAGTGCGGAGGGAGGGAGGGAGTGTGTGGGCTGAGTCAGGGCGGCGGGCGCGAAACGAGTGGAACAAAAACATGCCGTGCTGCGCGCGTATACCGTACAGGCAGGGAGCGGCGTGCTAGCCTCCCTGCCCTGCGTCCCCAGCTGCTGCTGCTGGTAACCCCAACTCACCACCTCGATGCCCCACTCGTTCTCCTCATGTAGTGGCGTGGCCGCCGCCGCAGCCGCCGCCGCTGCTGCCGCCGCTGCCGCCGCCTCCGCCGCCGCTCGCGCCTCTGGGCTGTTCCTCCGCTCCTCCTCGCGCCGCTGCAGCTCCCGACACAGCGGGTTGACGCATGCAGCGGAGGGGCGGATGTCCATGGTGGGGAAGAAGTCCTTCAGGCTGTTGTAGCCCAGATACCTGGGGGCGGCAGGAGGGGGGAGGGGAGGGAAGAGGCAGGGAGGGAGGAGACGTAAGGGTTGAGGGGAAGCGTTGGCCGCTACTAAACACCACTGAACGAGCGCCGTTCCCCGTCCCAGCCAAGCCCAGCGCAACCCCCACCCCCACCGAACGGCTGGAGTCCCTTCCTCCTCACCCCGTCCCATGCAGCCCATGCAGCCCATGCACCCCCCCCCATAACACCCCCCCCCCCTCCTCACATGGACACCCCCCCGAACCCCAGCATGTGCTTCAGCGCCGCCTGCACCAGCAGCCCCGCCACGATGCCCATGGTGGTTGGCAGGGAGGCGGCGCACACGCCCTCGCGCTTCAGGGTGCGCTCGTCCAGCCCGCTGGCCACCACCAGCGGCGGCACGCACTGGAAGCAGGCGGTGGTGCCGGGGACCAGCAGCTGAGGAGGGGGCGGGAGGGGCGGGGGCGGGAGGGGGGGTTGGGGGGAGCGGGGAGGGGAAGGGAAAAAGGTATTCCCAATGCGTTGAATGAGGATGCACGGGAGGCACGGACACGCTCCAGGTGGATGGAATCGAGTTCCAACAAGGGAGTGGGGGTGGGAGGTAAAGGGACAGGAAAGAAGAGTGGCACCCCCATCCCGTTCTCTCCCCACACCCCACCCCACCCCCTCCTCCGCTGCTCACCTGGATGTGTCCTGACACCGCGTCCTCACTCACGCCGCTCTCCATCCACACCTGGCCCAGCTCCAGGCACACCTGCGACGGGGGGGGGAGCAGGGGCAGGGGGTCAAGTTAGCGCGTGTTGGCGCAGGGACAGGGAGCAGGAGCAGGGAGCAGGGGCAGGGAGCCAAGAGAGGGCAGCATGGCGTGCGCCCATGGGCAGGCGCGGTAGAGCAGGCGCGCACAAGGCAAGCTAAGGCCCTCCTGCCTCCATCACACGCGTGCAAATACACCTGCTCCACACACCTGCGCCACCAACTGCCCTTGTTGTGCTCCCCCCTGCCCCCCTGCCTCCCTCCCCCCTGCCTCCCCACCTGGTTGATGGTGATGCGCGCCTCGTAGTTGTCCACGCAGCTGAGCACCAGGTCCACTCGGGAGGAGCCGTCGGGGGCCTGCAGCGAGGACTTGAAGGAGTCGAAACCCTGGGGGGGGAGGGAGCGGGGAGGAGGAGGGGTTGGGAGGGTATAGTGGAGGGAGGAGGAGGGTAGGGAGGGTGAAAGGGGGTAAGCTCGGGTTCTGATGGGCTCGCCGACGTCACCGGAGGAAGGCCGCTTGTGCCGCCGTGGGCTTCCTCCCTTCACCGTGTTCGTCCCTTTTCGGCATGGTCTTTGACCCCCCTCCCCCCCTACCGTACCTGCAGGGTGGTGATGTTCATGGTGTAGCTCTCCACCTCCACATCCGGGTTGATCTCCTGCGGGGGGAGCGGGGGGGCGGGGAAAGGGGGGGGGGACAGGCGGGCGGGCGGGGAAGCGTCGGAGGGAAGGAGAGATAGGGAAAGGGAAGTGGAGCAGGCGCCATGCAGCCGTGCAGAGCAGCCCAGGAGGCCGCTGGTGCTCCCCGCCCCACCCACACCCCGTTTGTTATCCCCCCGCTCCCCACTCGCCTGCAGGGTCTTCCGCGCCGCGTCCGTCTTGGTCATGCCGCAGTGCTCAGGCCTGGGGGGCAGCGGGTAGGTGCGGGGGGCAGGGGGCAGGGGGCGGGCTCGCGGCAGGTAGCTGCGTCAAACGTGCTATGCACTCCCAACAAGGGGCTCGCTGGCTCTGCGCCTGACCTCGTCACCTCCCTGCTCCCATGCTGCTCTACCCCCTACCTGATTGTGGCTGCGTTGTTGCACTTATCTAGGACCTCCCCCCTAACCCACCTGAAGAACAGCCTGTTCATGTTGGCCAGCTCCACGGTGTCGTAGTCGTAGATGAGCAGCCGACCCAGCCCGCAGCGGGTCAGCATCTCCGCCGCCACGCTGCCCACACCGCCAACACCCACCACCGCAACCTGGGGGCAGGACAGGGGAGGGGCGGGGAGGGCATGGCGCGGTCGGCTTGGGGCCAGCAGCAAGAGGAGGGCAGCCAGCCAGGCGCAATCCCTCCCGCATTCAACCCCGCCCTGCCCCTTCCTCCAATCGTTTCCCCGTCCCCGCTGATCCCCATCAACAGGTACCCCTTAACCCCCCCCCGTCACATATCCTTCCTTTCCCATCCCGCCTGTTTTGCCCCCCCCCCCTCACCGTCTTGTCCCGGATGCGCTGGTAGTCCTTCACGATGCCCATCCGCTGCAGCGCCATCAGGCGGCTGTAGGGGTTGGAGTCCACCACCTCGCCGCTCATGGCGGAGATCTTGGGCCGGGCGGTGGCGGGCGGGGGCGGAGGGGGTGCGGTGGTGGTGGTGGTGGCGGGTGCGGCAGCGGGGGTATCGGCGGTGGTGGTGGCGGTGGCGGTGGTGGTCATGGCGGCCAGGGCGGGGGAGAGCGCGGGGGAGGGGGTGGCGGTGGGAAGGTCGGGCAGCGGGGCGGGAGAAGCGGTGACCCTGCGAGGGGTGTGACAGAGGCGTGGTAAAGGTAAGGGGCGGGTGCTATGATAAGGAGGTTCATTCTGCGGTGGCCTGTCGCACACCACCATAGGCGGCATGAAACCCACTTGGCAACCCCGTTGCAAAAGGTCCGGAGGCCCGGAGCTCTTACTTGGCTAGCGTGTCTTGCAGTTTCTCCGTGATCCGGGACACCTGGCTTGCCAGCTGCGGGGAGGAGGGTGCGGGAGGGTAGCACTGAGGCAGGGTGTGGTGCGAGAGGGCTGGAAGATGTGTGCCATGAGGACTGGTGCATGGACGCATTGTACATGCGCAACTCCAGGGACATCCGAGGAGTGCTGGGCCAGACGAACAAGTTGGAAATTTATTAAGATAGCATTTCATGTTGGTAGAACACAGGCCCAAGCTGCAAGGCAGACAGAACCAACTGTCGCCACAGCGATCGGGATCGTATGGTACCATACCCCTTACAACTAGACATAAAAGCCCTCAAGCCTTTTTACCTCCGATACTTTGTTCTGTACAAGAGCCGCGTCCAGGGACTCGACGTGCTCCTGTAATCGCCGCAGCTCGCCTGTCAATTCCCTTGCTCGTGCAACGCTAGCGCTGGCAGGCTGCTGCACTGGCATATCCGACATCTTAACCCGTCAATTAGCTCCTCCAAAATCGGTTGGAATTCCCCTCGTCGCGATGGTGCAAGGAAAGTGCTTGCGCAATAGCCCCAAATTGTAACCCTACGCGCACAAATGATTATCCTGTAACGCTTTAGCAGTTTGAGGTCCACCGATCGACAAGGTATCGCCTGTTCAAGTCGATTCGGTTACCTTTCCGGCTAGTAGTACGATCCATCCCGCACAGCAATGCATTTACTGCAAAGTAGAATGTGATTAAAGCACATTGCTTGGTGATCACCATTGAAAAACTGAAGATCCTGAGGAGACGTGCACTCCTTGGTCTGTGCACTTTAGCCCTACGCCGATTCTTGATAGAACGGACAATTGTCGCCGGCACATACCGACACAAGTTGATCACTTCAAGTTGTTTGTCGAGAGAAACCGGCCTGGGTAAAGCCAGGCCGAGGTGTGACCTGGTGTCGTCCTCGGCCTCGCAGCGTGAAAAGGAATTCTGCCTCCGATTAGCAGCAGTATGCAACTTTCCTTCCGTCAGCTTGCGCGGCCAGGGGCCAGGGCCCAGCGTTGGAGGGCTAATTGCGCGCATCGCGCGGCGCCCATCAGCCTTCTTCGGGGCGCAGCTGTAACCTACGCCACCGATGCGGGCCCCATAGCATCTACTTCCACCCCTTCTATCTCTAGACACCATCAAACCCCTATCGAGGAGACCCCACTCCAGCCATGTCCCTGCAATGCCGACGGAGCCGCAGTGCCGGCTGTTGCTGCGGCCAGTGCCACTGCCACCATGCCCTTCTACTGCCAATTTCCCCTTGACCGCCGCGCGGAATGGCGCCGCGATAAGGCCCTGCTGGACTCCCTCTTCGCCCGCAGCGATGCCAAGCTGATTCCGCTGATACGTGACAAAGTGCTCGTGCGCCCCGCTGACACCGCCTCCACCACCACAACTCCCACCTCCTCGGCACCACCCGCAACCACAACCCCAACCCCATCCTTGCAGCCTGTGTTACTCTGCCCTGCCACAGCACACATCGACCTCACCTCTCGCAGCCCCGCGCGCATCTTCCTAGGCACCGACGCCAATGGCGCGCCGTACTTCGCCGCCTCAGTCGACTCGGTCGCCGCCGCCGCTCGCCTCGCCGCCGCTCACTCGGGCGCTGAGTGGCGCGCCGCCCGACTCGCCGGCCCCGATCTGGCTCCCGGCGACGCCTCGCTGCTCGCTACTGCCTCGGGCCTGATGACGTGGCATGCCTCCAATGGCTACTGCGCTGCCACGGGCGCCCCCTCGCAGCCCAGCTCCGGCGGCTTCTCCCGCAGGTGCGCCCCCAGCACCAGGACTCCCTCCGCCACCATCACCGCCACCACCACCACCGTCACCCCAACCGCCAGCACCAGCACGACTAGCGAAGCTAGCAGCAGCAGCCCCAGCAGTAGTGCCGCTACGACCAGCAGCCCCAGCAGCAGCGGCGGCAGCAGCCCGCTGAGCGCCTACCCGCGTATCGACCCGGCGGTCATCATGCTGGTGTCGCACGGGGACTTCGCGCTGCTGGGGCGCAAGGCGGAGTGGCCGCCGGACCGGTGGGTGCGGCGGCTTAGAGGACGAGCTGCATGTAGAACGGAACTGTGTCAAAAGCACCACATGAATCCATGCTGCCCTCTGCTCAGTTGCCTCGACCCTGTCGCGCCTCCCTCCCCAACATTTTCCTCCCTGTCCCTCTCTCCTCCCATTCGGCCCCTTCCATGCGCTCCCCTCCCTTCCGCCCTCCCAACCCCCTCCCCCCGGCAGCTACTCCACGCTGGCTGGCTTCCTGGAGGTGGGCGAGGCGCTCGAGGCGGCGGTGGTGCGCGAGGTGGCGGAGGAGGCGGCGGTGCGTGTGGACCCCGCCTCCGTCACCTACGCAGCCAGCCAGCCCTGGCCCTTCCCGCGCTCCCTCATGGTGGGCTTCTTCGCAGCTGCACAGCCCGCAACCGTTGCTGCTGCTGCTGCTGCTGCCGCCGCTGCTGCCGACAGCACAGCCGCCTCCTCCTCCAACGGGGGCGGCGGTGACTCCAACCCCACCTCCTCCTCCACCAGCAGCAGCACCAGCACCACCAGCACGCCTAGCACCAGCTCCTCACCCCGCCAGTGGTGGCAGCCCGCCGCCTCCCCTGCAGCCCGCGGCTTCGACTTGCTGCCGCCGCTGGGTCGGCGAGCGGCGCTGGGCTCGGGTGTGTTTGCTGAGGAGGTCGAGGCGGTGCTGCGGCCGCTGCAGGAGCTGCAGTGGCCCGCGGCTGACCAGGAGGAGCTGCAGGACGTGAGGTGGTTCCACCGGGACTGGATCCGAGCCGTACTGCGGGGGGAGGAGGCGGGAGGAGGCGGGGGTGGGGTGGCGGGAGGCAGGGGGTTTAGCGTGCCGGGTCCGTACTCGCTGGCGCACCGGTTGATCACCAGCTGGGCGGGATGCGGGGGGGCCGCTGCAGGCACTGCTGGGGTCCAGGGCAACAGCAGCAGCGGCGGCGGTACCGGAACTGACACCAGCACCAGCAGCAGCAGCGGCGGGTGGGAGGGTGATGCGGTGCCTCAGGTGCTGCTCAGCGGCTCCGGAACCTTCAAGTACGTGCTCATGCGCCTGTGGGACAGCCGACCCGACCCTCCCCTCTCCTCCTCCTCCTCCTCGCACTCCACTTCCTCTTCGCCAGCAGGCGGCGCTGACATGCTTCAGCGCAGCAAGCTGCTGGTGTGGGGCGACGTGCGCGCGCCCTACCACAATGACGTGCTGCAGCAGGCCAAGTCGCTAGCCCGGCTGGCTGACGGGGGTTCCGGAGCGCTGCAGGTTACACCGCTGGGCGGCGGCCGCATGCGTCACGACCCGGAGACGGGGCTGCTGGAGGTGTACGGCTACAGCGCGGCATTCGGTCCGGCGCCGCATGAGCTGGCGGGGGCGCTGGTGCACCGGTGGTATCCGCTGTACGACAAGGAGTCCATCCGGGTGTCGTACGAGGGGTATTGAGGGGTTACGGGGAGGTGGGTATTCCGCACAGGCAGGGCTGCTGGGGTTGCGTTCAGTCATTGAGGGGTTGAGGTGGCGGCGGCGGCGGTGCATGGAAGGGTTATAGATGGGTAGGGGAAAAACACTATTGCAGACCTAAGAGGCAGGGGCGGGTGTGAGGCGCGGTGTGTGGAGCTGTGATGGGGCCGGGGAGGCGGTGGAGGTTTGCGGATGATGGCCGGGGTCGACCGGTGGTGCGGGTGATGGCGTTCATTGCAGCTTACTAGGCTGGCAGGGAGCGAGGCTGAAGTAGCCGTAGGATGCATGTTGGCGACAAGGGAGCAATGTGTTACATCTTGCAGGATGTTTGCTCAAAAAGCGGCAGGGCGATGTAGCGGGCGCGGGTGAGGCCATGACCCCCATGAGGGAAGGGAGGACCCTGCAGGCGGGCTTCAAGTGGCCTGTAGGTGGGCTTCAGATGGGTGGGTTGCTACCGGTATGCGAGCCGCGCAGCCCTTGTGGAGGGCTCCGGGGGCCGGGGTGTGCGACCAGCCGTTACCTGGGCCTCCTGTTCCGGAAGCGCGGAGCAGCACGGGACAACACCGAGCGCAGCGCAGTGCGAAACAGAGCGCAGCAGGGGATGCGTACATGGCACAGTGCGAGCGAGGCAGTGAGAAGATTAAACGAACACTAGATGGCTATGTGCCAAGAGCCTGATGCCTATGTGGGATTTAATGTTGCTAGCAGAGGGGCCGCCTGTGGCCATTCCGCGGTGAGACCTCGTGCGCACAGGATTCCAATTCCATTGGCGATCCACCCCCCTGCGTGCGTGGGATGAGGGGGGCTAAAACATGGGATGTGGAACGACCTTAAGCGGGCGCGTCTGAGGAGTCAAAATGGGGGGGGTACAGCTTCGCCCCATGCATGCATGGGGCTTGCCTGCCCAGGCCAACAGGGCTCAGCTTGTGTTGGCAAGGTGTGTCAAGCGCCAGGCATTGGGGTATGTCGATGAACATGAGTTCCTCCATGACGGCGTGACGCGCGCTGCATGGCGGGGGCGAGAGGGTAGGTTCACGATGGTGCGCTAGCGGTATGGGGAGGCCCTGTTCACCAAAGAGCAGTGCAGTGACACTGTTGTGGGGCAATCGCAGGTTATAGCAGTAGGAGCAGCAAAGAATGTGGGCTGAGGTTGTCGTTGTGCGAGTTGGCAAAGGTGCCGTACTGGCGGCGACGGGCAAGGCATGCCGGGGTAAGGGTTAGCTGTGCTGTTGGGTCCGTGAAGGCGAGGATCCAGGCGGCATGCCGCGCCGCAAATACTGCCGGTTGCCTGTTCTAATCAATGCGCACGTTCTACTAGGCCTTTTGTGACGTTTCCTCAGCGACGCGGCCCGTAGAGTTGAGTCTTCGGTGGTGTGCTCTTGGCAGCAGCAGTACATGGTGCCATGAAGGATGCCAGTTCATCCGCCGAAGCTTTCGTATCCAGGCAAATCTTGATAGCTCTACCTGGCTCTACCAGTATTTTGCAAATGTACCGACTGCTAAAGGCAGGTATTTCTTCTGCGGCGGATGTATCGGGTTTGGACACCTATTGATGTCATGTGTTTGGCACAAGCCAGGGGAAGGCTGTGCCGTCTCCCCCTTCCCCAAACACCCTTCCACGGGCTTAAAAACCCAAACACCCTACCACGGGCTTAAGAATGTATCCAGCATTACGGTATCCATTTCCTGGACAAAGGTTGGACTCACAGCGGTTGCGCACACAAGTAAAACACCACTGCCAAGGCCAACTTTCCTACTCTCCGTCGTCAATCGCTGATCTAGATAAATCGGATGAATAATAAGGGCCAGTGATACATCTTGTTCCCGTAGGCTCTGGCATGCCTACCCGACTCCTACTCTTCTTATGACTAGCCCTCCTTTACACACCAAACTCCCATTGCTATCGATCATCCTACAATCCGCCGCCTAGCCTCATTCAGCAGTGGGCGGCAGCCCCACCCTGCCATACAAAGCATCCAATGAACTGATGTATCGCTTCTGTACACCTCCTCCACGACCTCTCTGTCCGCCGCCAGAATGCAGCCCTGGAGGGAGAGAGGCGGGCAGAGGTGGTTACAGGTTGAATAAAGGGATGGGGTTGGGTAGAAGATTGGCCAAGAACTTAAGGTAATCCCAATGAGAAAAGCGTCCAGGCATTGCCGATACGAGCATAAGCCAACAGCCATGATGATAACCTAGATATTACAATTTGGCTTTGCAAGTATACGGTTTGGGGGCGTCCCCCAAGCCCATGAAGGGACCTGGTACGGCATAGCATTGGTAGCTGTGTATTAATAGGTCTTGGCCGTGTTTTTGCCAGCTCGTTTTCACTTGCTAGCTTCTCGCCGTTACGTTCGCTGAGTGCCATTAGCTTTGTCGGCTGAACTGCCGCTGAACTCCAGTTTGTTTCCCCACCCGCCCACCCTTCATGATAGCAACCAGGGTTGTCCGTCATCTGCATGCGGCTGCAGGTTATAGCAGCGATGCGGGCTGGCTTAAATGGCTGTGTGCTTCTTCGGGACGGACCACAGCGGCTCTCCTGGGTCAGTGGCCTTTCCCCAATCTCCAGTTGACACGTCACCAGTTGCCGTATGTTTAGGGTAGGTACCCTAGGTAGTGGCATCCTATTTGATTGGTACTAGTAGTATGAGCTGACGCCCTTTGCGCATGGTTATTGATTGTTAAGTCGTGTTTTGGTTGTTGGGAGTTTATGAGGGCCCAGGGGGGGGGGGTAAGAAATTTTCTTATAAACCCCAACCCGAAATTTCCAAAGAGAAGGCCTCGGAGCCACCCACCCACCGCCAAGCGTGTCGTACAACCTGTAAACTATGCCAAAACGCCGGGGGAAAAAGCGTCTAGGTTCCTCTGCGCAAGCTCTATTAAATGCAGTCGAAAAACCCCAAACCCCCTGGGACGTTAATGTCACAGCGTTGCACTATGGACGGCTAAGGTAACCATGTTCTTGGCCCCAGCTTGACTGATGTTATGTATTTGGCGCCTAGGAAGCACCATGGTCCTCCCATTTGCGCCCTACCGCCGCCAGTTCTGTCACCAACCTACACGACGCCACCACCACGCACGTCCCAGGCCCCTGCTCCTGCCTCTTCTTCCCCCTGTGGCACTGGGCCCTCGACCTTAGCCCCTGGCACCAATTCCCACGCATTCTTGTTTCTGTGCTCTGCATCCCCACCCCATTCGTGGTCACTGTAAGTGCTTTCTCGCAGCTCAGTCTGTCGACTCCAACCCCGCATCCTCAGTCGTGTTCCACATCCATGGAGACATGCTACATGCTGCGATGCTAGGCCTTCCTCGCTTCTTAGCTGTGTATATCTTGCCACTGCCTCGAGATAGGTTAGCCATTGATTGTGTCCCGACCCTTCGGTCGAGTGTTCGTATAAAGCGTTGCTGACATGCGTGGTGAGGGGCTTCAAAGTGGCCCCGCATCTTCAGGTAACGTACACGCATCCAGTAGGCGACAAATGCTACCATTCCTGATGCCTTGTGTTCATTGTGGAAATCCGATCCCCACGCTTCTAATGGAAGCGGTGCAGAGTATGCGACTTTTACAGAGGACCGAAAGGAGGTGTAGAGTTGTACGACCGTCAATCGTCCCGCTGGAGTCAATACACCTTCTTGTTCACCGCGGAACAAAAGACTTGCCTCGACCAACAAGTTATATTTTCTTCGCCTTCGCCATCTATCAAACGAAGCAGTTTTTACCGAGCAAGTTTCGAGAAAGAGCTGGGCTCGCCTCGCAAATTGGCCTCGCTTTCGGTTAGCCCTTTTTAACGTAGGACGTAGACATACGCAGTTTGTACTAGCAGGTTTTGCGCTTAACTTAGGGTAGCCGTTTAGCAGCAGCCGTTGGAAGCAACAATGCTGCGTTACAAGATATAGGGACCTAATTGTTATCAGCTATTGGCAAGTATTTCTGTTCGTAATGGATCCACAGCAGCCTGCTGCTGTCCAGCAGCCGTTGCAGGGCGTTGTATGGCCCAGCTTCCTCAACCAGTACGTCCACCCTCAGCTCCAGCAGCTTGCTGAGATCCAATGGAGGTTCGAGCTGAGTGCAAAGATGGCAGCCATCTATGAGAGGTTGCGCGAAAAGTTTGCAAAGACGCAAAACATTTGCCTTTGTCAGGTAGGAGCTATAGAGACGGACTTGCGGGTCGGGGTTCTTTGCAATTTTTTGATTGCGAACAAGGTTGCGTGGGCGGTGACCACGAGAGACAAGTTCCAGGCCACTGCTTTACTCATTACTCATGCCTCCTCCTTGCCCTTGTCAGTTTCTCTTGACCCTTTTATGATCATTATATACCATCTGCAGACGTGGCTTGGAGCTGATGGCTGTGACGCCGCGAACCCAAATAATATCGAGGTCACGGTAAGTTGGTATTGCATCGACTTGTTGCGCTTGCCATCCCGCCTGCAACCACACGCGCACCCCAGCACGTCAACGTACCGCAAACACATTCATCACATAACCCTCTGTTCGGCCGTGCCTGCACAGCTGTGGGCAGACCCGCGGCTTGCTATCGTCCTCGACCCCCTCTTCCAAGAGCTGCGTGCAAAGAGGTAAGCTTCTCTAGCATGCCGCTTCAAGCTTACGACACCCGCCTATATGCCCTCTCAGAAGCCCGTGCGCTTTGCACAATACACGATCATCGCTATGCTGTTCCTCCCCACGTAACCTCCCGTTGTCTCCTCCCTCCCTCCCTCCCTCCCTCCCTCCCTCCCCCGCAGCTGCCAGGGCCCCGTGTTCTTCCGCAACTCCATGCCGGGCAAGGTGTGGCGCTCCGGAGCGGTTCAGATCGTGCAGAACCTCCGCATCCTGCCGCCCTCCCTGCACCCCCGCAGCCAGCTCTCAGGTAAGGCCCCCACAACCCATTCCATCCGCGTGCGCCTGACCCTCCTGGAGCCTCGCGTCTCTGCCCTCCTTGGTACCCATGACCCTGGCTCTTCGCCTCAACCTCAGCCTTGTCTCCCTTCTTCACCCTTTCCCCTTCCTTCCCTCACACTTCCCTCATCTTTTCTTCCCCGCCCCCCCCAGAGGCCGCCCTGGAGCGTCTTGCGGAGGCGCTCTACATCCCCATCTATGATCTCAGCCGCCCCGCCAAGGGCCAGGTGTGCGTGCTGGAGGTGCTGCTCTCCGCGCGCGCCACCGAGGCCATGCTGGTGGCTGACGTCATCAGCTTCATCGGCCAGCTGCTCACCGCGCTGCACCTCTCGCTGGCCAACCCCGTGCAGCAGCCGGTGCGGAGGAGCGTGCTGTGCGGTCGCCGCGCGCGGGCGGCGGATTCGGACGGCGAGGCGAGTGAGGATGAGGCGGCGGCGGGGGCGAGCGCAAGGCAGCGGCAGGCAGGGCAGCAGGAGCAGCAGCAAGTACGTCAGGGGCAGCAGGATGGACCAGGCTCTTGCCAACAGCAGCAACAGCAGCAGTCACAGCAGCAACAGCAGCAGGCGGCGGTGCGGTGTTCATGCTCGCATGGAACAAACGAGGCAGCTGGGGGCTGTGCAGCAGCAGCTGCGGCTGCGGTTGCGGCTGGAGGTCCCACCGCACCTCATACCGCACAGGGCGAAGGCTCCACGCGGGGACACAGCGGTGGGACACGTGCTGCCGCTGGCTGCGGTCCGCAGATTGGTAGCGGGGCGGCGGGGGGCAAGGAGCCCGGCCCTGAGCCTGCGCCAGGAGGGGAAAGCACCGAAGCGGCAACACCTGCAGCAACACCAGCAGCAGCAGCAGCCGTGTGCGAGCGCTGCGGGGGCGGGCCGCCTGCGCCAGCCTGCTCCGAGCAGCCTACACTTCCCGCGACGCCAAGCAATGAGGGCTTGGGCTGCGGGGGTGATACGGGCGCAGTGTCGGCTGCTGCGGCTGCCGCTGTAATAGCGCATGCGGGAGGGGCGCTAGCAGGGGGGAGTCAGGGCGCTACGGCAGCAGCCCAAGGAGGGGCGGTGTGTGGAGGAGGCGGCTCAGGCGTGCCTCGCAAGGTCCGCCGTGTGATGGTGGATGGGCCAATGCAGCGTAGCAAGAGTGTGTACTCGGTGGCGGCGTTATCCGCGGGAGATGACGGCGATGAAGATGCGGAAGCGGGTCCTGGCCTGGGCTGGGCCGCAGCGGGCGGTGGCGTGGATCGCGGGGGGCAGCAGCAAGGCCAGCCGCGTCTTTAGTCGGTCCTGATGCCTTGGGAAGGCGTTGGAAGGAGGGAATTTCGAAGATCGTGCGTATAAGTTGTGTCTTAGGAAGGAAAACGGGCACGGACAACGCCTCTGCTACTATGGGACTTCATCGCAGCTAGTGGGCCCTGGCCACGTTGCAGCTGCCTTGCAGGCCTTCTGGACTCGGCGGCTGGCCATGTGAGCAGCACGGTGGCAGCGGGCGCGGTTCGCTTGGGTGCGCGAGGGTGGAGAGATGGGGGTGCGGCGTGGTGGCGGCTAAAGAGACCACCCGGGGTACAGCGATTGTTTATCAAACGCATCCAGCTTATTGTTTTCATACGTTGCTCTTTTCTGCCGGTTTGCAAAGTGCTAATTGAGTGTTGGGCATGGTGTGTTGCCGGTTGAGTTGTGGAACTCAGGGGGTTCCGGCTTTAATCGCCGGTAGGAGGCACGCGTATGTCTTCGTGGCTTTATTTTTTTCGGTGGCGTCTCCTTCGCTGCTGCCGTAGCATGGCCAGGGTAGGAACTCCGCGTCATGTATTGTGGCGTGTAGGCTTCTGTTTTAGCTATAGCTATATCCGTAGATTAAAAACACACATATAAAAACGTGTACTTGGCCCGCGGTAAGGCATCATACCGGTAGTAGTTGTGCGGAAGCATATGTGTCTTGGCTGGCTGGGGCAACCTACTACCGCTGGTGAGCTGGGGCGGCTCCTGGGGATTCGGCTTGCATAGTACTGACAGCGGCTGTTGGTTAACCGCGCATGCGCATCCAGGCATGCACGTGTTCCACAGGTCTAACAGCCGTTGGCTCTGTCTGGTCCGTTCATTGTACTCGGGCTGTTTAATTGCGGCTTGCAAGGACTGCTTTGCGGCAATACTCCAACTGTACCCCTCACTGCGAGGGAGGCCTCATTCCTGCGTCTGATACCATTAGTAATAAAGGAATGGGGGCAAGGAGGCGGAGGAGTGGGGTAAGGAATGCTCTCCTTTTTTCTGGTGTACGTTGCGGGGCCGGCTGCTGTTAACTCCCTGCCCTCGATACGTGTTTTGTTTGCTGTTAGAGCCCCTATCGGGGGTCTGTTATCGTGATGTGCGGCTGGTCAGGTGACTTGCTTAGGGGTGCGTCACGTAGCGTGATTTTAGAGTTGAAGACCGCAGTGCGAGGTGCAACCTGAATGCATGTTTCGTCGCTGGTGGAGTCTGGTGTCCTAGTTATGGGAGCTTTTAACGTTGGAGTGTGGCCAGTGCGGCAGTGATTGTAGAGGCTACGGCGTGGTGACCCAAGCCCCTTCCTGACCGGCACTGCCACATTGCGGCTGACCCGTGGGCCTGGCCGCAGAGCTGCTAGTGTTACCAGCAGGCGCTTCTTTAGGGTGCCTTGCTGCAACCTGTATTCCGAGCAGAACGCGCCCCTACTGCGCGGGAGCACCAGTTGTACGACATGTTGGCGACTTGTTTTCTTCCGCGGCCACTCCGAGGCCTTAATCATCCATGTAAAGCTCTAACGCCGGTAGTTCCTAGGTGGCGCTCTGGAACCTGGTGGGGGCTTGCTCTCACGCGAGCAGCTCTTCACGCTTTGTCGGTCGCGAGGATGCGGACTCAGGCATGATGGTTTCCCATGGCAATCCTTGGGCCGGGAAACGAAATGCCGCAGCCAGGCGCTTGCTTGCTGTTCGGAAATATGTCGTCCAGACGACGAGAAGTGGGTGCAAGTGGGCTCTATCGAGGATGTGCGTAATGGGTTGAGGACACATTGGATTGGATAGGATTGGGGCTGGGTACAGCTTGCAGACATGCAGCTTGAAGGCGATGCAGGGCATGTTAAAGGATCAGTGCCGTCGCAAGTTACATGCAGCTTAGGCAATGCATCCAGCGTTCAGGGCCTGAAGGGTCTTGGTCCGCGGCCGAAGTAGGCAGAAAACACTACATGCAAAGCAAAATATTTTATTCAGAAGTGCACACGATCTTTGCTTTGTGGGGTTACAAGGAGATACTTGTAACGGCGCGTGCGACGTAACGTTGTAATGGTTGTCTAAGGCCCGTGGGCCTGTCTGCTATCGTTATACTATTAACACGCTCCAAGTACGTTTAGGCGAACTACCACAGGCATGCAAATTACTTCCGCTATGTAACTGCCGTTCGCTTTCTATAACTGTAGGAGGCGAACGGTACCAAGGAGTTACTCCGACCTTGATGTCCAAGCCGCCAGCGTTCAGGTGCAGTCATTTTCAGTTTCACATAGTATGTACTATTGTAAAGCGCTTTGTCCAAATAGAGCAAATTTCGGTTTAGATAGGGAAGTACGGTCTGTACGGCAGGCAAGAACCAGCGTATGGGCAAGCCCGATAGGAGTTCAGCTACTCGCTCATAATGGCTTCGATACCTAAAGGTACATCCAACATATTTGCAGTTATTTAAGCATCCAGGACACGACTACTTAACACCACAATGCTTACTTATTGTAACCTATGAAGGCGCCTTCTTGTACACAACAAGCTGCGTTAATCTTAAGGGAGGAAATACGCTTATAGAAGAGGTGCGGCTAATCTATTGCTACTAAGAACTGGGATGCAAAGGCGAAGCCGTTGCGGCAGCGATGCCTTTCAGCCATGGGATAAAGCTTAGGCGCATGCAGTAGTATTTAAACGGAAGGCATGATATTGGCTGGGTAATAAGGCGCACGGGGTAACGCTAGCTAGTCGCGACAAATTGGGTGTCGCTGTATCCTGCCCTGGACGCGTCTGGAGGTCCACAGCCCAACTTTAAATCAGAATAATACTGTTGGTTGCAGGTTACCTATGACAAGCTTATTTGGCAGTGGCCGCAACGACGAGGAGCACCGCGGCCAACGATTCGGTCAGCGCAGCAGTAGTCACACTTACCCGCATACTTAAGGGACATTTACAGCAGTTAGTTGGGATCAAGGAGCGCCGCCCGGGAAAAGGCAAGTCGCAGCAGCTTTCGAGTGGAAGCTGGGGCGTACAGTGCTGGCTTCCCTCGGCTGGACTGGCGGCCAGGCCACCCGGTCCTCTATAGCAGGCCCCCAGGTGTAGCCCCAAGAAGCGGAGCACTACAACCTAGCACCGGCAGCACTTCCTAGCAGCGTGAGGGACTTCAGCTCAGCAGACCTAGCCATCACTACCCCGCAACCGCAGCAGCCCCAGTACTCGCAGGCCCGGGCCTTCCCTCTCCGCCGCCACCACTTCCTCAACCTCCTCCTTCCCACGCCAGCACCATGCACAAGTATCGACTTGTCGCCAAGAAGGGCGAGGGCACCTTTTCAGAGGTGCTCAAGGCGCAGTGCATCAAGAACGGCAAGTACGTGGCTATCAAGTGCATGAAAAACCACTTTGACAGCCTCGATCAGGTCAACAACCTGCGCGAAATCCAGGCGCTGCGGCGCCTGTCGCCGCACGCCAACATCATCAAGCTGCTTGAGGTGTTGTACGACCAACCCACGGGGCGGCTTGCGCTTGTGTTCGAGCTCATGGACATGAACATCTACGAACTCATTCGCGGCCGGCGGCATTACGTAGCGGAGGAGCGCATTAAGAACTATATGTACCAGCTGATGAAGGCCATGGATCACATGCACCGTAACGGCATCTTCCACCGCGACATCAAGCCCGAGAACATCCTCATAATGGATGACTGCCTAAAACTCGCGGATTTTGGATCCTGTCGCGGGATCTACTCCAAGCAGCCGTACACGGAATACATCTCCACTCGCTGGTACCGTGCGCCGGAGTGCTTGCTCACGGACGGCTACTACAACTACAAAATGGACATGTGGGGCGTGGGCTGTGTGTTTTTCGAGATCGTGTCGCTCTTCCCGCTCTTCCCGGGAACCAACGAGCTAGATCAGATCACCAAGATCCACAACATCCTCGGCACGCCGCCGCCAGAGCTGCTCGCCAAGATGAAGAAGCGCTCGCAGCACATGGACTTCAACTTCCCGCCCAAGGAGGGGACGGGTGTGGCGAAGCTCATACCCCACGTGAACCCCGAGTGCGTGGATCTGATCGTCAAGCTGCTGTCGTACAATCCGGACGAGCGGCTGTCGGCGCGTCAGGCGCTGCGGCACCCTTACTTCCGGGACCTGCGGGAGGCTGAGAAGCGGCAGAAGGCGCTGATGGCGCCCGAGGTGTCGACCCACTTGACCTCCATGGAGGCGGACAAGGTTCGGCAGCAGGTGGGTGTTGCGGCTGTGGGTGCCTGCTGACCTGCGGTGGAGGGTGTTGAGCGAACTGCTAGGGGGGAAGGTGGATGGGAATACGAGGCCGAAGAGTGGGGGGCAAGAGCACAAGTGGGTATGGCTGGCTGGGTGGTTGGCTGGTTACCGGATTTGCTGATGTGGGTCCGGACTGACGGCCTGGAAGCCCAGAGCTATGCAAGCAGCAGTTCCCTTCTCTCCCTCTTCTCTACCGTACGGCGGAGCGGCGCAGCGGCTCTTTCCTCGCCCCTATGCCGCCCTGCTCCCTTCTCACCCATTCCCCTGTCCCTTGTCTCATCCGCAGCAAACCGTCTCCTCCAACGGCAGCGAGCACGAGCAGCACCCCACCTCGCCGCCCGGCGGGGAGCCGGCGCACGAGGGCTCGGCCGCGGGACTGCCCAGCATCGCCGTCCGCACCCACCAACAGGTGCGTGCGGCCGTGCCCTTGAAATCGTCATCACTCGCCCTCACGCCCTCACAACCCTCCATTTCTCCCTACGGGCTTGCTCCTCCGTTCAGCGTGTGGCATCCTACCCTCCATTCCTGTCCTTACACCCAGCCCCTCTGCTCACTTCCCCTCCCCCTGCCTCCCGCCCTCCCTTTTCGCCCCCCCCCCCAGGAGGCCCACAAGGAGGAAGCCGAGTCCACGGACGGCACCTACCCTCGTCTGCCCGGGCTGGCCGCGCAGAGCAGCGCCGCCTCTGTGGAGGGAGTGGCGGACGACGCCTCGCTGCCGCCCATCGCCAACCTCAGCCTCTCCAAGGCCAACATGACGGGCTCCACAGTGGCAGGCGCCACGCATACCTCCACCCGCAGGTCAACCATGAACAACTACTATGAAGGAGGGACGGGAAGCAACCCCTCGAGCTACAAGGGTAAGGGCGCGGCGCCGGCGGGAGGGGCGGTGACGGCCGGCGGCGCATCCGCCGCCGCCGGCCCTGGCGCGCCGGCGGCGGCGGGAGCTGTCGGCGCGGCGGCGGGTGCAGCGACTGGGAACAATGGCGGCGTGGCGCGCCGGCAGTCGGTGGGCGTTGTAGCCGGGAAGTACGGCGGGGTGAACAAGCAGGCGTCGCAGGGGCATGGGCAGGCGCCGGGCGCGGCGGTGGCGGCTATTGGCGGCGCCGGGGGTCAGGGTCCGCAGGTTGCGGTCAAGTACAAGGCCAATGTGGGCAAGTCCAACTCAAAGTACATCAGCCCGTACTCCCTACGACAGTTAGCGGGGCAGAACGCCGCGGGGCAGGCATAGGGCTTGGGGTCGCCGCGTCGTCGGCGCGAGTGGCACTAAAGCGCGGCCGAGGCGCGGCGGTTTTTACTCATCGCAGGAGCTTTACGTGACATTTCGTGCGGCTAGGTTTTGTGTGGTTGAGCGCCGGCAAGGCGCCTGTTTCCGCAGCTGGCGCTTTGGAGCGGCCTGCGGAGGGTGGGGACTGGTGTGGGGACTGCCGCTTGTGATTGGTGTTTGTTGCTTTGACCCGCCCTGTTTAGCGGCGACATGTATGACAATCAGCGCATCGCACGACTGCGCCTACATTCGGACCTCCTAACATGTCACCTGTTTGCAGCATTGATTCCTCTTTTGAGAACCTGAATGCGCCCGCCCCCGTTTCCTTTCCTGATGGGGGCGGTGTCGCGTGTGGTTTCTCTCCGCTCTTGCCTTGGGGTGCTCCGATGTGCGTGCCAGGGTGCATGTTGCTGTTGCTGCTGCGATGGACACACGGCGACTAATAAGTATTGTGTCTTTGGGGTCTTTTACGTAGCTAGTGCGTCTGATGATGGGAGGGGCTGAAGCGGGCATGTCAGGGCCGCGAAGCCGCCAATGTCGGGTGATGCACGGAAAACGGCAGCTCCAAGGTTCAACTAGCTCCGAGCGAGGTCTTGCGGCGGGCAGGGGGATAACCTTACCTCGGGCGCTGGCTGGGTATTGCGTGGCTGGCGTCGAGCACGTGGCCTCACCACGTACAGGGTGTCGCCTGCCTGCCTGCAGACTGGTAATGACGGGCAGCGAGTATTGCGTGACGAAGGCAGCAGGTTTACGGTCGGCGAAAGGGGCGGCCATGCTATTGGTACGGGTCTGTATCGCAGAATGCAATTTTTTAGGAAATGCATGCGACAACGAATGGGATGTGAGTCAAGCGAGCGAGGTTCATGCAGCGCCTGTCTGGCTGTCTGACGGTTAGGTTTTGTTGTCGACCTTCCAGTTGTTCATAAGGTTTGCGATTGGTGTGATCATGTGATCAGGGCACCGGTCTTGCAGGGTACCGGCACCGTTGGAGGGTGCCGTTGGCGTTTGCCGGGCTGACAATGTTCTATTACGCGTGGTGGGTGTTGTCGTGACGTGTGGGGCATGGCAGGACCCGGCTAATTCGGGGCTTTGGAGTACGCGGCGCACCCTGCGTTGCAGCGTTGCCGGCAGGGACGAGCTGGGTATGCGGTTTGAGTACGGCAGGGTTGGATCAGCTGCCGGGCCCCATGGGGTTCGTGTCAGGCTCAGTGGGGCCCCTTTGTCGTCCTTTCTTGTTATCACCAGGCCGCTACTGCTGCAGCCATGCATTTCATATGGGTGCTTGCTGCCTTCAGCTGAAACGTGATGACGCGAGACGGTGCTGCATGCTGTTTCTGTGCGGTTTAACGAAGTCACAGGGGTTGTTAAACGTCCCCTGATTCATTGTCTTGGCAGTGCCGGTGGTGTGCGATAGCGCATGGAGTAGAGCAGTAGGCAAGAGGAGGTGCGCATGCTGCACGTGAACGTTTTGCGACCCGCTAATAGCGCCTTGGCGTGAACAACCGCGTGTGTGGGATCTTGCACGCGTGATTCGTGGTCATCGTTCAGCCGCGACGCCCTGGTCCTGTACAGTCAATGTGCGATATGCATCAGGTGTGGTGGGTTTCCTCCGGTGGTGAGTATTATTGGCACCCGCCCTAATTACCGTCTTTATATCGCCGCATGTTTGCTTGACGTGTGTGTGTCTGCTCGGCATGCGGCGTGTGATATCGCCGTGTGGGATTCAGGGGCGAACTGAGCATGGGACTTCAACACTGCTAATACGCCGCCGTCGTGTCACACAGCATGGCACGATAGCGGTAGGACGGAAGGTGTGGACTTCACGGGGCGTGAAGGGGTGCCGTCGCATGCTGCTGTGACGCTAGTTTGGGTTTCTCCCAGGAAGGAGTGGCGCTACGAGGTGAACTGTACGACGACGTTGGTGGCCCTTGGTGCATACGTGGGTTCGTTGGTGCTATTCAGTTGGTCGGCGCCGAGAGGCTTCTCCGACGGCGGTCGAGGTTGTGCTCTCTTGGGTGAAGGTCGCGGTGCAGATAAATGCACACTTACAAGTGGGCCGTTGCAAGTGATGCTTGCGTGCGCCTGTTGAAAGCCTAATCTTGCACCTACCAGGGTGGCTTCGCTGCCTTTCTCTAGCCGTGTCTCGTAAGCAACTTCGCACACATAGCTCAGCTCCAGGGGCATTATCCGAATCGCTCACTCTTAAATCCACGGCATTGGGTACACCGCCGACCTCGCAACCGGAGGCAAGCATGCAAGCGGGCTGCGGTCATCCACACAGCAACAGCATTATCAACAACGTCATGTCTGCACTGCGTCTACTTGCCAAGGCATTGCGGACTGACAATATTTATACCTGGCTAGACAGCCTTTCTGCTTGACCATGTCACCAATGGGCATGGCGGTGCCAGCGGCATGCCCTACCGGTACCCGACACCAAACAAGTATATTCTCGCTTTGTGAAGGCTCAGGTGAAGCATTTTCAATGCAGGTAAAGAAACGCCGTATCGCATGCAAGCGAGCGTAAACCGATTGGTACATTGGCTGACGAGTTTCGCTAAAGTGCAGCAATTGGAAAGGCCAAACGTCTTGTGTGTACTGCGGTGTCCTGTAAATGTGTACAGCAAAGGTTTTCGTAAGGTGCCCTCCCTTGCGCGAAGTATGCTACTTCCTTACCGGTACGGCACCAATGGGCATTCACGTTTAAGCAGCGGCCGCCATTTGGTAACGGCTATTTACATATAGATCACCAAGAATTGCTCTTTTCACTAATCTATTGCCGAGGCAGCCACGTTTGCAAAAAGCCTCCTAACATAACAAGAATACCAGAAGGTTGCTGTCGGCCAGCGCTCCAGAAATATAAGGTAAGGCGAATATGCACCTTCGAAGATGAGTTGTTTGCATAGCAGCAGGGCACCACCACTGCCCTTAACTGTTCCACGGAGTTTACGAGACCCTTCCTAAACGCGCCGCAGTGGCTGTTTATGAAAAACCGATTCATATCACCACATAAACGTCTACCGATATGTCATGTTGCCAAGGCCGTAAAGGTGAGGCTTCACAACTGAAATTGCCTCTCGGTCTAAGCGGCTTCAAGGCTCTTTCAGCACAATTGCAGCCAAGGGGCTTTGGTAGTATATCTAGTGCAATACTTAAAATGTGCAGACCAAATTTTCGCGAAATATCTAGCACCTTGGGTCCATGGCACGATGCTCATGCTCATGGTGCTTACCAAGTTTAGCCACCTCCCGACCGTTCCCCCATTCGTTCTCCTAACGACAATACCCTTAATACTGTGTTGCCTGCAGGTAAAAGCACGCACCGCCTCCAAGGCAGCGCTCCCTGGCTACTCAGCTGCCTTTTATGAAGCACCCGTGCTCAACCAAATCCAAGAGCATTAGGTTTCTACGCGGCGAAGGCACTCGTCACGCGAGCGTCCCAAACAGCCAGGCAAGTTGGGACCCCAGTAGGCGTCAGTTCAGTCTTGCTTACGCAGCCAGCCTAATAGACATGTCACTGCAGCGCCTAGCCACCGCTGCATGCGGCATGTCGTTAGGTTGTCTGCATGGGCAAGGCATGTTGTTCTGATGGCCACGATGTCCTGCGGGTGTCTCGCCGCTGTATCATGTCCCGTACTTCTCACCCCGCTGTTGCCCCCTTGCCCCCTTGGCATGATCGCACAATCGGACCTCGGAACGGACGGCTGCTGGATGCTCAAGGAGGGCAGGTAAGTGCGAAGTACGACCCCGCGCTTGAAGGTAGGGCCCGGCGTGTCAAGCATCATGTGCATGCATGTAGGGGCATGTAGCTGCAACATACTAGGCATTATGCACGGGCATTGAGCAATCACTGGGGCGCCTACTTGAGGCGGTTTTGCACCGGCCTTTCCTGCTGATTCGTACTCTCCCTCCCTCGATTCTGCTCCATCTCCCGCAGGTGTAGGCTGGCGCACGGCGCGTCGACGGCTTCCGACGCAGGAACGGGTGACCATGTGTGTTTAGTTCCTGTAAGCTGGTCTCCGCCCTCCCTTACTCTGCGCAAGCAGGGGAGGGGAGGGCAACATCCCTGTGTCTCTCTTGTGTCGCTTCAAATGTCATGCACGAATCCTACAGCCGCGTAGCACAAAGCAGCAACAGCAGTCCTGTAACCTAGAAAGCACTAACACATAGGGCACTAGGCTTGTGGCATGTACCTTGCAAGTCCCTAGTAGCGCTTCGAGCATGCGGTAAAGCAGTCAAGCGGCAAGTTAACGCCGCAACAACATGCTCCCATGTCTTAGGTTAAAAGTCAATCACGTACATGACCAGCTTAGGAAAGCCATCGAAGGGACCGCTGACGCACTTACATACTTTCGGAGAACTCTTAATGAAGGAAATACTTGTGCCGTACTACACACAATGGGGCAGCGCACCTCGTCCTTGGAAGTGGTTACAAAAATCTTGTACCTAACCTCGCGAAGACATCAGACTCACGAATACAAGGCAGGACGCCATGAAGCCATGACGCGGCGCTTGTCATAAAACAGACCATGCTGCAACAAAACCGCGGCAGGAAAGCTAACCATCCCTCAAGTAGGCGGGAGCCGCCGCATCGGGGGCCTGCATAGTCCGCAAGCACATTATGCCAAGAGGGCCCGACGCCCAGCAGCTGCAAAATCAACACGTTCCCAACTGGCAACTGAACGTAAGTTAGCAGTTCTTGAACCTCCCCGCCCCGCCCACCCATGCCCCCTCCCGCGCTCGTGAACAACAAGCAAACACGCCATCACCACCTGCGCCCCTCACCTTCACCCCACCCCTTTACGTACAGCGCACGCCGTACTAGCTCCCCGCGGTGTCCTTCCTCCCCCGGGCCAAGGTGCACACCCGCCCTTGCATACAGGTGCTGATAACTACACCGCCCTCCGGCGGCCAAACCCGCACGTTACTATCTTCGACACGCACTCCGGCGCCGAAAGACCAACCTGGCACCCCTTCAAGTGCGACCGAGGGACCGGTGCTGCGTCAAGGGTCTCATGCCACCTCTTGGCAGCAGCCAGTTCGGCGCAAACACGCACACGAGCGGGCACAGCACATCAACACAGCATTCCTAACTCAAGCTCCGCTGCTTGAGCAATGCGCTGCTTTTTTCGCTGTTGTAAAATTGCCAGAACGGCATATATTGTAAAACACTGCCAGTACGGCACGGCATAGCCGGCTTTATTGTGGTATGCCCTCCTCCTCTCCTGCCTGCTTTCCCTCCCCCCCGTACTTCTCTCTCACGCACAGTCATGTGCCCCCAAATGCTCACCATTAGCCTCCCGCATCGCCCGTCACATCTCAAGCATGAGACACAGTGCACACGTTCCTACTCGCGGCCAGTTTTCTTAACACACACACAAACCTTCAACCCACCTAACCACGCACCGCTACCAGAACAGCTTCATCCCAACGATAACCACCAACCGCTACCTGCAAACCTGCATCTGCAACCCCTCCACCTCCCCCCTATCTTACCCTCCTGCCACCTCCATTTCCCCCATCCTGACCTCCTCCATCCCCCCCTCCTGCCTCCTCATTCAATCAGCGTCTCCAGCTCCTGGTTGATTTCCGTCTCCATGCCCTTGATCACCCCGATGGCCTCCCGCACGTCCGGCCGCACCACCATCAGCTCGCACAGCCAGGTAGGCAGTCCGTCCGCCACGCAGTGGCACCGGGTGCCCGGCTCCACCAGCGGGCGCGCGTACATGACGCCGGGCAGCGAGCGGAAGCGGTCCAGGAAGTCAACGCTCTTGATGTGCCCGGATTTCTGTGAGGTGGGAGACGGAGGTTTAAGGAGATCAGGGGAGGAAGGGGTGCAACGCAGACCCCACACTTCAAACGTTATTAATGCTGCGGTTAAGAACTGTTAACAAACCCACTTCCCGCACCCTCAAAAGCCCGCCCCTCCCCACCTGCGCATTGATGGTATACTCCGCCATCTGCTTGAGCGGCCTGCGCGCCACGGGCGGCCGCACGGGTATGCCGGCGCAGGCCATGAGGTGTTCCTCCACCAGGTCAACCCCCCACACCAGCAGGTTGGTGTCGCGCACGGGGCCGCCTCCCATGCGGCAGTTCACCTCTATGAGCCGCGCGCCGCGGGAGGTGAACTTGCACTCCACGTGGAACACACCCAGCTTGAAACCGAGGGCCTGGGGGAGGGAGTAAGAGGGGGTGAGGGGCGAGGAGGGAAGTAACGCGCAGAGTAGTGGCGGAAGTGCCCAGAGACCCAGACCTTGCACATCCTCTGCCCCTGCTGCCCCCTCGCATGGTGGTTACCGGTAGTTTGCCTCCCTCCCGCTCTCTCAACCCCGCCCCTCGCCCCGCCCCCCACCCCAACCACCCGCCCCCGCCCCTCCCCACCTGCACCGAGCGCACCGCCAGCTCCAGCAGCTCCACCTGCTGCGGCTTGGGCAGCACGGAGGGGCAGTTGGAGCCGGTCTCGTTGAAGTACGGCTCAACGGTCGGCCAGTTGTCGGTTATGGCGCCGTACACGGGCCGCCCGTTGTCGAAGATGAGGTCGCAGTCCACCTCGGCACCGTCCAGGTACTGCAGGAGGGGGGAGGGGGGAGGGGGAGGGGGAGGGAGGCACATACCTCAGGGGTTTGACAAGGGAGGTCCCGGCGGGCTGACAACACACGCCAACGCAAACAACCACCCCGCACACCACATCCTTCGCATCCGCACCGCACCCCGCACCTGCCTGCTGCCGCGCCCTCCTAGCCCCCACCTCCCACACTCCTCTACTTACCCCCGCCCCCCCTTTCCCCCTTCTCCTCCGCCCCTCACCTCCTCCCCACTTCCTCCACCTCCACCTCCCCCCCCTTCCTCCACCTCCACCTCCCCCCCCCGCCCCTCACCTCCTCCACCATGAGCTCCAAGTGGATCCAGCCACCCGCATTGCCCCCCGCATCGCTGCCCTCGTCGTCCCCCTCCACCAGCGCACCCGCCACGATACGGGCGCGAGACATGTCGTGCTGGACCCTGCATCAGGGGGGGGGGCGGGGAGAGGGGCGACAATGTAGACAACCCAGGGGCTGCGGCGACCCCGTCCACACCCTCGCACACTCCTCCTGTGTTTCGATTCCCTTCCACGGCTCCCTTGCCCTCTTGCCCTGCTCCACTCCTACTCCCATTAGGCACTATATCTGTACAACCGTACAATCGTCCAACCGTACGAACGGTACCGCAACCGCTACCGCTACCGCTACTTGCTTTTTGAAGGCCCGCAGCAGGTCCTCCTCGTTGTTGGCGCGGATGACCCCGATGGATGCGGCGCCGCTGATGGGCTTGATGACGGCGGGGAAGCCCACGTGCGCGGCCGCCTTCGCCACGTCAGCCTCTGACACCACCTTGCAGTGGCGCGGGGTGGGCAGCCCGGCGCGAGCCATGATCTCACGTGTGGCGTGCTGGCGGGGTGGGGAAGGGGGGGGGGGGGGGAGAAGGGGAGCAGGTGGGGGTAAACGGGTGGTGTGTTTAAGAAGGGGGTTTAGACTCACAACGGGCGGTTGTCGTGTTGTAGTGGGAGCAGTAGCGGCGGCCCGTGTCCCCTCCTCTGTGCATGCATTGCGTGTTTGCGTCCCTCCCCTTTCCCTGCGCCTCACCACTATCCCTTCACTTCACTTCCTCTCAGTAACAACCACGACTCCCTCTCTCCTTCCCCCCCTCCTCAACCCCCCCCCCCCTCACATACACACACCCACCTTGTCCCTGGCATTGTCCACCGCCTCCGGTGTGTTGCCCGGCAGCCCCAGCTTCTCCGCCAGCCGGCTGGCCAGCGGCACCGCCATTTCGCAGAAGGTGGTGATGCCGTCCAGCACCCCCAGCCGGGAGCGCACGTCGCGCAGGGCCTGAGAGGGGGAGACACCGCCTCACCTCGCCTGCCACCTCCCGCCTTCCCCTTCACCAGTACTCTGCTCCTACAACAAAGCTCCCCTCTCCAGCCAATACGCCGGCCGGCTCCCCTCCCATGCAAATGCCACCATCCGTGCCTGCCCGACATCTTCCTCTCCCCGGCCCTCCTCAGGTTCGCTCTCCCACTGCACGGCTTTGTGTTACCGGCACGCCGCCCCACCACCACCTACACACCCCCATCCGTGTCTACATCCCTCCATCTGCCACTCCCTGCCCCTGCCCCTCCCACCTCCCATGCCTCTCTCCCCTGCCCCGCCCACCCCCCACCTGCCCCAGCCCCCCACCTGCAGGCAGCGGTCGAAGACGGTCTCCACGTCCGTGAAGTCGATGGGCACGAACTTCTCAATGATGCCCTCCTTCTCAAGCAGCTGCACCCAGCTGGGAGCGGGTAGGGGGGGGAGGGGAGTGGCGGGAAGGGGAGTGGGGCGGGGGATTGGGAGGGACACGATGGAGGAACATGCGGGAGCGAGTGGGTGGGGAGGTGGGAGGCGGAGGGAGGTGGCCAGGCGCACACACACGGGTTCAAAGTCACCCCACCCTCCACCCTCCAGCCGCCCACCTGTCGGGCCCATCCAGCACCACCGACCGCACCCCCAGCTCCTTGGCCTTCTCGAAAATGAAGCGCTTGCCGCTGTAGCCCGCCGTCACGAACACCATCACCGCGCCGCGCAGCACCTGCCGCCGCATGCTGCGACCGCCCAGCGAGCGGGAGGACACGGCGTCCTGTCCGGCAGAGGGGCGGGGGGAGGGGAGGAGGAGGAGGAGGGGAGGAGGAGGAGGGAAGGGTGAAGGAGGAAGGAAGGGAGGGAGAAAGGGAAGGGGAGGAGCAGTTATGGGCAGGAGGTGGGGAGGGGTCAGGGAGGAGGCAGGGAGGACCTCGCCTCCCTCTGGGCCGCACTGAGAGCTGCTAGGACCGGGAGGAGAGGGTGAAGGGAGGCCAGCGGAGCCCTCCACTACTGGTGGTTTCGTCCCACAACACCTTCCCATCGACCGCCCCAGGAGTCAGCAGCAGGGGCAGGGGCACCATGCATGCTAGTGGCACAGCCGTCATGCCTAATCCGCTGCTAGGGTTCAGCCGTGTAGTATACAGGGGTGATTAGCATCCACAGAGCGACCCCCTACCGCCCGCACGGCTGTCATACTGGTCACCCTTTAACAGTTCGTTAACAATGATGCAAGGCCCGAAGGGTTGTTATGTGGGCACGTGGGCATGGTACACGTGCGTCAACCTCCCCAGCATTTCCCGTGGCACCCAAAAAGGAATAACCTACGATTAGTGACAACTTACCACGTTCATCTCTTTAAGAAGGGCCTGAGATGGAGATAGTGGAATTGATTGCATGGCTTTTACCCGGTCCTCATTGGTGAGGCCCTTCGGCAAGGAGCCGATTACTGCTTGTGAAAGGAAGTTCGACGACAAGCTTGAAGATGGAAATGCAAGGCTGCTCTTCGCGCCCTGCAGTGCACAGTGCTCCGTCGTCAGAAGATCGAACGCACGCGTCACGTGGCCGCAACAAACCATATATTTACCATCGAGGCTGCGACATCCGGGGTTGTCTCAGCACCAGCTCTCCTCCTGAATGGGTTGAGGGGGTAGTCCGCCTGCACTCGCGCCGGCAGCCAAAAGGGTTCTTTGATTGCTAAAAAGAGAAACACCTCATCGACGAGCAAAAAGCCCTCCCATTTTCGCGCACCAAGGGGACTCCATCCAAAAGAACGTTTGTTGGCGCTGAGCCCACAATAGCAACGTCCACAATGCCAAGTTGTCCGAGCTGCTCCGCAGCAGCGCCCAACTCTTCTACTGTCTTAACTCCGTCGATCACATCAGCGTATTCTATACATGGAAATGCAGAGGGATCCAGGAAGGTTCCCTTGGCCTGAGAGGGAGTTGTGCTGGGAGCAGGGGCCGGAGCACCTCCTGCGAGGGCAGCGCTTAGAGCCGACTTCTTCATGTTGAATAAGCCACTTAGTGAGCCTTACTGCGATCACAAGGTTTGCAACTATAAGAGGCCACTAGGCCAGACATCACGAATTGTACGGTCGCGGGTACAGCGCTCGGAGAGGAATGCTTTCCGCGCTGTCCAGAGCCGCACATTGCAGAACACTATCTCCATCACGGCAGGTAGCAGGGGCTGTTTAACCAATTGCCTTTTTCCTGAACAGGTGGCCTCTGCCCTTCACAAGACCTTCAGTCTGTACCCTTTCGGTTTACACGCTTTCGGTCCATATCCCTGCACTCGAACCATACAACTGGATTGCTTACTGGGATCCTATAGATGTCGCGATGTTGGGCACGACGCATGGGAAGAACCCTTCTTCGCTTTCCAGAAGGGTGGCCGCATTAAATGTTGTGCAGTTGAATGTGTTGAGAGTAGTTGCCGATAACAATGGTTCATACTGGAAAAGGGTTATGGTAGGTGCGTGGCTTAGTTTACCTTCTCTTCTGTCTTGAACAGCGTGGGAGCCACGCAGCCTGTCCAAAGCAAGCAACGGTGGCACGCATCCAAGGGATATGGGTGAGCCTAAAGGCGCTGACCCAAATCGACTCCCCTGCGCTGCTGAGGCCGCAGTTGGTAAGCCCAACATAAGGCCTTCTGGGGCAGCACTGATTGCTGCGGGTGGCAACTGGCAAGGCCTTATGAGGCTTCTTGAGGTGGGCAGATGGGCGCTCTTTGCCATCCCAGCTGCGCCGTTGCATGTGGCTGTGAGATGGCGCTGGGGTGGAGGTGGTGAGGTCGTGCGGTCAACCAGACGGATGGTGGATGCAGGTGCGTCGGAGCGTGTGTACCAACCGCAGACGAGTCCAAACACGGCCTATAAGTTACAACGCGACTGCTTTGAAGACGCACAACTTGCCTCACAACAACCCCTCCACAACCCCTCCATCAGAGGCCCAACACTGCCGTACATGCGTGCCGTATAGTCAAGCGCTCTACTCCACGCTGTTGGGCTCTTAACCCTAACGACAGAGTGCCCAAGGCCCTGACGCTGTCTCTTCGGTCTGGTCTTAGCAACGTCTGTTCCCCCTTCTCAACCCCCACCTTTTGGGCAGGTACTGGTCAACGCTACACTGTATGTAGACAAGCTCGCCGACTCCAGACGGGCCACACCTCTGCTCCCAACCAAGCCTCACTCTTGCCGGGCCTTACTTCTGCCTGCACGGCAGGTCCAAGTCCAACCTCTTCAACGCGCCTCGAATGCCGCAAGGCGCAAGCGTGCAACTCCTATAATGCATCAAATACAGGTACAGCCCGTACGCGCATATAGTAGCCCATACCAGCCAGGGCACTATAAAAGTCCTTCCGGGTCAGGACCCCTCACAAGCCGTCGCTCTCCATGGGTAGGTAGCCTCAGGAGAGGCAGTGGTCATAATATACCTCATGCAACGTTTGCTAGAATTGAGGGAACTCTCATACTCGCTACGGAGCTATTGTGGCACGGACAAAATATCATAAAAGGAAATATGCAACTCATCCTCATGCCAACGCCTACAAACCCTGAGGCCAGTACGTGCGCCCGAAATTTTTTGACATACCTGTCACTTGATTATATACATAGGTACATCAATTATGCCCCGTTATACCCTTATGGAACCCAGCATGCATGCATGCATGCGGGCGCCACGGTTAGCCATGCCTCCCAGCCATGACTCCACAACCTCCTACATTCCCGAAACCAGCTTCCCCACAACTCCCTGCTAGACAGGCCACACGACCCCCAAGCTGCTCCGTGCAAGACCTCCGTCTCCTCTTCCTGCCTCCTCCACTTCCTGCCGCCACAATCGCCAGCGCAAGCCCGTGCTTACGGGTCTGCCAGCCAGGCCTCTTCCTTTGCCCCGGCAGTCTGCTTCAGCCCCCGCCACCCACCAATTCCCTCTCCTCACTGCCCTCCCCCCTCAGTCCCTATCCGCATGCACATAGTCCTGGAATATGAACGTCTGCGCCCAGCGCTCCGCCACGCCCGCCACCCAGCCCGCCAGCGCCCACATCGCACCACACACCGCCAGCCCCACCGCTGCTGCACCCGCCGCAGGCGACCAGCCCACCGCTGCACCCGTCACCGCTGCAGCGCCCGCCGCTGCGCCCTGCTGCAGGAGCAACCCCGCCCCCAGCGCGCCCCCTGCGATGCAGCCCGCCAGCAGGCACGCCGCCTGTGCCGCCCGCGCCAGTTCCCCCAGCCTCCGCAGCTGCTGCAGGCGTGTGCTGCAGGTGGGGCAGTGGCGCGTGTGCTGCTCGTAGCGGCTCAGCAGGCGGGCGCGGACCTCGGGGCTGGAGAGAGGGGTCTGGGCGGCAGGGTGGGGGGCATGGGGGTGAGAGGAAGCTGTAATTGTATAGGAAGCAGAGGGGAAGAGAAAGCGAGGGAAGCCCCGGGATTAGGACAACGGGAGGATGGAAAGCCATGGAAGCAGAAGCAGGCACCCTGCATGCATGTCGCCGTCCCATGCAACCGCGCAGCGTTTCAGGTGTTCTGCTGCTGCTCTTGTGGCTCACCCGCTACAGCTGCACGGCAGCAGACCGAGACACGCCCTCCAAAGTAGGTAGGACCCCAACCCCCAGCACCCACCAAGACAATCGGTGGCCACTGCTGCTTTAGCTGCGACGTTGGCGGCAGACCCACCCCTTCCCGGGCCCCTGCCGCCTTCTGCTCCCCCTGCCGCTGCTGCTGCCTCCTACGGAAAGGTCCGCCGCCCGCCCGCTCCTCCAGCCAACGGCGAGCCGCCATCCACGCCCTGTCAGCCTGTGTAGGCAGGAAGTATAGCCGTGACCACTTGCTCATTCCGGGGCTATCGCCGCCGCCCGTGGTGGTGGCGTCGCTGCTGCTGCCGCTGCTGCTGCCAGCACCGCTAGTGCCGGCACTGCTGCTGCTTCCGGCGGCCGCCTCGGCATCCTCCTGCGCCTGCATGGCGCGCAGCAGCTCGTCCTGAGGGAGGGGGTGCAAAGGTTGGCGACATGGGCGAAACGTACACCGGAACAAAAGAGTTGGTCATGCAGGCGTCCTTAACGAGGCAGATTAGACAGCAGATGGAGGCAAACGGTAGGTATGGAAGGAGGGCGCACCTCATGCATGCTGGACGGACCCACCCGTTCCCCAGTGGGTTACCGCACCTGCCCGAACATAAACACGGCGTCCCCGTCCATGATGTTGTTAAGGAAGTAGTGGTGCGACACCACGGGGTCAAACCTGGGAACGGGGCAGGGCGCGTTGAGTCGTGAGATATCAGGTTAAATGCTGGACGTACGGAAGGAGGCGGGGAGCCAGGCAACAGGGTATTTCGAGTGAGGTATTATGGCACGTCCTGTTGAGAGAGCAGGGTGCCTTTAGGAGGAAAAGGGTGGGCGCAGTAGCACCACATTCGTGTGGATGAGCACAGCGCGCCAATCCGGGGGGAATGGCAAGCACGCGGGTTAGCAAACTTAGCATGGTTACTCGATGCTCGCGCTTTGAAGCAGCGCACCTATACTACCGGTGTGTTGCATGCTGCGTGTAGGGACATCCCTGTCTGTCTGCCCGCTGCTGCACCCACCTGCGCAGCAGCCGGAAGGCAGCGCCCCGCAGCCCCAGCAAGTGCAGCGGCGGTGGGGGCCGCGGCTTGCTGCCGGGTGCAGGGACGAAGTCCGTGGAGAGGTAGCGGCAGCGGCCTGGAGCCACCGGCACGACCACCATCTCCGTCAGCACCTCAGTCTGCGGTGGAAGGAATTGGATGGAATGGGTGGTTGGGCGTTAGGATGGCGGTTGTGGCAAAGGTGGGCGGCTAAGCACACACTTGGTAGCTGCAAAAGGGGCTTTCCTATGAACGACAAACTCAAATACGGTCGGTGGATGTCAACATACATAGCGCTGCTGCCAACCGCGTCTCAGCTGGCACACCGCCCCCGTTCCTGCTGCTCCTGCATCCCTCCGCATCTCCCTCCATATCCGTGTTCCGCCCCGCCGGACAACCCACCTCAGCCACCACCCAGCTGTAGGTGACAAGGTATGGCGCAGTAAAGCAGATGGTGACATCTGGATTGGTGTTACCCTTGAAGTCAAACTCGGCGTCTGGACCCGTGGGTCGCGGCCAGTAGTAGGGGATCGGGGCTTGCACGCGGCTGCTGTCTTGGTTGCTGCTAGCGACAGTGGTGGCAGGGGCATCAGCAGATGCCGCTGCCGCGGGGACTGCGTTGCTGGGAGCAGTTGGCGTCTTGCGAGGCCGCATGGGCATGGCTTTCCCAGCTGACCTGCGAATAAGGGTCAAGCGCTGAAGGTTGCAGCGAAAAGAGGTGGATGACGCAGCGCACGGCAGCAACGAGCCCGACTGCTAACCCCTTCTCACCTCCCGACCTCCGCTGCCCAAACCTCACCTCTTAAGTGCCGGGTCTTGGCCGTGGTGGCTGAAGGGAAGGTGCGCCGGGTCCAGAATATTCTCGATCACCATCTCGTAGCTCAGAGGCAGCTCGCGAAGGAACCAGTCGATGGGTTTCGTAGCCCCCACGTGTTTGGCGCACTCAGCTGCCCGCTGCCGCAGCCTGGAGGTCATCAGGAGGGGGGCGGCCGCGGCGGCGGCGGCAGCGTCCGGGGAAGCATCCGGCCAGACCCACAGCATGCCGGCCTGCGTCAGGAAACAGGATAAGAAGTGGTATTATGAGGCCTGGACCGCAACACACGGGGACTGCGATAGACGTGCGTGACCTTCTGTGGAAAGCTATGCGAAAGGTTGGAACTTCGTTGCACGACGAGGAAAGGGACTACCAATGCAATGCCCCGCAAGAAAGGGCAATCGGGAAAATTGCCGTAGAGAGGCTTTCCCAACCCGCCCCCTCGCCTCACCTCCAGCCTCACGGGGTAGGCAGTGGCGCAGGCGCGGCGGTTCCTGCACGCCGCCGCCTCGGCCGCCGGGTCCAGCGCCTGCGGAATGCGGGTGCAGGCGCCCGTGCCGTCGAAGCGCCAGCCGTGGTAGGAGCAGGACAGCGAGCCGTCCGCCTCCAAACGGCCCTCTGGGGAAGCGGGAAGAGGCGTCAGGAGGGCGCGGCCGCACGAGGACTAGCAGTGATCAAACACGGTAACACCAGAACAGGCATATCCTCTGTTGGCGTTTTGTTCGTAGAACGCATCACACATCCCAATCAAGTGTCCCAAGGCCCTCGTAGGCCCTCGCCTCCTCCTCAACCCCTGCTGCCCGCCCCCCGCCCCGCCCACCCGACAGCGGCACCAGGCGGTGGGGGCACTGGTCTCGGAACACGCGCCAGCTGCCGGCGCCATCCCGCCACACCACCAGCGACAGCCCCAGCAGCTGCACCGGGTTGGGCCGCTCAGGCCGCAGGTAGGCCTCGGGCAGCAGAGGCCACCAGTGGCTGGGGGGAAAAAAGAAATTCCAAAGTGTGGTGTGATAATGATATAAGTTGCTGGCTGGGGGGGGTGGGGGGCAGCGGAGGGAGGGTTGTGGGCCTTTTGGGTTTAGGGGCCTTTGGCGGAGTGCATGTTGGGGTGGCGGGGACCCGGGGAGAGCAGACTTGCGAACGTTCCCCCGTCGGCTTCACGTTTCATAAGGAGCTGCCTACCTTGTCCAATTGAAGGGTTGGGCCCCAGATTCGGCTCCTTGTGAGGGTGCAGTTCCGGAGCCGGGAGCAGGGGTCAGGCTGGCGGGTGGAGGCACGGAAGCCATGTCGTTGGGGTCAACGACATTTGTGTGGGTGCTACTCGGCGCTGACGTGGCCACGTCGACCTTGGTCGTAGTGCTTGGAGCCGCTGGAAGGCGTGTGTGATGTTGGTTAAGGTGATGCGGCTGGGGTCTGGGACGTAACAGCAGCGGGTGCTGAGACGGGCTGGTGCGGGGGTGTGGGAACTGCGGGATGCGAGGTGCCCGTGGGCTCAGTGAGAGGTGCGGCCTGCACGTCGGGCAGGGGAAAGCGTGAGGCGTTCTTAGAGGACGAGTGACTATGGGTGAGTGGAAGACGTTGGATTATAAATAAGCTTGGGGAGAGTAGGCGTGGGTTGTGCATGCAGGCCTGCTTATGGTGGCCTTACGTCCTCTGGTGCGTGAGTGGAAGGTATTGGCTTACGCATGACATTGGGTTATTGAGAGGGAATACGAGAGGGCATGTAGGCCTGCTTGGATGGGCTGTCAACGACTGGTTGCGCAACGAAGTGAGAAACCATAGCTGAGCTTGCCAGTTGGGAGGTTGGTAACTGACTGTTAGCGTAGATCACAAGTGAGTAGGGTACTCAAAGACGCGGTGGGACGGCCTTTCGTCACCCATAAGCATGACGCAGACAAGGGCAAGGGTCACGGTGGCATCATTCAGGGAGCTGTGACGACTTCACGGCTCGTGTGAATAGTACCTGCTAGTGCTGCTGATCGGCACGAAAACCGGCTTCCAGCCAGGCTGGTTAACCGCCGCTCGGCAAGTTGCCATCCTCCTTTGTCTGATACTCCAAGCCTAGATTTCAGGACAAGTCAAAGTGTGCGTGCCGGAGTCCAAGCTGCAATTTGCTGAACGGGCGCACAACAGAGCTCAACACCTGAGTGTATATGTATTCAATTGTCCACGCACCCGCTGTCTAAGACTCCTTGACGGTCTTAAGTGGCCCTGACATGTTAAGGTATCATCGTTTTGCCTTCTCGCCTCCTCCGTTACAAGGTATGGTGTAACCACTAAGGCGCCATACTTGGGACGCTTCTTTTTTGGCTGTCCTTGCAGGCACACTGATGGGCTTCTCAATAGCACTCATATTTTGGCACTTCGAATATACAGGATACATACTTGCTGAATTAGGGGCATCCAGTTGATCTACAGATGGCAATGTATAATAAGCTACGCGCTGTGGCGACGTAAGTTATTGTGACTTCGATAAATGCATTAAATACATATATGTAACTCGTCTACCCGGTCTACGTCCGTCTGTGGGCCCAGGAACACCGTCGTCAACGTGCATGTCAACAAGCAAGATGCGTAGTCGACATTTGGACGTGTTTTGACAAACATTACACCCGCTACCTTAAGATATAAATAAGCATATACCTGGCAACATCTTCTTATCTCGGTTGGTGTTGCATACATTTGCACTCCGGGGATTCGGTAGTAGGAAGATGACGGCCTCTCGCAATTGCTAACATTCCTTAACGAATTACAACTTTATTCAATGCTTTACCCCCGCAGAGACGGCAAATACCCTAATACTGGTCGTCGTTCTGCGCTCCGCCGCTATCAGGCGATTCCCCGCAGGGCACAAGCAAGCAGCAGGGAAGTCCAGAAGGGCCGGAAGATGGCATCTAAAGTCGTAAAACTTTTTTTGGTTGCAATTGACCTAGCTATATCGTTGAGCATCAACTGCCTCAACTGCTAACAGTTGAAACTGCCCTATGGCAACTGTTAGGTTAAACGTGTCAATATTGATGACAAGTAAGGCCCGCCTTCGGCGGGAGCGACCCGTAGCTCGGCAAGGGAAGCGAGTTATGTAAGCTGAAAGTTAGGTTGGGTATGTGGTGTGGAACGGGAGGAGGCGACAAATGTATGGGCGGTATGTTGCTGCTACAAGGAGTCAATCTCCGTACAATCGGCCGGCAGGTATTCTCTGCCAAGCGTACAACCTGGTTCAATTGTCGCCAGTCTTTTGGCAACTGGCAACAAGTCAACAACAACTGAACAGCTCGGCATGGTGCCAAACAGTCTAGTTAGTGGCATGTGACCAGCAGTGTAACCCCTAGCAAAACGGACACCAACCAAACCCAGTGCCGTGCAACCAGCCGTCGGATCTATCATGCTAAAAGTACAGCAGGTCGTTATCTAGTGGACGTTACCGTTACGCCGCAAAGCAAAACGTCGGCCCCTTTCAACAACAACTGAACAGTTCGGCATGGTGCCAAACAGTTTAGTTAGTGCCATGTGACCAGCCGTGTAACCCCTAGCAAAACGGACACCAACCAAACCCAGTGCTGCGCAACCAGCCGTCGGATCTATCCTGCTAAAAGTACAGCAGGTCGTTATCTAGTGGACGTTACCGTTACGCCGCAAAGCAAGACGTCGGCCCCTTTCAACAACAACTGAACAGCTCGGCATGGTGTCAAACAGTCTAGTTAGTGCCATATAACCAGCCGTGTAACCCTTAGCAAAACGGACACCAACCAAACCCAGTGCTGCGCAAGTGTACCGTTACGCCGCAAAGCAAAACGTCGGCCCCTCAGTGGGCGTTGCGGCGCTCGCCCATCCACGGGATGGCGGCGGGGTTCCACTTGGTGTGGAGCACCTGTGGGTGGGATGGATAGTGGAGGAGTGGTCGGGTCGGAGTTGTCTGGGAGAGATAGCAAGGAGACAAGATAAGAACACGAGGATGCGTTTTCCGCAAGAGAGTCCTAAATCGTTCAGTTGTGGACTCACGTGGGCATCGTCGTCCAGCTGGGCGCGGTGCAGGTGCGGGCGCAGGCGGCTCCATTCGGTGGCGGAGAGTGTGCTGCCGGGGTCACGCCATTCAGTGGACGCCATGCTGGTGGCGCGGCTGACCAGGGAGCGGAGCTGCGCGCCCGTGCACCGCATGAAGGCGGCGAAGTCGTCGTAGGCGATGACGAAGAGGTTGCCGCCCGCCGATGCGAGCTCGGTAGGCGGGCACTGGATGCGGCCGTTGGAGAGGTATACCACCGGGTGGTAGCGGGTGATCCATAGGGGAAAGCCGCGGGCGTGGTACTTAGACGCCCGGCGGAGGGAGAATTGGCTGGGGATGGAAATGGCGGCGCCGACAATTAGCGAGTAGAACCAGAGGGCGTGGCAGTACGTGTTGAGGTCCGGGTCTGCCGGGTCGTCGAGGAGGACGGCAAGCATGACTACGGAGAGGTCATAGGCTGTGACGATGGCATCTGCGGATGGGGTAAAGGTAGAGGGAGGGTGCGAGCGGGAGTGTGGAGGTATAAGGGTATTAGTTTGGCTGCGTTGACGTACAAATAAGGCACTAACTCAGGGGGGGGGTTAAAAACCAGCATTCGGCGCCCAAGTCAGCACCCGCTCAGCAACAGAACCGGAAACCACGAATACCTACCACACCCCGACCAGAAACACAACCCCAAACATACCATCCATCAAAGAATCCCGCCGACGCCAAAAAGCCCACCTGAAGCATCCGCCCGAACACCACCGACACACCGTGCCACCCCCCCAACCCCACACCCAAACAAGCTTTGGGGTCAATAGAATTGGTGACGTGCCCTGTCGCGTGTTGTGCCTCTTCCACCGGACTTACGCTTGTGTTGGGCGACGCGCTTGTTGAATTGAACGCGTTGGTGGGTGGTGCGGTTGCCAATGGTGACGTCGCACACGACGGTCGTGGCGCGCTCGGTGTCGATGATGCGCAGGATATGGACGTCTTGCAGCATGGTGAGGAGGTGGATGGCGTTGCGAAGGATCGTGAAGCCAGCGGCTGCGGTGGGAGCAATGACGTAGATGTCCTAGTCGTGTACGAGGTTGGGGGTGATGGCTTCCAGGGGGATCTGAGGGGTTGGTGGAAGGAATTAGAGGAGGGGGTGAATAAGCGGTTTGATGGGGCAGATGGGACAGAGCGAATAGAGCAAGGTGCAGGTGGAAAGGGAGGTGAAGAGGCAAGGACCAAGTGGGAGTAATGAGGAATTTTAAGGTGGTGCGGCCCCCATGTCTTCGGCTATAACTGTACCTGGAGGACTGCGTAGAGCGCGGCGCTTCCTGCAAGCGCGAGGGTGGCAGGGAACGCTCGCAGCAGCGTGGGGATGAGGCCATTGGTCAGGCAGCCGAGGCGGCCTGCGGAGGTGGTAAGGGTTGCGACGGGAAAATGAGAGGTTGGCCCAACCTTGAAGAATTATAGCCGGACGTGAAGGTGACGACGAGCGAGTGAAGGTGACCACAAAATCCACTCCCACCCCCAAACGACCGACCACCAAAACACGCCGACGCCCCTAAAAACCCACTCCGAGGTGGCTGCATCCTACCTCCTGTCTTTCCAGGTTTACCTTTCACGTCGCGGGGGTTGACCACGTTGCGGTTGTTGGCGAATTGTTGGGGTGCGGGTGTGTTTGCAGGTGCGCGGAGAACGTAGTGACGGAGAGCGGCGAAGGCAGTTGCGATATGCGTAGAGTTGGCGATGAGGCGCTGTTGCTCGCCCCACGCCCACCGGCTGCACTAACCACCACGCCACCTTGCTGAAGGCGCTGCAAGATAGCTGACGGGTCCGTACTATCATCTAAAGGGTCGGAAGTAGAGTATGCGCCCCCATGGTGCACCTCGACGTCATCCAGCCCCAGCATGTGTACTCCAGGTCCGATGTATCCGTCTGGCTGCAGTGCGGCTGCAGGCGACACAACGACACCAGCTGTACCGCCCGGCACGGCTAGTGCGGCCGCCATGGGCGACGGCCGAGCGAAGACGCCTGCACGCGCGCGGTTGGCAAAATTTAGGATTAAAGCTGCAAAGTTCCAATTAATCTGGAGCTGGAGTTAGGGAGGCGCAACAGCCACCTGCTGGATGTTGCCCGGCGACGTCGGAAGGGTTACCTTGGGTGTGTGATTGCATGGCGGCACAGCACGGTATGGGTAAAGACGCTGTCTCCCACCCCCCTCCACGCGCAGCAATGCACATCAGGTCCTTACCTGTCACCGGGATATTTGGCGTACGACCAGACGGCGCTGGCTCCTGACCAGCACCCGGACCAGGCGATCGACCACCTACAAATGTACGGTCCCAGGCGCGGTCGGACGTACAACTGGTAATAAGGATGAGTCAAAACAAACTTTCCTGCTCACGCGCACGTTCGGACCATTGCGTTGCAAATGGAAAAGGTAGGCCCCTCACCTGCTGCATTCGCGCCCTCCGTCGCCGCTTCCACATCATCCTGCTGCTGCCGCACCCGAGCGTTGCCGGCACGATCCCCTTCAAATGCAGCGCGCATGACCGCTGCCGTGTCTGGGTCATCTGTAGCCACCGCGTGCGCCACTAACGGCTCTGGCACCGTCGGCTCCGCACCCAGAGCGCGATACTGCTGAAGTGCAGCGTGGTCCACCTGAGCCATTGGATTCACGCGAACGGCCCACTCCGCCCATGCAGCGATAGCCAGGCCCCGCATCTAGCTGGCAAGGTATCCACCGCGCGCCAGCTGGGTGTACCCGGCTGCCGCACAACGAGCAGCCGCATGTGAGGGCGAGCGAGGCCCACCACCAAGCTCTCCAGATGCGTCAGCGGTACGAGCGAATGACCATGCTGATTTACAGGGGGTACGTCGCCGGGATCCAACCGAGCCAGCGCCCCATCTGGGATCCGCCCACCTGGTGAAGGGCAGTGACAGGGGCGTTCAATGTCAGTAGAGGCATGGGAATAGACGGAGGTACAGTGCCAGGGCCCGGTCGAGGCAGCCCATCATCTATAATGAAAACAAATAGCACCATGCCGGTGCTAATAGTGATCACAACCTTCGCAAACAGACGGCCCCCATGTTACCATAACAGCGTTCACTACCCAACGCACCCTGTAAGGCCTGTATGCATTCCGAGCAGACCGTAAAGCGCTCCACGCCGTCCGCTGAAACGTTCATCGTTCGGTTGGGCAGTACCGTCTCCGCGCGCATGCAGTACGGCACCTCCACCGCCACGGGATTATCGTCACACAGCCGTACCCCTACCCGTGGCGCATACGTTGGAGGACGGTCTATGTCGCAGCGTCGTCGGCGTGACGGCCGATCATCGGTAGAGTCGTCAAGGCCGCTGCTGGTCTCGCCGCTGCCCTCGCCAGCGGATGTGTCAACTACGCCGACGTTGCCCGACTGACCACCAGCGGCCTTGTAGCCGCGTGGCAGTACGGGATCCGGCGGGTTTTTGCAATCACGCCGATCGACACGCCGCCAATACAGAACGTGCGCGCAACGAGGCACAGCCGCAGTCCGCCGCATGTCAGCACGTAGCAGCTCAACGCCAGCTATCTCGCTGAACTGCAGCGCCCGGACCTCTGAAGCGGACTTGCACTCACTGCAGACTGCACACACCCGTGATGGCATGTTGTCGCGAACGAACTCGGCGAGGCCACAAGCCAAAGTTATCTGCTCCGAAAACGGTATCTGGGGAGGCTGTTCACCTGCTGGCAAGTCCCGCACCCGAGCTGGCCAAGCAGACGTTTGTGTCTCTAAGAACGTCGGCAGCTCAGGTACAGCTGGATTGTCGTGACGGAAAAGCGGCAAGCAGAGGCAGCCTGAAAGGGACTCGAGGTAATCATCGTGAGACAACCCACCCACAAGTCGAGAACGCTTACGCTGGCAAGCTTGCCTAGCTGCTGCCATCAGTTGCCTCCGCTGAAGCCTACACGCTGCATTGTCACGTCTGCGCGCCTGCCTGGCTGCAGCCGATGCCGCTGCTGGTGCACCCAAAAGGTCGTTCTGCTGTACATGCAGCGCAGTGGAACGCCCATGCCCCAATCCCAGCCCTCCCACTGCTGCCGCCGGCGCTGCTGCTGATGCTGCTGGCGCCACTGCGGGATTCCCACCGCGCCGGCCGGAGCCGCCAGGCCGAAGCCCGCCGGGAGTCCCACCGTCCCCGCCGGAGCCGCTAGGCCCAAGCCCCAACCAGGCTGCGCCGCGGCGGGGAGTCCCACCGTCCCCGCCGGAGCCGCTAGGCCCAAGCCCCAACCAGGCTGCGCCGCGGCGGGGAGTCCCACCGTCCCCGCCGGAGCCGCCAAGCTGAAGTCCACCGGTAGTCCCACCGTCCCCACCAGAGCCGCTAGGCCGAAGCCCACCGGGAGTCCCACCGTCCCCGCCAGAGCCGCTAGGCCCAAGCCCCAACCAGGCAGCGGCGCCCAAAGACCGAGGCCCAAGCCAGCCGCAGCCGAGGCCCCTAGCCTGGAGCCTCCGCCGACTCCCGCAGCCGTACCGCACAAACCCGCCTGCCCCGAGCTACCTCCTCCTGCGACTGTACGCTGCACACCAGCGCTCGGCAGATGCCCTCGCTGTTGTGCTTGCTCCTGTTGCAGACGAGCGATAGTCTGGTACAACGCAACAGCAACAGCATCTGCCCGCATGAGGTCCTGTTGCCGCACCACGTCTGGATCCCCCAGCTGGAGCTGCCATCGCACCGAAGCGAGTGGGTTAGGAGGAAGGTGACCAGCAGCAACAGCATACCGAGCGCACAGCGTAGCAACGACATACTCGCTGTCACTCCTCTGGCGTACTCGATCCAGTAAGCCGTGCTCAAGTATGTACGTCCCAAGCTCCAGCATGTAAGTAGCTACCTCAGGCACTGTATGCCCGAACCCACGCAAACGATCGACGACCCGCTGAACGAATTCCGACAAAAGCCCAGGGAAGCATAGAACCGCATAAACGGAACCTTGACGCTCGGTCAGCAACAAGCTGGCAACTGCTTTGAACCACGGCCACACGCTGAGCCGACGTAAGCCGCTGCAGTAGAGCACGTTGTCGAGCGGGTCACCCGCGCCTGCGACACGCCCAAGGGAAAGGCTGGTACAGCGCCAGAATATAACCGAACGTCATGCGCTCGCCACACACACCTTGATCATCCTTTCCCATGGTGCCCAGCTCGGAAAGCGGTAGCTCTATACCAAACAACGAAACAAAAAACAGCAGCAGCAAGCCAAAGGCTCTGCTAGGACTACTTTCCAGGCAAGGAAGTACTTTCGTTAGCCTCGCCGCACGTGGCGTGGCTTGTGCACCGTTATAAATTGGTTTTACGCGCTTTCTTATACGCTTATTTAGACGTCTATCTAAAACATCTTCGTAGGTGGGTTGTGAAGCGGCGTGGTTTTCCTCGCGAAATCGAAGCGCGGTGAAGCCACGCTGGCTACGCAATATAGCCGTAGTAGACTTCACAAACTCGAACAAACTTCACAAGCAACGACACGAGCGACGCACGAAGAGTTGGCCGGCCGTTGAAAATCTGGTAAGATTCCGTATCAAAGAGCGTGACAGCAAAAGCGCGCCACGCTGGACGGTTCAAAGTGAAGGCCGAGCCGTGAACAAGAGCGCTGAAAGGATCCCGTTGAGCGTGACGGGAACGGGGTATGCATCCCTTCGCTTCGCTACTTTTGGAAGTGGGGCGTCAGTGTGGGACGGTTTCATTTTTTTGTCTGGATTTTTGTTAGGTCCGAGGTGTTTGCGCTTTTTTTTTATTCGAGGGGGGTGATCTTGAGTGTGCTTGCTCCTGTTGCAGACGAGCGATAGTCTGGTACAACGCAACAGCAACAGCATCTGCCCGCATGAGGTCCTGTTGCCGCACCACGTCTGGATCCCCCAGCTGGAGCTGCCATCGCACCGAAGCGAGTGGGTTAGGAGGAAGGTGACCAGCAGCAACAGCATACCGAGCGCACAGCGTAGCAACGACATACTCGCTGTCACTCCTCTGGCGTACTCGATCCAGTAAGCCGTGCTCAAGTATGTACGTCCCAAGCTCCAGCATGTAAGTAGCTACCTCAGGCACTGTATGCCCGAACCCACGCAAACGATCGACGACCCGCTGAACGAATTCCGACAAAAGCCCAGGGAAGCATAGAACCGCATAAACGGAACCTTGACGCTCGGTCAGCAACAAGCTGGCAACTGCTTTGAACCACGGCCACACGCTGAGCCGACGTAAGCCGCTGCAGTAGAGCACGTTGTCGAGCGGGTCACCCGCGCCTGCGACACGCCCAAGGGAAAGGCTGGTACAGCGCCAGAATATAACCGAACGTCATGCGCTCGCCACACACACCTTGATCATCCTTTCCCATGGTGCCCAGCTCGGAAAGCGGTAGCTCTATACCAAACAACGAAACAAAAAACAGCAGCAGCAAGCCAAAGGCTCTGCTAGGACTACTTTCCAGGCAAGGAAGTACTTTCGTTAGCCTCGCCGCACGTGGCGTGGCTTGTGCACCGTTATAAATTGGTTTTACGCGCTTTCTTATACGCTTATTTAGACGTCTATCTAAAACATCTTCGTAGGTGGGTTGTGAAGCGGCGTGGTTTTCCTCGCGAAATCGAAGCGCGGTGAAGCCACGCTGGCTACGCAATATAGCCGTAGTAGACTTCACAAACTCGAACAAACTTCACAAGCAACGACACGAGCGACGCACGAAGAGTTGGCCGGCCGTTGAAAATCTGGTAAGATTCCGTATCAAAGAGCGTGACAGCAAAAGCGCGCCACGCTGGACGGTTCAAAGTGAAGGCCGAGCCGTGAACAAGAGCGCTGAAAGGATCCCGTTGAGCGTGACGGGAACGGGGTATGCATCCCTTCGCTTCGCTCCTCCGAAACCGCATACTTCGTATACGTTTTCTTCGAATCGAGCTACGGGGATGTTTAGTTATGTTTGTTGCATGTAATGTTTGGCACAGCTGTCGTGACGGAGGGCTGGGCCGAAGAACCCACCCTGCAGTAAGCGACCCGACCGGCAGCCCGGTAGGGATCCGTGTTCCTTGTTCCCATTAATGTACCGGCTATCCAGCGAGGAGCATGTTCCGTGTTCCACCTTCCAAACACCTCAAATGCCTACGAATGAGTTGTAATAATGATACACTGAGAAAGCTTAAGACCATTAGTTTGCTACTAATTCCTGCAGTTTGTTTCCTGCACAAAACCCCGGAACATGCTGCATGTTACTACCGTGTCCCCCATCGTGTTCCCGCCCATGCATGCTCCAACGCGGCGTAAATAAGGCAGCCCTCAAAAACCAAACACCCGCCGTTAACATGGACACAGCATTACAACCTACTCATCACATTAGTCACCTACTCAACCCCAACCCGCAACCCTCCCTCCCCACCCTCACATGGCAGGTACATCGCGGCCCTGCAGGACCGCCACGCCTTTGTGCCGCCCTGCATGGAGAACATCAACCTCAACACCACCGACGCCCGCCTCTTCAAGCTCCACAACCGGTACGGCTTCTCGCTGGTGTGGCGCAAGCTGCCCAATATCCTCAACAGCCCCGGTCTGCTCGCCACCGGCGCTGCCGCCTCCAACGATGCCGCCGCCAACCCCGAGGGGTACCTCCGCCAGCCACAGCGCAACGAGGATGGCAGCCCCCTGCCCCCGCCGCAGAGGCCAACGCCTACGCTGCTTTTTCAATGCAACGAACCTTGTCAATGCGAATGTTGCATACCCAGTATTTTGCGCACTTATCGGTTGCTCAGCTACAGTTGCTAACGCATTACAACCCCACAAATGTTACCCCCATGCCACTGCCCTCTGCAATTACTCCCGTACGGTTGGGTTTACCACCCGTGCTTCCTTCTAGAACGCCATTGTAACGGTTATTCACTCTTTATCCGCATGCACGTAGTCCTCGAAGACGAGCGTCTGCGCCCAGCGCTCTGCCGCACCCGCCACCCAGCCCGCCAGCGCCCACACCGCACCACACATCGCCAGCCCCACCGCCGCTGCACCCGCCGCAGGCGACCAGCCCACCGCTGCACCCTTCACCGCTGCTGCACCCGCCGCTGCGCCCTGCTGCAGGAGCAACCCCGCCCCCAGCGCGCCCCCTGCGATGCAGCCCGCCAGCAGGCACACCGCCTGTGCCGCCCGCGCCAGTTCCCCCAGCCTCCGCAGCTGCTGCAGGCGTGTGCTGCAGGCGGGGCAGTGGCGCGTGTGCTGCTCGTAGCGGCTCAGCAGGCGGGCGCGGACCTCGGGGCTGGAGAGAGGGGTCTGGGCGGCAGGGTGGGGGCGTGGGGGTGTGGGTGTGGGTGAGAGGAAGCATTTTAGGGTGCAAAGGGGGAGAGACAACAAAGGGAAGCCGCCTTTGAATTGGGATCGAAGCGAGTATGGAGAGCAGCCATTCTAGCTTTGGCACGTGGTTACCACCCTGCATGTCGCCGTCTCATGCAACCACACAGCGATACAGGCGAGTTTTGCTGCTGCCCTTGTGGCTCACCCCCTACAGCTGCAATCGGCAAGCCCGAGCCACCCCTTCCAAAGTAATTAAGACCCCGCCCCCCAGCACCCACCAGGACAACTGGTGGCATTTGCTGCCTCTGCTGCGACGTTGGCGGCAGACCCATCCCTTCACCACCCAAAGGTCGGGCACCCGCCGCCTTCTGCTCCCTTTGCTGCCTCCTGCTGAAGGGTCCGCCGCCCGCCCGCTCCTCCAGCCAACGGCGAGCTGCCAGCACCGCCCTGTCCGCTTGCGTGGGCAGGAAGTATAGCCGCGACCACTTGCCAGCCCCAGAATCGCTGTCGCCGCCGCCCGTGGTGGTGGCGTCGCTGCTGCTGCCGCTGCTGCTGCCAGCACCGCTAGTGCCGGCACTGCTGCTGCTTCCGGCGGCCGCCTCGGCATCCGCTTCCGCCTGCATGCCGCGTAGCAGCTCGTCCTGAGGGAGGGAAGAAGTGGGTGAAGAGGCTGGTGGCTTACCTGGGCAAAAAGGAGGTTTGTCACGGGGCTGAATGGTAGAGCTAAACGTGCCAACTCCCCTCCCGGTATATCAGGCGGAAGGGCATCAAAGACCATACCTAACCTTAGGAAACCACCAGTTAGGGCAAAGCAATGGGGGAGCGGGAGGGGGGCAGCGGGGCACACCATGCCGGGCCAAACGTACAGTGACCCGGCTGGAAGCCGTACCTGCGAACACAGGAACACGGTGTCCCCGTCCAGAACTTGGTTGAGGGCGCGGTGGTGGGTCACCACGGGGTCGAGCCTGGGGGCGGGGCGGGGCGGGGTGCGTTGAGAAGGGGAACAACCTCATTAGGTGCCGGTCTGGACGGGGCCTGCGAGAGCAGGAAAGAGAGGCGGGGGGCGAGGCAGCGGAGGACGTTTCGTATGCTGTGGCACCGACCAGGGGTGAGGAAGATTAAGGCAGGACGAGGTAGGAGGGCTGGGCGCAGCGGCAGTGGGTCCGTGAGTATGCCAAGCTGCATGGTGAGGATGGCAGACACAGCGTGGGCATCTGGGCATGTGCATGGAGACAACCCAGGCAGGCACGCATGAGCAACACTGTAATTAGCTAATTACGGCAGCCCTGTCCACATCACCCACTTCATCATGAGGAGGAAGGCAGCGCGCTGCAGCCCCAGCAAGTGCAGCGGCGGCAGGGGCGGCGGCTTGCTGCCGGGCATGGGGACGGTGTTCGGGGAGAGGAAACGGCTGCGGCCAGGTGCCACCGGCACCGCCAACAGCTCTATCAGCATCTCGGTCTGCGGTTAGGAGGAGGGAGGTAATGGAATGCGAGTCTGATTTGAGTGGTGGGTTGCTGGGAGCATTTACCGGTAGCTCGTTGGCCAAAAGGACTTGTCTTGTCTGGAGGCAATCTACAAACGTGTGAGGTCAGCCGAAATCCAAACGCCTCAGCAGCTGGCCCACTGTTCTTGTCCCCATGCTCCTGACAAACACGACATACACTATCCTGATTCCGCCCCACCGGCCCGCCCACCTGGCCCATGTTGGGGCCTTTCACATGGCTATTAGTTGGTTTCTTCTTTACCCACATCTTCACCCACTTCTTCACCCACTTCTTCACCCACCTCTTCACCCACCTGCCCCATGCGGTAGCTATAGGTAACCAGGTGCGGCGCAGTCCAGCTGATGGTGGCATTGGGACTGATGTTGCCCGCGAAGTCCATCTCGACGTCCGGACCCGTGGGTCGAGACCAGTGGTAGGGGATGGAGGCTTGGCTGTGGCTGCCGTCTTGGTTGCTGCTAGCGACGGTGGTGGCAGGGGCATCAGCAGATGCCGCTGCCGCGGGGACTGCGTTGCTGGGAGCAGTTGGCGTCTTGCGAGGCCGCATGGGCATGGCTTTCCCAGCTGACCTGCGAACAAAGGTTACCCAAAGGTTGTGGCGGCAGAACGACACTGCCACAGACCACGACGACAACAAGTCCGGCTGCTAGCCGCTTCCCTTCTTAACCTTTTCATCGTTTCCTTTCCACCTTCCAAGCGCCCCCCGCCATCTCCTGAGCTCCCCCACATCCACCGTACCTCTTGAGCGCTGGTGTCTGGCCGTGGTGGCTGAAGGGCAGGTGCGCCGGGTCCAGCAGGTTCTCAATCAGGACCTCATAACTCATTGGCATCTCACGAACGAACCAGTCGATGGGTTTCGGAGCCTGCTGCACTTGCGAGGCTGCTGTTGTTGTTGGCGCATTGCCAGCGGTGGTGGTGGCGGAGGCAGGGGTAGGTGGCGGCCCAGCACGTGGCTCCCTGGGCGCAGTACCAGCTGTAGCCAGGCGAGTCCCCACGTGTTTGTCGTACTCGGCTCCCCGCTGACGTAGTCTGGAGGTCATCAGGAGGGGGGCGGCCGCAGCGGTGGCGGCGGCGTCCGGGGAGTCATCCGGCCAGACCCACAGCATGCCAGCCTGCGGCAGGAAACAGGATAGGGAGTGGTATTGTGATGCCTGGACCGCAACGCACGGGGACTGCGATAGACGTGCGTGACCTGTTGTGGAAAGGTGGGATGTCTCGTTGACGGAGGAAAGAAACTACCAAGGCAATGCACGGCGGGAAAGAGCAATTGTAAACAAGCCAAGTAGTACTCAGCATGAGGAACTCCCAGCATACTGCAAGCGGCTCCCCCCGCCCTCGCCCTCACCTCCAGCCTCACGGGGTAGGCAGTGGCGCAGGCGCGGCGGCTCCTGCACGCCGCGGCTTCGGCCGCCGGGTCCAGCGCCTGCGGAATGCGGGTGCAGGCGCCCGTGCCGTCGAAGCGCCAGCCGTGGTAGGAGCAGGACAGCGAGCCGTCCGCCTCCACCCGGCCCTCTGGGGGAGCGGGAAGAGGCGTCAGGAGGGCATACGAGGCGAGCAAAGAGGCACGGTAAGGGTCTGAGGTACAGAAACACGATGAGAGCAACAGGCGCTGAGGTCTGCTTTGCTTGCTGCGCACATCTCCTCCTATTCCCTTACTATGGTGTATTCCGAAGCACGCTTTCCTGCCAGTCCGTGTTGCCTCCAGGCCTTCCCCTTTTCAGGCCGCTCCCGCCCCACCCCCGCCCCGCCCACCCGACAGCGGCACCAGGCGGTGCGGGCACTGGTCTCGGAACACGCGCCAGCTGCCGGCGCCATCCCGCCACACCACCAGCGACAGCCCCAGCAGCTGCACCGGGTTGGGCCGCTCAGGCCGCAGGTAGGCCTCGGGCAGCAGAGGCCACCAGTGGCTGGGGGGGGTGGGGGGCAGCGGAGGGAGGATGTCGGCCTTATGTAGGGGTCTTTGATGGAGTGCATGTGTACTGGAGAAGGGGAGGTGGAGGCTTGGGGGAGGAGGAGGAGCTTGCTGTTACTATTGTTGCCGACACGTGTACGTTTCTTCCCATCGCCGGACACCTCAGTTTCCCATGCCGTCTCACCGTGTCGTGGCGATTCGTGGGCCGTACATACTCACCGTGTCCAGATGAAGGGTGGGACGGCCTCGGTCCCTTGTGAGGGTGCTGTGCCTGAGTCGGGAGCGGAGGTCAGGCTGGCGGGTGGGGGCGCGGGACCCGTGATTCCCATATCATTCATGGGGCCAGCGACGTTTGTACGATTGTTGCTTGATGCTGACGTTGCCACATCCACTTCGACTGCTGTACTTGCAGCCGCTAGAAGGCGTGTACGCTGCTGACCAACGCATTGACCCTGGGGTCTGGGACGCAACAACGCCGGGAGCTGAGGCGAACTGTTGCGGGGGTGTGGGAACTGCAGGCTGACAGGTGCCCTTGGGCTCAGTGATAAGTACGGCCTGCACGTTGGGCAGGGGGAAGCGTGAGGCGTTAAGAGGATGAGAAGCTGGTGTGGGAGTCCGTCTGCGGAGGACTTTGGATTGTAAGTGAGCTTGTGAGGTGGAGGCGTGCGTTGTGAAGGCCGGCTTTGCTTTGCGGGTGCGAGCGATGCGGCTAGGATCCTCGGCTGAATGGGTGCGGGCAGATGCGATTAGGATTGCGAATTGGAAGGTTAAAAAATTTCAAGGCACGGGGATCTCTGATGCATAGGGTCCAGTAGAGATGCGTTTGGTGGCAGCCTCACGACCCATTTACTTGCATACCTGTAACGCAGATCAACAAGGCAACGGCAACGCAAAGGCACCCAGGGAGCCGGTGCGCCGGGACTTTCCTACGAAATTACTAATTACCTTAATGCACCGCGACTCGGCACGCAAGCCGCCCCCCAGCCGGGTCGCTGCTTGACCTCTCGACAAGATGCCATCGTCGTTCAGATGCGCTAAATTTCCACAGCTGACACCTAGCTCTGGTGCTTCAAGCCTAAATAATATCGTTATATGCGATTCGGCGCTTGAAGCCGCGGTTCCTTGCTGGTTTCGAGCAGGCGCTAAACTCGGTCGCTACCCAGATTATTTACGAGTCCTTGAGAAAATTATTATGCATTAAATCGACTACACCGCTTCTTCTCCTACGTTATGTGGTGCAATGTAGGGCCCTCTAGACCTACCACACAAGCCTACCTCTCAAACCGGTCAAGAGATGCAAGATGCAAGCAAGTGATTCATAGTTGCATTATTGTGGCCTATCCGCTTATTATTCGAGTTGGACAAATTACCTATCCGCATTACAATTCGCCCTACCGTGATCCTAGACATGCTTGCGCTAGTGAAGACGCAGGGAAGCCGAAAGCCTTTCTGTTGGGTCTTAGTATGAAGTATGGATGTTTCTGCAGTTCCTCGCGACTAGATAGATACACACAAGAGTGTTTACCGAAGCAACATGCTGGCTTCGCTATCAGGCAATTCACCGCATAGTCCCAGCAACCAGAGCAAAAAGCCATAATGGCAAGGTGGTGGTGTCTAGGATGGTACTCCCTCGCATACAAGTAGGTTTCGCCGAGCTCCGTCGCTGTACAGCAACTGTCGCAACCACTAATAGTTGAAGTTGCCCCTTGACAAACTTGGAGGCTCAATTTGTTGTTTTTGCAATTGCTTAGGTAACTGCGTACGCATTTCGCTACCATCCTGTGAAGATATGGCCAACCCATGGGCTGCGGTACTGCATTGCTGAAGCTAGGCGACGGGCAAACCCGGAAGTGCCACAAGTTGTCGCAGCAAACCCATGTCTGTCACGTACCAAGAAGCCTTATGCTTGCTAGGATTCCCGGCTGGCGGACAGGTACATGCACGGCGGCGTCGTAACTTTATCGCGCGACTACGAAGAATGCACTAGTTGACACTCCGACATCGGATATGCGCACAGGACCCTGTACCATCTTTAGACGCTGTTCGGCGAGCTTTCCGGCAGCAGGCTCTCCGTTGGTGAGCGATGGGCTGGCGGTCTTAAGGCGTGGAAGTGCACGGTCCCACTATGGCCCTGTTCGGAGGGCCACACGCCGCTGCGGGTAACATTGCCAGGGTCACTGCCCCGCTGGGTTATGTCAGTGTCATAGTTCTACATTCCTGGTTGTCCCATGGAGCTAGCTGATGGCCAGCAAGCAGGGTGGCAAGACGCGTGCCCGACCCTCCGAAAGGCGTCTTTGCTCGTTGCAGCAGGGCCTGTTATTGATCATGATATGCCTACCTTTCCCCACCCTCGTCACCGCCGCCCCTCAGGCACCCAGATAAGCAACGGCAGCCCATCAACCAGGAAACCTCTCACAAAAATGAAAAGACCACCTCACATCGGGGGCTCTCGCCACCTCCTACTGCATGCACTCCCCCAAGCTGCGTCCATAGCAGCACCCGGAGTAGCCACCAGACCAGCAGCGGCAACACCGCAGCTGCGGCAGCCTCTGCCCCAGCGGACCCCTCCTTCCAAGCAGCGGCAGCAGAGGAGCGTTTCAAGCTCCTCGTAAGCGCCTACCATGTCCTGCTGCAAGCCTTAAGCGGCCGCAAAACAACAGGTGGCCCTGGGGCGGCGGCAGCGACAGCAGCTCCTGCTGCGTCTGGGGCCGCCTGCTCTTCCTCCCCTGGAGTGCCACATGCGGGCGCTGAGGGCACTGCTGCGCCCTCTGCTGCTGCTGGCCCCGCTGCTTGGGATGCGGCGGCGGCGGGTGTTGACGATGAGGAGCAGGTGGTGGATGCGGTGTCCGCGGACCTGCTGCTGCAGCAGGCCGCGCGGCTGGGGCTGTCGGAGTTCGATATGATGTTCCTGTGAGTGGCTACGTGCGGGCGGGCGGGAGCGGGCAGGCTGGGGCTGGACGGCTGGGGATAGTGGGGTGTGATAGGGGGCGAGGGAGGGGCTCTGTTAGGGCAGGCGGCTTCCCTTCGGGAGGAAGCACCTGGGCGACGTCAGGGTGCGTTGTGGGCGTGTAGCGGTGCGGTGTGCTGTGCAGCCGGGGTATGTGCTTTACGAAAGGGGGCTGGTAGAGGCTGGAGTGCTTTTGAAAAGGTGCCGGCTTGTGTCCTTGCTGCAGGCACCAGCGCGCCAGCGGCGGCGCTGCTGGGTGTGCTTCCGTCTGGCCTGAAGCTGCCCAGTCTGCCGACGACATCTGGCGGCGCATTCGGCGGAGGGTGGAGCGGCGGAGGAAGCGTAAAGGTGAGGCATGGCTCTTACGGGGGCCTCAGGTACAGGGCTAGGGTTGCTCCTGCATTGCGGTTATGTGCGAATAGGGGCCGATTTGCATGGAGGCCGTGGGGTCAGCAGCCCTGTCAGAAGACACAGGTCTCGGCCGGTGTCCCTCTAACCAGAGCGCAGCCTTGCTGGTCCCCTTTCAGTCTGGATTCGCCTCCTGCCCCGTCCTGCCGCCCCAGCCGCTGGAGCGCACGCCACAAGCAGCCCGGTTGCCTTCCAACAGGGCGCCGCTGCTGCGTCCAAATGGGCGCTGCTGTTTGAGTTTGTGTCCGACATGGTGGGCACACCTGCGACCCCCGCACCTGAGGGGGCGCCTGCTGAGGCGCCTGTGGAAGCATCAGCCCCCTCGGAGACACCCACGAGTGGCTGCGGTGCCGATGTTGAACCGCAGCGACATCGAGAGCTGCAGCCTGTGCTGCTGCTGCAACCGGGGACTGGGGAAAAGGACGCGAATGATGAACCCAGTGCAGGCGGGGCTGCGGCTGCAGCGGCTGCCGGCGGGGGTGAGCCTCCGCGACGGCGGCAGCGGGGGCGGCTGCCTGCGGGCTTCTACTGGCGTTGGGGCCGGCGTCTCTTGGTAGCGCGGTTGCTGTACATGATACTGTGCGGCAGCTAGGCAGGTTGTGCGCGTCGCGAACGGTGTGTATTGTCCCTTTTTGCATGCAACGCTGCATCTCATGTGAAATGGAGTGAGCTGAGTCGACCATGTGAGCTGACTGAAGTATGTACTATGACGTCGCTCGTACGTGAGGGTATGTAAGGATGTGCATCTAGCTGCTGGATAGAGTTGGTTTAGAGATGGGTGGTCTGCACACAAACTGGCTGTTGCCTGCTTAATATTTGTTGGAGCAAGAATATTGTGTGGGGGCTAGACATGTGTGCGTTGGGGTTGACCGAGGTGCGTGTGTGCGTTGCTAGGGGGTGGGAAGACGGCGCCAGAGTTCAGGGGCCGAGGCCTCCTGACGTGCGTGTAAACTTTTGCACGCCCTTTCCGTAGCCTTTTAAGTGTATGCAGGTGAAGTGACCTCGAGAGGTTGCGAATGCTGCATTGGCATGCAAGCTGAGGCGCGATGAAGTGACATTGAAGGGTGGTGTACGATTCTAGCTAGGCCGGCGAGGAAGCTGGTTAGCAATTGACCGTCAACACTTTGTATGAAGACTGAGGGAGGCCGCAGCTGGCGCGTTTTCAGCTCGCTAAGCAATACCTCGTAGGACAGCGTCCCTGGTGTCGGCAAGTATTGGCCTCTGTCCTTATGCCGGATCTGCAATGTCTAGAATGCCAACTCTTCCTTCCTCGCCGTAACGGCGATTCACAATATTTTCGTTTTCTTACGTTATCTATCTGTAGGCTACGCTGAGTTAATTGGTTCTGGTGGGTGCATCGTTGACCCGAGGCCTCTAAACTTTGCTAGAGCAAGCTGCCTGGATAACTTAAATGGCTGTCACCATTGCTCCCAGGCAAGTTGCACCCCTAATGCTCATACATAAATCCCATTTGGACATAAAACCATGAGTGCAGTTGCACCCAACAACATGACCTGTACGGAACTGCTTGGCGGGCTCATGCAAGGATATCATGGCCTCCTATACTTGCTCTTGCCTAAATATTTTTATAAGTTGATATACTCTAGGTGCCATTCTAATTTTTTATTGTCTCATGTGATGATTGCGCCCCTGAGCAACTTCCACTGCTCATATTGCATTAGTGCCTGTGTTGTGTGGGCGACAGCAGGCTAGTCAGCAGTGATGGCAAACAATGATTTCTTAGCGCTCGTTTTGGTGAGAAGATGGTCTGAATAGCAACTTGTAATACTTCCATGTCCAGCCTCAGAACACTCTTTCTGTCCTCTGTAGGGGGCTGCCAAGCTCCCAGCGGATATAGCACATGTGGCCTTCCGTGTCTATAACAAGGAAGAGACGCTGGGCACTGCGGTAGGTTTCGCGGACTCCATTTTCCCGCGCATGTGCAACTTCAACTGCAAATGCTCTCCGTTCCGCAGCTGCAACGCTTTGGGTGGAGCAGCATAGAACGCAGACGAGGACCGGTCTTGTGGTTTCACATCAACGGGCTTGGTAGGTGTGGTAATCCTAGAACCCGCCAATTTGTCTTTTTGCTGTGCTGAAGATTTTGCGGTCTCCTCAACAGGCGAGGCATCGACTGCTCTTCCGGTCGTCCATAGATGCTTACAGGTACTGTGCCTTGACTTCACCGACAAATTCGCAATGACTGTCTGCCTCGGAGGTTCCGCCATGTTTACAGCTTCCATAGTTTCGCGGTCTCATCTTGTTCTTTAGCGCTAACCTTGTTTATCGTGTACCGCGGACGGCTGAAGGGGACGGCACCCGATTGTCCCTCGTATTTGCAGGAGTACAACGAGAAGGTCACAGTGTTGTTGACAACGACATGCCTGGACATGTACAAGCTGCTGGGGGAATCTCTTCCCCAGCGGGTGCGTCGCCGGGGTCACAAAGCAGAGGCTCTTTCGTGCAGAGCTGGGTTTTGGCGAACGGGTATCCAACGCTCGTTTCCCCCAGTCTAAGTCGCCTTGCTTCCACCTGGACATGGCCGTTTATGCTCACTATTACACCGCTTGCACAACCGCTATTGACCTGCACCTTTGTTTACTTTTATGCTACTCTGCATCCGTTGCTCTCCTTGCTCTCCAGGTGATCGTGCAGCTCGTACCCTTGGCAAACCCCCTCACCATCTCCGTGTTTCTGAGGAAATGGCAGCCACAAGTTGGCGTATTCCTTGTAAGTGATGCATCGGAGTACTTCCATCTATGGGGTCCCAAGCTCTAGAACGTTGAACTAGGCACGCCTCGCCGTCACCTGCACGTCCGCGACGCCATGAAGGGCCTTGCTAGGATTCTTCAGCACAACTAACCCATCTTGCTTTGGTGCGTGGAACTTATATGACGTGTCCCTGTGCAGGACACGCCCTTTCACCGGGAGCTTGCTATCATGGCGAGGGCATCGGGTGTTTCCCTGGCGCTCCTAAACGCGCACATGCCAGGGGAAGACATGCTGGAGTGGCACGTCCGGCAGATTCGCCGAAACCACCTCAAACGCACGCTCAGTTCCTACAGCCTCGTTGTCCCCCGCTCGGATGTGGTGAGTGGCGGTTGCGGTCTTCACTTATTTGGGGCCGGTTGCCGCATTGACCACGCATGCAAGGGGTAACGTACGCAAGCTGACCAGGATGCTTGTACTTCTTGCAGGACGTGGGCCGCTTTCGCATCTTCGGCGCCACCCTTCAGCAGATGCCCGGTTGGTCTTCTGACCTGCAACAAGCTTCGGAACTGGGCGCAAGCGCGTCGCGCCTGCTTATTCAGCGCTACAAGCTGGGGCGCTCGCTGCTAAAACGTAAGCCAGGACCTTGTCTTCCCCGCATGTCCATTCTCTCAGTCATTACCGGCAGCATGTTGCGCAAATTGTGCCTAGAAAGCTCCTTGCTTGTTACTGATTCGCCGTCCATGTTCCCCTTACACAGGCCTGGCCAAACGACAGCTATGGGTTGTGGCAAACTCGATGTCGGGAGAGGAGGCAGTGGTGGCGCGCGTCCACTGCGCGTTACGTCAGCAGCACAAGGGTCTTCTGACGGTGTTGGCGCCTTCCCGGGCGGAAACGGTACCACACAGCGCTGCGCCTGGAGCCACTGCCGATGGCACCACGGCTGCTTGCGCAACGGCGGCCCTACGCCTGGCGGCTGAGAAGCGCCTCCGTGTGGAGCTCTTGAGCGCCGTTGCCGAGAACCCAGAACGTGAGTGATATGGGAAATCCTAGTGACGGTCTCCGGCTATGTGGCATGGCATGCAACCCGTCTCTGAATGGTTTGGGGGTATGAGTGGCTTGGCATGCGAATGGCTGGTGATACAGCGTTCTGCTTTGCAGTTCTGTAACGCTGGTCTCGTTTATCTCCCTATTCCCAACAGGTCTCTCCTCGGACGTGGACGTGCTGATCCTGGACGACCCGGACGCCCTCAACCCCTTCTACCACCTCTCCGAGGTTGTCGTGGTTGGTGGTTCGCTGGTGCCCTCGCTCAGCACGGCTAGCAGCCCGGCAGCAGCAGCCGTGGCGGGGTGCGCGGTACTCATGGGCCCGTACGGCGGTCAGTACCTATCCATGGCCTCAGACCTGAACCACGCCGCCATGACGGCTTCGGAGGAGGCGGCTGCGGCTGTGGCGCAGACGGGTGCGACCATGCGCGGCATCACCGACAACTTTGACACGCCGCGCGGGGCCCAAGCGGCTTCTGGGGTCAACATGGGAGCGGTAACGCCAGGGGCGCATGGCCGGCATGGTCCTGGCGGAAGCGGTGCGGGAGGTGCGGCATCGGATGGCGGCAGCCACGGCGCAAATACAGGCTCCACGTGGCAACAACTCCTGCATGATGCGCAGCGTCCCATGCTGTCGAACAGGTGAGGAAAGGAATACATATGCTGCTTAATGAGCTCAGTGCACCGTGTACCTTGCTGTGCCTTCTGGTTACGTTCGGGTTTTCCTTTTTCCTTTTATAACCCAAATGTTGACCATCCGTTTTTCCCTCTACAGGCCCATGTCTGCACCGCCAACGATACCCGAGAACTTCCAGCTGCGGCCCGGCGCACAGTTCCCCTGCTCAAGCTCATTTGCTGACCCCTTCGATGTGGCATCTCACCAGGGCGATCGGCTTGTCCTTTGGCCCGACAGCAGCCAACGCAGTGTCACGTCCAACTGCACCCGCGGTGTCGCCTACAGCTACGGCAGCGCGACGCCGCCTGGTAGCGTTTACAGCGCAACCCCGCGCCTGGCTGCGGCAAGCGGCACGGGTGCGGCCAATGGCACGGGCCGCAGCCGTCGCAGCCCGGTTGACCGTTTCCGCTGGGCAGCCGCTCAGGAGGTTGTCGGCTTTGGCTACTCGTGGGCGAGCGAGGTGGACAGTGAGGAGGAAGACGGTGACACGGTAGGCTGTGCGGACGTGGAGTCAAGGTTGGAGCCGGAGGAGACGAGCCGGACTGAGCGCTGTGATGCGCCTTCCGTATCTCCCGCCAGTGCAATGCCTGCTGATGGGCTTGGGCGCCTCTGCAAGGTGAGGAGCTGTGCTTGTAGTTGCCTCAGACAAGGCCCATGCTTACCTGCAGGAAGTATGTCCATGGCGTTCCAACTACTGTTGTGGGGCCCAATTGATGACTGACGGTAAACTTTAACGCTTCACGCAGGTTGCGTCTTCTGGGAGCATTGCCACTCCTACCACCGCCACTAGCAGCCGCGAACACGACGAGGGTGGTGCAGGGGGCGCGGGCTCGCCGTTCACGTCCACTCCCAGTACAGTGCCTGTAATGAACCACGGGTCGGCACCGGGTCGCGAAGTGGGATCCGTCTCGACTGGGACCGCAAGTGCGGAGTCGTCACAGGGTTCCATGACGACAGGAAGCGACGGAGAGGAATCGACGTGCAGCGGCGCTGATGAGTTCCACGATGCTTTCGATGATGGCCTTGAGGAGGCACGTGCGGCGGACAGCATGGGTGCGGCGGTTGAGGCGACAGCTGCGGAGCCTTCATTAGAAGAGGTCGCTGGTCAGGGAGTCGAGGAGCGGAGTGCTGATGAGCCTGACGGTCATCACGCGGCTGCCGTAGTTGTCAACAGGGACATCAACGAGGTGGCCGCCGTTACCCCAACCGAGGAGGCTACACGTCCCGACGAGGAGAGCGGCCACGCTGGCTGGCTGTCTCCGTCTCCTTCGTCTGCCCACGACTGCCCTAGCGGGTCGTGCAAGCGCATCCTGCCGCTCTTGACGACGGGCCAAGCCGCTTCCGAAACGGCTCCTGGCCCATCGGTCGCTGATGCCGCTGTGATCGAGCCAGTACCTATGCCAATTGTGGAGGCCTGTGGCATCAACCGCACATCTTTGACGGTGACGGCGTTCTTACGGCAGCGCAACAGCACCGGCGATACACATGTAGGCGTCGGCGCGTCCGAGGCGGAGGAATCTGCAGACAGACTGGCGCTGACTCGCTCCACGTCCCACGCCACCCACATGATCCTCAGGCGTTCCGGCGTCGACGACACGCGCATGTCCTTGCGCACTGCGCTGGCCATGAGCCGAGCCCATGATGTTGGCCGGAACCCTCTCTTCGAGCCCTCAGCCCTGACACTCACCTCCTCCTTCAGCACTCCACTGGAGACGCTGCCAGAGGAAACCATGGCGTTGATAGAGGAGTCGCTCTCCCCCATATCGATGGGAAGCGGCAGCCATCCGCGCAGGTCCCGAGGCGGTTCTGATGCGGGCAGCAGTGCCTGCAGCCCGCTTTGCCGCAGTAGCAGCGGCTTTAATAGCGGTGCTGGCGGCGCCGGTGGCAGGGTGCAGTACAGCGTCATGGACGAGCTCGTTTCGGCCGAGACGTGGGTCAGCGACATTAGCTTGGCTGTGATGCTGAGCAGCAGCAGCGACAAGCCCTTCAGCTTGCCTTCGAGCACGGGTTACGAGCTTGCCCAGCTGCAAGGCCCGCTTTCACCACCCAGCAGCACCACGGCAGCCTCTCGCGAACCCTCTGGCTCGTTCCATGCTTCGGAAAGCCCGCAACTCAGCCGCGCATCTCTTGAACACTACCTCCAATACATGCGTCAACAGTCGCTGCTGTCAACGTCGCCCACGAGGGTTAGGTCCGGCCTTGGCGACATCTCCAGGATGTCTGGCGCCTCGCACAACGCTGCCAGCGGCGTACGCGCACCGGACAACAGCCCCAGCGGGCTTAATGCCATTGCCATTGCTGAGGAGGGCAGCAGCGCCGCCAGCGACACCCGCTCAGGCGCTGACGGCAAAAGCAGCGATACTGCTCCTGGGGATCAGCTCGTCACCGAAACCATGTGGCTGGCCACGTCTGTCTTACCGGACGCCGAATCACCCGTGCAAGCAAACAGTGGGAGCGTGACCACGGCAGATGGAGATAGCCCTACTTTTGTGTCTAGGTCCTCCTCTTCAGCCGTATCGGGATGCATCCGTACAGCCTCGGTCACGGATTCCGCTCCCAGGGCGTCTGGCAAACAACTAACCGTTGACGTTTCGGTTGGGAACATGGACCGCCGTACCATTTCCATCATTGGGGAGGCAAGTATGGTCGCTTGCGATAGTCCCGGCACTGAGTTTGAGTTCCCCGATGGCTCCTCTCCTGATGACAACGCGTCTAGCTCGCCAACATTGCTCGCACCCTCGGCATCCGGTCATCACGTAATCTCGCTAGCAGCGTTATCTGCCGGCGGCAATCCTGCGCAGCACTACGCCCTCAGCGAGGGACCTCAGCAACAGCATGCGGGCGTAGCTGGTGAGGTGGAGTATGCGGCAGCCGCAGAGGCGGGGCGGAGCTCTTTCGGCACGAACAGCAGTCTTGGCAGCCGGTCACCAGGCGCTGGCTCGGCAGCTTCAGCTTCAACTCACAAGCCGCATCGTCTAGCGCCGTCGAACAGCCCCATCGGCAGCAGGGCATCAAGCGTAAGCGGCGCCAGCGGGTCTGGCTTTGAGCAGCCGTTCCTATACGGCAACGGATTGCTGGCGGCGCCTCGCGCAAGCGGCAATGGAAACTGCTCCGTGTCCAGGCACGTATCTGGCGACGGCAGGGGTAGCGTGCATGCGGCCAGCACCTCCACTTCTTCTTCATCCAACGCTGCGGTGCGGACTTCACCCACTGGCTTAACAGCTGTGAGCTCCAGGGCCATCGCGGGCCGGTCTGGGCTGTGCCATGTTGATTCCATTGGCGGCTGGCTGGACTTCGACTTTGTTGGGTCTACACTCGCGCAACCCTCCCCGCTGCAGCGGGCACAGGTGCAGCATGACCCGTTGGCCTGGTTCTCGCAAATGCAGCAGGAGATGGGCGCCGCAGCGGCAACGGCAACGGCCCCAGCCCTAAAGGGTGTTGCACCTGGCTTGCGCGCTCCCTTACATTCCCCGGTCTGCGATCGCACTGGAGGCGTCAGCCCGCAGGCGCTGGACCAGGTCAAGACGATGCTCTTCCCGCTTGCTGCGAACCCGCCTGCTGCACCTGTCCCAACGGCTGCGCAAGCGGCAGGCGATGCAGTGGCTCCCCGGTCGGGTGTCGTAACGTTTGGTGTCGCCGTGCAGCCTTCCGCCTGTGCAAGTCCCGCCCACAACAGCAGTGCAGCCAGCGACCGCGTGACAGCTGCCTTTACCCTCCGCGGCCCCTCCGAGCCAGACGGCGACACGCGCATGGGCGGCAGGCCCTGCACCCTCAGCGGCGTGCCCGCGTCCGAGAACAACAGCCCCATCCGACAGAGCAGCAAGAGCGCACCCCACCAGTGGTTTAAGTCCACCGAAGCGGCTCTCGGCGTAAACTCAGGAAGCGCAGACAGTAGCTTGGACGGCGGCCACCCGCGGCGGCGAACCCAGGATGCGCTAACACAGCTGCTGGAGTCGCCCCGCTCTCCTGTATCACCCGTAAGGACGTCGCGGGTCCTGCCACCCGCCCTCGACCGCCGGGCGCTTGCCAACGCGCTGCTGATTGCCCGGGCGGCGGCAGCTGCTGCCGTGCAAGACACCAGCTCATCGCCGCAACTGTCTCCTGTGCCAAAACTGCAGCAAGCTGCTGCCGTCTGCCCGCCCTCCCCACGCGTGCCTCGTGTGGGCAGTGCCAGTGATGGGCTCGCGGAGCCGCCCTTGTCGCCCACAGCTCCGCTGTCGCCCACCGCTGCCTGGCCACTGGAGATTCCGCTGTCCCGTATCAACACTCCGCGGCGTGAACTGAAGCGCAACATGTCCGCACCGGCACAGTCGCCACCCGCATCGCCTTTATATGCCCGCGACGCCGCTGCAACTCAGACGCGCCCTGTCGCCACTGCCATGACTGCCGCATCTGCTGTCGCGAAATCGGCACAAGGCGCTCCAACGCCTACCTTGCCGCTGCAGACCGTCTTCGGCATGCATGGCGGCAGCCTGAAAAGCGTCCTTGGCGCTGCGGAAGGGCCCAGCAGTGGCGGCTTTGGCATCTCTGGCGCCTCGGCGTCGGCGGCCGCTGTCTCAGACGTGTCGGAGTTCCTGGCGCACGATTCTCCCCGTTCAAGCCGGTCATCATCGTGCCCCAACACACCCACATCTCGTACGGCCCATAACGCTTCGTCGCCATTCCGCGACCCGGTCGGCGCGTCGCACTCACAGTTGTCATCAATTTCATGTTGCAGCAGCGTACCGCTGAATGCAAAGAGCTTTGAGGATGCTTTTGAGACGGTTGCTAAGGCCCGGCCTGTGCCTAGCCCGGTACGTGCGGCAGCAGGAATGGGGGCTACAAGCGGTTCCGTCTACGCCAGCCCCTTCCAGTCAGCGCAGGTGTCCCCGCTCGTCTCACCTGTGCGCCAGCCGGTGGCATTTGCTAGCGCCAACAACGGATCCGGATGGACGGGCGCAACCACCTTGGTAGCTGGGGGGAAGGTCTTCGTGGGCAGGAGCTTGTTTGCGGAGGAGGAGGAAGAGGAGCGGGCGGCTGCCGCTGCTGCTGCAGCAGTGCCGGCCGAGGTGGACATTCCGCCGTCACCCCGGGCGAACAGGTGTAACGTGCTGTTCTCTCCACAGTCCAAGACCGTCGTTGCGTGTCCGGAGGCTTTCGGCGCTCGCACTTTCAATGCAGGGACGCAGCAGCCGCTGGCAGTGACTTCGGTTCTCGCTGCTTCCGCGCTATCGCCACGGCACCCCTCTTCACATGGTAGCGGACGCAGCATGGCGGCTGTTACGAGCGCGTTCGGGGAGGATTCCATGGTCCGTGCCGACTGGGAAGCAGATGCCGAGGACAGCGTTCCTGCGCTACCAGCCAGGTCAGCGGGCCCGATGGCCGCCGCCGCGATGGGCCGAGCCCAGAGCTCGCAGCTGCTCAGCGCTCCCACGTTCTCCCGTGTTCCGAGCCTGTCCGAGGAAGATCCCTTCGACGCCAGTGGCATGATGCTGCCGCTGCCTGTGGCCCAACCAGACTCTGCGGGTCGCGGGCCTCGCATTACGCTATCCGGCGGCGTCTTGGCCGTGCCACCGGTCTCGAGTGCCCTTCGGCCCAAGCCAACTGCACAACCGGCGCCTGCTTCTTCGTCGGCGGCGGCTGCCGTCGCTGTGGCCCCGCTTGCTCGGAACAAGGCGGACGCTGGGCGCCTTTCGGGGGGTGGATCTCGCCTCGCCAACTCAGACAGCAGCGTTGGTTACTTGGGAATGAGCAGCGCTCTTTCAGGGGGCGGCACCCGGTACGAGTCGCCGCCACGCTCGCCCGCGGACCGCACCTGCTGCCCCAGGAGCGCTTGCCCCAGCGCCTCACCCGTGAAGCCCCCGCTAGCATTAGCACGGTCATTGCCGTCCCCTCCTCCTCCGACGGACGTCATGCACAACACGCTACCGTACATGCCAATGCTATCGTCTCCATGCCACGATGTACGCCGGGCACCGACGACGCCAGCACCCTCGGCGCGCTCCAGCGCCAGCGGCATTCCTCGGTCCCCTACAGCTGCCTACATCTCTCCTTGTGCCACTGACCCACGTGCCAGCCCCATCAAGGTCCCTATCCTCCCCCTGCTGCCCCCAATGAGCCCGCGCATGGCTTCCACATCAGTCAACCAGCAATGGCCTATTGGCACCAGCATGGGTGCTGCAACTGTCTTCGGTTTTGGCGGCTTGGCACCCGTACGCACGCAGGCGCAGTCCATGGGCGGCTCCACCAGCACCGGTACTGCCGCTACCACTCCCAAGCGCTCCCCCATGCACCAGCGCGCTGGGCAGACTCGCAGCCGCGGTGATGAGGAGGTGGGTCTAGGTAGCGACCTGGATGATGTGCCGCTGCTGGTGAGCCATAAGAGCGCTCCTGCACGGCCTGGTGCTGCTGAGCGCGCACCCCTGCAGACGCCGCGTTCCAACCGCAGCAGGCTCTTCACCGACAGTGACGATGATGACTCGGACGGAGGGCAGCAGCTGCAGTCGCGTGAACCCCAAGCGCGAGAACTTCACGCCAAGCGCGCCCAACAGCAGCATCTCTACGACCGAGCGCGTGCCGAGTCCCGTACAGCGAGCGCCGCTGCCACACCACGATCAGCAAGGGCGCTCTTTGCGGACGGTAGCGGCCACCAGCCGCTGACACTGCAATCGCCAGGAAAGGGCTTTTTCACGCCCGGTGGCGCCTCTCCAGTGCAGGCACCGCTATCACCTCGCGCTGGAGCATCGCCAGCAGGCGCCCCAGCTCACATCTTCTCGGTGGATGCTGTTGGCGCGAATGTTGGAGACGCTTGGCAGCAGCAGGGGTGGCCTATGCACGGGGCCGGCAGCGCTACTGGTACGCCGCGCTCGGCAAGGGTGCTCTTTGCGGACGTGCCTCCGCCCTCTGACACTGCCGCACCTAAGTCGCCTAGCTGGAGTCAGTTTTCAAGGCAGTCGGGAAACCGCAGCAGCGGCTACATGGCTGGCGCCGCACCTGGTTCAACGGACCCGCTGGAGCAGGTGCTATCCCGCATGGCTGGCGTGCAGGTGGCGTCGCCTGTGTCGCCGGCACCTCCTCGGCAGATAGCACCGTCGCCTGTGTCACCGCGACCTCCATTGATGGCGCCGCGCTCCACCGTGGTTGGGCCATTTCCAGCGGCCGCCGTTAACGGCGCGGCTCCTCTGTCGCCACGTGCGCACAAGAGTGCCGACGCCCCTCGGCCGCCTCTGCCAATGATGCCGCGCCTATCATCGCAGCTGCCGGCGCAGCCGTTGGCCCCGCCGCTTTCTCCACGTACCAAGAGCTCCATTCCTTGGCCTGCAGCCGGCGTCCATGGTGTGGCTGAGGGCAGCCCGAGTGGGCAGCCGTTACGGCGCCAGTTGTTCCGTCAATTGGCGTCGGACGATGCGGGATGCAGGGTCGTGGACGACATGGCATCAGCACCACAGCAAACCAGCAGTGACCTGGAGCCGGCCAGCGCTGTACCTCTGCCTGGGTCGGTGCCACTTCCCGGCATGCCAGCAGTTGCTGTCCAGGCGGCCTTAGCAGCGGCTTCCTTGGAGCGGCAGTTTGAGGTGGCGGAGGCTGGGGCGGCCGACCTGCCACTCGAGACGCGCGTTCTTACTCCAACAGCTGTGGGAAACCCAGTCGGCTCCGGTCTTGCTGTTGCTGGCATGGCTGGGCAGGATTCGGGAGTTAGGGGCGATGGAGCTGTGCCAGCGGCGGCGGTAGCAGCAACTCAGAGCCAGCGGCCGAGCACGGCGCCAAGTAGCCAGTCGGTACGTCATGGGGTCCCGCCACTTTCCCCGCGCGCCGGTGTCGTCGGTGCTGGTGCAGCCAACCACAACCGTCGTGCCGCCGGCAGTTGTGGAGGCGTCAACTACCTGGGTGCACCTATCACTGGTGCTCCGGCGGCAACGGCAGTCCATGCTGAGGAATCCATGAACCGCAATGGCGAGCGTGTCGGCAGCAAGCCCGGGTCGGCGTCGGCCGCTAACCCCATGAGTATGCCAGCAGGCGCTTATACGCAGCAGCGCCAGGGCGCGGACTCCGAGAGCGCCGGCCCCACTTCAGAGCAGGGCGCTGCGGCCCCCTGCACCAAGGCACCAATGGTCGCCGCTCCCTCAGCCTCTGGGTCGCGCCAGGCTTACGTGCCGTCCACGACGGCAGCTGCATCGGGTCTGCAGATTAATTACGGCGGCAGCAATGCTGCTGGATTGCGACCCATAAATGGCGCAGCGTTGGGGGCGGTCGGGTCAGAGGACACCTCGTCGGCGACTTTATCTGGCGGAATGTCCCCCATGACTGGGGCGCAGCAACAGAACGGCCACGGGCGGTCACATGCGGCAAGGGACGGTGTGTCCCCGTCCGGTTCTACGGGCGGAGCGCATTGTCATGAACACGTTGCGAGTGTGCCGCTCGGCGCGAGGTACGGAACACGCTTAGCTGTCGTGAAGTGCGTTGCATAGTAATAGCCTGTTTGGGCATTTAGGGTTGCACCACGCTTTCCACATTACATGTTCTGTAGAGGCTCATCGCGATTACCGCTGTTGTGTTCTCATACTTGCCAAGGACACTACTAAAGGTGACATTGGCCATGTGTCCTTGCAGGTATGCGGGCCAGTACCTGATCCCGGCTGCGCAGCTGCCATGTGGCCCACGGGTCGGTCCGGCCGTGTGGGTCGTCTCGCACGAGGAGGAGCTTGTGACGGCACTCAGCACACTTCTTCGGGACCCGCTGGAGAGGCGGTCGCGTGGCCGAGCGGCGTCTCAGGTAGGAGTGAGGGCGCACGTGCATATAGCAGTTAGCAGCCCTAGTACTTCGCTTGGTAACAAGCACTGCTTTCGGCGCCACGCTACGTTGACAGACAACGCACTTGCCTTAGCACTGCGACGCTGTGCTCTATATGTCGTACCTACATGCTTGCCATTAAACCCTGTCCCGCCTGCACGATCCGTTCTCCCCTGCCTCCAGGGCGCTGCGAAGCTGGCCTCCAGCCTGGTTACCACTGTGTGGAGTGTGCTGGAGGACACAGTAATCACACCCGCGCTGCAGAAGTACATTGCAGCTAACGAGGCAACTGGGCTTTGATGGAACGAGGCCCGTTGGTATGGGTGATGCAACAGCGGTGGTTGAGGGTAATATGGGTTTCCTAGCATTAGTGAAGCTAGTATGGGCTTTCCTTTCTGTCAGGGTTTCTGCCATCAGGCATTCGGTTATGTTAGTTGCATAGGTTGTCCGGGGGCCTTTAGTTCGACCCGCAGGCTTGCCAAGCCTACAAACGCATCGTCTGGAACGTCGGGTGTTGCTGTTGTTTAAACTACTCAGGAGGAACCATACATGATGTGTCCTTGCAAAAGCGGGTTGAAGGTGACACGAAAGAGGCGGTAGTGGGGCGTTGTCCTGTCGCAGGTAGGAGTAATGCGCTGGCGGCTTAAATGTTTAGCAAGGTGCGTTTAGGCAAACGGCTTAGTTGTCACTGCTGCGTTTGCGTATCTGGTTGGCTGCTTATTGCAACGGCTTGGGATAGCTCGGTTACCGTTGTAAGCGTTGTTGGTTGGTCGGTTTAGCACTGCATGTCCAGTGGGTGTATGGGACAGAGTAGCATGCGCCGTAGGTGTTGGGTATTCGCAAGTTTGCTGTCATCCCAGACGTTAGTGGACCTTAAGGCCCGTTAGGCAGGCTTTGGCGGTGTCTACGTGATCGACTGGTTGCTTGTTGGTTGCACAGAGTATGGCAGCTGTATGATGTGTTATAATTTGTATGTGATGCAGTGTTGTAATGTTTTTGATGAGATGGCTGCGTTATGGCCATCTTGGGCATCTTTGTTTCTATTCGTCCTGTACGGCGTGCTTATTATGTTCTGTTGGTGCGTACCGTTCTCAGCCGTTTAGCTTTCCTAGTTACCTGCTCTGTATGCCCGGGATGTTTGTTGTCGCTGTCGTGTTCAGCATTTCCCTTAGAGCTTGTTGCAGTTGTGTTCCTGCCATAAACTGGCGCCGGGAAGGGTGCCGTGGTGTGATTGAAGCGGGTTCTAACCCTGCAGGTTTTGCGTTTCTAGCACGGCAGGTTTTCGAAGGGGCAGGGTAGTAGCAGGTTGTTGTCGGGCCAACGGTACAAGGCGTTGGCAGTTCATGGGTTTACGTGAGGTATACATGCGAAATTGGAGGGGAGATGGGCATGTCCTGCCCTGTGTCGTGGAAAGGTTGGCTTTGCTACTTATCGCGCCACGTTGGCAACAGTAATTAAAGCAGCTGCTTAAATGCAGGATTAGCTCGTACCTGAACAAGTAAGACTGCTTTTTCCTCCACGCTAGAAGTAACGTGTGTGGTCTTAGCACTAGACAGCCTATAGGTGGTAGTAACTAATTATTTGGTGTTGTGCCTTATGTTAAACACCTTGCTTAAGTGCTTAGTTTGGATTCAGCCTGGACTTTCACTGAATCCATACACATCGACGGTGACGTCTGAGGGTGTAGAGTCAACCATTTTTGCATCAAACTTAAAATTTAAGTCATTATTTGTAATTTACCTAGCCACTCCTGCAATGTCCCGAAGCCATAAAGGCAGGCACTGCGAAGTGGACCTGGACTTGGTCGACAACGCATTTCAGGAATTTACAAAACCCACCGCCACTGCGATCCACCCTAAATAGCATGCATGTCTGCATTCTTTCACCGTTTCGCCGCTTAGACCGCATACAACAGCACTTCCATGTACACCCCGTAGCAGTACTAGGTGTGGCTCCATGGTCCCGTTCCCTTTCAGTGATAGTCCTAGAAGTTCAACAGCCATTAACAACAAATGCCCTTTGGCCCTACACATGACCCATGGGTCACTCCCTCGAAGCTACAGCCCTCAACTGCTGCTGAGTCCCTAGCAATTCCAGTAATGTTTGGCAGCTCCTCCTCGCTCATGCGGGACGTGCCCCTTCACGCAAGTATAGCATCACGGGCCGCGCAGTGTCATCGATCTCCCACAGATCCGTGTGACGGCGCGCCCACTGCAGCGGGGTGCGTGTCTCCCAGCCGGTCCGGAGCAGGCTGCTGGGGATGCAGTAGCCGCTGCGGAAAGAGGTGTGCGGCAGCAACGAGCGGCATGTGAGCGGGCAGTGCAAAGTGGGCTTCGGCACGAGCGCACGCTGAAGAGGGTACGCATCATGCGTGGAGGAGTTCCTCTACCGGTAGTGGCCGAACCCCTATGCACCCGCCCCCGCCGGGGTGACTCCCCTGCTTACCTTCGCCGCATCTTCTCACGCGTTCCCACCCATCCATCCCTAGCTCATGTCCCGTGCTCCCATCCCCTCCTCCCTCTCCCAAGCCCCACTAGGGGTGCAGTGCGAACCCCGTCCCATGTGTCCTAGCCCACCTGTGAAGCCCCTCCCTTTCCTTCCTCTCTCACCCTCACCTCTCCTTCCCTCCTCCCTCCCTCCTCCCTCCCTCCCCCCTCCCTCCCCCCCTCCCCTCCTCCCCCCCTCCCTCCCTGCCTCACCCGGGCATCTTATCCAGTCTGAATCCCTTGCCTTTCCGCAGCTTCATGTACCCCACCCAGTTCCAAACCAGCTTCGCCTCAACCTCGCTCTCGTACTTGAACCCATGCTCACGCCGCCCGTACTCCTGCTGCCCGGCAGCATCCACTCGCGCCCGCTTGGCGCCCTCCTTCTCGGCCCCAACAGTCGCCTCCGCGAAGTCGCTGTCGTCCGAGTCCTGGTCTGCCACGGTTGCAATCGCAAGGCCCTCCTCATCCTCATCACCAGCAGCATCAATAAATTGCCCGACAGCGCTGCCGTGCGTCCCTTGCCCCTGTTGCCGTTGCTGCTGCTGCTGCTGCTGTTGCTGCTGGTATTGCTGAAGCTGCTCTTGTCCTGGTGCCGCATGTAGCCCCGTAGCAGCAGCAGCCGCAGCAGCAGCGGCAGCGCCCGCCGTCATCAAAGCTCCAGGGTCCTGGGCGGCTGAGCTGCGGTCAACCCGGTCCCTGTGGTCCCTGTTGTTGTCGCTGCCAGCACCTGCGTTGGTTACGTGGTCGCAGACAACGGTTGAGAATGTGAAGGTAAACGTCCGCCCTCGCTGCTCCGGTGCTTGATCCTGCTGCGGCTGCGGCTGCGCCTGCGCCTGCGGCTGCGCATGCTGCTGTTGTTGCTCCCACAGCTGTTGTGCCCATAGCTGTTGTTGTGGCTGTGGCTGCACTTGCGCTTGCACCTGCACCTGCTGCTGCTCCCATAGCTGTTGCTGTTGCGTCTGCTGCGTGTAGTACGCGTCATAGGCGGCGCTGCGGCCGCTGTGGCAAGAAGCAGCACCCTCGACCCCACCCGCTGCAACCTGGTTTCCGTTGGCAGCTATTGGCATGCACGGGATTCCAGGTGGCAGTACGGCAGCAGTGTCGTTGCCGTACGGCATCGGTTGCTGATGCCATGGCGGCAGTTGTGGCGGTTGGGCTGGTGGTTGAGGTGGTTGCGGCGGCTGGGCATTAAACCCCGCGTGCGGATGCTCGTGGGGTTGCAGCAAGCCGGCGGTGACAACGGTGCCGGCGCCAAGCGTGGCGTTGTACTGCAGAGGCTGTTGCGCCTGCTGCGGCTGTTGCATGTGCTGCTGCCCTCCGGGCTGAGCTGGTTGCTGCTGCTGCTGCTGCATGGGTGTCTGCTGCTGCCTCCCCTCCCGCACCTCCCCCTGCGCCCGCGGCCCGCCCTTCAGCGCCAGCCTGCTCGCGGTCTGCTCGCTCCACTCCCACTTGCGGAACTCAGCGCGCCAGCGCTGCCACACCGCGTCACCACCTGTTGGGAGCTGCAGAGTCTGCAGCAACGGGAGGTACAGCCGCCGCGCTATGCCCTCTGGCGGCAGGCTCGGACCACTGTCGCAGCTGGCACCTTCGTCCCCGGCCCCGGCCTCGGCCTCGGCCCCGGTACCGGATCTTGCCACCAGCTGTCTCCAGCTGCAGAGCGTGGTGATGCAGCGGTGAAGGCGGGCAAGACGTTGGCAGCATTCTCGGACCTGGGTTTTGCGTGAAGGGAGGTGCGAGTGGATCGGGTTACAGGCTTGCGGCATGTGCTGACCCATGGGTCACATGAGTGTCGGTTGGTGGCCGGCCGCGCAGACTTAAAGGGCACTCACGGACACACGAGACGCTGGACGAGGTAAGTAGTATTAACTCTATTACGCAACCCCATCTGCAATTCTATGCCCATTCCCATTCGGTTATGGCCTCGCCTTATGAGGTGACAACTTCGACATGCTTAGACGCTTACCTCTGAGAGAAGGATCGGAGGAGCAGCCCCGCTCAGCATCCGCGCTGCTAGCTCCGACATGGCCTGCCGCCACTCCGTTTTCGAGGGCATGTTGACGAGCGCATTCGCAAAGGGATGCACGCCATCGTCCTCCGTGAACACCAGCCAGTCGCCGCCTTCAGGCGTCTCTGAACAAGGAATTGTGTAGGGTGCGGCAAGGTGCGAAGGATGATATCAACCCGAAGAACTGCTTAAGCTATTCAACCAGAGCAAATTTTAGTAATTAATGCATTACTGTTTATTTGCGTGCGTTTCCGCTTACCAATTGAGCGGAAGCGGCGGAAGATGGTGGTGGTTCCCTTGCCTGCCCGAAGCCCGATCAGCGCCCCGCGAGCGCTTGCGGAATGTGCCGCAGTGCCCAGAACACTGTCCAGGATTGCCTCGGCTCGCGACAGCGCCGCTGCCTCCTCTCGAAGCAGCAGTACAGACTGCAGCACGCTTGGCACCGGCAGGAGACGTATGTCGTCGCCAGACTCTACTTCAGCCATTTCAGGATTATGTTTGTCCTAAACATTATGTATGCAGAAGTCAGCGCAAAGTACACGCCACCCGAAATTAAAGCGTGTGAGGAGCTGCCGTCATCAGGTTCCGGAAGCTACTGGTACGAGCGGTACCCGTGACTGCGCAGGCGCGATTCGGAGGACATACACGAATCACGCCTACACCACTCTTAACACAAGTACAACGAGGGTATGCTCCAACTAACACTAATAGAACGCCGCAACGCAATCTCGGTCTGGCTTGCTAGAGAGGACTAGGGTTTCGGCTCAAAGCGCACTTGGGCTGCGTAAATCCCGGTGTGCACTGAGATGGCAGCAAACCGGACAGTCCTGTTGCCGACCCCGGAGGTCCTTAAGGCAATCTGGATCGCCGGGCGTGAGGCAGACGACTTTTCTCAAGTCTTGGTAGATCTAGGAGGAATGGGAATGTCGCTAAGCGGCGTTAGGCTGCGTGGAGCTCTCATAGGGCTGCGGACGCCGGCCCGCAAGGCAGTTATTGTGCGCCGGATTCACTCTTACGGTAGGTTGGGATTCTCCAGGCTTGGGTAAAGGCTTTATGACGTTCCTGAATATCATCTGTTCCGCCGTCTTTGCGCACAAGCATTGTGCGTGCATCCTTTCTCGCAAGCGCGGAAAAGCAAATTACTTTGCCTGTTTCGCAGAGCGGACGACGACCGACGAAGACTTTGTTCGAGTCGAGGACGGCCGCGAGAGGTTTCCGGTTGAAAATGTGATGAAGAGGGAGTTGTCGGAGGCGGAATGGCGGGAAGCCGCGGTTGAGCTGATGGATCGAATGCAGCGCAACGATGTGAGGCGCCTCACCGTTGAGGAGGTAGGTGGTAACCAGCAGTGCAAAAAGCGGTACAAAAGGTCTGCTAAAGCAAGGTGCAACTATATAAGTATATTGTAAATATCCAGCGTGTCTTCAGTAGCTGAACGACCCAAACATGGCTTTCCACAAATTCCTCACTTTTCGGCGTGCCTGCTCCTTGTTGCCCTACCTCCGCTTTCGCTGCTGCTCTCTTTCCACACCAATTCGAACAGGTCCTCACCACCACCGAGAACATATTCAAACTAGCGCGCTGCGCCAACGTGCTGCTAGGCCAGCAGTCGCCTCCCGCCTCCGGAACCACCGGCGCCGGCAGCAATAGTGACCCACGGGTCGGTGGGGGCGCTGCGACAATTTTCGAGGCGATGCGGCGGCCTGTATGGCGGGACGGGCTCTGGGAGCAGTGGTGCTCCGAGCTGCTGGCATGGAGCTGGACGGAGAGCGCTGCGGCTGAGCTGCTGCGCGGTTATAACGCCCCAGCAGCAGCGGGTCCTTCGCAGCCGCAAACACGGCTGCCTCCGCATGCGCAGCAGCAGCAGCAGCGAGTGGGGTCAGCCGGGGAGGCGGAGCAAGTAGTGAACTTCAGGCTTCCGTCCTTCACGGCGGACGCGGCAGCCGCAACCATCTCAACAGCTGCTGCGGCGCCTGCTCCTGCGCCTGCTCCTGCTCCTGCTCCTGCTCCCACTCCTGCGCGCCAACCTACTCCTGCTCCTGCTGCTCCTACTCCACCACAGCAGCCGCACCTCAGCCAACCCCAGCCGCAGCACTGGGACATGCAGGAACAGCAACAGCAGCAGCTACACCAAAGCTGTGCGGGTCAACAACAGCAGCAGCGGCAACCGCTGCTTTCAACGCCGCAGCAGCTGCCGCAGCAGCCATACCCAGATCACCATCAGCAGCAGCAGCTACAGCCGCCGTACAGGCAGGCCGCGTACCCGGGATCTCAGCCGGGTGCAGCTCTGACCCATGGGTCTGTAGCTCAGACTGCACATGCAGCGCAGGCGGCGGCAGCGGCTCCGGATCCGGGCATGCCGGCGGCTCCAGTCGCGCCCGGCCTAGCTGCTGCTGTGGCTGCGCAGGCTGCACCGCCGCCTCCTGCGTACATGGCCGGTCCTGCACCTCCACAGCAGCAGCAGTACCAGCAGCAGTACCAGCAGTGCCAGCAGTGCCAGCAGTACCAGCAGTACCAGCAGTACCAGCAGCAGCAGCAGTGGAACCAGCAGCAGCATATGCTGCAGCTGCTGCGACAGCAACCGCACCAGCAGCAACCGCACCAGCAGCAGCCGCAGCAGCCGCCACCAACATTATACCACCAACCCGCCCCGGGCCCGCTGCCGGCACCCCAGCACCCGCACCAGCAACAGCAACAGCCGCTTGTCGTACCGGGGCAGGCTCCGAACGGCGGAGGCGTGTCGTCGGGCTCCGGTATAGCGGCTGCTGCTGCTGCTGCTGCAGCTGCGGCGGCTGCAGCTGCCTCCGCAGCTACAGCTGGCGGCATCAGCGGCGTCGTGTGGGCATCACGCGGCGGCAGCGGCGGCGGCAATGGTGGCAACGGGGCCGGCGGGGGCGGCGGCCGCAGGTGGGATGTGCCGCCGCCGTCGGGTCAGGTCCCCCAGCAGCTGCCGCAATCGCCGCAACCGCCGCAGCCTACTCACCCACCAGCGTCTCTCGCTAGGACTCCGTCGGGACCTCCACCCGCGGAGCACCCGCAGGGTCGTGCGCCGCCGCCGCAGCCGCCGTGGCAGCCGAACCAGGAGCAGCAGCAGCAGCAGCAGCAGCAGCGGCAACCACAGGTCGAGCGCCTCGGTGGGGCCGCCGGCGGGGGAGGGGGCAGTGCGGGATGGCAGACCACCGGCCGCGGCAACGGCAGCAACAGGGGGGCGGGGGCGGGCGTCGGGGTTGGGATGAAACGCGAACATGACCCGAATGAGGACGACGAGGACGAGGACGACGAGGAGGGTATCAACGTGCAGTGGGGCACGGATCCCAGCAAGCGCAGAAAGCCCAAGAAGCTCAAGCGGCACCAAGTGTCGTACGCCTCACCCCGGGAGGAGGCGTACGTACGGCAGCTGGTGGCGGCGCTGAGGGACCGGCGGGGCGAACACAAGCGGTTGCCCATGGAGATGCTGAGCGGGTGGGTGTTTGTTGTCAGTCACTATCGGTGCATATCGGTAGCTGCCTTGGGTAATGGCTGACTCCGCGCTGCTGTTTCTAAGCTGCCATGCTGAGCTACTTCCCTTGCCGGCTGCCTCTCCACCGCACCTCATCCTTCACCCCATCCCCCCACCGCACCCCTCCATCGCTGCAGGGGTGGCGCCCTCGCAGTCCCGCCCGAGGTGCTGGCGGGGCGGCCGCCGCACGTGTGGCTGCAGCGCTTCCTGCACATTTTCACCCTGGTGTGCGGGGGCGGCGAGGCGATCATAGAGCTGCGAAGCGGGGTGCGGATGTGAGGGGAGAGGCGCATGGGGGTCGGCGTTTTGGAAGGGTTGGGTTGGTTGGGTTGTTGCGGGCGCATGAAGGGGTTGCCGGTACTGGAGGATAGATGCGCTGTGGGGGATGGGAGGCAGCAAGGTACGACGCTATTCGTCGCAGCGGGACTGACGGGGCGGCAGGGTGGGTGCAACGTGCAAGGAGTCTTGGTGGCCCTGGGGGCAGTGCAGGAACCCATTTCTGCTGCTTACGGGGGTGGCCCCTGTTTTTGACTGGAGCGGAAGTTGTGCAAGGGTGTTGTGAGCATGCGCTTGTCGTTGTGCGAGGGCGCTGTGTTGCTGATGATTTGGAGGGGGGTGGAACCCCGCGGGTGATTCCCATGTGCGGGTGCGGGTGCTGGTTGCAGGCTTTACAGGTGGTGGGGTTCACAGGGTTCTTTTGTATGCAGCCTTTGGTATGCAGCGCTGCCAATGGCGCTGGCGTTGGCTCGCGCTGAGCCGACGCTTTGGGTTGCTGAGGTTGTAACGCAGATACGTACACGCGCAATCCGTACTGGTAAATGAGACCCGGCCGTCTTACAAGCTGCATCCCTTGGATTAGGCCGTCGGGTAAATCGCTAGATATCCGGCCCGCGTTCATTACCGGTACGTCAAAGCCTTGCCGGCCATCAATCACGCAGCGCACGCATGGCACGCCGTACCGAAGGCGCAGCAGGCCCGCAGCAAAGGATTTGATATAATTTTCGTTGTCTTTAGGTAACAGCTTGAGCTAATAGGAACTTAGGCGTGGAGTCTAACCTGAGCACCTGGGGACGCAGGAAATGCGTCGTCGATATGAGTACTATGTTAAAGACATTGTAAGTAGCACGTGCGAGATTTCTTATAGTTCATGTTACAGGTAGTTACAATGAGGATAGTGCCTGAGCAAGGCGACACGGTTCTACTTTTGCCGGCGCCAAGAGTGTTGCAAGCCGTCTTGTTAACCCGCACTGAGACTATCGCTTTAGCAAGTGCGAAGACTTCATTGGAAAAGCAAGAAGGGCTGGCAGATGTTGTAAGCTGCGCAAGTGCCCAAGGAGCACTAATTGCGCTGAAAGCGCTCGATGACAGGACCATAGTCCGACGATTCCATTCTCTTGGTAAGTGATTTTCTATATAACCAGGTTTCTCTTTAAATTACGGTTATTATACTTGTTTTTCCTATTTTAGGGACCATTGCTTCTGGCGATGTTATTGTACGCGTGGACGATGGGGCGGTGGGCTACCCACTCCAGTATGTTTTGGACAAGCAACCGACGGAAGCACAGTGGCAGGACGCAGCAGCGGAGATGGCACTGCGTATTATAAAAGCAGAAGCTCGGCCCTTGGCGCTGCAAGAGGCAAGTCATGCTTGCATAAGGTCGCGCGTTACACATTATTTTGCGACGATGCTGCAGTATGTGCTGCCTAACTGCGAGGGACAGCGCGTGCTGTGCATGCTGTGCCCTGTTCCGACAGACGGAACCCGTTCATCACGTTGGTTGCCTGTTGCTTGCCTGCTACGCAGGTTCGAACCCTGTGCGAGCGGATCGCCAAGCTCTACCGCTGTGCAGAGCTCTTTTCGCACCACTCTGCTCAAACGGGCAGTTTTGCTGGCAGCTCAGCTGCTGCTGCTGCTGCTTCTGGTTCGGAGCAGGACGCGCGCCTGCGTTCCCAGCTCCTAACCGCGCTGCGGGCACCCGCTGGGGACGATGCCACCTGGGAGCAGTGGTGCGTTGAGTTCCGACAGTGCAAATGGAGCGATGAAGCGGCGCTGCAAATGGCAACAGCCGGCCAACAACAAACGCAACAGCTGCAACCTCAACAGCAGCAGCAGCAGCAGCCTCTGCGTTCCTCGGATCCCGCCTCTACAACCGCAACCCCAGCAGCCTCAGCAGCCCCAGCGAGCGTCCAAGCGCAGGATCAACCCCAACACCCCCCTCTCGCTACCTCCCACGACGTCCCCCTCCCAGAAGTAGCCCCCCAGCAGCCCAAACACGCGGTGTCGGCCCCTAGCAAAGAGCCCCTCACGGCCACTGCTGCTGCTGCCACTGCACCTCCTCCTGGCGTCAGAGGCCAGTCGGCGGCTGCTCCCGCCTCCGCCCTGCACACGGAAGGCGACAACCCGCCGCCTGCCGCCGCCGCCGCCTCACGTGCCGCCGGCGGAGGAGGCAGAACAGGGGAGATCGCCTCGGCAGCCACCTCCATGTCGGCCGACCTGCCAGGCGGAGGCAGCAGCAGCCGCCGCAGCTGCGGAGGCGAGGTTGCGGAGGGCTCGGAGGGCCGCCGGCGGCGGAGTCGTGAGCGTCCGGAGCCCTCCGCCTCCTCACCCCCACAGCCCTCGACTGAGAAGCTGCACCGGCAGGCGCAATCACAGCCAGATCAGGAGCGAAGGCCCGGCCACCCAGCCCGGCGCGGGCGCCGTTCTCGCTCCCGATCCCGTTCTCGATCCCGATCCCGATCCCGATCCCGTTCTCGATCCCGCTCTCGATCACCTGGCCGGCAGCCGCAGCAGCAGCGGGGTGGCGGCGGTGCGGGTGGGGGCGGCGGGCGGGAGTGGTGTCCGAAGGAGTGGTCGCTGCGCGTGTACCGCTACCTGCTGCAGCAGCCGGGGCAGCAGGCGGAGGTGGCACAGCTGGTCGGGTGCGTGGCGGGAAGGAGGGCGGGCATGATCGAATGAGCGCCCACGCGCATACACACACCTCGACCAACACCACCGCTGCACCTTGTTCCTTCCCCTTCCTACGCCCTGTCTCTCCTGCGCCTTACCTCATCATCCCTTCCTCCCTCCCTTCCGTTCGCAGCGCCGGGCTGGCGGTTCCGAAGTGGGTTCTGCAGGAGAAGGGCAAGTCGCCCTCGGGCTACATGTACATGTTCGACCACCTGTGGTTCCCGTCCAAAAGGGGCTACGGGGGGCCCATGCGCATCTACGCCCGGCCTGAGGCGGCCAGCGGGCTGGGGCTGACACGGGAGGGCGGGGAGGAGGAGAAGGAGAGGAGGGGTGGCGGGCGAGAGGGCGGTGAACGGCCAGAGCGACGGGAGAGGGAAAGGGAAAGGGAGAAGGAGAGGGAGAAGGAGAGGGAGAAGGAGAAGGAGAGGGAGAAGGAGAGGGAGAAGGAAAAGGAAAGGGACAGCGAGAAGGAACGGGAGAAAGGAAGGGAGAAGGACAAGGGGGAAGTGCGGGGCAGGGTACGGGAGGGTCGAGAGGGAGAGGAGCAAGGAAGCGGAAAAGGGCGCAACAGGTCACGTAGCCGGTCACGGTCGCGATCTGTGGGCGGGCAGCGGCAGAGGGGAGAGGAGGTGGGGGCGAGGGAGGAGGCGGGGGTGTCCGGGGAGAGGGAGCGGGAGCGGGAGAGGCAGCCGGGAGGTGTGTTTGGGCGGCTGGAGGGGGGACGGGGCAGGGAGCGGGAGCGGCAGGAGGGGGAGCCGCAAGCGCCAAAGCTAGAGCAGCAGCAACCCCAGCAGCAGCAATCCCAGCAGCAGCTGCAATCCGGAATTCCGCAACGGACCAGTCAGAGCGGCTCAGCGCAGGAGCCGCGGCTGCAGTGGCTGAACCAGCTGATGCTGCACTGCAAGGCGTCCGTCACCGAGGTGGGCACCGAGCAGCCGGAGGATGGTCGCCCCGCTGAGGGCCCCCACGCAGCAGCTGGTACAGCCACGAGGGGTACGACTAATCCTGCTGCTGCAGCAGGAGGTGGTGGGGCGGCGGCGGGCGGTGACCCACGGGTCGGCGCCACGGCTGTGGTTCACCGGGTTGGGGGGGCCGTAGGAGGCCTGGGCAGCCCCCGTGGCAAGCGGTACGAGTCAGCTGAGGAGGAGGAGTACGTGCGGCGGCTGGTTCGCTTCCTGCGCACACGCACGGGGGAGTTTCCGCTGTCGGACCTGATCAGGTGGGGGGGGGGGCTGGGGTGCGGGGGACTGAAGGGTAGGAGCCTGAGGAGTACGTGTGAGGGGGAGGGGGGCATGGGGCGGGGAGACACGTGGCGTGTCGGATGTGCGGTGTGCGGTATGGGGGAGGGGGGAGGGAGTCGGGATGGATAGGGGTGTTGCTGACTTGTGCTTGCACAGCGCCGTATGCCAAAGCATTGCTGCGACTTGCCGCCTGCCACGTCGCCTCCTGCAGGTTGGATCTGGGCATTCCCCAGAACGTGCTGCGGGGCCGCGCCCCCAGTGCCTGGGCCAAGCGGCACCTGGACCTGTGGAGCATCAACATGGGCAAACCGGTGACCCTGCTGCTGAGGGAGGGGGCGGTGCCATGAGGGAGGGGGGCATGCGGTGCCATGAGGGAGGGGGGCATGCGGTGCCATGAGGGAGGGGGGCATGCGGTGCCATGAGGGAGGGGGGCATGCGGTGCCATGAGGGAGGGGGGCATGCGGTGCCATGAGGGAGGGGGGCATGCGGTGCCATGAGGGAGGGGGGCATGCGGTGCCATGAGGGAGGGGGGCATGCGGTGCCATGAGGGAGGGGGCGGTGCCATGAGGGAGGGGGGCATGCGGTGCCATGAGGGAGGGGGGCATGCGGTGCCATGAGGGAGGGGGGCTTGCGGTGCCATGAGGGAGGGGGGCATGCGGTGCCATGAGGGAGGGGGGCGTGCGGTGGCATGAGGGAGGGGAGCAGTGCGCTGCAGATGGAAGGGTGTGTTGCATGAGAAGAGTAGGAATTGCGAGGTCGGACGCGGCGGGGAAGGCGAATGCTTGTGGCGAGGACATGTTTGGTCCCGAGATCAACGCTGAGGCAGAGGCTTTCAGGGGAGCAGGTGCCACACGGCATGCCAACGCAGTGGCTGTTGGGCACATTGTCGCTTTGCTATTGTTGATTTATTGTTGTCGCATGTCGTCTTGCTACTGTTTACCGTACGTACGCCTGAACTGTTGTCTGCTGGCAGGTGGTGTTGTGTTGGGCCTCGGGGGCAGGTTTGCTTCCTGCCGCGCGCTGCCCTGCATGTCTGTTGCCCTGCGCTGGTGTGCATGCAACCATGCAACCATGCAACCCGGCGGCGACGCCATGTGTGTTGGTGCGGCGTCTGCACTGTCTTTATCCCGCAATGTATCCGTTGTTTCCCAAGGTAGAATAACGAACGTGAGTTGCTGAAAGGGTTTGTTGACGGTTGCGGTTGTGTTGGGTCGTGGCGGTATCGTACCGTGTTGTGTGGAACGTTGAGGTTGTGGCGCGTGTGGCGGGGTGGAGGCCTGGAGGGGATGCCGAGTGAAACTACAGGAGTGCAACGGCAGATGGCATCAGCAGACAGTAGGTGGGGGTTAGAAAAAGGATATGCAACCATACTGCCACGTTCCATACGAGCACAAGCAACAAACAAGTGTGGGGAGACAGACAGTATGTTGCTGTCCGGGCGGCTGCGGGTGGGGGCTGTGGAGCCTTGTACGGCAGTATGTGCGGCGGTGTGTGTACGACAGTGCGTTGCTGGGCTGCGTGTCACATGGACGTGAGGAGGTGTGTGGCTCTGCCATTCAGGACTTGGGAGGCAGGGGAGTGGTGCAGCGCATTTGTATGAGCAGCACGCATTGATGGCAGTTGGAAGGGCTCTGTGAGTGGCAGCCACCCCACGTACAGGTCTGCCCTCATCTTGCCTCTCCTGTTAGCTGAAGCCTTTGTAACGGCAGGGCCCTTTCGTGCCTAGTGAGAGGGAGTTGTGGGCATCTCGCCCCTTTTTGCCTTTCCATTTGCCCAGCTGCCAATCGTGCGTGAATGCGAGGAACCATGCATTGGATCCCTTCTACCCAGGTGCGCCAGCATAGCAATTCGTATTTTGCAGGAATGAATGGGCCAGGGGGCACCGTACGGTGGGCGAGAACACGGTAGATACTTACACGTGCCCACATGCGTTTACTGTCCTGCGCTCGCTCCTGGTGGTGAGCTTATTGCCACAACAACGCTAATTAACATCAGCAGACGTATGTGCGACACCAAAACCGCAGTTGTGCTGCACTAGTAAGCCATACCGTGACATCACGCACGGCGCAACATGGTAAAGCGCACCACCACAGGTAAATCGTACGGCATTAATGCGCCATTGTTTCAATACATCTTAATTGACCGGGCAGCAGCGCTTAAACTTCCGGAAACGCGAACTTGCGCGCTGGCGTCGGTGCTGCTTCAAGCGCTCAAGACATACACTGCAGCATACACTTTGGGAACATCAACGCAAGCGCCTCTGCTGCCTTGACATATTTTCCGGCAGCTAGAAAAGCCATATACCGTTGTTCGTTGCTGCCATCTCTACTACTCTAATTAATATCGTCTGCCGTACATCCCTGTGCCGTACAACCCCAAAAAACAAAAACCAACCTCCCGAGGCAGCCTCTAAGCTAGACGGTCAACGCGTTGTTACTGTTGCAAAGTGTTGGCATTCGTCATTCGTCATATAGGGCACAATCCTACGATAAAGCTAAGATAATATCTCGTAATGGCATTCTTCTCTCCTAAAACTGCTGCGATAAAACTTCTGCTCTGCGACCAGCAATCAATCACATCACCCACTCCTTGCCTGCCTCCAACCAGTATCATACTCGATGCCAAAAGGAGAGACCGGCAAAAGGGAGTAGCGAGCCGTGCCTGCAACGAGACACACACAAGGCCGACACAGCGACAAACAACAACACACACTCGCACAAACACTCGCACAGTGCCCTTCACACGCCGATTCGGCGCGACGTTGCGACATGACACTTCATCTCTCTTTCGGATACAGATACAAATGCGCTGGCAAAAGGGCATAATGATGAAACTCACAAGGAAGTGCACAAGAGCAGCCGTGGCAGCCAAACAACCATTCCGTCAACCCAGGCGTCAACCCAGGCGTCAACCCAGGCCCTCCATAGCTCCACCATCCCCAGTCCCTATCCATAAAACAGCCCTAATGCGGACACCCCAGACCGACCTCACGCACACGCGCTCTCTCCCTACCTGCATACCTCCGAAAACGACCAATCAGAAACTCCAGGACGAGGGTTGGCTGATTTCTACAGCCTCCCAAACATCGTCGCAACCCCACAAAGGGCCCTCCTTCGCCCGCTTTAACGCCAACCTGCTGCTTTCCCTCCCTATCGAGGCGGCTGCTGAGCACGCGGCAAACATGGGACAACCGTTGGCACGACAAACCCAGGCAGCGGCCAGCTCCGCCAAACAACCACACAAAACCACACACAAAAGCACATGCAGACCACCGAAAGCAACGAGCGCGCTGCCACCTGTACCCACCTGCCCCTCTCCACCCGGCCTCCTCCCGCCTACCCGCCCCCTAGCAACCCGCATGCGGGCATGCCTCTGATTGCCCACACGGGCAGCCCCTCACAGCCCCTCACAGCCAGGAACCGGTCCGGGGTACCGCCCCCATGCCGCCCCAATACGGCAACCGGCGGCCACCCGGAAGTGTGGACGAGCCCCAATGCAGCAGCGGTTCCGTCCTGCCAGCGCAAGCAAGTAAAAAGACATTCGCAGCAGCAACGCCCAGCGCAGGAGGCAGCGCCGCGGCGTTGGCTGCCTCCCAACAGGTACTGGACAGAAGAAAGCCCGTCCCCCCACTCCATCCGCCCCTTTCCAGACCCCTTCTCAACGAGACCTGGAGGACACCGCTGCGGGCGTTGCGGTGGCAGCAGCCGCCGCGGCCGCAGTGGCAGCAGCCGGCACTGCTGCTCTCGCCGCCGCCGCTGCCGTCGCCGCAGATGCCGCCGCCGCCGCAGCAGCAGCCTCCGCTAGCTGCTGCGCCGGTGCGCTGTGCCGGTGCTGTAGCCCCATCCTGCCCGCTATTGCCGCTGCAGACACCGACCGCGGCAGCGACGATGCATGGCCCTGCTGCTGCTGCTGCTGCTGCTGCTGGGGCTGCTTGCCGTCGCTGGAGTAGATCCTGCGCGCGCGGCCCTTGTCGTCGAAGAGTCCGCCCAGGTCGCTGTCGGAGGGGGTGTAGTCGGTGATGCGGGCGGGCATGTCGCGGGTCTTGGCGCCTGGGTGGGCAGGCGGGCCGGGGCGGGGTGGGGTGGGGCGGCGTGGGGCGGGTAGGTCAGTTGGGGTAGTACAGCAGTGTGATAAGTGTAGAGGAGATTCAGCAAACAGCAAACGATTAGGACAAGCGACACACACAGACAGGAACCGCGAGGTCACACAGGCGGGGCCACACCCAAGCACCTACATGCCCCTTGCCCCCACCACACACCACATCCACCCGCACCCCTCCCCTCCCTCCTCCCCACCTGCCCCCGCCGCAATGCGCAGCCCCTCCACCCCCGTCAGCACGTTGTGTGCCGCCGCCAGCACGTTGTCCAGCGCCACGTCCAGCGGCCCGATGCCGCCCGGCCGCAGCTCCGCGATGTCCAGGAAGCGCTCCGTGGCCGCCTCCCAGGTGAGCGAGTGCAGCTGGTGCGGGGAGAGGGGGGCGGGGTCGGAGTGCAGCGCTCGATGCAGCTGCCGGGAGAACTCCTCCGGGGTCCTGGGGGGGGGGAGGGGGACAATAGCAGCGGGAGAAGGGAGAAGGGAGGGAAGGGGATAAAGGGTTGGTGGGAGGGCTACACAGGCCTGCATAAAAGAAACCACCCACTGTTGCTCCTCCGCTCGGTCCCCACACAGTAAAAGACCCAGCGGCCCGGCGCCCGTTACCCCCGCAGGTGCCCCTTCCAGGGCTCCTCCCCCTCCTACCCAATCCCCTGCTCCCCACCTGTATATGAGGCAGTTTGGGAACTGCTCGAAGAACTTGTTGGAGGGGTGCTCCGCGCACACAACGAACTTGCCCATGGCCAGCGCCTCCGCGGTGGTGGTGGCAACCACGTCGGACAGCGAGGGGTTGATGAACACCTGGGAGGGGCGGGGGCCGGGAGGGGGGGAGGGGGGGGGGAGAGGGAGATAAAAATAAAGAAACACTGACAAACTGGAAGAGGGGGAGGGGGGATGAGAGATGAGACATGACCCACATGAGAGATGTTTTCCGATGTGGACTGTTACAGAGGAAGGACAGGAAGACCACCAAGAAACCAGCGGAGAAAAAAAGCGGAGATGTACGTGAAGGGGGTTCTTCCCGCCTCACAGAGTGGTAAAGCTGTGCTAGGCGCGGTGGGGGCGGAGGGCTAGGACAGGCCCTTGGGGACCACATGAGGCCCGCTGGCAGCAGCAGCTTGTGCCACTGCTAGCCCGTGTGCAGCTTCCCGCCGCCGCCTGCGCCCCCCCCCTTAACGGCCCGACCCGACCCATGGGTCGCTCCCCGTTATCACCTTGTAGTCCTGCAGCGAGGTGTCCGCGTGGTCCCGGGCGCCGCGGAAGGAGAGCGCCAGGTTGCGTCGCACCGCCTCGTGCTCCACCGCCTGGGGGCAGGGGAGGGGAGGGGAGGGGGGGGGGGTGTCAGAGATATACCAAACCATGGGGGTGGTGGGGTCAGGAGTCACAAAGAGGTTAACCAACCCGTTCCATGGAAACCACAAGTGAGGGCAAGGCAACAGGGAGACGAAGCGCCGTAGGGGAGGCGGGAAGAGGGGGTAACACCCACCCCACGGTAACACCACCCCATTCTGTTGTACGGCATGTGCACGCACCTTGAGGTCGGGTCCGCTGCCGTACACGTCCACGTGGATGCGCTGCCCCGTCCGCTGCGTGTGCTCTTTCAGCCGGTCCAGCAGCTCCGTGTAGCCCTTGGCCCACAGCACCTGGGGGGGGGGCGGGAGGAGCGGGGGGTCAGGAGGGAGGGGGGTCATAAGACAACAACAAACCCATTTTGCAGCACCTGCATCCCATGGATGCCTCCATCCCACAGCACCGCGCCTCACTCCAATCGCCTCCACATTCCATCCGACCTCCTCCCCTTTCCCAGCGGTCTCCTCCCCTCCGCTGCACGCAACCCGACCTATCCCCTCCCCTCCCTCCCAGCTCACCTTGCCCAGGAAGTATACGTCCTTGCTCCAGGGCCGCTCGCCGCAGGCCGCCAGCTGGGCCTTGGTCTGACCCACCTGCGGGGGGGGGACAAGGTGAGGAGGACGAGGACACCAAGGTCAGGCCAGGCCAGGTAGACAACACCATTAGGTCAGGTACCGCTCGGGGCGCAGCCACCCGCAGCGCGCCAACCAGCACACCTCCCCCCGCCGCCGCATCCCCCAGTTCCTTCAACCTCTCTCCCAGCCCCTCCCCTCTCCCCCCTCCCAGCCTCTCATCCCCTTCCCTCCCCTCTCCCAGCCCCTCCTCCTGCCCTACCTTTAGGAAGGAGGGCGACACCCCGTGCACGAACATGGTTTCCTGTCGCGGCAGCGGCTGCACCGCGTCACTCAGCTTGATCACCTTGTGGCAGTAGATGCGGCACATCCAGGCGTTAATGTGCCTGGCGGGGGGGGGAGGGGGGGGGCAGGGGGGGGCGTGTTGAGGGAGCGAACCCGGTGATACACAAGGACAGACAGCAAGGAGGCAAGGACTGGGCTGCCAGAGTAAGCACCTACACTGCCCTACATGCCTTCCGTGCATGCAGGCGCCCTGCGCTACCGTACCCCAGTCCCACCAACCCCAAGCCCCTGCCGCCCCTCCTCCCCTGCTCCTCCCCCCTTCCCCCTCCTCACTTGAGCAGCGCCTCCTTGAGCTGCCCTCCCTCCTCCCTCCTCGCGTAGTCCAGGTAGTTGGTGTGCATCACGCCCACCACGTGCGCGAACTTGTCGGTCCACCGCCGGCCGTGGTGGTACCTGCGGGCGGGGGGGAGCGGGTGGGATAAACCAAACGTGAAGCAATGGAGGGAGGCGGGCGGGTGCCCTCACGTGAGTCTCGTGCGCATCAACGTGTGTGGAAGCGATTGAAGGGTAAGACCCCGGAAGAGTAGCGCACGCAGGAGGTGCGGGCGCCCACCGGACGGGCTCCCCAGGACACGAGGCGACACCGGGGCTCCTCCGCCGTGCCCTGCACTCCACGCGACCCGCCATTCCCCCCGCATCACGAGTAACCTTGCCCAGCAATGCCTGCCCCAACCCAGCCCCCGCCCCTCCACCCACACCCCAGTCTCCCCCCCAACCCCCGCCCCATCCCCGCCTCCCTCCCCGTCCCCCCGCCCCACCAGTTGAGGTGCTCCGGCTCCTCCAGCACCGCAACATCCGCCTCGTGGTCGGGGATGACGGTGGTGATGTCGCCAACCGGCAGGATGCTGCCTGCAGGGGGAGGGGAGGGGGGGGGGATTGGGAGGCGAGGAGGGGGGGAGGGGGCAGCATGGGCAGAGGGGAGATCAAGACACGCAAGCAGGCAGGGGCAGCCCCCCCTGGAGCTGGCCAGCGGGGAGGGCCCTGGTCAGTGGGAGCGGCGCAGCTGCTGATGTGGGCGTCCTGTGCCTTGTCCGCGGGTGCATGCGTGCAGAACCCCACTGTGCAGACCCTACCCAGCTAGTTTACCACTGTCACACCACACATTGGAATTTCTTTTTCCCACCCCGCACCAGCACCCACAACCATGCCATGCGGAAAGCCACGCACCGACTCCCGACCCCAGCCACCCCTGCCCCCCCCACCCGCTCCCCTCATCGCCTCGCCTCCGCGCCCCCCCCCTCATACACTCACCCTTCTCCGCTGCGTATCTCCCCGGGTAGAACGCCACCTTGAAGTTGCACTCCAGCCCCGTCCGCTTCCTGGCCCACTGCCGTACAAACTCCTCCTGCTCCTCCGGCGACTCGAACGTCACATCCGCGGGGAACACCCGCTGCTGGTCCGCCTTGCTCAGCCACGGCAGCACCAGCGTCACCTTGCGCTCCCCGCTACTCGCCAGGTAGGCGGCACGCAGCAGCGGGTTCACCGCCGTACCCGTCAGCCAAGGCAGGCTGGCGGTGGTGACGATGGCCACCTGCCGGCCGGGTTCGCGGAGTGAGGAGCCGCGGAGGGCTGCGAGGCGGCGGTTTCGCTCCAGGCCCTCCATGTAGCGTTCGAAGGGCGCGTACCATTCCGCTGCGGGGGAGGCGGCGGAGGCGGCGTCCTCGGGGTTGGTGCCGTTGGCGGCGGAGTCGGCGAGCTCGGCCTCCCGTGCGCGGAGGTAGCGCGGGAAGATCGCCCAGGGACCGATTGCGGTGAGCTCGCCGGATCCGGAGCCGCTGGTGGGGTCGCCGGAGGGGGTGGCGGTGAGTAAGGGGCGACCGGAGGAGGAGGGGGAGTCTAGGGTGTCGGTGGTGCCGTGGGCCGGGACCGACCAAGGTACTAGAGCCATTGTGCTGCTGAGGCCGGGAGATGGGCCGTGGGTGGTGAGGGCGCTGCCCGGGGTGGATAGGTTTTGTTGTAGCGCCGTGCCGAGGATTTGTAGGTTTTGTTGGCAGTTGACGGCTGTCTGCTGGATGCTTTGCTGCGCGGATTGGATGGCGAGGCGTGAGCGGGTGATGATGGTCTGCGCGACGGCCTCCAGGTTTTTCGCGACTGCGTCGTTGGCAACCCAGGATTCAGATAGCTCCTGGAGAGAGGGAGCTGTTGGCACGCGCGGGAATGCGCGCACCAGCGAGGGTGCCGTGACATCCCGCGGTTGCGGTTGCAGGTGCGTGTCTGAAGCTGAGCCAAAGCTGTCATCTTCATCCACTTTAAACGTCCAGTGCTGGTGCTTGCTGCCCTTCCAGTGCTGCGGTGAATCTAGAGAAGGGTCGGAAGCTGAGCGCTTCAATGCAGTGGTCAGAGCCAGCGAGCCGTTGCTCTTGACACGGCGAAGCAAATCCCAATCTTCTGAAAGCAGATTGGACTGCGCTGTCAGGAGTGTCTCGGGTGGCTTGAATGAGCCAAGCCGCTGACGAGCCTCATTACGCAGTGTCCTCTCCCACGTTTCGTAGCCCGATACCAAGCGCTGCACATCTGGATTCTGCTTTGCGTAGAGTACAATACTGTTGGCGTTTGTCTCAGCGACAGCGCGCAATGTCTCCGCTGCTGTGGATAGCGGGGTCGGCGAGCCCCCGATGCCCCCCGGGAAGCCAGCCGCCCGGCTGGGGACAGACCATGCAAACGCCTTCAACGCCCCGTCCCCAGCACCATTGCTGTGGTTATACGTCATTTCCGTGTGTGTAAGCGTGTCATCCGACGTTCCAGGCGTATGCTAAGCAAGAACACTAAAAGCCAAATGGATGTGTAAAGCTACTATTGATAGCAAACTGTGTGCATATGCAAGTCTGGCCAAGGTGAAGGTGATGGAACCGGCTGTATGGATGAAGGTCATCGTCCTTCATCCGTATTTACCAACAGCATGCTACCAAGATTTTGCACAGTTCAAGGCTGTTATCTTAAACCCGTTTAATAATAGCCGAACGCCTACTTAAAGATGCAGCTGACGCGCTTTAGCTCAGTGACCAACCATGGCTCGCTGGGCCGCCAACGCAGCGTTGCCCGCCCGTCGGGTGAGTAAATACTGTCCATCATACAGCATGTATGCCCTGCTGTAATTTTGGTGATCAGCGCTTTAGGTCTTTGGGAAGGTAATGGACGCTTCTGCGGTTTTCTCTGTGCAGTGGTCAGCGTGCGTCGTCAGGGCCGCAAAGCCGTCGTGGTGCAAGCCAACCTTTTCGCGCGCGTTACTCGAATTGTCAATTCCTGGGCGAACAACGTCGGTAAGTCCGCGAAGGTTTGGCCATCCTCTTGAGGGACAATCACTACAACGCGTTTCTTCCCACACATAGTGAGCAACGCCGAGGACCCCGAGAAGCTCCTAGATCAGGTCGTGGAGGAGATGCAGAACGACCTGATTAAGATGCGGCAAGCAGCTGCCACGGTACGTACCTGCAGGTCGCGGGTCCGGCTGAGAGCTCCAAACCCGCCACAACTTTTAACTCATAGCTCATCCGCTCTCCTTCCGCAGATCCTCGCCCAGCAAAAACAGATTGAAGCCAAATACAAGCAAGCCCAAAACACCGCGGTAAGAGTTGCTTCTTGGATGCAACACCCACAGCCACAAACACACCAACCGACGGTTGCGATGCCAAAGCTTGTGGCTCGCGGATCCTGCTCCGCCCGCTCGCACGAGGCGGGATCCGCACCTACCAGTCCTGATCTCACTCACACCCCGGCCTCCTCCCTCCCTCCCTGGATGGCCCCCTCTCCCTGCAGGACGACTGGCTGCGACGAGCGGAGCTGGCGGTCCAAAAGAGCGAGGACGACCTGGCGAAAGAGGCCCTCAAACGCCGGAAATCCTACCAAGTGAGCTGCGGGCTGTGGGGCTAGGTTCCTGCCGTACCCGCATGCAAGCTTCTGAAACCAACCAGCAGCACCCCACCGTCGTACCACCCACGCGCCCTCTCCCGCACCCCTCCTCTCCGTCCCTCCTCCTCCCTCCCCCGAGCATCACTATCACACCACACATTGGATTTCCTTCTTTTCCCCCGAGCAGGATCAGGCCGACACGCTGAAGGCCCAAGTGGACCAGCTCTCCGCCGCCAGCGGTGACGTGCTGGCCAACACGCGCGCCCTGGAGGCCAAGCTGAGCGAGGCGCGCAGCAAGAAGGAGACGCTCAAGGCGCGCGCCGCCTCCGCCAAGACCAGCCAGGCCATCCAGGAGATGATGGCGGGGCTGAACACCAGCAACGCGGTGGTGGCGTTCGACAAGATGGAGCAGAAGGTGCTGGCCATGGAGGCGCAGGCGGAGAGCACCAAGATGCTGGTGGGCAGCGACACGGTGGATAACCGGTTCAAGGCGCTGGAGAGCGGGACGGGTGGGTGCGGGGGTGAGGGGCGGGGGGGTGAAAGGAGAAGGACCATGTGTGTTGAATGATGGGGTTGGGAGGGTGGAGCAGGGTGTGGGGCGGATGGGTGGGTGGGTGGCTCCACTCCATGGCATGCCCGCCCCATTTGCTGCTATCCTCCCGCCGTCTCTTACCCTCCGCCAACAATACCCATTGTTTTGCCCTAACTTTGTGGTTTGGTTTAATTCTACCCTCCTTTCCCCCGCTCCCCTCCGCCTCATCCCTCCCGCCCCCTCTCGTGCTGCTGCTGCTGCCGCTGTCGCCCCCTGCAGTCGACGACGAGCTGGCCGCCCTGAAGCGCGGTCTGCTGGCCCCCGCCGCCGCCCCCGCCGCGTTGCCCGAGGGGCGGCCCGTGATGGACGCGCTGGACCTGGAGCTGGAGGCGCTGCGGAGGAAGGCGCGGGCGGAGTGAGGGGCGGGGAGGGGGAAGGAGGGAGGGTTGTAAACAGTATGTGCAGGGGGTGCAGGAGGGTGCGGTGTGAGGAGGCTGTCGAAGGAGGGATGCATTGTGAGGCGATGGTGAGGGGCGTTGGTGAGGGGCGGTGGTGGCGAGGGTTGGGGAATGGGGTGAGAGTGGGGTGCGAGAGGCGTGTATGGGGAATGAGAGGATAGTTTTGAGTTGCACTAAGAGGGTATGCAGGTAGGAAGAGGCGGGAGGGCAGGCGAGTAGGCATGTAGAACGAGAGACGAGAGGGAGTGCGAGGTAGGTCATGAGGGAAACGGGTGCTGCTGCCATGGAGAGTAAGCGACGGCCTCGGAACATCAGGATGTCATGGACAGGTCGTGGGAATCGTGGGAATTTTGGCTGGATGGGTTCCTGTACAGCGACGTTGAGGCGACCTGAGGTGAGCTTGGTGAGGAGGCAAGAGGGTCGCGGTGGGTTACAATGCCCGCGACGCCCATATGGAGGCAGTGTACGGCACCCGCTGCCCAGCGGAATGCATGGTGTGTCCTTACTGCATTAGCTGTTGGGGGCGAGAGGCCAGGGGTTAGAAGCGTGACATCGGGAGCCGCAGCAGCAGGAGTCGTGCATGCAGGCGGGACCTCCGCACCGGGTGGTGGGGCTTCGTTTTTGCAGGCGTCGCATTTTTCACACGTCTGCGTCATGTATTTAACAGTGTGTGGGGGTTTGCCAAGGAGTGCGCTACCTAATAACCTTAAGTGGTTGTTACGTGAAACAGAAACAGTATGGAAGCATGCGCCACTGTTTCCAAAGCGCACAGCATCGTAACCCGTAGCACGTCAGCTCGGTTGCCGTTCTCCCATCTCCTCTAGCTGGTGTCAGCCAGCGAAACTGTGTTAGCTGATGTGGACCAGCTTCGCATATGGGTGTGAGAAAGGGACCGCCGCCACCCGCTGGGCCGGACCGGGTCTGCGTATTAGGGCTACGACTCCTGCGGCCTGCGTTGGTCACTGTGCACTTCACCCTACTGCCTGGGCTACACACTTGCTGGATACGCCTGGAAGTCCCCGTAAAGGCAAGGAACCGAGGATAGCTCGGTGGATAGCAGCTGGGGAAGATTGGCATATAGTTTGTACGGTAGTTCCTCAACTGCCAAACTTGCGCCATGTCTTGCCCTTCGACGTGAACGCTTAGTAAAAGGAAACTTGATGACAAGTAAGGCCCGCCTTCGGCGGGAGCGACCCGTAGCTCGGCAAGGGAAGCGAGTTATGTAAGCTGAAAGTTAGGTTGGGTATGTGGTGTGGAACGGGAGGAGGCGACAAATGTATGGGCGGTATGTTGCTGCTACAAGGAGTCAATCTCCGTACAATCGGCCGGCAGGTATTCTCTGCCAAGCGTACAACCTGGTTCAATTGTCGCCAGTCTTTTGGCAACTGGCAACAAGTCAACAACAACTGAACAGCTTGGTATGGTGCCAAACAGTCTAGTTAGTGGCATGTGACCAGCAGTGTAACCCCCAGCAAAACGGACACCAACCAAACCCAGTGCCGTGCAACCAGCCGTCGGATCTATCATGCTAAAAGTACAGCAGGTCGTTATCTAGTGGACGTTACCGTTACGCCGCAAAGCAAAACGTCGCAAGAACGCTACGCCCTGTTCTGCTGACAGCGTGAAGAGCTGGATCGTCTGCTCGGGTGTAGGCGGCGTCGCCATGTGTACGTACGGCGGCGCGGTTCCAGGGCGCAGGTGAATGTCCGTGCTGGCTCCGGTGATGGAATCGATTGTGGTGACCCACGCACGGACGGGGTCGCCATGATGGCCGCCGGCAACGTGCAGCCGTTGGTGGCTGTCGCTGTTTGCTGCAGGAGCTACTTCAGCATCGCTCAGCACAAACTGTTTGAGGCGCTGTTCGGCGGCGCGCAGCATGGGGCCGTCTTCTGGGGTGGCTCGCCGAACAAAGGACACCGCGTCCGCACCATGGCCATTTGGAAGGTGCACGTCACTACAGCGGGTTACAGCGTCGTACGCATACCTGCCCTCCGGTTTAGTCATGTCGAAACCAGCCATAGCGTCCACGTCCGGGAGTGCATCTGCCGCTTGCGCAGCTGCAGCTGCAACGGCGTCCATACCGTCCTCGGGCACCGTGTTCAAACCGATGGGGAGCAGCTCTGAACCATCGTGCTCATCTGGCGGGCCTTCCACATCCGGGTCGTCGCCCCGCTGGGCCAGCTGCGCGGAACAAGGGAATGGAAAGCAGTGTGGTTATCATATACAGAAACACCGGAAGTCAGCAAGCATGCAGAGCAACATACGGATTAAGCGAGCAGCTGTAATCATGCAGAGGGTTTGACGGGCAAAAGCGACCAGCTGTCGTCGTACCCAGCAAAGACGGGTGAAAGGGAGCAGCTGTTGTTGAGTATCTAATCCCTAGCCTAGCGTTCCTGTGTTCCTTTACAGGTGCGCCAGGAGGCAAACCAATCGGCCTACCTCAGCCCTGCACAGGTTGTACCGCTGAACGGCACGTTGCTTGCTGGCATGGCTGGCCGCGATGTTGCCCAGGATGCGCTGCACGGCCTTCTTATACGTAGCCCAGCGCGGATCCGCCAAGGTGACATTCCACCAGTGGTCGTACGCCGCGCTCAGCGTGGCGTGGTTGCCCCTGGGCGGCGTACGGTATGCGGAAAAGACGCCGAGCACGAAAGCGTACCAGCGAGACGCTGCGTCAGGATCAGCACTGTCGCTCTCTGGTCGCACGGGAAGCGCGCCCACGAATTGGACGTAAACTGGACGTGGCCGTCGAACCAGTGCGTGCGACGCATGCATGGGGTGGTGAAACGAGAACCGCGCGTACTTGCCGGGCGGACTGGAGTCCGCAGCACCAGAAACAGTAGTCCCATGCGCGCCGCTGGCGCCGTCTGCGGGGGCGTTCGTAGTGGCCCCGGTTGATTCTTGCTGCTTGGAGGCCGGCAGCCGCCGCCGCTCGAACATGGCACGCACGAAGAAGGGGCTCCAATATGGAGCGTCCATCCCCGAGTCCCGAAGCAGGTAATCGGTTAGGTCCGAGACGCCACGGTACGAGTGCTGCTGCTCATCTGCGACGAGCACGTGAGCGGTGTGCTCGCTGTGGGCGGCACCATCCAGTGCGTGCCCTAGAATGGGCCCAAACACCAGGGGCGCGGTCTGGAAAGACGCATTAAACGTGCTGTGACCGGCCAAGACGTACGCCATCATAGCCTGCCCGGTGGCATGCATACCGGTGCTGACGTTTAGCGCCACCCGCAAATTGTGGAGTGCTTCCCTGGTAGTGCCAATGTGCGGTGCGTGCGGTACCTGCTCGTGACGCTCCTCAAGCCTGCAGGCGGCGCGTAGCAGCTGTTCGCTGGCTCCGGTTGGCTGCGGCTTGGTGACGTACTTGGTGGCGTATCCGGCTGCATCACGTGCATGATCATCTGCAGACCCCAGCGGGCAGGCAGCCGACGTGCCGTCCGCTGTGCTGAGCTGCTGATGGACGTCAGCCGTGTAGTCGTGGTCAACCTCGCACGCTAGGCTCATCAGGTGGTTGCACCCTGTCGCCATCGCCACGCCTGGCGTGGAAGGTACCACGGTGGCGCCCAGCCGCGGCAAAAGGAACATGCCCGCCGTACCTATCCAGCGCATGAGCAGGCGTATGATCCGGGGGAACATCATGCCGCAATCGCCGTCCTTCCCGCTGCAGCCATGGCGCTGGCACGTGGAGCTGTGGTCATGTTGCTGGGTGCTTTCTACGACACGCACCAAATGCTCCGCGCAAGCCGCTTGGCGCTCCGTCTCGTCCCGCTGGCCACCGTGAGTGTTCGCAATGGTCAAGAAGTCGTACGCAGCAGGCGGCACTTGCGGATCCTGAGCTGGGGCCGCTTGGGATTGGCCCGACGGCGTGGCAAACGGATGGGGGGTGCGGGGCGAATGGTACGGCGACGGTAGCCACATGTTCAGCACCGCATAAGCTAACGCGAGCGCCTTGCAGTTGGGCCCATCGAAGAGCTGCTGCAGGCGCTCGACTGCGAAGGTAGCAACCAGGGCGCCGCCGTGCACATGCAGCGCCATGCGGCCGCTCTGCTTCACCTTGCTGATATGGTACAGCGTTCTGCCCATGAAGCAGTGCGGGTTGGACTGCTGCGTGGCGCCCGGCTCGTAACCGAACATGTACTTGTCTAGCGCAAGCCTCATAACCCGCAGCAGTTCCGCGCAAGCAAAAGGGTTCGCCGCTACATGGCGCCACCGCTGAACGACATTCGGGACATCGACTGGGCGGCCGGTCTGCTGGTCATATTCCACCACCTCACCAGCTGCCACTGCTACCACGCCGCTGTACATGTCCGCAGGGTTGATGTTGTAGAACATGCTGGGCGGGCCGACCATGTTGTCAGCGGCTTTTGTCAGGCTGTGCGCGTGTTGGTAGTACGCGTCGGTTAAGTCAACTTTGGCTGCAACCCGCCGGATACCATTCGCAATGTCACGGATGGGCTGCCCAAACTGGGCAACCACGCGCTGCCTGGCAGCGTCATTGCTTCTGGCGGCGAGGACAGTAGCCACGTCTCGTAGGACGTCATCAGGGAACTGCTCGAATGCGTGCAGCGTGCTTGGCGTCATCTGCGCGACCACGTACGCCAGGCAGTTGGTGCGCTGCTTCTGGATAATGTCAAATATGTGACTCAAAAACGTAGCATTTCCAGCGAACTGCTCCCGTGGCGCTCGCCGGACGAGATGCTGCGCATACCGTTCTGTAGACATGCCGTCCGGACGCCAACCGTCAGCGCCAAACGGGAATGCGTCAAGGTGGCACGAGGAGAGGAATGCCGGGTCATACTCGTCCATGGGCTGTACGCCACGCCCACCGGCTGCACTAACCACCACGCCACCTTGCTGAAGGCGCTGCAAGATAGCTGACGGGTCCGTACTATCATCTAAAGGGTCGGAAGTAGAGTATGCGTCCCCATGGTGCACCTCGACGTCATCCAGCCCCAGCATGTGTACTCCAGGTCCGATGTATCCGTCTGGCTGCAGTGCGGCTGCAGGCGACACAACGACACCAGCTGTACCGCCCGGCACGGCTAGTGCGGCCGCCATGGGCGACGGCCGAGCGAAGACGCCTGCACGCGCGCGGTTGGCAACAATTTAGGATTAAAGCTGCAAAGTTCCAATTAATCTGGAGCTGGAGTTAGGGAGGCGCAACAGCCACCTGCTGGATGTTGCCGGCGACGTCGGAAGGGTTACCTTGGGTGTGTGATTGCATGGCGGCACAGCACGGTATGGGTAAAGACGCTGTCTCCCACCCCCCTCCACGCGCAGCAATGCACATCAGGTCCTTACCTGTCACCGGGATATTTGGCGTACGACCAGACGGCGCTGGCTCCTGACCAGCATCCGGACCAGGCGATCGACCACCTACAAATGTACGGTCCCAGGCGCGGTCGGACGTACAACTGGTAATAAGGATGAGTCAAAACAAACTTCCCTGCTCACGCGCACGTTCGGACCATTGCGTTGCAAATGGAAAAGGTAGGCCCCTCACCTGCTGCATTCGCGCCCTCCGTCGCCGCTTCCACATCATCCTGCTGCTGCCGCACCCGAGCATTGCCGGCACGATCCCCTTCAAATGCAGCGCGCATGACCGCTGCCGTGTCTGGGTCATCTGTAGCCACCGCGTGCGCCACTAACGGCTCTGGCACCGTCGGCTCCGCACCCAGAGCGCGATACTGCTGAAGTGCAGCGTGGTCCACCTGAGCCATTGGATTCACGTGAACGGCCCACTCCGCCCATGCAGCGATAGCCAGGCCCCGCATCTTCAAGCATGGTGCCTGCCGCACTTTGGCCTCGAGGTCGGCACGATCTTTGACAGCATCAATTAGCACGACCTGAATGAAGGACGGCAGATCCGCTGGAGCGTATGGCACAACACGCTGGAGCTCGCTGGGCACGTCGTTTGGAAAGGCGAGCGTATGCCCACGCAACGCCGCTGGCAAGGTATCCACCGCGCGCCAGCTGGGTGTACCCGGCTGCCGCACAACGAGCAGCCGCATGTGAGGGCGAGCGAGGCCCACCACCAAGCTCTCCAGATGCGTCAGCGGTACGAGCGAATGACCATGCTGATTTACAGGGGGTACGTCGCCGGGATCCAACCGAGCCAGCGCCCCATCTGGGATCCGCCCACCTGGTGAAGGGCAGTGACAGGGGCGTTCAATGTCAGTATAGGCATGGGAATAGACGGAGGTACAGTGCCAGGGCCCGGTCGAGGCAGCCCATCATCTATAATGAAAACAAATAGCACCATGCCGGTGCTAATAGTGATCACAACCTTCGCAAACAGACGGCCCCCATGTTACCATAACAGCGTTCACTACCCAACGCACCCTGTAAGGCCTGTATGCATTCCGAGCAGACCGTAAAGCGCTCCACGCCGTCCGCTGAAACGTTCATCGTTCGGTTGGGCAGTACGGCACCTCCACCGCCACGGGGTTATCGTCACACAGCCGTACCCCTACCCGTGGCGCATACGTTGGAGGACGGTCTATGTCGCAGCATCGTCGGCGTGACGGCCGATCATCGGTAGAGTCGTCAAGGCCGCTGCTGGTCTCGCCGCTGCCCTCGCCAGCGGATGTGTCAACTACGCCGACGTTGCCCGACTGACCACCAGCGGCCTTGTAGCCGCGTGGCAGTACAGGATCCGGCGGGTTTTTGCAATCACGCCGATCGACACACCGCCAATACAGAACGTGCGCGCAACGAGGCACAGCCGCAGTCCGCCGCATGTCAGCACGTAGCAGCTCAACGCCAGCTATCTCGCTGAACTGCAGCGCCCGGACCTCTGAAGCGGACTTGCACTCGCTGCAGACTGCACACACCCGTGATGGCATGTTGTCGCGAACGAACTCGGCGAGGCCACAAGCCAAAGTTATCTGCTCCGAAAACGGTACCTGGGGAGGCTGTTCACCTGCTGGCAAGTCCTGCACCCGAGCTGGCCAAGCAGACGTTTGTGTCTCTAAGAACGTCGGCAGCTCAGGTACAGCTGGATTGTCGTGACGGAAAAGCGGCAAGCAGAGGCAGCCTGAAAGGGACTCGAGGTAATCATCGTGAGACAACCCACCCACAGGTCGAGAACGCTTACGCTGGCAAGCTTGCCTAGCTGCTGCCATCAGTTGCCTCCGCTGAAGCCTACACGCTGCATTGTCACGTCTGCGCGCCTGCCTGGCTGCAGCCGATGCCGCTGCTGGTGCACCCAAAAGGTCGTTCTGCTGTACATGCAGCGCAGTGGAACGCCCATGCCCCAATCCCAGCCCTCGCACTGCTGCCGCCGGCGCTGCTGCTGCCGCTGCTGGCGCCACTGCGGGAATTCCCACCGCGCCGGCCGGAGCCGCCAGGCCGAAGCCCGCCGGGAGTCCCACCGTCCCCGCCGGAGCCGCTAGGCCCAAGCCCCAACCAGGCTGCGCCGCGGCGGGGAGTCCCACCGTCCCCGCCGGAGCCGCCAGGCTGAAGTCCACCGGGAGTCCCACCGTCCCCACCGGAGCCGCTAGGCCGAAGCCCACCGGGAGTCCCACCGTCCCCGCCAGAGCCGCTAGGCCCAAGCCCCAACCAGGCAGCGGCGCCCAAAGACCGAGGCCCAAGCCAGCCGCAGCCGAGGCCCCTAGCCTGGAGCCTCCGCCGACCCCCGCAGCCGTACCGCACAAACCCGCCTGCCCCGAGCTACCTCCTCCTGCGACTGTACGCTGCACACCAGCGCTCGGCAGATGCCCTCGCTGTTGTGCTTGCTCCTGTTGCAGACGAGCGATAGTCTGGTACAACGCAACAGCAACAGCATCTGCCCGCATGAGGTCCTGTTGCCGCACCACGTCTGGATCCCCCAGCTGGAGCTGCCATTGCACCGAAGCGAGTGCGTTAGGAGGAAGGTGACCAGCAGCAACAGCATACCGAGCGCACAGCGTAGCAACGACATACTCGCTGTCACTCCTCTGGCGTACTCGATCCAGTAAGCCGTGCTCAAGTATGTACGTCCCAAGCTCCAGCATGTAAGTAGCTACCTCAGGCACTGTATGCCCGAACCCACGCAAACGATCGACGACCCGCTGAACGAATTCCGACAAAAGCCCAGGGAAGCATTGAACCGCATAAACGGAACCTTGACGCTCGGTCAGCAACAAGCTGGCAACTGCTTTGAACCACGGCCACACGCTGAGCCGACGTAAGCCGCTGCAGTAGAGCACGTTGTCGAGCGGGTCACCCGCGCCTGCGACACGCCCAAGGGAAAGGCTGGTACAGCGCCAGAATATAACCGAACGTCATGCGCTCGATCGCCACACACACCTTGATCATCCTTTCCCATGGTGCCCAGCTCGGAAAGCGGTAGCTCTATACCAAACAACGAAACAAAAAACAGCAACAGCAAGCCAAAGGCTCTGCTAGGACTACTTTCCAGGTAAGGAAGTACTTTCGTTAGCCTCGCCGCACGTGGCGTGGCTTGTGCACCGTTATAAATTGGTTTTACGCGCTTTCTTATACGCTTATTTAGACGTCTATCTAAAACATCTTCGTAGGTGGGTTGTGAAGCGGCGTGGTTTTCCTCGCGAAATCGAAGCGCGGTGAAGCCACGCTGGCTACGCAATATAGCCGTAGTAGACTTCACAAACTCGAACAAACTTCACAAGCAACGACACGAGCGACGCACGAAGAGTTGGCCGGCCGTTGAAAATCTGGTAAGATTCCGTATCAAAGAGCGTGACAGCAAAAGCGCGCCACGCTGGACGGTTCAAAGTGAAGGCCGAGCCGTGAACAAGAGCGCTGAAAGGATCCCGTTGAGCGTGACGGGAACGGGGTATGCATCCCTTCGCTTCGCTCCTCCGAAACCGCATACTTCGTATACGTTTTCTTCGAATCGAGCTACGGGGATAATATATTAACGCCTATCTCTATGACGTTGTTCGACCACTTCTAACCCTATGCAAACACCATGAGTTCGTTGGCGGGAGGTCCTCCTTGGGGTTAGGTTCTGGACCATTAAACAAATGGAACCTACAGTGGAATTTGCACAAGTCCTTCACCAGCGTGTGAGGCTGCGAGTGGACCCTGCGCGGGGCGTGCTGCAGGGGTAAGCTCGCAGCTTCTATTATATACCGTTTGGGATTTCCGCTGATAATGATCCAATTTGTACAGAGTTACGGAGCTTTACATTCGGCCGGGAAAGCAGCGGGTTGTCGCATTGCATGCACGAAACTTGGTTATTGACGAAGTCAGAGTCGGCTCCTGTGTTGTGAAAGCACAGCGCTTGCAACATCACAAACAGAGAAGCGTAGACGACTCCACAAAATACAGCACCCAGGACTATGCTGACTACGTCGCCGACGATTACCGGTCCGCCCTCAAAGCGGAGCGGATGCAAGGCGACCTTGCGATCCCGCTGGACGCTTACTATTCAGGTAATAGAACGCCTTCGACGGCCCTTACCACAGGCCGTCCCTCCAACTGCCGCTCCTCAGCCCCTCTCCTCCAGCTAGTCCTGCTTCCTGTGCCGCCTTCCTTTCCTTTAACCCCCATTCCCAACCCAAAACGCCCTTCACACCCTTCCGCACCCCTGCAGCACAAAACGACGCAGTCGCTGGCTTCGGCGCCGCCGCCGCTGCTGCCAACGGCACCGCCACCACCGCCGCCGCCGGTCCCGACCCCACCACCCGCCCAGCCCCCTCTCCTCCACCCCAGCCCTCGCCCCCCTCCCACGCCCCCGACTTCTCCCACTGCTCCGAATCCTTCCGCGCGCACCTCCTGCACGACCCCCTCCTCGCGTCCTCCATAAAACTCACCATCCGCTACCGCAAGCTCGGACCCGATGCTGCCGTACGCTACATGCGCCTCGACCCCCCCTCCACCTCCAGCCCAGACCCCCACACCTCCCCTTCCTCCAGCACGGGCTCCTGCCGGACCGCCAGCGTCATCCCATCTGGGTCGGCGGGCATCATGACCACGGACACGCAGTTCAACCGCGCTCGTGCGCTGGTCCCCTGCGTGGACTTGCCGGGTGCGCTGTGCACGTGGGAGGTGGCGGTGGAGGCGGGGCTGCAGGACGTGGCGGTGTGCAGCGGGGCGCTGGTGGGGCAGCGGTTGCTGGTGGGATGCCCGGAGCAGCAGCAGCAGGGGGAGGAGCGGGAGGGGGAGAGGCGGCAGCAGCAGCAGGGGCAGCTGGAGGGTCGGAGGGAGGAGCGGAGGCAAGAGGAGCCGGAAGGAAAGGAGGGAAAGGAGCAGCAGCAGCAGGAAAGGAAAGAGAGTGGTGGTGGCGGTAGGGAGGATGGGGCCGCAGCTGCTATGGCTGCTGGCGCAGCTGCTGCTATAAAAGCGGTGGAGGGAGCTGCAGGCGGCCCTGATGCGATGGACGTGGACTCGGTGCCCCCAGCAGCGGAAGCCACCACCGCCACGCCTGCAGCACCAGCACCCGCCGTGCCTGACAGCGCAGCCTCAGCCCTCCCTCCTGCTGCAGGGCACAACAACAGCAGCAGCGGCACCGGGGCTGCTGCTGCCGCAGACAAGGACAACAACCCCCACCTCAGCGACGACCCCATGCAGCTCGACGGCTCCTCCACACACCTCCCCCCCACAGCACCCCCTGCTGCCCCCCGCACGCCCACCCGCACCCCGCTCCCACCCCCCAGCTCCGCCCCCCGCCCCACCACCACCCTCCGCCCGCCCGCTCCCCAGCCCCCCCGCCCCTACGCCAAGGTGTGGTACTACGAGCAGGCTGCAGCGGTGGCGGCGGGGCAGCTGCATGTGACGGTGGGGCCGCTGGCGGTGGTGCCGCAGTACCAGGGCTCCACCAACCAGCTGGTGGAGTCCTTCCTGAAGCAGCAGCAGCAGGGCGGGCCGCCCATGCAGGGGGGGCAGGGGCAGCAGCAGCAGCAGCCTGAGGCCGCCACCATCATCACCCACTTTGGGTTGCCGGGGTGGTTGGACCTGCTGGTCGCCTCCAGCCGCTTCTTCTACCTGCCGTTCAAGGAGCTGCAGATCGCCTCCACCGTCAACTTCCCGCTGCCGCAGCTGCAGTGCGTGTGGGTGCCCTCGCAGCTGGCCAGCAGTGCGGTGCAGGTGGCGGCGGGGGTGATTGTGGTGAGTGGGGAAGGAGGGGAGGGAGGGAGGGCAGGGAGGGAGGGAGGAATGTAGATGTAGGAGGAAGACGGGAGGAGGGTAACTAGTAGGAGGGAGGCGAGAGGGGGAAGGTTACGGAAAGGGGAGGCGCCACATAAGGAAGCCAAGAGGGACTGCCTCATCCCATACCCTACTCCCCTCTCCCCCTCCTCTTCCCCCTCCTCCCGCCCCCTCCCCCCCTCCAGGTGAGCAGCGAGCTGCTGCACAGCGACCGCTGCGTGGAGGACGCCCTGGAGGCGCGCATCGCCCTGGTGGAGGGGCTGGCGCGGCAGTGGTTCGGAGTGGTGCTGCAGCCGGGGTAGGGGGGGCGGGGGGGGGGGGGGAGGGAAAGGGAGGGAGGACAGGGAAAGGGAGGGAAGGGGCGGGGCAAGCTTCTGCTTGGTGGGATTGGGGGAAGCGTGAGAGCTGTCACCGCCCTCGCCGCATGCCCGCCGCTCACTCCTCTCTCTTCCCTCTCTCCTCCTCCTTCCCCTTCTTCCCCCTCCTCCCCCTCAGCTCCTCCTCTGACGTGTGGCTGGTGGAGGGTCTGGCGGGGCTGATGGCCGACCACTTCCTGCGCGCCTGGCTGGGGCAGAACGAGGTGGCGTACAGGTGCGCGGAGGCAGGGGGGGAGGAAGGGGTGGCAGCAGGACGCTGGCAGGCAGGCAGGCAGCCGGGTATGGGATTACGGCTTGGGCTGAGAGCTCAGCTCACATAACCACACCTATCCCACCCGTCCCGCGCCTCTCCTTCCTGGCGTAGTTGGGCTTCCTCCTCTTACCTTCCTCGCTCATCCATCCCTCCTTCCTTGTCCCTCCTCCCTCCCCCACCCACCCCCCTATCCCCCCCAGGCGCTTCAAGGAGCGCGAGGCGGTGCTGGCGGGGGACGACGGGCAGCTGCCGCCGCTGTGTCCGCAGAACCAGTACGACTACAGCGATGACGGCATGCTGGGGGGAGGGGGGGAGGCGGGAGGGGGAGGTGGTGGGATGGGGGGTGCGGGGCAGCAGCAGCGGAGGAGGAGGAAGGACCCGCTGAGTCAGATGTACGGCAGCGAGGTGAGGCGGGGGGAGGGGGAGGGAGAGAGGGGAAGTGGGAAGGACCCAAAGGGGAGGGGGGAAGGGTGTGGTGTGGGACCCTTGAGAAGGGGCACAGAGAGAGGAGGGGGGAAGGGAGGGGTAGAGGAGGCAGCTTTCCTTCCCTTCCTTAAGCTCTCTTTGCCTGGTTTACCTACCCACCAATGGCTTCTTGGCGAGTCCTTACATGGCTGCTGCCCTGCACACCTGGCCTCCCACCCACCATCCCCGCGCTCACCTACCATCCCCCCTACACCCCCCCCTCCGCAGCTGCTGGACCCCTCCCCCCTGCGGCGCTGGAAGGCGGTGGCGGTGTGTCGCATGCTGGAGCGGCGCACCGGGGAGGACGCGTTCAGGAACATAGTGCAGGTGGGGGGGAGGAGGGGAGGGGGCTGTAGGGGGGGAGGGGGGGAGTAGGGCACGCGGGGCTGCAGCTGCAACAGCAGCGTCGGTGGGGGGGAGCGAGCGCGCGGCGGGCTGGAGCAGCAGCAGCAGCAGGCGTATCAGCTGCTGGCTGGGTAGCCGGGCTGCTTCTCTTTCTCCCTGCGAGGGACGCGGCCCGCATGCGCACGTGCGCACATGCACATCGCCCCCGGCACCTGCACACAAAACCCATCACCCCACCCCAACCCACCTCCCATACCTCCTCCCCCGCCCCTGCCCCCCACAGGCCCTCTGCCGCGCCGCCGCCACCTCCCTCCGCTCCCCGAGCCCCTCCCGCGGCTCTTCCGACCGACTGCTCTCCACGCGACGGTTCATCTCCGAGTGCGGCGCGGCGGCGGGGCTCAGCAAGGACGTGGCGGCGTGGGCGGAGCGGTGGGTGTACGGCAGGGGGTGTCCGCGCCTAACCGCCGGCTTCACGTTTGTACGGCGGAGCAACACGCTTGTGGTGGCGATCAAGCAGGAGGGCGGGCCGGAGGTAGCGGCGGCGGCCCGGAATGCGAGTGCGCAGAGGAGCAAGAGCGAGACGGCGGGGAGGGGGGTCAAGGTAGGGGGGTGGGTGGGGGAGGTGAGGAGGTGAGGGGTGTGTGTTTGCCCAAGCAGTGTCGTTGGGGGGTGCTGACCTCCCGGGTCTCTGTTTACCCCCTTGCTACCATGCAGCATCCTATCCGGAGGGCACCGCTCACACCCTTTTTGCAAAGTCGCTTTTTGTCTTCCCCCAAGACACGAGGCACGACAGGCCACACACACGCTCGCTTCATTCACGCGCACACCGGGTTTCTCAACACACACACACACACCCGCCCCCCTCCCCCCGCAGGTAGCTGTGTACGACCACGAGGGTGCCGTACAGGAGGTGGTGGTGGAGCGCATGGAGGCGCACGTGGACGCTGTCGTACACGAGATCGAGATCTCCTCGAAACCCGGACACCGCGGCCGTCGCAAGCGGGGGGGTGGCGGGGGGGCGGCGGCTGGGGGCGGGGGAGGAGGCGGAGGTGATGGGGATGGGGATGAGGAGGGAGGGGGAGGCGGGACACAGCAGACGGCTGCTGCTCCGATGGATGAGAACCGCATCCCGGTGCAGTACTTTCGGTGAGTGGTGGGGGTGGGGGTGGTTAGAGGGGTGGGCTGGGTGGAAGGGATGGGGTGGAGGTTGTGGTTGTTTGCTGCGGGCGGGAGGCCGGTCACGTTTTCCTTGCACGCATGCTGGTCATAGGCCCACGGCTTGGGATGAAGAGGGATCAGTCCCCTGCTCCCCTGGTTCGCATGTGATGACGACAGCCCTGACCACGTCCCCCTCTTCTACCGGTAACCGCGGGGGGATCCTTCTGAGGGCTCCTACCGCCTCTCCCGCCTGCAACGCTCCTGTCCTTCTCCCTCCCTCCCCCCCCCGTCCACCAGGCTGGACCCCGGTCAGGAGTGGCTGTCCGAGGTGGTGGTGCTGCAGAGCGAGGCCATGTGGGCGGCGCAGCTGAGGGGCAGCAAGGACGTGGTGGCGCAGGCGCTGGCGGTGCAGGTGCGGGGCGGGGGGGGCGGGGGGGGGCGGGGGGGAGGCAAGGGGGGGGGTTCAAGGTTGAGCGGTGGTTGAGGGATGAGGAGGGCGGGGGCAGGGGCGGGGGCGGGGGTAGAGCGGGAGAGGGGTCCTGAGGGGGGCTGGCAGCACAGCCGTGCAAACACACACACGCAAGCTGACTTGTCAGCCTGCACGATAGCACCCTCTTCCCTCCTACTCGCCCCCTGCACACAACTCTCACGCCTCCCTCCTCCCCTCCTCCTCTCCCCCGCCCCCCCCGCCACCTCCCCCCTTCCCTCCCCCTATTCCCCCCCCCAGGGTCTCATGCGTCTGGGTCTGCAGCTGGAGTCCAGCGGCGCCGCCGACTCCTCCTCCGTCATCGGGGTGCTGCTGGACACGCTGCGGGCGCCGGGGGTGTACTGCCGCGTGAGGCTGGAGGCGGCGCGAGCGCTGGCGGCGTTCTCGGCCTCCATGAGCACGCAGCCGGGTAGGAGGGGCAGGAGGAGGTCGGGAGGAGGGGGGGAAGGAGGGGGGAGGAAGGGGGGAGGAAGGGGAGAGAAACCAGACCACAAGGGAGAAGACCCGCCCCTCCGCCGCTGTCCTGTCCTTCCGCCTGCCCCCACGCACACAGCCTCCCCTGCAACGTGAAGGTTGGCATCCCCGCCTGCTCACTCCCCTCACATCTCGCTACACCCCTCCCACCCTCACGCCGCCCTCACGCCGCCCTCACCCCGCCCTCACGCCCGCCTCTCCCCCCTCCCTCCCCACAGCCGCCCCCAACCTGCTGTCCTACTTCTACGAGCAGTGCCGTGACCCGCTGAGCGGCGTGCTGCGACCCAACTACTGGGCCGACATGGCCACACACCTGGTGCTGCAGGTGGGGGGGGGGGGGGCGGGAGTGGGAGCTGAAAAGAAGAAAAAGGAGCATGCGTTAAGGAGCGGAGCGGGAGTGGAGAGGAGGAGGGGGAGCAGGAGGGGGGGGGAGGGTGTGGGTATGCAACTGAGAGCCTCGAGATGGCTCTGGCCGCGACCGTAGTGGAGCCCCGGGTGGGGCGGTGGAGGCAGGGTGCGCTTGCAGCTTCCCCACTGCTCCCCCTCACCTGCCTCCCCGCCTTCTGGCCTCCCACCCCCACCATAACCCCTCCTCTCCTTCCTTACTCCCCCCACCCCCTCACCCCCCCCAGTCCATCCCCGCCTGCCTGGCCAGCATCCGCGACGTCTCCTTCAACAGCCCCCCCGAGGCGCTGCAGCTGGTCACCGACATACTCGCAAACAACGACAACTCGGGTGGGGGGAGCTGGGGAGCAGCGGGGAAGGGGGGGGGTTTCAGGACAAGAACATGCCGAACCATAGTGTGTGCGGAGGTGGATGCAGCAGGATGCGGCATCTGGGACCAGGACAGGGAGCAGCAGATAGGACAACGCAGCGAAGAGACGAGAACAACCTCCATCCAACCCTGCTCTAACGCCATCCTTACCCCTTAATCCTCCCCCCCTCCCTCCCCTCTCTCCCTCCCCTCTCTCCCCCTCCTCCCCTTCAGAGAACCTGTACGACGACTCCTGCTACCTTGCTGCCGTACTTGAGGCCGCGGGGCTGCTGCGCCCCCCGCACGCCTCCCAGCTGTCCCGCCTGCTGGGGCTGGTGGAGGAGCTGCTGCTGCGGGACGTGTGCCTGGCGCCCTCGCGGCACCTGCGGGTGGGGGCGGCGGCGCTGGCGGCCATGACGCAGCTGGCCATCAGCGTGAACCCCAGGTGGGGAGCGGGGAGGGAGAGGGAGGAGTGGAGGGGGAGAGGGAGGAGTTGGGGGGCTGAGGAGGACAATGCTCATGGGCGTCTCACCCCTACCTCCTCCCGCCTGCGCTTAAGCCCCATGCGCCGTACACCCGCTCCCGCTCCCCCCCTCCCCCAGGCAAGGTCGCGGTGCGGGTGCGGAGGCCAAGGCGCTGGAGCTGTACGCGGGGGTGCGGCGGCAACTGCTGCGCTTCGCCAACCCGCGCCTCACCACCACCTCAGCGCCCGCAGCAACCACCACCACCGCCACCACTGGCGCCACTACCGGTGTCACGGCACTTGCCGCGGCACCACCGTTGCCCGGCGCCGCACCTGCAGCTGGAGCAGCTGCGTCTCAAGCGCTGGTACCGGCGGCCTGCTCCTCAGGCAACCAGCAGCTATCCCACCACCCCCACCACCCCCACCCTGCTCCCCCTCACCACCACCCCCTGCACCTATCCCAGTCGCAGCCTCCCTACCACCTGCTCCGCCGCGCCGCCTACCAGTGCCTGCTGCGGCTGGAGGCGGCGGAGGCCAAGGTAGCTTCAGGAAGGAGAGGAGGAGGAGGCGGCGGGGGTCCCAGCGGGTTGGACGGCAAGCCCGCCTCCCGCGTGGTGCAGCTGGCCGTGCGGCTGGTGCGGGGGGAGCCGCTGGGCCCTCTGAGGCTGGCGGTGATGACGGAGCTGCTGACGCTGCTGGGTGAGGCGGGGGGGTGGGGGTGCTTAGTGGGGAGAAGTGATGGGTGGGGTTGGCATGGAGCTGAGACGGAAGTCGCTGTTTCCGATGTACGGCACCCCAAGCAGTACAGAAGAGCACAAGCTGGTGCGCTGTATGGTCATCATGTTTTGCCATGTTGTTACCGGTAGCCCCTCATCTGACCCATGGGTCGCTCGTGCGCCCGAGGCACGCAGGTTCCATGCAAGCCCGTGTGTTGGAGGAGGCTCGTGAGGACGGCAACGCCTCGCAGCCCGGAGCGCTGGTGGTGCCGGTCAGCCCCTCTGCATGCGCGGCGCTGTACCGCCTGGCCCTGGGAGGAGGTGGCGGCAGCTGCAGCGGGACGTGTGGCCTTCGCGGCAGCGGCCTGAGTGATGGCAGCGGCAGCAGCGGCGGTGATAAGGAGGGGGGTGTAAAGGAGGAGGGTGACGGCAGCGGGGACAAGGAGATGGTGGATGTCGGATTGAAGGAGGGGGCACTGGCTGTGCAAGACGGTGCTGGAGGGGAGCAGGAGGAGGAGGAGTGCGGTGATGACCCACGGGTCAGACACCTGGCCTTCATGGCGCTGCAGCTGCTCACCAGCCAGCCGCCCTCGCTGTACAGGTGGGGAAGGGGATGTTGGAAGGGGCAGTAAGGGGTGGGGCAGTAAGTAAGGCGGGAGGTGAAGGTGGGGTCAAAAAGGTGCGTCAGAGCTTGCTTGCAGATGTGGACAGGGCGGAGACGCTCTGTGCCGTGCTGTTAGCAAACACCATCCTTGCTACCGCCCCCGGGCTACCCATGCATGCATGCCACTCCTCCATACCCCCTCCGGCTTCCCTACATGCAACACCCCTACCACCGCCCCGCTGCCCCCAGGACCTCTCCCGAGGACGCTGCGGCCCCCGACGAGGTGGCCGCCCCCGCAGAGCCCTCCAACGTCACCGGCGCTGCTCGGCCGCCCCGGAGCCACGTCACCGGGGGGCACATGCTGCCGGCAGCCACCGCAGCCACCGGCGGAGGCGGCCCCGCCAGGTCCGCGGGTACGGCAGGTCTGTTCGCCGGACTCAGCGCCGGAACTGCGAAGGCAGCGGCGGCCGCCGCCGCTGCCGCGGCGGCGGCGGCAGCTGGCGGCCCTGCGGTGAAGAGGGTGAAGCTGCCGTCCGTGCGGTCCGGGGGCGCGGCGGCGGCGGCGCCGACGACGTCAACGGGCGGCGTGTCGGGGCAGGATGGCGGCGCTGCCACGACGGCGGCGGCGGGCGGGATGGGGAGTCAAGCTGTGGTGTCGGAGGCGGCTACGGCGGCGCAGTCCCCGGCACAGTAAGTAGCTGGCGGGTTGCTACTGGCTCTTGGGTGTGCAAGGTGGGAAGCCCCCCGCCGTGCTAAAACGGCTACTGCACCTTGCTTCTCTAGTTCCGCTCAGATTCGCATCTTCCTCCTCACTTCCCTCACTCCTCCTTCTCCCCGCTCTCCCCTGCCCCCCCCCCCGCACCCGCAGCTCCCCCGTCTCAGTCCGCCCCGCACCTTCCGGCGACGCCGCCACCACCGCCGTACACCCCGCCGCCAGACCTGGCTCCGCCGGCGGCGCAGCCGCACCCGTCTCCACCGGCGAGCTCACCCCCTCCACCAAGGGCCCGCCGCCACTCGGAAGCCGCCACTCCGCCTCCGCAGCCGCTCCTGCACCCGTGCAACCTCCAGCAGCTGCGGCCGCAGCGGCACCCAACGGTACGGCAGGCAGGCCGGCAGGCCGGTCAGCCTCTCGATCCGTATCGCCGCCGCGTCCTGTTTCCGCAGCCTCGCCGCTCAGGAGGGGCGACGGCGTGCGCACCGCATCCGGAGCACCCGGACTTGGCGGACCCACGGGTCGGCACACCAGCCCGCCGAGGGATCCGCGACTCACTGGCGCCGGCTCGCAGGCTCCCTCCGCGGAGGCTCTGGCGGGAGACCAGCTGCCCTCCGCGCCTCTGCCTGCGACACGGCCGCGCCCTGCCGCCAGCAGCGGCGGGCCGGATGACCTGGAGTGTACCGTCCTGGCGCCCGCACCCGCACCCGCACCCGCACCTGCATCCGGACCCATGCCGCCGCTGGGGCGGATGAAGCCCCTGCCGCCGCGGCCGGCAGGAGGTCCGCCCTCCCGTACGGCCAGTCCCAGTCCAGGCCGGAGCTCCGGAGCGGTGGCGGGCTCGTTGGCGGGAACAGCAGCCGCGGCAGCGGCGGCGGCAGCTGGCGCGGCGGCACGTGGTCCGTCGCCAGTACGACGGATCTCCGTACCTGGGCAGCCGGGTCCTGCCGCTCGTGTCCAGGCAGGCAGCGCGCCTTCATCGCCAACGGGGCCCAAACGCACCTCCCCCACTTCACCGCGGGGTCCTGGACACGCCGCTGGGCCCACGGTGTCGGGTGGGCATGGGGCGACTGGCGCGGTGGCGCGAGGGCAGGTCGCCAGTCGGTCCGCACGGGCGTCGCCCGACGCTTCGCCTCCCAGCACGTCGCCGCCGCGGCCACAGCAGGCGGGCGGTGCGGGTCCCACTCGCAAATGGCCCGCTGCCCGGCCGCCGCGGCCGGAGGCTGGCGCGAGGGCGGAGGGATCCGCTGGGGTGCCGCCTCCGCCGCCGTCAACGGCAGCAGCAGCAGCGGCGGCGGGTCAGGCAGCAGCAGCTGGCGAGGGGAGGCGGATTCCCCGGCCCGCGCAGGATAATGCCTCACCAACGCAGTTGTCGGAGGGAGCGCCGGCGGGTGGCGTGTCTCGGCCGACGCCGCCGCCACGTCCCACCGCCGCCGCCGCTCCATCCCGACCGCCTGCAGCCGCCGCGCCGGCAACACCCCCGCCGCCACCCACACAGCCCCAGCCACCCCAGCCGGCCCTGGCGGCAACACCATCATCCGCCGGGGCTGCGCCACACGCCGGAGCTGCACCTGCCGCAGCGCCTGCTCGCCCGGGCATCAAGCTCAAGCTCGGCTCCATCAAGCGGCCTCCTGCTGGCGGCGACGCCACGCCCTCCAGTGGCGGCCCCTCCGGAGCCGCACCCGCAGCGGTACATGCTGCAGCAGCTGCGGGCCCCTCGGCAACACCCTCCCTGGCCACGGCCCCGCTAGCTCGCAGATTGTCGGTTGCGGGCTCCACCGGCGGTCCACCGCCGGCCGCCGCCACGCCCCCGCCGCCCCGAGCACCTGCGCCGCCGCCACCTCCCGCTGCTGCCCCGCTGCCCCCCGCTGCCAGCGTCGCTGCAGGCACGTCATCTCCCACCTCCGCGGCGGTGCCCGCACCCTCCTCCGCTGCTCCTCTTGGTGCTGCTGCAGCCCCTGCGGCAGCCCCCGCACAGCCTCCCAAGCCCGTGGGTCTCAAGATCAAGCTCAAGCTGCCCGGACTGGCAGCTGCCCGCTCGGCGGCACCTGCTGTCAGCACCGCCAGCGCCGCGCCGCCCACCCGGCCGCGACCGCCCACTGAGTCGGATGCGGAGTTCAGGCAGGAGGAAGCCTCGCAGCAGCAGCAGCAGCAGCCACGACCCAAGACGGTGGTGATCAAGCGGAAACCAGCGTGATGGGATGGGTGATGAGCAGGACGCGAGGCTGGGTGTGTCGGCTAGGGGAGGAAGGGTGGGGAGCTGGGTTCTTCTTGGTGTGTGTGATGGATGAGAGGTATTGTGCATGGAGGGGTGTGTCTGTTACACGTGTCCCTTGTTCCTTGTAACATTCATTCTTGAGGCTATTCGCTTGGCAGCTTACAAGCTGCGGAGGTTGTTCGTTCGTTCAAACGGGTTGTAGCGCACCCTCCTCCGTCATCAGGCTGCGAAAACCCGCGTGAAGTGCCAGCGACAGTGCTGCTGATTCGTCCGGCCTTCCCATGTGCCCAGCATGCTGTAGTGGGCCCTGGCGCCAGCTGGCGTGATCCAAGTGTGTCCGCAAGATCACCCTCGTGGTGTTGGTGGGCGGGGGTCGCGTGGTGAGGAAAGGGCTGATAATAGGGGTTGTGGGTCATCGCAATGCGGTGCGCTCAGGTGCGCTTTAACTGCTTGGTTGGTAGACGCTCCTCTCTAGGCAGAACCCTCACCACAGGAATCTTCCGCTTACAGATCTTGGTTGCCGTGCAAGCTAGGTGGCTTACGGCGGGCGTGAAATTTAACCTATTGTCGTATAAACACACAAAGGGGGGCAAACGAACAGAGGGCCATCTGTAGATGCGTGTGTAGTACAACCGCACACCGGAAAACCATTGGCAGTAGGCCCCTTCCTATGGATGTGGGTTTTGGGCCTGTACGACAGCGCGCGTACGGCCTCGCAATTTGACCCGCCCACCAGGGTGGGGACAAAGAACTGGGTGAAGGCAGGTAGTGAAAGAGCGCAACTTGAAGGAGCCGTCGCTGGTCCATGTGATGTGACCATATGGGTCGCAGTCAGGCGGTGGCATGAAGCAGCAAGAGAGCGGTGGGGTGACAGCCAGGGTGGCAGCTGGCCAAACGGACCACCGCCTACTAGCTGCCGTCTTGTACGGTTCCCACTGCATTCCGAAGGGTGGCTAAGATAGGCACTGGCTGTACTGCACGTCGACCTTAAGCGGGCCACGTGCAGCAGGCTGACTAAAGCAGACCACCATCTGCCATAAACCGGTCCGTACATCCGTGCATCTGGGCAGAAGGACTAGGTAGGAAACATTCCGAACCACATTTTCGCATGTCATGGTGATACAGAGACAGTGTTGGCTTACAAATCTACGCCGCCATGCAAGCAAAGTCGCTTATACATACGTCTAAACCCATTGTCGTAAAACGAAGGCGGAAAACAATGAACACCTTGAATGCATGTGCAAACCCACTTGGCAGTCGGGGTGATTTATACAGAACCAAAGACGCGTTGGGCACGATACATGACTGACACATGCCAACCTTGGAAGTGTCTTCCTCAACATTCAAAGGCCGTGATCCACGCCTTATTGGGCTACCAGTACACCAACGAGGGGATGATCGCAGACTAGGCAACACACACAGCTATCATACATATGCTCATGCGTCAAAAGCGCCAGCACCATTGCCTGGGCGGCATCCCCAAGCTATCCCCAAGCTATCTACACAAACCGCATAACGCGGCACACAGTATGTTCCGACTCGCGGCCGCTTATCGAAACGCAGCACTACTCACACATCTTGTGCACCTTCCAGTGTTGCTTCACTGAGCACTTCACTTGGCGGGGGCGGCCTCCGCCTTCTTCAGGGTGATGGTGGCCACCTGAGTGGGCGGCACTGAGGGCACCGCAACCAACAAGAGCATTCAAGGGAACGGGAGGCAGGCGTCAGCACAGTAGACCATTTTACGGTGCTCAGAGGCCGTAGCACTGCAGGTATAACACGCACAAAAAGGGCCACTCCACCCAGACGGCTACCTAGTGTCAAGCGTACAGTGTTAAACAGTCACGCATGGAACCGCGGCTCACGCTATTCGTGGTACGTCCGAGCACCCCAGCGAACGCACACCTGGGAAGCCTGTGGCAGGCGGCGGCACGGCGGTCATCAGGGGTGCAGCGGCCGGGGCGCCGACAGCAGCAGCCGGGGTTGCCGCGGTGTATGCGGCGGGCGAGGGCAGCACCAGGTTGCCCAGCAGGTACACGGGCGGGGCGGAGGTGGGGGCGCCTGCATACAGGGGCACACACGGGGAGCGAGAGGGGGAAAGACGGCAGGTAACAAGGAAGCCAGGAAAGCGCTGAGCAAAGCTTGTATGGCCAATCGTTCCGGCTTTGCAGCGCTTGCAGCGTTGTAGGTGACAACCAGCTGCGACGCCTAGTATGTTTGAAAGCCTGATAGGGTTCCGGTTTCGTAAGGCAACCCAGCCGGCTTCATTAAACACCTTGAGCACCCAACCCCCATGACGTACCACCCTCGATGTGCCCTGCTAGTAACTCACCCTCCTTGGCCGCCCGGATGATCATCTCGCGGGTCTCCTGGGCGAGCGCGCAGGGGCCACACCACCAGGACGTGCACAGGTCGTTGAACCAGCAGCCCTGCGTGAGGAGCGCATGAGGAGCAGGTTATGACAGGGAGGGAACCAGGGAATGGGGCTGGGTGATTGGTATCTTCAGCCAATATAAAGGGTGGGGAAAGGTGTCCACATGCCTTCGCAGTACGCTTTCCATGCCGAAGCAGGCAGGACTGGGGAGGACGAGTGCTGCTATAGTTGCGGGAACCCACAGACGGTGCTGGCACTGTGCGGTATGTCGTGCTACTCAGTACCCAGGGGCTTCGGATGGCCCCCAGCGCACCTTGATGCCGTACTTGGTCCGCAGGTGGCTCCTCATGTGCATGTGCAGCAGCGCGCTGGTCGGCAACAGGCTGACGCCGGGCCAAAGCGAGCAGTTGAATGTTGCCGATACGCAGTCCAGGCACAGGAACGCGCCCGCAGCGTTGCCGAAGCTACCCGAGAAGTATGTGGCACCCTGCTCGCAGGACAAAGCATCCATGTAGCCCTCCCGCAACGTCTATAGACCATATTATGAACGCAGTTGTGCCTACCTTCGGCAGCTGCTGAGCTAGGACGCCATACTGCACAAAGGGAAGGCACATAGAAACGCCTGCAAGCACATGCAGAGCCGGTCGGACACGTTAAGGAGGCCCTAAGAAGGCTACCGGTAAAGCTGCTGCTCCACACAGCTTCCAACTTCGCTTACAGCCGAGGGCGCCCCCTCCAGGATGGGCGCAGCAGTCGCACAGCCCAGTAGACCATTTGTCGTCAAGCGTCACAGGGTCCACAGGTGCAGGAGCTGCTGGGCCATTAGGCATTGACTTCTCAAGCAGCTGTTGCTTCTCATGTGCCTCGTCGTAGCCCATTGTGCAACAAGTGTAAGGAGGAACTAAGCAGTAGATGTTGGACAACGTTGCTCAACTTTAGGTGACCTTTATAAAACGTGTCGTAGGTTTCTTACGGCTGGCTTTTGCCGGGCCTATCCCCCATATCGTATGTGACGGTTGGCGTACTCTTGGAAGCTGCCTAACCCTCGGTCCGAACGAGCCAGTTTATGTCCACGCCGATCACGTTTTGCTCATCTTTTCATTACCAAGTTATAGAATATAGGGGAGGGCTTAAGGCTTGGGCCATGACTACAAGGCCGTTGCCACATGTCCGTGTCCCTTGTTCCCGCGGCTCGATATGAGGATTTAGAACTGTAGTTTGCTGCTTGTAGCGTTTTGCGTCCAGGCTTGTCAAGTAGGGACGCATTTACTGAGCTAGCCTAACTGGCGTCATCGTCTGCCGTCGCGTGGCCCAGTGCATGGGCTTTGTAGGATGTCAAACTGATGGACCGCAAGCTTGTATACCTTGTTACCCCCAAAGCTAGCAGGCCTGTGCAGGAGTTGGGAGGCGAGGGAAAGGGTCTGCTGGGTGGAACGTAGCAATGGAAGCCACCCGATTACCTAGCTTGCACATGCGCTGTGTTTCTCCCTTACTCCATGCGCAAAACACCACGTGTACTGAAGCTTGTTAGACAACATGCCGGTAATACAGATGGTCGCAGGATTTCCGTTACCTTCAACACAAGGAATGCCCCTAACTTGCTTCAAGAGCGACTCTCCTGGCCGCCTGGCGGCATCCTATCAATGGACCCATTTGTAAGGTCATAAGGCCTCACATGCTTCTGCAGGACACATGAGATGCGCACAACGAAAAGCGCTTACCGGCGCATTCGACCGACTACTATCTAAACGGCCGATGTTCGTACCCCGGGGCTACTAGCTCAACGCCTAACCCTCTTGCCCAACTGCACTTCTTCACGTGTTGATCGTCCGCAGCGCATCCATTGCCGTACTCCTACCCTTCAACTTGATATGATACGATGAAGCACCCAGCAACCTCTGGGCACCTCTCTATGTCTCTCGTCCTGCTGAAGCACCTTTTCCCGTTGTCCCTGTCCCTCCCCACATTGGAATTTCCTTTTCCCCACAACCCCTCTCCACCTGTTGCATGCCTCTTTCTATCCTGTCCTGCCTGTCCTTCCTAGAAAGCTGACCCATATGGCCCACATGACTGTGGTGTTGCCGCTCCGTCGTGCTGTTCCTAACACCCGTAAACGACCCTCTAAAAGCTGGCTGCCTAATCAACCTACATCGAGTCTGCACTCTCGATAATAACACTAAGAAATCATGATCACTTGGTTAGCCCTCCTGCACTCCTGCTTCGACCTAGCATACCTCTCACTCCCACACCACACCCAATTTTCAACCTCCTTCAGTACAGCTCATCCACCCCACTCCTCCTCTCCTCCACAGCCCCTCCCGCCTCATCCTCTGCCGCTGAACAGCGCCCGCACACCCTGCTGCCCCCTGCTCTCCCCACACCCCTCACCTCCACTCCCATTCCAACCCGCACCACCACCGCTGCCTCCTCTGCCGCCCCACATCCCCATCCCCTTCCCATCCGCGGCCCCCGGCCCCACCTCCAGCTCCGAAAACTCATACCCCAGCCTGTCTGCCAGCGCCGCATCCAAGCTGAGCAGCGCCATGTACGTCTTGGTGCGCTCCTCCCCGCCCAGCCGCACCAGCTGAGGACCCACGAACCGCACCAGGCTGGCCAACCACTCCGAAGGAAGCGACACCCCCAACTCCGCAAGGCCACGAAGCACGCCCTGAACCACGCCAGGGTCCATGCAGCAGCCGGCGGCAGCAGCGACGGAGGCGGCGGAGGTGTTGGTGGTGTCGCTGCGATGGCTTGCAGTCGAGGAGGAGGCGGCCCTCGTCTGCACCTCCGCCAGAGCCGCCGCCATCCAGTCATCCGGCGGCGGCGTTCGTAGCAGCCCCAGACTGAACAACAGTACGGCAAGTGTCCGGTCGGACATGGTGGCACCGGCAACACCGCCGCTGCCACTGCTGCGGAAGTACGGCTGTACGGCTTCCAACAGTGTACGGCACCATGCTTCCGGCGGCCGTACAGACAGCGCTGCCAGCGCCGCTAACATCATGGCTGCCTCGTGGGGTCGGACCTGGTGTAGGGTGGGCTGGCTGGCGGCCCAGAAGCGATGCATCCACTCCGCTGTAAGTCCGGACGCACGCCATGCGGCCGAGCTGGATGCTGGCAACTGCTGCTCCTCCTCAGGATGCTTGCCGTCCTGCTGCTGCTTCCGTTCCAGCAGCCGCTGCTGTCGCCGCTCCTCTCGCCGCGCCGCCAGGCGACCACTAGCCTCAAACTCCTCAGAGCTGCTGCGGGGCGCGCCGCCAGAGTAAGCCGGCGATGCCATCAACAGCCCCGAAGCCTCCGCCGCCGCCGCCACCGCTGCCGCCAAGCTTCGCCCACCTGCAAACCCAGCTCCAAAGGTTTGCCGACGGGCTGCCACCGCCGCTCTCTTGACGCGTACGGCACTCACACCCGCCCTCGCACACGCATGCAGCAGCGGCGCCAGTTGCCGTACATGGGGCGACGGCAGCTGCGCCAGTGCACGGTGGGAGTGCAGGCGGACCAGGTCGTGGCTCCATGCGGACAGCTCTGACCCACGGGTCGTTAAGGCCAGGTGCGGCGCTACTAGGCTGACAGCCAAGATCGTCATGACCAGCTCATCCATCGTCCAACAGGGGGCCCTTGAAGCCCCTAGGGACTGACCGTCGTAGCTTTGCTGCAGCTGCTGCAGCAGGCAATCCAGCGACTGAGCCATGTGCAGTTGTGGCCGCCTCGGGGGCCCTATGTCCCCAGCTGGTAAGCCACCACCGGCGCCGAAACCACCCAGCAAGCCATCCCCGCCCTCCTCCAGCTCCTGACGCATCCGCACGTGCACCGCCGCGGGCACTATCATGCCTGGCCCACGTCCCACACCACGCCCGCTGCCTGCCCCTGCAGCCCCCCAAGCCTGCCAGCTGCGCGCCCTCAACCGCTCCAGCACCAGCGCTCCTCCGTAGCAGATCTGCGACAACTCCCCCAGCCCATACCCGCCACCGTTCCTGCCGTACCTCCGTACCTGCTCATGCAGCCCCCACAGCCCCTGCAGCAGCTGCGGTGAGAGCAGCAACCGCGGACTGAGCAGGCCCAGGCTGAGTGCCACCGCGGCCGCCTCAGCGGGCGCCGCCGCCAGCGTCCCCGCGTGGCGCTGCAGCCAGGACCCGAGCCGCAGCTGGAGGTCCGGCGGCAGGGGCAGACCCAGCCGGGCTGCCGCCCAAACGCAGTTGGCCTGCCCCTGCGGCGACATGTCAGGCAGGAGGTGCAGCCAGGCGCGCACTAGCGACACGGACTGGGCGGGTGTCATGAGGGGGGAATACGGAGCTGAGAAGGGGCCGCCGCATGGGCTTGGGCGGGGGCTGGCGGGAGGAGCTGCAAAGGCAGCTGGGGCTGCGGGTGAGGAGGCGGCTGCGCGGCTGTGGGATGAGGGTGAGGCTGGAGTGAAGCCGTTGGTAGCTGCTGTGGATGTCGCGGCTGGAGAAGAGGGGGCTGTGGAAGGGGTGAAGCCAGCTGACTGGTTGGGAAGGCGAGAGGTCGCGGCGGAGAGGGTTGCCAGGGACCACAGCGTGACGGAGAGGTCCTGCGGGCGAAGCAGGGGCACACCCCTGTCGACTGCCGCCACTGAATCCGTGTTACCAACAGCACTTCCACTGACACATACGTCTGGGGCTGTTGTTGTGCGCCCAGGCATCCGCCAGTCGCCTCCGTTCAGATCACGTGGACGGCTGTCGGGAAGCGAGGGGTCCGGGAATTCAAGCACGGAGAGCACGACACGCTGCAGCATGGCTGTTCGCAGCCCGACTGCTTGCTGCGGCTGCTGCCGTTGCTGCACGGGGCCTGAGGCCGGATCGGAGCTCCTGTTTGCGTTCGGAGGCCACGTGGGCACCTGAAGATGTGACGTGTGCTGCTGCTGCTGCGGGTCCCCTCGTCCACACGGAGGCGGCTGCAGGTGTGCTGCTGCTGCTGCTGCTGGCAGCTGTGGCGGGTGCTGCAGCTGCGAGGGCAATTGCGGTGGGTGTGGGGACCTGGAGCTGTGATGCACGGGTTGTAGACCCTGTCGCGACGCGTGCGCTGGGCGGGCGTCAACAGCAGCAGCAGCATGGGGCGTGGGCGGAGATACGGCTGTGGTTGGGGGCGGCTGCTGCGACTGCGGTGCCGGTTGCGGTGTCGCAGCGACCGCAGGCGCGGTGTGGAGATGGGATCTGTGGTGTGGGTGACCAGCCCGAGAGGGAGGTGGTAGCATGCTGCCAGCGAAGGGGCCTCCTGAGGCCGGCAGGGAGCCACCTTCAAGCGCTCCTACGCGTGTCGCTGCAGGGTCGACACCTGGAGCCTCAACGCACCCCACACCCAACCTGCGCTGCTGCTGCTTGGTACCCGCAGACGACACAGTAGACACAGTCATGTTGGCAGAAGCGGTTGGAGGAGGCTGATCCTGACCACCTACGTGCCCCTCTCCTCTGCTTGCGCTGTCCCGCTGTCCCCCTCCTTCCGAGGGCACAAGGCTTACCCTCATGCAAGCTCCGCCCACACCTTGCTCAGATACAAGGCTCCCATCTTCGCCAGCCCGATTCCCACGTCTGACCGCACGCCCACCTGCCCCCGCTTCACAGGAATCCAACACAACCCCGCCTTCGGCAGCCCCTCCAGCTGCTGCTGTTACTCCAACCCCCTCGCCTGCGCCCCAGCCACCGCCGCCGCCTCCTGCGCGACTGCTGTCGCTGGGAGCCGCCCCCACCAGTCCGCTCCCTCCGCCCAGCTTGGCCTGCCATGCAAGCGCCCAAAGCACGTTGACTCGCTCCTGCATGCTCATGTACGACAGGCTGTGCTCCATGGCGTGTGCCACGTCATCCAAAAAGTACGGCGGCAGCAGCAGGTGCAGCTTGCTACAGCCCCACAACAGGTTGGAGAGTTCCTGGGGGCTGAAACCCACACGCGGAGGGGCTGTCCCTGCAGCTGACGTCGCTGTGGCTGCTGAGCCGGTTTCCCGAGCCCCCGAGGCTGGGGCGGAGGCGCCGTGGGGGGCTGTGTTGCGGGCGCCCTGCCCGGGGAGTGCTGTTGCTGCGCGCGTGGTGGCGTGGGATGTAGGCGGCGGCACAGGAGGGCGGCTGGAAGGGGTGTGGCGCGAGGGAGAGAGCATGGAGGCGCATGGTTGGGCTAGCAGGTGCCTCCGAGCCGCTGCGAGGAAGGCATGGAACCACTCCGGGGAAGGCGGCAACTGCGGAGGGTGAGGAGGGTAGAGGATGTTGGCGAATGGATGTAGTGCGGCATGGTGGAGTGACGGCCAGGGGGGAACATTGTGACAGCGAGAGACATGTGCAGGGATATCCCGCATTAAAAGTATTGAGATCTTTAGATGTCAACGAGGGTAGGCGTCAGCGTGCCTGACGCGAAGGTGCAACTTGTCCATATCCACTTCGCCACACAGTGCATGACAGCGGACTTCCTCCATGCACTCGCTCCGTGCCTAACATCTCCCGTGCCACACCAGACATCCGCACCTGCAGGCGAGCCAGGCCGCACACACTGTTAGCCAGCTCCTGCGGGCCCGTGCCGCCCAGCCCCAGCTGCAGCTGAGCCGCAAGGACCTCCCGGTACGGCAGTACGGCATGCAATGGAGCTGCCGGCGGCGGCGGCGTCTGCCCACTGATGCTGCCGGGTGCTGCAGGCCGCCACTGGTCGGACTGCGCTTGGCATGAGCCGCCACCACCACCGCCGCCCCCGATAACGCCGCCACCGCCGTTGTTTGGAGGACCATCACAGTCCTCACGCGCGCTACTCCCACCAGTCAGGAGCACCCCCCATGCCCACAGCAGGTTGGCCAGTTCCTGCATGTTGAAGCGCCGCTGGGCCAGCTGCCGGGCGCACGCGTGTGCATGCTCCTCCAGGAATCCCGCAGGCAGTGCCAAGCCGCCTCTGGAACCTGCAGCAGCAGCACCTGCTGCTGATGTTCCCGCGGGGATGGCAGCATCGGGGATGGCAGAAGGGGACCATGAGGCTGCGCAGCCGTGCAACAGGTTGGACAGCTCCTGAGCATTGAAACGATGGAGCTGCCCGCAGGACGCACCCAGTACGGCATGCAATGCGTCGTCGCGGCCGGGAAGACCCATGGGCCACTTGCCCAGCGCCCATGCAATGTTGGCTAACTGGCGGGGCTGGAAGTACGGCAGCTGCTGGTGGATGAGGCGCATCAGGGGGTTCAGCAGCTCGAGCATAGTGTCTGCGTCGCTATTGGTGGTGTCGGTAGTAGTAGTAGTGGCGGTGGAGCTGATCCTGTTAACCTGGTTGGCCGCGCTGGGGTCATGGGTTGAGGAGGCCGAGGCGCAGGAGTGGTGGGGAACGGCGGAGCCCGCCGTCGCTGTTGATGGGGTTGTGGCTCGCACGCCCCCGGCTGGGTCTGCATGTTTATCAGTAGGCGTCTGGATGGAGCTGCTGGCTGAAGCCGCTGCCTGAGCGCCAGCAGACAGCGCTGCTGCTATCCGCCGGTTTTGGGATACCAGTTGTGACAAGTGGGTTACGGTGGCGCCAACATGGATTTCGTTCATATGGTTGCCGTACTGCCGTACAAGCCGAGCTAACCGCCCGACGTCCTGCGCAGATTTTATCCAAGATGTGAGAGCTGCGGGCTGTGGAACAGCAGCGGTGTCTTCATGCTTGCACGAGCTGCATGTGCGGCCATGGTTGTGGGAATCCTGATGGTCATGTTTAGGTGTCACAAGGGGGCCGTCGCGCCGCGAGAGACCACCGGTCGCGATGCGCTGCGTGCCACGACGTGCCACCCCATCGGCACTAGATGGGCAGTCGGCCGCGAGTTGGGCAGGCGCAGGGAGGCAGGGGAGCGAGTGCGCACGCTGGGCTGTGGCTGACTTTGGAGCACTGCTGGCGCCCGTTCCGCGCTGTGTTAGCTTATGCTCAAAGCGTGTAGCTCCAGGGCATGGAAGCTGTTGATTCTGCAAACTGCCTCGGGGCCAGCATGCCTGCAAGCACGTAATGACAAGTAAAATCTGCGGCCGCAGGCTAATCGCCAGCCAAGATATTTGAAACACAAATTGATGTAAGCAATGGTCGCCTATGCTTGCTGGGAGTTGGGGCTGTACCTGGCATCCGACTTGTCCGTGTCCACTTGACACGGCCAACATCGGCTATCTTGCGCGATGAGGCCCACGACTGGCGTTCGCTCTACTCGCTCAGACCAACTGATCCAGTAACACGCCAGCTGTGAGCATGCCGTCAGGCGGCGTCCATATCCTGACCAGCTCACGGCTAATTTAATTTGTCATTCAATGTAATCTAGGCATGAGGGCCGTTTGGCAGAAGAGTCTTAGGAAATCCGCAGCTGGAATGAGTTGTGGCTACGTCATGCAAGCCCCGTGCTTGCAGACCGGGACAAGAGGTGATTATAATATTACTGCATCTTTTTTACAGTTGTTTACGAACAAGTAAATGTGCAAAACAATGAAGCGACCTTGACCGTTTTGCGTACAAGGAGATCTCCTGCACGACTACAACCGAGTCTTCACCCGGTAGCTCCTGTAATCCATTAATTTAACATAAAGCAAAACCGCTATACCATACCTATGGTATTCATCAAGATTCAGGTATAATTGTCGTTAAGAAAAGTCGCCCGTCCCTTGGGCCACGCCACATGATGTTCAAGTCCTGGGTGCATCGATAGTCGACTGGAACTACATGTAATCTTGAGACATCATCATCATTGTTTGTCAATGTTTACCACAGACACGGTATCAGACAAGCATACCAAGTTTCATCCTACGCCAACTGTAAGCGTTGTAATACATACTCGTGCCACCAAACCTAGCCTATTTCGCAAGGCTGCAGTTAGAACCATCCAATGCCACTGGCGCCAAAGCCGGGAAGCAAGCGCACACGACACATTCCCACAAAACACAGTAGTGACGCTCCTTCACCCTCATACACTCTTTTGGACTGACTTGTAGCAGACACAATACACACAGTGCCTCACACATCCTCTTCTTCACGAGCGCTGTCGGCCCCCTGTGTAACATCATCTCCCTGGCCGGCAACTTCCCCGCGCTGAAACAGCGGGTTATTCGTCATAAGCCGCTCCGCCACCTTCGTTGCTAACGGCCCTTCAGGACCAGACGCGCCCGACGCTGGCCAGCCCGCCTGCTGCAGCTGACCCTTCTCCAACCATACATTCGTTACAAAGCTACCATGCGGCAGCACCTCATTGGACAGCGCCGGCGTTCCTTCCTGACCAGCCACCAACGGCGACTCGGGATCGTACAGCCCTTGATGCCATCGTGGCTCTTGCTCAGCCATCATATCCACCGATGTCGCACCAAACGTTGGCAGCGTTGTCGAGGATAAGGAAGAAGCGATTGGCGACAGCGTCGAGCAAGTTACGTGTGGCGGCGTGTGCGGCCATGCGCTGCTACCACCGGCAGCAACGCCGGCAGGCGTAACAGCCACTGCTGTCGCCTCCCCTTTCCCCTTTCCAGCGCTGCTGCCTACAGTCCTGGCCGGGCTCAACTCCGCCGGCACCTGTGTAGAACCCATCGCAGCCGCCGCAGCCACGGGCGACTCCCATGGACTCGTGGTGGTGCACTTCACGCCCGCGTCCTCAGCGTCAGCGGTTACACGACAGTTGCCATCCGGTGCCGCCGTTGCTGTGTCCGTTGCAGCCGCACTCACGATGCATGCAGCACCCGCCGGCGCGCCGGGAGCAGCGGACTGGCTGCCTGCAACGGAGACTGGTGTCGCCGGCTGCTCCTGCTGCTCAGGTGCTTCGTCCAGGGACAACAGCTGAGCCAGCTGCTGCGACAGCGGGTCGCCAGGCGACGTCATGTACCGCCTCTGCCCCAGCGGCCCGTTCAGTCGCTGCCGGCGCTGCCGCAGCTGCTGCAGCAGGTCTCCACCATCCATGGGGTCCCAAGACTGCTGCTCCCGCATCTCCGCCGCGCCCGCTGTGGGTCCGACGACATGCGCAGGGGACACCTCAGCTGGGTTATGCCCCAAGCATGCCAGCACCGTGGCGACCGCTTGCGACGGAGGGCCCCGGTTGTAGGCTCCGTACATGACGGGCATGGCAAGGGGGCCGTAACAGGCGCTGGTGCAGTCCCCTGGGCTGCTGTTGGAGCCCAGTGGGTGGCGCAGCAGACCGGGGTTGAGCAGCAACACAGCGGCGTTGCCGAGGACAGGAATCGCTCCGGGCAGGCCGCGAAGGTTGCCAAAGAGCGCCGCGTTGGGGTGGAGGTGAACGGGTGAGGCGACGGCGATGGCGGGCGAGGCTGGCTGAGGAGGAGGGTACTGGGGGTTCTGATCAGGGAAGATGGCAGGCCTGGGGTCGTGGCTGATGGAGACGTCCGCGGTGCCGGGGCTACCTGCTGCCACAGGCGTGGGAAGTGCAACTTGGAAAGCATGCATGCTGCCGGCCCTTACCGCCGGACAAGCCGGCTGGGTGGAAAGCTGTTCGTGTTGTCCGTGTTGGCTAGAATGCTCTGCATCCTGTCCATTAGCAACCGCAAGCTGGCCGTCAGCGTGCTGCACCTCTGACGTTGGGCCGACTGGAAATGCGCACTCCTTACTCGTACAGCGGCTGGTTGAGTCGTCTGCAGCCGCATTGGCAGCAGCAGCCAAAGGAGCAGCAGCAGGCAGCTGAAACCCACCATCCAGCTCCCCTGCAAGCTCGCATGCTGCTGCTGAGCCAGCTGTCAAAGGCTCGGCTGTCGAAGCATCAGGCTGTCCACCAGAACAGCTGCTGCTGTTGCTGGACGGTCGTCCGCGCTGGGTTTCTGCCTCCTCCTGCTGCTGATGCTGGACTAACAAAGCCACGTCTTCATTGCACTGCCCGGATAGCGGGCAGTGCCCCTCCAACTGCTGCACCTCCTGATCTGCCGCCACCAACGCTCCTTGTCGCATTGGATCCTCTAACGGGTCCTGCTGCTGCACATGCAGCGGCGCTGCTTGCGGCTGGTCGCTCTGCAGCTCATGCTGCTGCCCTCCGGCCTCTTGCAGCTCACCTCCAGAGGCCCGCTGCGTCCACATTCCCAGCGTCAGTTGTCCCATCAGCGGCGCATCAGCCGCGTCTTCTGCTGCCTCCTCCAGAATGCGCTGCACAGCGGTGCGTGCCGGAGACTGCACCGCCTCCTGCGTGGCATTGGAAGCGTCGCTGCCTGCCTCGTCCGCCACGGTTACCGGCTCCGTGTCTTCCGAGTCATGCACGACATCGGTGACTGCCTGTCCTCTGCTTCCTTCCTGCTGATCAGTCGACCGGTCAGCTCCATGCGCTGCTGCGGCCGTGGGCGCAGGCAGCACTGCGGGTTCTGGAGCCATCAGGCTCACACGCACAGGAGTCGAGACCACTGCCTCTGACGCCCCTTGAGCCTGGAGAACCGTGGGTTCCAGCAAAGCGAACGGCGCCTGCCGAAAGACAGGCCGCCTGGCGCGGCCCAGCAGCAGGTCACGTGCGCAGAGATCCGCGTCCAGAGGCGTCGTAGCCGCCGCCGAAGCGCCCGTGGCAGGCCACCATAACCACGGCCCTTGCTGAGCGGCCCCACCCGCACCTGCAGACCCGGCCGCAGTGCCGACACCTGCCTGCCGGGGTGACGCAAGCCCCATCTCAGTGCCAGGCGTCGCAACAGCCGGCATAGGCGGTGCCGGCATTTGTTGTGGAGGAGAGAGACACCCCGTTGCTGCCCCTCCTGGTGCCGTTTGCAACCCAAATACCGCTTGGCGGAGCCGCCGCTCGATATCCCGCTCATGATATGACTCAAAGAGCGGCCGTGCGGTGCAAGTGTTGCTGCTGCCGGCGTGCGGTGATGCCGCCATGCCAGCTGGATGAGCAACCCCAGCCATGCGGGGCGACAGCAGCCGCGGCGACGCTGACGACGATGTCGGCCATGTTGCCGGGTGCGCCCTCAGACCCACACCCCCAGCCGCGGCAGCAGCCGTTGCGTTCCCGCAGGCGCTTCCGCCACCGCTGCCACCCAGCTCGGCTCCGCTTCGCAGTGGCGGGAGGGTGCTGGCCGTGCTTCCAGATGCGCTACAGGCGACTGAACCGGCTGCGCACTGGCTGTCCTCAAGACGTGCAGTGTCCAGGTCCCGAAGAGCGCGGGGAGTTGAGCAGCGGGTTGGCAGGCCGGGCGATTGCTCGTTGGTGCGCTGCTGGGTATCTTCACCTGTGCGAAGGGGTGATTGCTGCGAGCCCCCGCCGCGCCCTGGTTGCCCTCCGACTCCTGGTTTGCAGCAGGGAGAGAGAGCGGGTTCGTGGAGAGGGTCCGTACCAAGCAAGGGTAAGATGTATATGCCTTGCTTCACTTGCATTATATGAAACCCTGGTATGGCTCCCAGTTATAAGGTCGGGCGCCTTTCTAAATAACCTTAGGGTGGTTTCCAGGCAATTTACATGACATGTGCCCTGGGGCAACTGTGCGGTGCTTAGGGATGAGCTGTATAGGAGATGGCGGGCTCATTCGTCGTGACCCAGATCACTGCTCCGCACATAGGTGCCTTCTGCTTACCTGCGGCCACCGCCAACTCGCCAGTAACCACGCCTTGTGGCCCACGTCCACGTGGGCTGCTGATGGCGTGCGCAGGCGCATGCGTGCCAGGACGAGCGGCGTTACCGCTGCCCCCACTGGCCCCGCCGCCGCCTCCGCTGCTATTGCGGGCGGATCTTGGAGAGGGCTTTGAGCCTCCTTGGGCTTCCCAGGGCCTACCAGGCTGGCGCCGGCGCCGCATCCATTTGCGCCAGCGCCACATTGTGTACGAGACGGCTACGACCGCAAGGACAGCCGAGACGCAGAGGGCAACGAAGACACCCACGCGGAGAGCTGTGGACTCGCCCGGCATCCACCAGGGCTGTCGCGTAGGGAATTGGGCGGTACGGGGCGCAGGTTGTAAGTAACATCTATTACTTCTTTGCATGCTTATCACGGCGCGTTACATTACAGGAAAGATAAGGGAAGAGGACGAGGAAGACGGGCAAAGCCATAATACTCACGATGCGGTCGGTGCTCGTATTCGCTGGCGGAGAAGACGCAGTGCTCATTGGTTACAGTGCACCTGCAAGCAAAAGGCAATAAGCCACGGACACTTGGAATGGACAGCCATGACAGGACTGAAGTCGTAGGGGCGTACTTAGGAAATCGCTTGTCAACAACCTAAGCCTTAAAGTACTGACTTTAACCATGCCAGCGGCTATCCATAGGCAGCCAGTTGCGCAGCGCAACGGTCAAGTTGCATATACTCTAAATCCTCCATCAATAGCACCTCAGTCAAATGCTTTCACAGTATTAAGGAATGGGACAAGACAGCTGCATATCAGAAGGATAAGGAGGCAAATCTGTGCGGAATTCCCAGACAGCCGGTTAAAAGTATGTTTTGTAGCAATCCTACGGTGCCAGTTTTGTGAACCCACTCGAAGTATATCAATCTGATTTGCTTCCCGAACTCAGATTTGGCCGTCTCGCCACAGCGTCCCTCAACGCTATGTCGTACGGCGGGCGTCCCCGGGGCACTCCTATGCGAAAACAGGTTGGTAATCTGTTTTATGTTCATAGCATGTAGCCGACTTTGATGGCAATAAAATACAATGAACATTTCTATTTGCGATCTAGGGGGAGGGGAAACAACTTGCGCAGAGATACGGCGTAAACTGTTTTCCTCTTAGCCTAATCAGGGTACGCTTTTGCCTGTGTAAATATAAGCAGGCGTATGGCAACAATGTCGGCTTGTTTCGCCAGTTCTTGACCAGAGCTACAGCATGGCGAGCTTCACAACCAGCCTTACGATAGCTGCAATTTCGAGCCTGACACGGCAGGCATTTGGTAGGACTGTGGTTGGATGTCATCGCAGCAGACGGGTAAAGTCGTTCAACGGTTTTCATTAGGTTGGACGTTCTGGCCTCAGGCGCGTCCCCTGGAAGGAGGCTCTTAGATGAGGGCTCTGATCCGCTATCTCGAAATGATGCGGGACCTTGCGAACATTGCAATGAATCCCCTCAGGTAACTGACAAGTTCCGTTGCATTCAACGGCTGGCTTGTGACGACGCTGTAGCGCGTTCGCTGTACGTATGCTTGTCGCATCTCAGTTATGCCAGTCACCAATGCGTCCGGCATTTAGCTCTACTTCACCCATCAGAAGCCCCAAAGGGCCTTCATCCCTAACCCATTCCCCCAGAGCATAATTGTGAGGCATTACGCATGCGGCTTTACTTATCGACATCAATGCCCGATCACCATCTTAATTCACAGCATCCTAAAGCCGTCCATCCTTGCGCCTTTGCAGACCTTGTCCGGCGCTTACGCCTCTCTGCTTGGGTTGTCGACAACACCGCCGCCTAGCCCACCTGGACCGTCCGGAAACGGCACTGTTCCAAGCCCAGCGAGCAGCAGCCAGCCAGACATCTCCTACACACAAATGGGCGTCATCATTGGGGTAGTCGTGGGAACACTGCTCATGGCATTCCTAGTCGTGCTTGGCTGCGTCTGTTACAACCTTACTAGGGAACGGAAAAGGCGGGAAAGGCATCGTGCCGAGTCACAAGCCGCTGTCCGAATGGCGTACTCTGATAACGCGGCTGCAGCCACAAGCTCCCCCTGCCCACCAGGTATGCTCTTATCACAAGGCCGCATGGCGGCAACGGCTGGGTTATAATTAGCTGCAAACATTCCGCTGGACCAGTCTAGCTTCGCGCCCCAGGGCTTCGTGCTCCCTGTGGCCCACCCCCCTTGTTGTCAAGGCCTCCCTCTCTGAGCCTTCCGTACATCCCTATTGAACCCATGCAACGCAGGGGTCAACGTCTGGACGACCATCCATGAGGGCATAGTGGGTGTGGAGCTGGACGACTCCGCGGAGGGCGGCTCACAAGCGGGTCTTGCACCCGAGGGCGACTCTAGCAGCGCTACAGGCCGCGAGCAGCAGCACAATCATCAGCTGCACAAAACCCACATGACACACGGACGGCGAACCCCGGCGCCGCCGCAGCAGCAGCAGTTGGGGAGCAGCATGATGAGCAGGCTTCGTGCCCTGCATGCCGCTTGGGTGGCGTCATTCAGCTGGGACTGGCGGCAGCAGCTCTCGGCGCCGCTGGATCCGCTCGTCTTCTCCTCTCCGCGTGCTGGTTCCGGGCTTGGTACTCCCTGCAGCCCAAGCGAGCAGGCCACCCCGCAGGAGCCAGGGCTCCCGGAGGCGGAGAAGGTGGTGGTCAAGCCCGCAACCGAGCAGGTAGCGCTCGGGGACCCCGCCACTTGCATGTTGGATGCAGCATCCGCGTCCGTAACCTCCACATCATCGGCGGGGCTGTCGGACATCATGGCGCGGTCGCTGGATGAGTTTACGTACGGGAGCCCGAGAGCTGTCGGGACTGTGGAGGAGCACGAGGGGCATGTCAGCATGGACCTGACGCCCCTGCCGTGTGTCACGCTGCAGCTTGGAAGTGCGGGAGGTGCTGCGGCCCTGCAGCCGGCCGTGACAGCTGCAGGGCCGGCGAATGTGCTCAGCCCGAGGAGCACGTCGTACTACACTGCTGACCGCAGCGACTTTGGCAGCAGCAACTGGGGTTACTTCACTGCACGGGATGATGGCAGCTGCATTATAGGGATTAGCAGGCATCCGGAGGCCGCCGAAGTGGCGGTTGTGGTCATGGGGGGAGAGGAGGAGCGGGCCGGCGCCTCTTCGTCCGCTGCCGCCGTGCACCGAAAGGTGCATGAGGATGGGGCCGAATCTGCCGCAGCAGTAGTGAACACTTGGTTGGTTGGCGCCGGGTATGGAACAGGTGCGGCCGTGGGCCTGGAGTCGCAGGTTGAGAGTCAGGCATGAGATGTTGGGTATGGGTGAGCATGGTACACCGTGACTGGCCGTTCTAGGAATAAAAGGGAGCGTTTGCATGTGTATAGCTGATTTAATGCATGTCTCATGCGTACGTCAATTTCGGGCAATTCATTTCTCGTTTAGGGATGATGTCCAGTTCTTTGGGGTCCCATAATGGAGGGGTGAATGAGCACACCTGCCCATACACACTCCTTGTGGGCATGTCTTTATTGGCCGGGCCTCTTACTCAGCGCTTTGCCGCTTCTTGTGCTGGATGTCTCGATGCTATCTACCAGCGGTTGCGGACCTTCAGTACACGTGCACTCTGTTATTTGTCCTCTTCCGTTGGAATTGCGGGTCGCTCTTTGTGCCAAGACGCCTGTGGGGTTGCCGGTACTCGGCTAAGTGGAAATGATGACAGCTGATTTCCCATAACGGGGTTCTGGGTCGAGTGTCGAGTGTGAGCGGTCATGGTAGTGAGCTTACCTGCGCGTGCCCTGAGACAAGCTATCAGAAATCAGATCTCAAGCGCGTGAGACCCCACTGTGAAGTGGGTGTCTGCCAGCATGCCGAAGATACCGGCTTTGGTTGTGCCGCCTGTGCGGTCTGTTGTTACCGAAACCTTTAGGCAGTTGCTGACAATTGAATTTAAGCTGCACAATCTGACACTACGTACATACATGGATAGCGTCTGTCGACGGTTGTTGTTTTCCACTGAGCTATTTGTTTTGACTCTTTCTTTTTGTGCTGCCGACCCCTGGGTCGGGGCTCTTGGCCTGCTCGTCTCTTTTGTACGGTTCCCGTTCCTTTTTCCGAAAGCACCTGTGTCCAGGCTGCCCCTAGGTTGAGGCGCTGAGGCGTGAGCGACTTGTGACGGTGTGTTTGATTGCACTACTATTTTAATGCCACTTTAGCGTGCTGCAATCATGCCAACTGTTTGAGTTGGCCGCGGTACCGCTTGCCAGCAAACATGGCTGCCGTGAGCAATTTCTCCTTGACTTATGCGAGGGCTCGGTGTCGCCGACGCGGCAACTGCTTGGACCTCTGTAATGTGGTGGAGTTACATGTACGACGGTATCATGTAAAGGGCCCTGCCGTACAGGAGCGAATCAGCTGCATGATCGGAAGACTTCTCCGATCGCTGGTCTTCCCCGATCGCTTCCGTCGTACACAGTACTCCGGTGGATGGGTCGTGATAGTAAGTGGAACCCGTCCAATGCCATAACCTATGCCACGTACGAGCGGGAGTGATGTAAGGATCGAGGCATGGAGCGATGGAGGTATGACCTGTAATCGTAACAGCGGACTGATTGAATTATCAGCAGGGAAGTTGTTGCACAACGTGACTAGGCCTTTGTCAGCCTGCAAACCATGCCCCCAGAGTGTTCGAATAGTACATTTGGTCCGCACTTGACAGTGCCCAACCAGCATCACACAAGCTCAAGCCCACTAAAACAACAATTAAGCATAGACCTCCTTAGGGTTAACCAACGGCCGTAAGTAACATTGGCATATACGTGCAACTGTGGATACAGCACCAGCAATCGGGGACACATTCATTATAAATATAACAATAAGTGCGCAACAGGACGAGTAAAGGCAGGCGGGCGGCCAGATTCAAACCAGAATCACATCCAGGGCTTGCCGTGCATATGCAGTTCGAACTTCAACCGCACGTGCCACAATACAACAATCCAAGCAGGGGTGCGACACGGAACGGCGCCCCAAAATTAGGTCACACCATGCCACTGACAGTGAAGTCCATATACGTCAATACACACTCCACGCTCATGTCTTCACTCCCCTGTGTACATCTTGCTACGCGGGTGCGTACTCCGCCCGAACGCAATGCTCGACTTCAGTTCTAGGCACTTGGCCAGTGCCCATATCATCTTTTCCCATGAACGCGCATTAAGTCATAAGCGTAAAGCAAGTAGACCCGCACTCGAGTCCCCAGCGGAAATTCCGATGCCTACATGCTCTCCAAGCCAGTAACAAACAGCAAAACCACCACAATGCACATTGCGCGCCAAAAGGTCCAATTCCAGCCCGTTTTACAATACTTTTGTTGTTCGATGCAGTTATGGCAGAACGCGCCAGCACATTCCGGCAACATTACTTACAAAAAGCGAACTTGTCGTCCACACTACTGCAACGGTCCCACAGCTCAAGGTAAGCGGTTGCCGCGCTTAGGCCACGACATGAACGGATGCTCTACCCACATGGCCTCTTCATCAGCGACAGACGACATGCCCTGCCTGTTGGCTTGCACACACAGATGCGGCGGCTGCGCAGAAGACAAGTCTGCCTGGGCGGCCAGCCCGCTCCCAGCCGAATAGGGTGCTGGCGCCACCTGCTGCTGCTGCTGTTGCCAGGGACCACAGGTCGCCCCTGCCGGTGGTGGCGGCGCAGAGTAGGAAGGCGGCAGGAGCTCTGAGGAGCACATCCTCTGAAGGGCCGAAGCCGCTAGGCCTGCAAGCAGTACACAGTTCGTGACATCGTGAGGCATTGGGACTAGGCTTGCGTGGTGTGGTACAGGTGCAGCACCCTGCTGGATCAAGTAATACTTGCTCCTAGGCCATTGGTTACCGTCCAATGCCCTTCCGAGCGTACCTGCTTCAACGCCTTGAGGCTGCATTCCAGTGTTCGTGCCGCCTCCCGCCGGGTTGGTGGCGACGTCATGCACCTGGTAGCAAGCCATGTCAGCCGCGCCATTACCGCTTGCATCGCATGGCGCACCAGCCCATGCGGGAACTGAGGAGGCCTGCGGGGCCACCTGCCCGGGCGCGCCACATCCGCTACCGGCGGCAGCGCCGAAGGGTGGAGGCGGCAGGGAGTGCTGCCTGGCTAGGCCCCCATTAGAGTACAGGCGCTGGAGTTGCGGTCCCTGCGGAAGCTGTTGCTGGGCCGGCGCTTGCAGGAAGTGGGAAGGAGGGCCCAAAGGGTGGCCGCAAGGGCCCTCAGAAGGCGCCGGAGTGGCTGATCGGTACAGCATGGGAGGTGGAACGGCGGCCCAGGCCTGGCTTGCGGCAACGGCTCCGAATTGCGTTGCCGCGGCTGGTGCGTTAGAGGCACTGCTGCGGCGGAGACGCACACCTCCACCCGTGTAGGCCTGAAGGTGAGTACCGTACGCGGGGTAAGGCTGCGCAGGCTGCGGCTGAGTAAATGCGTGCAGCTGAGGCGCACAAGCCATGTGGGTCGGCGCTGGCGGGGCCGGGCATTCCATTGACGGGTGGCGCGACAGCGGGGCTGTTGGCTGGTTACCCTCCTGTGCGCAAGCCGCGGTTGTCCCTGTACTGCAAACAGGCGCCCCGGCAAGCACGGGCGCATGACCGTACGGCACAAGCGGACCAGGTACTGCTGCGCGGTACCCGTCACCAGCTGCAGGCAGAGGCGCAGGGGGTACGCTGCAGCCCGCGGGCGCATGCAGGGCATCTCCCATAGCACCGGATATGCAAGCAGAGCACTTGCATGGGCCTGAGGACGGTTCAGCCGCTAGCTGGAGGTGGTTGTGTATGCCCGGTGCGGATTTGCCGTACGCCGCCTGCGCTGCGTACTGCAGCGGTGCTGGCTGCGCCAGCTCAGGGGCGCTCCTGGCCATCGGCAAGCCGCTCTGCGTGTAGCCGCTGGGGTGAGGAGGCATGGTGTGCCCAGCAGCCGCCCTGTATGTGGTGGCGGGAGGATGGCAGCTTGTCGCGGCGCGGCGGCACATGTCGCAAGGACAGGAGCTGTGGCCTTGCATTGCTGGGAAAGCAGCAACGCCCGATGGCGGCAATGCTGTAGAGGCGCCCGCTGCCAGGGTGCCATGCCGCGGCTGACTGCCGTACGGAGCATACGACATGGGCGCAGATCCTCCGCTGGTGCTTGGCTCGTATGCTCGGTTGCAGTCTGGGCAGTCGCACCGTCCATACATCAACGTATTCCCACTGCCACCGGTGCTCAGGGATCGCGGCCGAGGCTCGGGAACTCCTACTGCAGCAGGACGGGCGGCAGCCGGTCCAGATACCAGCGCAGCTCGACAGGCCTCGCAATCGCAGGCGCACAAGGGCTGTGGTGTGGCAGACGGTGCATGCGGCTGCCATGGTTGCACGCTACCGGCTTGGCCCGGGGGACAGCAGCCGTGCGACGGCTGATCTGCACAGGTCAAAGCACCGACATAGGGCGCTTGTAAGTCGTTGCTGCTTTCAAACGACTCAAACGTCTGCAACTGACGAGAGGCGGGATACTGCTCCTGCGCGTAGTATTGTTGTTGCGCCTCCTGCTGCTGCGCCTGCAGGTGCGGCCCCTGCAGGTGCTGTAGAGATCGATGAGCCGCCCCATTGCCGCTGCCATAGGACGATCGGCGACTGCTAATGTCGGAGACGTCTTCCATGATGCCATCCCAGTCATGGACGTCAGCGGTCTTGTGTCGCTTGTGTCCGTTGCAGTAGGCCGTCGCCTCCGTCATCGCATGAGCCGGGCTGCCAGGCCCGCGCCACCCCTGCATGCCCACCTGTTGCTGGTGCCGCTGGTGCGGTTTTTGGACCTCCTGCTGTAACCGCTGCTCAACACTGCCCATCGGCGCTTGGCCCCAGCCCTGACAAGACGGCGGCACAGCCCCGTACCGCTCACATGTCCGCGCCATGCCAGCGTCCCCAGCGGGCGCCCAACCGACGCCCTGCGCATAGCCGCTACCCTCACCGCAGAACTGGCGCTTGCCTCCACCTTGCTGCGCAAGGTAGGCCTGGGGCGGGTCCTGACCTGCGGGCTGCGCAGCATGCGAGGCACTTTCACAGGTAGAGGGCGCCTGTCGCACGGGCCACGCGGTCGCCTGCTTGTCCGTCACTTGCTGTTGCTGCGGCTGCTGCGGCTGCGGTCGCGATGGCGCCAGCTCATGAGCGGGCTGGGGCACCTGCGCCGCCTGCTGTTCCTGAAGAGGAACGGAGGGCCCGGCCGTATGACCGGAGGGCCACTGCGGTGGAAGCTGGTGTGGCAACCGCGACGGCCCCGCAACCGACCCCCCAACACCCATCTCTTGCGGCTGCTGCGGCTGCTGGGGTGCTTCCTGCGGCTCGCCGTATGTCGGCTCCATTTCATCCCAGTACGACGCTGTAAGCCGTACGTTCTGCCCATCGACAGGCGGCTCAACCGCCTGACCTGAGCGCAGCAGCGCCGAGGCCGTCGGACACAACGCTGCAAACGCGGGGGCAGCCATTTCCAAAGGCGCAGACGGAGGCAGTGATGATCCAAGCGCCTCAAGCTGAGCCGTGTTTGCATGTTTTGCGGCCGTGCAGAACGAGGCAGCCGCGTCGCTATCCGGGGTGCCTGCTGAGGGGTGTGCCGCATTGCCGCCAGGACAAGCCACAACGCCGTTGGATGCTGCAGAGCAATCGGCGGCGGGGGAGGTGTGGTCCAGGGCCGGTGCCGCGTTGTTCACCGTTGCTGCTGGCGGCTCCATGAAAGCATCTCCAACGTGCTGCCATTCCTGCTCTAGGTCCGCAGGGCCCTCCCACCAAGCATCGCCGTCCTCCTGGGCCTCCAAAAGGGCCGCCGCAGCTTCGTCTATGTCTGCATCAACCACAGCAGCATCCGCCTCCATGGGCTGGGGGCAGGGGTTGCTAGGCTGCAACGCCTGCGCCGACGTTGGATGCGGAACACAGCCGGTTGGCGCCGCCAAGGTCGCGGAATCATCGGGAACGGCGCTCTGCGATGCCGTGAGGAATTGCGCACTGGGGCCTGCCTTCAGCTGCGTAGTTAATGTGCTGCAGGGCGGCGCCAGCATGCTGTGAGCAGACGCGAAGGGCCGCTGGTGCTGCTCATGCTGCTGTGACGAAAACGCTGCCGGCGAGAGCGCCCCAGGCGATGCCGCACGGAAGTCATCTTTCGATCCGCAAGAGCTTATCGCATCGTCCGCCAATTCGGCCGGCGAGCCCGGCTCCACCTCCCCTGCACGCCTGCGGTGCTGCCGACGCTCCTCTCCAACTCCATGATCAGCCAGGTGGCCTTCCCTGCACTCTTGCCGCGCAGAGAAAGCCAGGGCGGGGACGCACATCTCCGCAGGAGACGGTCCCGCTCCCGTGGTTACAGCGTTGGGGTTGATTCCCGAGCCGTACTTCCTAAGGGGCGCTTGAAGGACTTTATTCAGGGCTGCGCTCATGCCCGGTGCCTGGGCAGCAGGCGCGCTGGCTGTGGCTCCTGCCGCTGCAGGCATGCCGCATGCGCCCGGGACGTGGTGCGCAGCAGCAGCCCTAGGCGACGCAAGCGTCCGGCCACTGCCACAGTGCAACAGCAGCGGCGGGCCGGGCTCAATGCTGTTGCCGGTGGTAATGATGTTGCTTTGCTGACGCTGCAGCTTTTGTGATGAGCGGCAGGTCATCAAGCCGCTGCCAGAACCCGGCAGCTCCTGGTGTGCTGCAGGAGTGCAGGCTGCAGCCGCTAAGGATGGCACGGACTCGAGCGCCTCACAGGCGCCTTTCCACATCGACGCGTAGTCAAAGAGTCCCTGCGCAAAGCCGCAATGGTGTCATGTGTCAGCGGTCGATGCTAGCTGTGAGCGCATCTATGCGAACAACTTTATCCAACTCGGGAAGGCAGATGTGCTACCACGCATAACTGAAGGGAAAAGTCCAAGAACAGCCCTTGCAGGCCGCGAAGGACATTGGACGACACTTTAGAGGTCACTCACCACGCTCCGAGAGTAGCCATATCCCGTGTCCGCGTCCGTGCCTGCCAGCTGCTGCTTGCCTTGCGCCGCTGCGCATGCGGCGACGGCAGCGCTGCGTGAGTCGGCAACAACAGCGCCTGCTGCCACCTCACGATGCTGCTGCTCCGGAAGTCCTGTGGTGATGGGTGGCAACGGGACAACCAGATGCGGGCACCGCACGACAGTCGGGGTCACCACCGCCTCAGTCCCACTGGATGAAGTGCCAAGCTCCCAGGGCGCCGCTGCACCAGTCGATTGTCCGCCTGCTAAGGAAGTCTCCGGTGTTGAACCTCCGTTGGGCACTGAGCCTACATGCGGCTGCATGCACCGAGCAGCCGCGCTGTCGCCACAACCGCAGGCCACGGGAGCGAGGCCTTCCCTGCTTGCCTGCAAACCCGAGTCGCAATGCCGCCAGGGAACAGCGGATGGGCTCGTGAGCAGCATGTCCTGCGATGGCTGCTGGTGAAGGGCGCCCGCAGGGGGCGCGGGGTTGGGACTGGGTGCGCTACTGCTGGCAACCGCTGTCGACCTACAGGAGCTGCCCACAGTCTTGAGAGAGTACTGACCGCTGCCCTGGGTGGCCACCAGCGGTGGGGGCTTCTCCCAGGGCGCGCACGGGGCCTGGGGTTGGGGATAGTGGCCATGTGGGTCGTTGTGGACTGAGCCTGATGGTGGAGCACCGCAAGAGTACTTGTTTGGCGGGGTGATGCAGGCCGACGCGCCGTCCGTAGCACAATCGATGCCATCTGGCGCATGGATAGCACCATGGCCAATGCCAAGCTCCATGCGCGCGCGTTTATCGGAACGCAAGTGGTCACAGTCTTCGCCCACTGCATTTCGATCCACCATTGCAGTAACAGATCCGACGCCAAATGCCACAGGGCCTTCCATGTTTGGCGGCTGTGATAGAGATCCACCTTGGACCGCATGTCTTAGTCCGAACATCGTATTGACTGCGACTGAATCCAGGTATGGAGGATCAACGCAGGCCGAAAGCTGCTGCCAACCTAGGCAACAAAAGCAACAAAAGCGGATACTGCTGCGGCTTCAGCTACTGCTGCTGATGGCTGAAGCCGTCATATCATGACTTGTGACACAATAGGGTGCGAGCGGAAATCTACTGGCCGAGATCCTTGGTTGGAGTTGCTACGCCAGAGTTATCCTGCAGGTGGCAAACGGGAGCGTTAAAGTCCCTGCATAGGAGCTAAGATCAAGCCTCGTCAGGCAAGAAACAGCACTTCGAGTACAGTGAGGCGCAGAGCTGGAACACACACATGCGGTCGAAGACAGGTTAAGACAGGTCTCCAGAAAGGATGCCGCCTACGTACCCTGCTTACCTCCAGGCCCTTTCACGCCCCTATTGCACCGTCGCTGAAGCTGACAGCGTGTGTCAGCTCCATGTTACGAAAGGTAAGAGGCTCCACAACGCCTGTGAGGATGTCACAAAATGGCGCGAGGAGGCTGTTGGACTCCCAGCTCAAGAAAAGGGTGAAGCTACAGCCTCGTTGTAGGAATATAATACAGCAACATCTTATCGGGTATGGAAAAGAGTTACGCTCATACTTGCACAAATGCTCGCCAACGAAGGACAGAAATCCCGAAGCCTTCGCCTCAACTCAAACGCAATGTGCCAGTAAATAGTCATCTACTAGGTGGCAGTTAAAGGAACGCCACAACTAAGGGCGGGCAAAAATGTTATGCATCCATGGCGAAAAGCACATTATGGCATCTCGCACGCCAGCCACGAGCGGTCAAAACAAACGACTAACATTTCGTTACGTCAAACACCATGGACAACAGTCTTCAGGACTAGACTATTCCCAACCTGGCAGATGGCGCGCATCCACAGTCCCGGAGCTCGGCTTGGCGCAATTCCCCTAAGCTGTCCTGCTAAAGGGGAACTAGGGTAAGTGAGAAATTGTTCGCCATGGGAAGCTTTCCATACTCTATGCTCAGCTTACCTAGCCGCTAGCGTTACTCTATAATTGTCGCTCTGAACCAAGTATGGGTAGTATTTGATACAACTTATGAAGTAAGTGACTGGAGTTTAGCTTGTGAGAGTCATGACATGGCGGAAAGCCAGTTGGGACCGCCCGCCACGACACATCAGGTCATAAAATGGCACATTTATGTATGTGATACACGTTGTAAACTACTTAATTGCTTTCATAGTACGTGCCTTGCTCCTTCTTTGCGGTGTTCGTGCTCCATGCCTGTCTCGTTGCTCCGAAACCTCCTACCCGAAGGCGTTAGGTCGGAAAGTGCGTCCATCGAACTACCCTCCAGTATAAACCGCCTCAATATGACCCATATAAACCGTCCCAGGTGCTCTATGTCCCTTCCCTGGGTTATTCCGGCTTTCCGAGCTTCCACAGCTTACCGGTAATAAAAATCCGCATACCTTACATTGCGCTTGAGCGGACACTTCTTATTATTACTCCTAAAAGTGGGTCAGTGGTACATCTTACAACGCGCAAGTATAGACACACTACTCCGAAATACCGGCTGCCTTAAAGTGCTGAGCGCAATCCTAAGGCATCTTCAGGAAGCGGTTTGCGTGAATGGTTTAGCTTAACTCTGAGGAAGTCACAAACTGACCATGCAAGCTTTGATCGCCCACCCTACGAGCTGTACGTGAAGAACAACATTGCGAGCTATGTAAAGTTGGAGGAATGCATTGAGAAGGCGCGCCGAACCGTATTAGGTAGGAAACAACAGATATTAGAACAAGCCAGGCTGGGGTTTCCTAGCTTGCGAAGCTTAGTCGCCCACCTATCGATGCAACGAGTAGTGTCGAAGCCCACCCTGGCCCGCCCACCAACACCATAACCATCCAAAACAAATACATTTTTGTGCGAAGATACTTGCTTGATTCGTTACACGTTAGCTTGACATGAGCGAAGACTCCTGTACAGCCGCAGTCACGTGCGAACCTCGCTAGCTCCTGGCCAGCTTAACCGTATTCCCCATAATGCTATCCAAACAATAGTCCTTCCTCTCGTACGTTCCTTCACACTTGTACTACAGTAAACGTCTAACGGACACCTAAAAAAGTATGTTCGAATGGCGCCCGCGACCCACAGCCTGCTCACGACACACCGGACATCGCGGGTTACGCTTCAGCCACAAAAGGATACAGCTCCGGTGATAAGCGTGCCCACAGCGCAACATCTGCATCTCATTCGCCAGAACCCCAGCCTCGCCTGCCCATTGCCCCACTCCTTCTTGTCCCTGCCCCTGGCCCTGCCCCGGGTCCAGGCCACAGTCGACTCTCCGCTCATCAACTCCACTTCCGCCCCCCTGGCCACCGCCACTAGGACCCGTGCCGCAGTCATGTGATCCACCTGCAGCTGCGGTGGCGCTCACGGTGAGCTCCTCCATGCAGACGGCGCAGGTATCTGTCGGGAAGGCGTGGCTTGGTGGGCCCTGCGCTTTGAGGTCCGCCAGAAGTCGTGACGCCTGGGGGTCCAGTCCGCCGGACGCAACCTGAGCCTCGTCGGCGGCAGAGGTGGCAGTGGCAACGGTTGCTGCCGCACGCACCGGGCGTGGAAGAGCGGCACGTAACGCACGAAGTGTACGACTGAACTCGGAGTTGTCGTTGGTGTCGTACGATAACGTTACACGCCGAGCTGGGGGAATGGAAGGGGGTGCAAGAGGGGAGGAAGAGGGCGGAGAAGGGGTGGATGAGTTCGGCAAGGTGCTAGGCAACGCGTGGCTACTACCGGTGTCAGTGTATCAGCACCATGCATGTCTGGAGGCGTTAGAACTGCGACCCAAAAAGGAAGGCGACAACACTTGTGCCATGCATGAAAGCACTAGGCAACCAAAAGCCATGTCACGGAATGCCTCAACTCCCTCAAAGAACTCCAGCCCGGTCACACAAACCCCTGCCCAGCAAGGCCGTCCACAGGCTCTTCCCGCTGCCCTGCCATCTTCCCCTGCCACCCCGCGCCCACCTCCCTCCACCCACAGCGCTCCAAGGTACAGCAGCCACAGCGCCGGGGTGCCCGCCGCCGCCAGCTGCGCCACCCGCCCGCCCGCCAGCCGCCCCGGCAGCAGGCAGCTGGCGGCAGCAGTCAGGTACAGCGGACCCAGCGCAACCTGGGCAGGAAGGGAAGGGTAGTTGGTCAACGAGGGAACAGGAGGAGCAAGCGCGCCGTACTGTTCCTGACCCAGCGGTCACTCCGAAGCCCAGCTAGCAGTGGTGTGAGTTGCGGCACCACCACCACCCCACAACCGTGCAGCCCCCTTGCATTCATTCCACGTCATATCCCCCACTACCACCACGTATGATGCCGTATGCGCCCCACCTTGCACGTGCTGCGCGCCACAAAGCTGACCACGGACGTAACCGCCGCGGCGCCCGCGGGCCCCTGCCGCTCCAGCGCCGGCAGCGCCCAGCTCTGCAGCAGCCCCGCGTGCAGCACATGCAGGCCCACAAAGGTGGTGCTGAAGCTGACGGAGGCGAACAGGGAGCCCAGATCGGAGCCGGCGCGGGCGCCCCAGCCCGCCAGGGCGGCGGTGGTGACCCCGGCAGCGTGCGCGGAAAGGCCAAACAGCGGCGGCGCGAGACGCGAGGCGGCGGCGGAGAGAAGGTGAAGTGGGGGCCGGAGCAGCGCGAGGAGCAGGCGGAACTGCATGGCAGGATGGGTAAGAAGTGTGGAAGAAAGGGGAAGTGGGGAAGATGGGAGTACGGGTTGAGTTATGGGGAATGGGGAGAGAGGTGGGCACAGAGGGCTGACACGAGAGACGCGTCTCTAGCTGCAGCTCAAAATGCCATAAGAATGAACCGCCTGCCTTCACGGTAATGAAACCCACCATCTGCGTTCCTGTCGTACCCACGAGCCATACGCTCGCTCGCCACACAGCCGCCGGCGCTCCATACACGTGCGCGCCGTACGCCGCAACCAACACCGCAACCGACAGCACCAATGACGCCTCGGGCCGCCGCCATACCGCCACCACGGCGTCGCGCAGCGCCGAAACCGTCGGCGCCACCACTTGTACGACAAACGTGAGCACCCATTCCAGCACTGTTATCAGGAATCCAAGCGCTGCGAAAAACGGGGCCGACAGCAGCGCTAGCGCCCAGCGTCCCGTGGCTAAGGCATAGAAGGCGGCTAGCGCTGCGAGGCCGTAGGCGAGGTGAAGCGCCTTCAGCATGACGCGACTGACCCCTGGATCAAGGTGCAGGTAGGCGGCGGCCGCGAGGGACTCCAGGGAGGTCCCGATGCGGGCGATGCGGACATGACCGGTCTTCTGCATGGGGTAATGGAGAGGTTGGGTTACAGGTTTGCTGGTTTAGCAGCAATAGCAGCATCCGTAAAAAGTCATCAGCTGGTTTGTATGCTAGAGGTGATGAACGGGATCAAAAGACCAAACTCAGTGCTCACAAGATCTCACCCGCATGGCCTTGCCCGCCATAAGCCCCACTACAAGCGCCGACACGTAGGCAGCTGCACCGTACGGCAGTACGGCATGCTGTAGTAACGCCTGCCGTACGAACCACGCCAGGCTTACAACGGCGCCCGCGGGCCATAACACCGGCGCCACAAAGCGCCTGAGCAGGGCTGCCAACATGAGAGCTAGGGGGCGGAGGAACGAGGCGTATGCGGCGATGAAGGCCGCACGGAGGGCGCGGGCTGCTGGCAGGATGCTGCGTCTGTATGTCGCTGCAGGATGAGGATGGGAAGAGAGCGGGAAGGGGATGGAAAGGGGAGGTAAGAAGGGCGTGGTAGTTGAGTGTGACGTGTAGGACATCCCGGCCTACCACCACGCAAAGAAACATGTCGTGCGGGCGTACCGGTATAGACAGCAGCTTTGTGTTTAGCCCTTCGCTCGGTTTTCCCTAGTCGCGACACTCACCCACGGCGGCTCTCCTTGAAGTCACAATGCCGGTCCGGATGCCTTCAACCGCTTTCCGCCGCAATGGCAATAACACGTCCTCGTACAGACCTGCGCAAGGATTCCGGATACAGCAGGATCACGGCTGATTCCGTTATACCGGACTTATACCGGACTTAACCACATCCTGATACTACGATACCATCCCAACTGCGGCTGTAGTCAACACAAGCACAGCGACAGCAGCCCCAAACTGACAGCAGCATAAGCAGCAACAGTAGCAGCAAGTACAACAGCAGAGCGCAAGAGGAATCGCAGCAAGCGGCCATGCAACACAAACACGCCCCAGACAACCGGAAACACCATTACTCATGTACAGTCAGCCTCGCCCGCAATGCCCCACATGCTTCGTCCCCAGGTCTCGTGTCCCGCACGCCTCACCTCGCAGCAGCGGCGCAAGCACCCGACTAGCCGCCCTGCCCGCCTCCCGCACACCCCCCAGCACCGCCAGGGTGCCTCGTAACCCCTCCTCCACCGAGTCCGTTAGCATGCGGTCAGCACTGGGCAGGGCAGGGCAGGAATCAGGGCAGGGAGCAGGGCAGGGAGCAGGGCAGGCAGCAGGGCAGGGAGCAGGGCAGGAAGCAGGGGCCAGGGAAGGAAGCAGGGGTACTTGGGACAGACTGGTGATGGCATGCTGCTCAGGATAATGCTGATGACAAGGGTGGTAGGATGGGGCAGAAACTCAGTGTAGGTAGGGATCCATTAGTAAGGGGCTCGCAGTATGAGGATACGACACCTAACCACCGAGCCAGAAAGGGTACCGGTACCTCTCAAACACCTTCACAGCAGCCCGCACAGCCGCCAGCCTGCCAACCCGCCGTGCTGCCTGCGCCGCCAGTTGCAGCAGCGGCCCCACCCGTAGTGCCGCATCCACCAGCCGCAGCGCCCGCAGCAGCAGCAGCCGCAGCAGCTGCCCGCCGCTGCCCACGTAAGCGGAGGCGGCGGAGGCGGCTGCTAGCAGCATGAGGCAGCCGTACAGAAGGCAGGCGAGACGGTCGACGGGCTGTGGTCGTGATGAAGGTTGTAAGGGGTTGAGGGGTGAGGGATGAGGAGGTGAGGAGGTGAGGTGACCCATGGGTCGCAGGTTGGGGCAGTGGTTGGGGCAGATGCGAAATAGCATGGCTTGAGCGTCAATGCTGAACGCTAGTTCGGGGGCTGTTATATTGTAGAAAAGAGAATGCCAAGGGAAGGCTCCTTTGAGTTACGGGCTCAAGTAGCCTCTGCAGGCTTCCATACCTCTATTCCCGCAGGCCCCGCAGCCCCCGCTGCCCCAGGCCTTGCTTCCGCTGCCGCCACTGCCTGCCACAACAGCGTGCCACCGCCCGCTGTGGCTGTCATGGCAGTGGCAAGGAGGGCCAGGGCGCGGCTCCAATCGAAAACCTGGTCCTCGCTGAGGCCCCCCGCATCTGCGGGGGCAGGAAAGGGCGGTTTGCTTGCTGCCGGTGGTAAGCGGAAGTGCCAGGAAAATGGGCTCAGGTAAGGGCGATTCCTTATGCGCACGCTTTAGAATAGACAACATTGCAATCCGGAATTCATCTTCTATTCCCCGGCAAACCGGAACTCCCGCTGCCTCACCTTCCGACAGCCCCACAGATAATGCGGCGAAGCCTAGACCCAGAGCGATGCTGCCGCGCAGGCACGCAAGGAAGAGGCGACCCATCAACAGGAAGCCACGAGCCGCGTCTTCTGCCAGCGCTACTGCAACCTGCACATGTGCATGTGAATATGCATGTGCATGTGAATGTGCAAGTGCATGTGCACATCGTACCTTCATTGGTCATATCGACGTTTCCGCATGTGGACGTGAGAGGACTGAGCATCTTGTCACAGTGGCAACAAGGTGGCAACGCCCACATCCAGGAAGGCACCAACCCACTGAACCTACCCTTCACCAACCCAACCCCACACCCTGCATGCCGCCCTGCCTTACCGTGACCGTACACCCAACGGTAATCATCCGCAGACCAACCCAGCCGCTGCCGATACTCACCGCACCCATCACCACACCCGCAACAGGTCGCCTCCGCCGCCACAGCGCCCCCGCCAGCTCCCTGACCTCCCGGCTGCGTGCCCCCAGCGACAGCAGCGCCACCGCCGCCACCGCCGCCGCCGGCGCCACCAGCAGCAGGTACCCCCGCAGGAAGCTCCCGGGGCCCGCCAGCGCGCGCAGGGGGCCCAGCGTGAGGAGGCGCCAGCAGCGGTGCCAGAAGGTGGGAGGCCCGGAGTAGCACGACGAGCCGGGCGGGTGGGACAAGAAGTGGACAGCGCTTGGGAGGGTTTGGAAGGCGGCGGAAGGGGGAGAGGGGGTCTAGGTTGGCGTTGTGGGTGGGGGAGTTGGGTTACAAGGGGGTTGCGTGCATGGTGGTTTGTGGTGATGTTGTTAGAGGAGGATCGGGTGCGGTAACCCCGAGGCCAAGTCGCCAAGAATGTGGGCCATGGCGCAAGCAAGTGGCATCGGTGGCATCTAAGTTGCCGTACGCAGTACTCCCTTCACGTACCGGCCAAGTGCGCACACCGCTTGCAAAGTGAACACCACTGCGCTTGCTGCCAGTGCAAGAGCCCTAGCCGCTGTCCGCCATCCATAGTAGCCCCAGGCGATTGCGAGAAGGGCTGTAAGGACACCCATGCCCTTCCGCCACAACCTTTGCCCAGCAAGCTACGCCAAGAAGATAAGAAACGAAGGCATATTGTACTTTTATTGCACAGGGCCCCCTCAGTGGCTACCTGTTAAGCAACTATCGTCGCGCGGCCAGTTAGGTACTGTTCCCCGCTTCTCACAGACGCCTACCCGTTTGGGAGCAATATTATTGCCCAAATACTAAACAAACATCTTATTTATCAGAAGAAAGGTAATCGTAAGGATCGATAGTGGCGGTTGGTCCCTTCCAAAGCTTCGAAGCCGCTCTCAAGTGCACTTGTCCTTAAGTTGAGTATGCTGCCCCTACGACAATATGCGTATGGATAGTACTTCTGAAAGGATGGCATGCGGGCTATGTGCATGCTCCCATGTGACCTTACGCCTCCGTGCCGTGGCTAAGACCTCTGATCAAGAGAACTTTACGCACCTGTAACCCGCCATGGGTGTTCATGTATATCTTTCTACTTGCCTTGCACGCTTATTGACACAAACGACATCATATCCAAGTGCCTCCAATTGAAGACCCCAGGGTCAGCGAAACTGACGTTTGGCGTCATAGGCCATAAAATTAGGCGTTGTTAACGTTCATAACTTTTGTTATCAAGTTGCCTAAACGACCATGCCCCTTCAGCGCATACGCTAAACCCTGCTTGCGCCTGCTCGCTTTGCGGTTGGAAGGACGCTGACCAGCTCTAGCCTTCAGGGTCGTTTGTGGGAAACCAAAAAGGCGTATTCACTTGAAACGCTGCTCGGACGGAAGAGATGGCATCGGTAACCTCGCTCCCTCGCCGCTTGGACCCTAAAATCACGTTAGGCAAGTAGGCAACGTGACTCACACCCAACCACTCGTATCCGCAACCCTGCCAACGCTAACGCTTGCAACCTTTGCACATGCGCGGGCTGCATTGCCCAGCAAATGAACTGTTGTGGGTGGTCCTAGGCACCCTTGCGCTACCGCCCTGCGCCCTCTGCTGCCTCCGGGAACACGCTCCCTCTACCGGTAGTAACCGCCTCCCCGCCTCCCAGTGTTTCCGCGGCTCAGTTTACTAAGCCCCGCCTCCCCTCCTTGCTGCACCATTTATTGTTTCCCCGCCTCCCCATCCGCCGCCTCCCAGCCAATGAGCGCACCTTCCTCACCTGGATGCGCCAGGTGGTGCTCGTGGGCGGCATCGGAGCGGGCGTGTCAGGTGCGGGGCGTGTGCCGGGGCATGGGGATACACAGGCAGGGCAAGACGAAAGGGGGTCGAAGGGAGCTGGGACTAGGAGGTAATGCCATGCGTGGTTACGGATGGGGGGTGCCACTGAGCTGCACGACGTGGCTGCTGCTGATGATGATGGCGGGGGGCAAAGCCGCGCACCCTCACATCTTGCCTTGCAAGCAGTGTTCTGCTGCCCCGTTCTTCTGTCTTTGCTTTTAACCCGTGCCGTGCAAACCCATTACCGCCGGCTGGCCACAACCGGCGCGTTATTGCTGTGTATGCCTGCAGGTCTGGCGACCTACCAGGGCATTCATAGCATCCTGCGACCCGAGGGCCCTGAGGACATGCGCCGGGTGCTGCTGATCAAGGCAGCGGGCACGGTGCTGATGCTGCTGGCGATCGGCATCGCAGTCACATCGGGGCGGACCTACAGCAAACGCATGCGGATGATTAGGTGGGTGTCCAGCGACGGCTGTGTCGCAAGGGGCTATCTGGGAACTGGAATGGTAAGATTCCTTGGTGCCGGTACGGCTTTAATGGTTAGTGCCCACGGCTGCAAATCCTGGCATGTCCGCTGCATGGATAGTGCTGCAACTATATTGTGTCGTATGCAGATGGTGCATCATTAGACTCAACACGGCGCACATCACGTAACAGTACTTGCGCCCCGAACTCCTTAGGTACCACTCTGATGCACAGCGCGTCCCCCACGTCCTCGCGCCAAGTCGTTACGACATCTGACCACCACATGTCAGCAGTTTCACCCCCCCCCCGGAGGCAACCCTAGGCATCGCAGCACCCACATGCTTTCCCACGACACCCTGAACTTCGCAAGGCCGCCTGCCGGGCTGCGCCACGCACCCTAGCACGCCCCAACATCAACCGTCAAGCTCCTGCCATTGCCAGCGCGACCGCCCGTTCCCCCAAACCATAAGCGCCCCGTTACCGTAGCGCAGGCTGGATGAGGTCCATGCGCAGCAACCTTACATGCCCAACACCCATACCTCTCCAAGTTCATTGTCGGTTTCGCGGCCAGTTAATTCAAAACACCCATTGCATCTTCCTAGCAAACGATGTTGTCCACACCCAGCTGCCAACAAACACACCAGCGCGATAAAGCACACCACACCATGCTACACCACAAACCCCCGTGACCTGGTGCCGACACACGATGGCACGGAAGCCGCCGCTCCCCTTGCTCCCCCCGGGGGTCCCGTTCCCCATAGTTCGTTCCACATTGGATATCCTTCTTTTCCCCACCGTGTGCCCGCATGCGCGTGCAGGACTGGCGTGGCTTCCGACAGCCCGGACTGGGACACCCGCTGGCTGCCGCGCGTGCTCACGGCCACGTTATCAGCCGTCATGGTGATGGTGTGGGTCGGAGCGCTCATGCGCGTGGCGAGCGGAGCTTGAGGGAGATGTGGAAGGTCACGTGCAAAGCGTGGGGTGGTAGGTTACCACACCTTGATCGTACGAAATCCGTTGTTAATGGTATTGCTTGGTCGACTGTTGTGGTTGCTAAGGAGACGTTGCACCGTTGGGCGGATGTCTCATGTGCCCAAGTCGCATTGCACGTTGATGACTCCAAAAAGGAAGGGGCAATGCGTTGCCCTCACAGGGCTCACACCTAGCTTGTCCTAGGATAGTCGCCAGGAAGGCCTGCGCCCGCGTCGTATCAATAGGTCTGTAACGATTGAATACTATCAGCAGCTTGAGCGATGATACCTTCCCTGATCAGCACCACGCGCGTATCCCAGGGTTCCCAGCCCTATACCCTGGCACACATGTCCGACGTCACATACCACATGACCGTCTACACCCCGCACCCTGCAGCGGCATGGTACTACCGACCTGTGGAAACCATGCAGCCACCGTCCGCTAGCCGTCAACACTACTGGCATACCACGCCTGCCGTTGCCGCCCAGCCCCATGCGCAATCCCCAAGTGTTCTTCCAGGGCGACCCCATCATCCCCACCGCTGGCGCCCTGGCCCAACTCAGCCTGCTACTGCAGCTGCGCTCCTCTTACTTCCGCCGGGCAGCGTCCTTCACGAGGAAACTGGGTACTGACCCTGACACCGCTGGTTTGGCGCTTAGGAACGCCTCCGTGCGCTCGTGAAGTGGCAGAAGCTCCCGGTTCAGGGTGGTCACCTTGTAGGCGGCCATGTCCTGCAGCAGGTCCTGGTTCTCCGGGCCGTTCATAAGGTACTTCATTGTTTGCAAGGTACTGATCGTCACACGCTCCACCCGATCCACTGAGTCCTCTTTTGGGTAGCCCAGGATGGCTTGCATCCGCCGGAACCGTGCGGGGTCCCGAAGCGCCAGCTTTGAGCCGTATCGCATTGGGCCGCGCGGTGATGATCGTCGGTCCCCACCATGTTGCGATTCTGACTCGCCGTCTGCGGAGAAGTGGAACATTTCCTCACGTGTACGTGATGCTTCTCAAACAAGCGCCGCTTTTCACATAACCGCATCCTTACCCTGAGATGCGTAATGCCTATAGCTGCAACTAGGCTGGCAGGCATCAACTGAGGCAGAATTTGCAAACGCAGGCAATGCTGCCTGGGCGGCCCCACTAACACTAACGCGTTTGAGCAATACTGCGACACTAAGAGAAAGCGCCATTGTGGAGTTCCAAAGACTACAGCGCTCCGGCTTGGAAGCAGGAAAGATGTATGTTAGTAAAAGTATTGAGCGCAACAAGGACGGACGCAAGGGCCGTAGACGAACTCCTAGTATAGTATGCCTTCCCCTTTGTGTTAATTAAAAATTAAAAACTAAGCGGAAGATGGACACAACGGCAAGCGTTGGGCCCAGGGCGAGGTGGGGCTTCGCATTGGCATCTAATGAACAGCGGTCAACAGAAATAAACATTGATGTAAACGTTTTGTTTTTGAAACGCATTATAGCTACAACTCGCATAAAACTCGCATAGTCTACAAGCCATGTTCTACGAGTCCCTTACTTGCCCTCCGAGGGCCATGAATGCTGCCGACTCGTAAGGGGGCATACATCATATATCCATGGATACTGCAGAAAGGGTAGCGGGATTCGGCATCTTACTGTAGTAGAGAGCAGCAATGCCAAGGAGCAAAACAGCCCTGTGCGTGGGCCTCCTTATCTGGATTTTGCTATCCATCAGCACAAGAACATGCCAAGGGGCAAAGAAACCTCCAAGTCCTCCTCCCCCGCCTCCGGTTTTTCCAAGCCCATACCCGTCTCCACCAGGCCCGCCCCCACTAACTCCTATCCCTCCAAGACCGCCTCCTTCCCCGCTCCCGCCTAGCCCGCCGCCACCGTCCCCTGAGCCTCCTAGCCCGCAACCTCCTTCCCCGTCGCCGCCTAGCCCTCCTCCTCCCTCGCCTGACCCACCGAGCCCACCTCCTTCCCCGCTCCCGCCTAGCCCGCCGCCACCGTCCCCTGAGCCTCCTAGCCCGCAACCTCCTTCCCCGTCGCCGCCTAGCCCTCCTCCTCCCTCGCCTGACCCACCGAGCCCACCTCCTTCCCCACTCCCGCCTAGCCCGCCGCCACCGTCCCCTGAGCCTCCTAGCCCGCAACCTCCTTCCCCGTCGCCGCCTAGCCCTCCTCCTCCCTCGCCTGACCCACCGAGCCCACCTCCTTCCCCGCTCCCGCCTAGCCCGCCGCCACCGTCCCCTGAGCCTCCTAGCCCGCAACCTCCTTCCCCGTCGCCGCCTAGCCCTCCTCCTCCCTCGCCTGACCCACCGAGCCCACCTCCTTCCCCGCTCCCGCCTAGCCCGCCGCCACCGTCCCCTGAGCCTCCTAGCCCGCAACCTCCTTCCCCGTCGCCGCCTAGCCCTCCTCCTCCCTCGCCTGACCCACCGAGCCCACCTCCTTCCCCGCTCCCGCCTAGCCCGCCGCCACCGTCCCCTGAGCCTCCTAGCCCGCAACCTCCTTCCCCGTCTCCGCCTAGCCCTCCTCCTCCCTCGCCTGACCCACCGAGCCCACCTCCTTCCCCGCTCCCGCCTAGCCCGCCGCCACCGTCCCCTGAGCCTCCTAGCCCGCAACCTCCTTCCCCGTCGCCGCCTAGCCCTCCTCCTCCCTCGCCTGACCCACCGAGCCCACCTCCTTCCCCGCTCCCGCCTAGCCCGCCGCCACCGTCCCCTGAGCCTCCTAGCCCGCAACCTCCTTCCCCGTCGCCGCCTAGCCCTCCTCCTCCCTCGCCTGACCCACCGAGCCCACCTCCTTCCCCACTCCCGCCTAGCCCGCCGCCACCGTCCCCTGAGCCTCCTAGCCCGCAACCTCCTTCCCCGTCGCCGCCTAGCCCTCCTCCTCCCTCGCCTGACCCACCGAGCCCACCTCCTTCCCCACTCCCGCCTAGCCCGCCGCCACCGTCCCCTGAGCCTCCTAGCCCGCAACCTCCTTCCCCGTCGCCGCCTAGCCCTCCTCCTCCCTCGCCTGACCCACCGAGCCCACCTCCTTCCCCACTCCCGCCTAGCCCGCCGCCACCGTCCCCTGAGCCTCCTAGCCCGCAACCTCCTTCCCCGTCGCCGCCTAGCCCTCCTCCTCCCTCGCCTGACCCACCGAGCCCACCTCCTTCCCCGCTCCCGCCTAGCCCGCCGCCACCGTCCCCTGAGCCTCCTAGCCCGCAACCTCCTTCCCCGTCGCCGCCTAGCCCTCCTCCTCCCTCGCCTGACCCACCGAGCCCACCTCCTTCCCCGCTCCCGCCTAGCCCGCCGCCACCGTCCCCTGAGCCTCCTAGCCCGCAACCTCCTTCCCCGTCTCCGCCTAGCCCTCCTCCTCCCTCGCCTGACCCACCGAGCCCACCTCCTTCCCCGCTCCCGCCTAGCCCGCCGCCACCGTCCCCTGAGCCTCCTAGCCCGCAACCTCCTTCCCCGTCGCCGCCTAGCCCTCCTCCTCCCTCGCCTGACCCACCGAGCCCACCTCCTTCCCCGCTCCCACCTAGCCCACCGCCACCGTCCCCTGAGCCTCCTAGCCCGCAACCTCCTTCCCCGTCTCCGCCTAGCCCTCCTCCTCCCTCGCCTGACCCACCGAGCCCACCTCCTTTCCCACTCCCGCCTAGCCCGCCGCCACCGTCCCCTGAGCCTCCTAGCCCGCAACCTCCTTCCCCGTCGCCGCCTAGCCCTCCTCCTCCCTCGCCTGACCCACCGAGCCCACCTCCTTCCCCGCTCCCGCCTAGCCCGCCGCCACCGTCCCCTGAGCCTCCTAGCCCGCAACCTCCTTCCCCGTCGCCGCCTAGCCCTCCTCCTCCCTCGCCTGACCCACCGAGCCCACCTCCTTCCCCGCTCCCGCCTAGCCCGCCGCCACCGTCCCCTGAGCCTCCTAGCCCGCAACCTCCTTCCCCGTCGCCGCCTAGCCCTCCTCCTCCCTCGCCTGACCCACCGAGCCCACCTCCTTCCCCGCTCCCACCTAGCCCACCGCCACCGTCCCCTGAGCCTCCTAGCCCGCAACCTCCTTCCCCGTCGCCGCCTAGCCCTCCTCCTCCCTCGCCTGACCCACCGAGCCCACCTCCTTCCCCGCTCCCGCCTAGCCCGCCGCCACCGTCCCCTGAGCCTCCTAGCCCGCAACCTCCTTCCCCGTCGCCGCCTAGCCCTCCTCCTCCCTCGCCTGACCCACCGAGCCCACCTCCTTCCCCGCTCCCGCCTAGCGCGCCGCCACCGTCCCCTGAGCCTCCTAGCCCGCAACCTCCTTCCCCGTCTCCGCCTAGCCCTCCTCCTCCCTCGCCTGACCCACCGAGCCCACCTCCTTCCCCGCTCCCGCCTAGCCCGCCGCCACCGTCCCCTGAGCCTCCTAGCCCGCAACCTCCTTCCCCGTCGCCGCCTAGCCCTCCTCCTCCCTCGCCTGACCCACCGAGCCCACCTCCTTCCCCGCTCCCGCCTAGCCCGCCGCCACCGTCCCCTGAGCCTCCTAGCCCGCAACCTCCTTCCCCGTCTCCGCCTAGCCCTCCTCCTCCCTCGCCTGACCCACCGAGCCCACCTCCTTCCCCGCTCCCGCCTAGCGCGCCGCCACCGTCCCCTGAGCCTCCTAGCCCGCAACCTCCTTCCCCGTCGCCGCCTAGCCCTCCTCCTCCCTCGCCTGACCCACCGAGCCCACCTCCTTCCCCACTCCCGCCTAGCCCGCCGCCACCGTCCCCTGAGCCTCCTAGCCCGCAACCTCCTTCCCCGTCGCCGCCTAGCCCTCCTCCTCCCTCGCCTGACCCACCGAGCCCACCTCCTTCCCCGCTCCCGCCTAGCCCGCCGCCACCGTCCCCTGAGCCTCCTAGCCCGCAACCTCCTTCCCCGTCGCCGCCTAGCCCTCCTCCTCCCTCGCCTGACCCACCGAGCCCACCTCCTTCCCCGCTCCCGCCTAGCCCGCCGCCACCGTCCCCTGAGCCTCCTAGCCCGCAACCTCCTTCCCCGTCGCCGCCTAGCCCTCCTCCTCCCTCGCCTGACCCACCGAGCCCACCTCCTTCCCCGCTCCCGCCTAGCCCACCGCCACCGTCCCCTGAGCCTCCTAGCCCGCAACCTCCTTCCCCGTCGCCGCCTAGCCCTCCTCCTCCCTCGCCTGACCCACCGAGCCCACCTCCTTCCCCGCTCCCGCCTAGCCCGCCGCCACCGTCCCCTGAGCCTCCTAGCCCGCAACCTCCTTCCCCGTCTCCGCCTAGCCCTCCTCCTCCCTCGCCTGACCCACCGAGCCCACCTCCTTCCCCACTCCCGCCTAGCCCGCCGCCACCGTCCCCTGAGCCTCCTAGCCCGCAACCTCCTTCCCCGTCGCCGCCTAGCCCTCCTCCTCCCTCGCCTGACCCACCGAGCCCACCTCCTTCCCCACTCCCGCCTAGCCCGCCGCCACCGTCCCCTGAGCCTCCTAGCCCGCAACCTCCTTCCCCGTCGCCGCCTAGCCCTCCTCCTCCCTCGCCTGACCCACCGAGCCCACCTCCTTCCCCGCTCCCGCCTAGCCCGCCGCCACCGTCCCCTGAGCCTCCTAGCCCGCAACCTCCTTCCCCGGCCCCACCTAGCCCCCTGCCACCGTCCCCATCTCCTCCCAGGCCACCTCCGCCGTCTCCCAGCCCACCAAGCCCTCCTCCTTCACCGGAGCCGCCTAGCCCCTTGCCACCCTCACCTCTGCCTCCCAGTCCTCCGCCACCCTCCCCGGCGCCACCTAGCCCCCTGCCACCGTCCCCATCTCCTCCCAGCCCATCTCCGCCGTCTCCCAGCCCACCAAGCCCTCCTCCTTCACAGGCCCCGCCTAGCCCCTTGCCACCCTCACCTCTGCCTCCCAGCCCTCCGCCACCGTCCCCGGCCCCACCTAGCCCCCTGCCACCGTCCCCGTCTCCTCCCAGCCCACCTCCGCCGTCTCCCAGCCCACCAAGCCCTCCTCCTTCACCGGCCCCGCCTAGCCCCTTGCCACCCTCACCTCTGCCTCCCAGCCCTCCGCCACCGTCCCCGGCCCCACCTAGCCCCCTGCCACCGTCCCCATCTCCTCCCAGCCCATCGCCGCCGTCTCCCAGCCCACCAAGCCCTCCTCCTTCACCGGAGCCGCCTAGCCCCTTGCCACCCTCACCTCTACCTCCCAGCCCTCCGCCACCCTCCCCGGCCCCACCTAGCCCCCTGCCGCCGTCCCCATCTCCTCCCAGCCCATCTCCGCCGTCTCCCAGCCCACCAAGCCCTCCTCCTTCACCGGAGCCGCCTAGCCCCTTGCCACCCTCACCTCTGCCTCCCAGCCCTCCGCCACCCTCCCCGGCCCCACCTAGCCCCCTGCCACCGTCCCCGTCTCCTCCCAGCCCACCTCCGCCGTCTCCCAGCCCACCAAGCCCTCCTCCTTCACCGGCCCCGCCTAGCCCCTTACCACCCTCACCTCTGCCTCCCAGTCCTCCGCCACCCTCCCCGGCCCCACCTAGCCCCCTGCCACCGTCCCCATCTCCTCCCAGCCCATCTCCGCCGTCTCCCAGCCCATCAAGCCCTCCTCCTTCACCGGAGCCGCCTAGCCCCTTGCCACCCTCACCTCTGCCTCCCAGCTCTCCGCCACCCTCCCCGGCCCCACCTAGCCCCCTGCCGCCGTCCCCATCTCCTCCCAGCCCATCTCCGCCGTCTCCCAGCCCACCAAGCCCTCCTCCTTCACCGGCCCCGCCTAGCCCCTTACCACCCTCACCTCTGCCTCCCAGCCCTCCGCCACCCTCCCCGGCCCCACCTAGCCCCCTGCCACCGTCCCCATCTCCTCCCAGCCCATCTCCGCCGTCTCCCAGCCCACCAAGCCCTCCTCCTTCACCGGAGCCGCCTAGCCCCTTACCACCCTCACCTCTGCCTCCCAGCCCTCCGCCACCCTCCCCGGCCCCACCTAGCCCCCTGCCGCCGTCCCCATCTCCTCCCAGCCCATCTCCGCCGTCTCCCAGCCCACCAAGCCCTCCTCCTTTACCGGCCCCGCCTAGCCCCTTGCCACCCACACCTCTACCTCCCAGCCCTCCGCCACCCTCCCCGGCCCCACCTATCCCCCTGCCGCCGTCCCCATCTCCTCCCAGCCCATCTCCGCCGTCTCCCAGCCCACCAAGCCCTCCTCCTTCACCGGAGCCGCCTAGCCCCTTGCCACCCTCACCTCTGCCTCCCAGCCCTCCGCCACCGTCCCCGGCCCCACCTAGCCCCCTGCCACCGTCCCCGTCTCCTCCCAGCCCACCTCCGCCGTCTCCCAGCCCACCAAGCCCTCCTCCTTCACCGGCCCCGCCTAGCCCCTTGCCACCCTCACCTCTGCCTCCCAGTCCTCCGCCACCGTCCCCGGCCCCACCTAGCCCCCTGCCACCGTCCCCGTCTCCTCCCAGCCCACCTCCGCCGTCTCCCAGCCCACCAAGCCCTCCTCCTTCACCGGCCCCGCCTAGCCCCTTGCCACCCTCACCTCTGCCTCCCAGTCCTCCGCCACCCTCCCCGGCCCCACCTAGCCCCCTGCCACCGTCCCCATCTCCTCCCAGCCCATCTCCGCCGTCTCCCAGCCCACCAAGCCCTCCTCCTTCACCGGCCCCGCCAAGCCCCTTGCCACCCTCACCTCTGCCTCCCAGCCCTCCGCCACCCTCCCCGGCCCCACCTAGCCCCCTGCCACCGTCCCCATCTCCTCCCAGCCCATCTCCGCCGTCTCCCAGCCCACCAAACCCTCCTCCTTCACCGGAGCCGCCTAGCCCCTTGCCACCCTCACCTCTGCCTCCCAGTCCTCCGCCACCCTCCCCGGCCCCACCTAGCCCCCTGCCGCCGTCCCCATCTCCTCCCAGCCCATCTCCGCCGTCTCCCAGCCCACCAAACCCTCCTCCTTCACCGGAGCCGCCTAGCCCCTTGCCACCCTCACCTCTGCCTCCCAGTCCTCCGCCACCCTCCCCGGCCCCACCTAGCCCCCTGCCACCGTCCCCATCTCCTCCCAGCCCATCTCCGCCGTCTCCCAGCCCACCAAGCCCTCCTCCTTCACCGGAGCCGCCTAGCCCCTTGCCACCCTCACCTCTGCCTCCCAGTCCTCCGCCACCCTCCCCGGCCCCACCTAGCCCCCTGCCGCCGTCCCCATCTCCTCCCAGCCCATCTCCGCCGTCTCCCAGCCCACCAAGCCCTCCTCCTTCACCGGCCCCGCCTAGCCCCTTGCCACCCTCACCTCTGCCTCCCAGCCCTCCGCCACCGTCCCCGGCCCCACCTAGCCCCCTGCCACCGTCCCCATCTCCTCCCAGCCCATCTCCGCCGTCTCCAAGCCCACCAAGCCCTCCTCCTTTACCGGCCCCGCCTAGCCCCTTGCCACCCTCACCTCTGCCTCCCAGCCCTCCGCCACCCTCCCCGGCCCCACCTAGCCCCCTGCCACCGTCCCCATCTCCTCCCAGCCCATCTCCGCCGTCTCCCAGCCCACCAAGCCCTCCTCCTTCACCGGAGCCGCCTAGCCCCTTGCCACCCTCACCTCTGCCTCCCAGTCCTCCGCCACCCTCCCCGGCCCCACCTAGCCCCCTGCCGCCGTCCCCATCTCCTCCCAGCCCATCTCCGCCGTCTCCCAGCCCACCAAGCCCTCCTCCTTCACCGGCCCCGCCTAGCCCCTTGCCACCCTCACCTCTGCCTCCCAGCCCTCCGCCACCCTCCCCGGCCCCACCTAGCCCCCTGCCGCCGTCCCCATCTCCTCCCAGCCCATCTCCGCCGTCTCCCAGCCCACCAAGCCCTCCTCCTTCACCGGAGCCGCCTAGCCCCTTGCCACCCTCACCTCTGCCTCCCAGTCCTCCGCCACCCTCCCCGGCCCCACCTAGCCCCCTGCCGCCGTCCCCATCTCCTCCCAGCCCACCTCCGCCGTCTCCCAGCCCACCAAGCCCTCCTCTTTCACCGGCCCCGCCTAGCCCCTTGCCACCCTCACCTCTGCCTCCCAGCCCTCCGCCACCCTCCCCGGCCCCACCTAGCCCCCTGCCACCGTCCCCATCTCCTCCCAGCCCATCTCCGCCGTCTCCCAGCCCACCAAGCCCTCCTCCTTCACCGGAGCCGCCTAGCCCCTTACCACCCTCACCTCTGCCTCCCAGCCCTCCGCCACCCTCCCCGGCCCCACCTAGCCCCCTGCCACCGTCCCCGTCTCCTCCCAGCCCACCTCCGCCGTCTCCCAGCCCACCAAGCCCTCCTCCTTCACCGGCCCCGCCTAGCCCCTTGCCACCCTCACCTCTGCCTCCCAGTCCTCCGCCACCCTCCCCGGCCCCACCTAGCCCCCTGCCACCGTCCCCATCTCCTCCCAGCCCATCTCCGCCGTCTCCCAGCCCACCAAGCCCTCCTCCTTCACCGGAGCCGCCTAGCCCCTTGCCACCCTCACCTCTGCCTCCCAGTCCTCCGCCACCCTCCCCGGCCCCACCTAGCCCCCTGCCGCCGTCCCCATCTCCTCCCAGCCCATCTCCGCCGTCTCCCAGCCCACCAAGCCCTCCTCCTTCACCGGCCCCGCCTAGCCCCTTGCCACCCTCACCTCTGTCTCCCAGCCCTCCGCCACCCTCCCCGGCCCCACCTAGCCCCCTGCCACCGTCCCCATCTCCTCCCAGCCCATCTCCGCCGTCTCCCAGCCCACCAAGCCCTCCTCCTTCACCGGAGCCGCCTAGCCCCTTGCCACCCTCACCTCTGCCTCCCAGTCCTCCGCCACCCTCCCCGGCCCCACCTAGCCCCCTGCCACCGTCCCCATCTCCTCCCAGCCCATCTCCGCCGTCTCCCAGCCCACCAAGCCCTCCTCCTTCACCGGAGCCGCCTAGCCCCTTGCCACCCTCACCTCTGCCTCCCAGCCCTCCGCCACCCTCCCCGGCCCCACCTAGCCCCCTGCCGCCGTCCCCATCTCCTCCCAGCCCATCTCCGCCGTCTCCCAGCCCACCAAGCCCTCCTCCTTCACCGGAGCCGCCTAGCCCCTTGCCACCCTCACCTCTGCCTCCCAGTCCTCCGCCACCGTCCCCGGCCCCATCTAGCCCCCTGCCGCCGTCCCCATCTCCTCCCAGCCCACCTCCGCCGTCTCCCAGCCCACCAAGCCCTCCTCTTTCACCGGCCCCGCCTAGCCCCTTGCCACCCTCACCTCTGCCTCCCAGCCCTCCGCCACCCTCCCCGGCCCCACCTAGCCCCCTGCCACCGTCCCCATCTCCTCCCAGCCCATCTCCGCCGTCTCCCAGCCCACCAAGCCCTCCTCCTTCACCGGAGCCGCCTAGCCCCTTACCACCCTCACCTCTGCCTCCCAGCCCTCCGCCACCCTCCCCGGCCCCACCTAGCCCCCTGCCACCGTCCCCATCTCCTCCCAGCCCATCTCCGCCGTCTCCCAGCCCACCAAACCCTCCTCCTTCACCGGAGCCGCCTAGCCCCTTGCCACCCTCACCTCTGCCTCCCAGTCCTCCGCCACCCTCCCCGGCCCCACCTAGCCCCCTGCCACCGTCCCCATCTCCTCCCAGCCCATCTCCGCCGTCTCCCAGCCCACCAAGCCCTCCTCCTTCACCGGAGCCGCCTAGCCCCTTGCCACCCTCACCTCTGCCTCCCAGTCCTCCGCCACCCTCCCCGGCCCCACCTAGCCCCCTGCCGCCGTCCCCATCTCCTCCCAGCCCATCTCCGCCGTCTCCCAGCCCACCAAGCCCTCCTCCTTCACCGGCCCCGCCTAGCCCCTTGCCACCCTCACCTCTGCCTCCCAGCCCTCCGCCACCGTCCCCGGCCCCACCTAGCCCCCTGCCACCGTCCCCATCTCCTCCCAGCCCATCTCCGCCGTCTCCAAGCCCACCAAGCCCTCCTCCTTTACCGGCCCCGCCTAGCCCCTTGCCACCCTCACCTCTGCCTCCCAGCCCTCCGCCACCCTCCCCGGCCCCACCTAGCCCCCTGCCACCGTCCCCATCTCCTCCCAGCCCATCTCCGCCGTCTCCCAGCCCACCAAGCCCTCCTCCTTCACCGGAGCCGCCTAGCCCCTTGCCACCCTCACCTCTGCCTCCCAGTCCTCCGCCACCCTCCCCGGCCCCACCTAGCCCCCTGCCGCCGTCCCCATCTCCTCCCAGCCCATCTCCGCCGTCTCCCAGCCCACCAAGCCCTCCTCCTTCACCGGCCCCGCCTAGCCCCTTGCCACCCTCACCTCTGCCTCCCAGCCCTCCGCCACCCTCCCCGGCCCCACCTAGCCCCCTGCCGCCGTCCCCATCTCCTCCCAGCCCATCTCCGCCGTCTCCCAGCCCACCAAGCCCTCCTCCTTCACCGGAGCCGCCTAGCCCCTTGCCACCCTCACCTCTGCCTCCCAGTCCTCCGCCACCCTCCCCGGCCCCACCTAGCCCCCTGCCGCCGTCCCCATCTCCTCCCAGCCCACCTCCGCCGTCTCCCAGCCCACCAAGCCCTCCTCTTTCACCGGCCCCGCCTAGCCCCTTGCCACCCTCACCTCTGCCTCCCAGCCCTCCGCCACCCTCCCCGGCCCCACCTAGCCCCCTGCCACCGTCCCCATCTCCTCCCAGCCCATCTCCGCCGTCTCCCAGCCCACCAAGCCCTCCTCCTTCACCGGAGCCGCCTAGCCCCTTACCACCCTCACCTCTGCCTCCCAGCCCTCCGCCACCCTCCCCGGCCCCACCTAGCCCCCTGCCACCGTCCCCGTCTCCTCCCAGCCCACCTCCGCCGTCTCCCAGCCCACCAAGCCCTCCTCCTTCACCGGCCCCGCCTAGCCCCTTGCCACCCTCACCTCTGCCTCCCAGTCCTCCGCCACCCTCCCCGGCCCCACCTAGCCCCCTGCCACCGTCCCCATCTCCTCCCAGCCCATCTCCGCCGTCTCCCAGCCCACCAAGCCCTCCTCCTTCACCGGAGCCGCCTAGCCCCTTGCCACCCTCACCTCTGCCTCCCAGTCCTCCGCCACCCTCCCCGGCCCCACCTAGCCCCCTGCCGCCGTCCCCATCTCCTCCCAGCCCATCTCCGCCGTCTCCCAGCCCACCAAGCCCTCCTCCTTCACCGGCCCCGCCTAGCCCCTTGCCACCCTCACCTCTGTCTCCCAGCCCTCCGCCACCCTCCCCGGCCCCACCTAGCCCCCTGCCACCGTCCCCATCTCCTCCCAGCCCATCTCCGCCGTCTCCCAGCCCACCAAGCCCTCCTCCTTCACCGGAGCCGCCTAGCCCCTTGCCACCCTCACCTCTGCCTCCCAGTCCTCCGCCACCCTCCCCGGCCCCACCTAGCCCCCTGCCACCGTCCCCATCTCCTCCCAGCCCATCTCCGCCGTCTCCCAGCCCACCAAGCCCTCCTCCTTCACCGGAGCCGCCTAGCCCCTTGCCACCCTCACCTCTGCCTCCCAGCCCTCCGCCACCCTCCCCGGCCCCACCTAGCCCCCTGCCCCCGTCCCCATCTCCTCCCAGCCCATCTCCGCCGTCTCCCAGCCCACCAAGCCCTCCTCCTTCACCGGAGCCGCCTAGCCCCTTGCCACCCTCACCTCTGCCTCCCAGTCCTCCGCCACCGTCCCCGGCCCCATCTAGCCCCCTGCCGCCGTCCCCATCTCCTCCCAGCCCACCTCCGCCGTCTCCCAGCCCACCAAGCCCTCCTCCTTCACCGGCCCCGCCTAGCCCCTTGCCACCCTCACCTCTGCCTCCCAGCCCTCCGCCACCCTCCCCGGCCCCACCTAGCCCCCTGCCACCGTCCCCATCTCCTCCCAGCCCATCTCCGCCGTCTCCCAGCCCACCAAGCCCTCCTCCTTCACCGGAGCCGCCTAGCCCCTTACCACCCTCACCTCTGCCTCCCAGCCCTCCGCCACCCTCCCCGGCCCCACCTAGCCCCCTGCCACCGTCCCCATCTCCTCCCAGCCCATCTCCGCCGTCTCCCAGCCCACCAAGCCCTCCTCCTTCACCGGCCCCGCCTAGCCCCTTGCCACCCTCACCTCTGCCTCCCAGCCCTCGGCCGCCTTCACCGCCATCACCTACCCCTTCTCCACCCTCCCCAATTCCTCCGAGTCCTCCTTCTCCCTCTCCCCCGCCCCCTAGCCCCCTTCCACCATCTCCTTACCCACCTTATCCACCTCCATCGCCGTTCCCGCCTAGCCCGATACCGCCGTCGCCGCCTCCACCCAATCCGTACCCACCTTCTCCTCTTCCTCCTGGCCCACCGCCTCCGTCTCCTTCTCCCCCTAGCCCTCTGCCGCCCTTCCCTAACCCACCAAGCCCACTACCATCCCCGCCTCCCCCAAGCCCTTTTCCACCCTATCCATACCCGCCTAGCCCACTGCCGCCGTCTCCTCGTCCACCAAGCCCTCTGCCGCCCTCTCCTGAACCTCCACCCTCGCCTCCACCTCCACCTCCACCTAGCCCACTCCCACCGTCTCCTGCCCCTCCCAGCCCTCTGCCGTCGTTACCACCTCCACCTGGCCCTCTACCGCCATCTCCTAATCTCCCCAACACTCCGCCGCCGGACCTTCCTCCGCCCAGCCCGCAGCCTCCAAACCCCGAGCCACCTTCACCTCCTCTCCCACCTCCTCCTCTCCCACCTCCTCCAGCTGCCCCGCCTCCGCTTTCCCCCCCTCTTCTTCCGCCTCCCAGCCCCCACCCAGACCTACCACCACCGCAGCTTCCCTCGCCTCCGAACCCACCCCTTCCCGTTCCCCCATCCCCGCTCCCTCCGTCTTTTCCACCCTCTCCAGCACCCCCGTCCCCATCTCCACCGCCACCTCCTCCAACGCCTCCCTCACCACCCCTGCCAGAAGCAACGTATGTTGCTCTCTCCATCTCCATCTTCTTCCCCTACATGTCCTGCAGCGCTCTCCAGTCGGACGCATTCCTGCAGCAACAAGTCACCCTGGACACGAGGACAGCCGTGGCGGGTGCCTTGGGTCTGAAAGCTAACTCGGTAACCCTCTTGACCTTCATGTGTGGCGGGGGTGGAAGCAGCAGTACCAGCAGCAGCGGTGGAGGCAGCCCCAGCAGTACCTACAGCGGTAATACCACCAATACTAACGGCGGCAACAGCACCAGCAGCACCAGCACCACCTCTACTGCCGGCAGCGGAAACAGCACCAGCAGCACCAACATCACCTCTACTGCCAGCAGCGGCAACAGCACCAGCAGCACCAACACCACCTCTCCTGCCAGCAGCGGAAACAGCACCAGCAGCACCAACATCACCTCTACTGCCAGCAGCGGAAACAGCACCAGCAGCACCAACATCACCTCTACTGCCAGCAGCGGAAACAGCACCAGCAGCACCAACACCACCTCTACTGCCAGCAGCGGAAACAGCACCGACACTACTGTCCGCGGCACGAACACGACAACAAGTCGGAGGAGTAATGTGGAGACGGGGATCCGGACGGAAGTGTCCTCCACGCGAGCCAGTTATTGGGAGGACCAACGCAGCCTCAAAGAAAACCAGGATGTTGAAGACCAAAGGGCCCGGCGTCTTTGGGAACTAGTGCGGCAAGGATTGGCTGTAGGCGCTATGGAAAGTACAGCACCGGAGGCTCCACAGCCGACCAGCAACCGCAAGGCTGCACCTCCAATGCGCCGCCTTCTTGACTCCTCATCCTCCCCGCCGTTTCCATCCCCACCCTTTCCGCCTCCTTCATCGAGCTATCCTTCCAGCTCCTCCAACGCCCTGTCGGGCGGCACCACTCTTCGAATCCGAGCGCTACTGCCCACAAGCACTTCCCAGGACACCATTGACTCCGTTCTTTCCCGCATCTCCGACCAGCCAAGCAACGTCTCATGGCTCTTTGCGACGGCGCCGGCGCTGATAGCGACGTACGGCACCCCATCTGCAACCGCCGTCAGTGTCAATGTGACAGGGGAGAGTGCGCTGACGGCGGAGTGTCCTCGGCGCCCCGATGTCGTACTGTACGCGCCGACGTACGTGGGTCGGTGGGACGTGCCGCTGGTGCTGCGATTCGCCGGGGCGTTCAGCTTTGGATCGGCATGCGGCGATAGTTACGGGTAGGTCGGTTTGGGGGATTTACAATTAACGAGATTGGTGCATTGGGGGTTGGGGGTTGGGCGCGTTCCGGATGTAGGTTGAACCCGGCTCAGTCGCTGACCTGAGGGGAGTTTGTTTGCAGCTTGTATCTGCTCCTCACTCCCTCCTCTCGGTTCCTTCCGCATCGAAAGGAGAGACCGCCCAAACTAAAACACTTGCCTTCTCTCCCCCACCCCTACCCCCCAAGCTGCGTTCTGGGTACCAACAGCCGCGGCCTGCTTCTGAGCGACTCCCTCCAAACCCTGAAGCTCACCTCCTCGACCTCCTCAACATCCACCTCAAACTCCTCTTCGTCCCCCACCGCCTTCCTCCTCAAACTTCGCGCCCTGTCCGAGGGCACCCTGCAGCTCCTCCTCCGTAGCGACCCCTGCGCCCCCACCTTCACCACCATCGTCACTTCCACCTCCACCACCTCCACATCCGTCACCACCGTCTCCACCGCCTCAGCTGCCTCCACCACCGCCGCAACCCTCAACCTCACAGCGGACTGGACCCCACCACGATGCACCCTCACCGTCGCCTCAGCACCCTCGCTCTCCAACGCAACCTTTACCGTCACGGCGGATTTCTCTGAACCTGTGCTTCCCGTCCTGCCTTCGGACATAGCCACGTCTTCCTGCCGTGTTGCCGCGCTGACGCGCCTTAGCCCTACGAAACTCTTGATCACAGTGGCCGGCAGCGACGCGGGCGACACCGCCGAGCTGCAGCTCTCTAGCTTTGCATTCTCCGACCTTGCGGGAAATCCCGGAATACCATCAAACCTCCTGCAAGTGAAAGTTCCTTCTGTGGCTGTGGTCGGTACTGCGGGTGTAGCGTGGTGGAGTGGCATGTTGATGACAGCGGCGTCAAGTGCGGTGTGCGCGGCCACAGCAGCCATGCTGCCAGGCTGGGCGAGTGTCGCATGTGCGGGTGCGGTGCTGCGAACCATGGGTCATCTCCAGGTGCTGTCGTTTATGGGCGAGGGCTTGGCTTTTCGAACGCCGCCGGCGTTTCAGGCGGCAGCTTCGGCTGGTGACTGGGCAGCGCTGGACTGGCTGTCAGGCGGCGGGGCGGAGTGGGCAAAGCACTTCAGCAAGCGGCTGAGTCGCGGGGATGGTGAGGCTGCCGCCGCCCCTCCGCCTCCACCCCCGAGGATTCAGGTAAGAACTGTGGTTGGCTAGCTGAGTCCTGCATGTGGTCAATACGAACAGCTAGGCCGACAGTGATGCGCTTACCACGTGGGGGTGACGGTGTTGGAATTGCTAATACTGGGAGTGCAATACAGTGGCGTAGCCCTTTATTGCCCGTACGTGCGTTTAAGGCCTCTGTCCTCATCAGTCTCTCGCTACCTCGCTACTTCCCGCAGAGTTTCACCGGTGGCCCCGAGCAGTACCTCCTAGATGCCGGTCTTTTGTCAACCACCCCCTACCTATCGTCCATGTCTAGCAGTAGCGGTGCAAACGCAGCCACATCGGCAGCCGTACAGATCTCAAGCCTAGTGTCGTACGCTTCGGGCCTGGTGTGGAGTTACACTCCAGCGGCCGATACACGTGCTGACGTGGAGGACGCCTGGCGGAGGCTGGGCAGCACGATTGTTCTGACAGCGGTGCTGGTCGGGGCGGCGTTGCTAGGACATGCCGGTATACAAGGGCGGGATTGCTGGGACAGGATTCGGCTCTTTAACTTAGCTCTATGTTCGACTTAGCCAAAACAATTTGGCACACCATAGTTAAAGGAAGCTTTCGACGGCAGCTTTTCAGGCCTCTTTGTTGCGGCCCCAGGAATTATACCTTCGCTCACTTCCCTTCCTATCTCGTTGCTTGTAGTCATCACGGCTACCACTGATCGAGACATGCGGCTCACCGGCTACAGCCTTTACGTGGTTTGGCCAAAGCTGCTGCTGCTGGTGCTGACCCTGGCAACCCCGCCACTGCTGTTCGCCGCTTGCTGCGCACTCAGCCACGAAGCTGCTAGCGGCAACGGTGCCTCAGTGTCGGTTGGAGCAGGAGTAGTGGTGTTTGCGGTTGCGGGCTGCTGTGGCGCAATCGGTTTACTCATGTGGCTGGCATACGTGGTACTTCTGGCGGCTCCTAGCATGGTGAGAGTGGGAGCAGGGGATGGGGCACGGATAAGGTGCATGCAGAATACCGTGAATAATACCGTATGTGTACTGCAATCGGGCGTGTAGCTGGGATTACCGTAAGCAAGTTACATGGGGACACGGTTGAGGTGAGCAGGGGCGCTCAAAAGGGAGAAAGATGAGAGCCATAGATTGTGGCTTTAGGAACATAGCGTCGGCGGAGTACAACAAGGGTATAACATTTCCAACCTCTTTCATCTCACTCAACACCAACCCATGTCCCTCCTTGCCCGGACCCCCTCCCCCCGCTTTCCGTCAATGCCACAGCTCCTCACAACCTCCGGCGCAGCAAGCGCCTCTCCGTCTGTCCAGGCGCAACCGGCCCATCACGCCGCAGCCGCCTCCGCGGCGCCACCCTGGCTAGGACCCCCAACCCAGCCGCCCTTGCACCCCCCGGAACCGGAGCCTCAGCTGCCGCTGCATGCGGCTCAAATTGCAGCACCCCCTGGGTACATACCTCCTCCCCCTGCTGCAACACACCCTCAGCCTCCGAACCAGCTCTTTAAACCGCGCGGCATCACCCCGGCGACAGCTGCCGGTGGCCGACCTACCGAACACCACCCGCCGGCTGCAGCACCGCTGCCGCTGCTGGATATGGATGCAGACGTAAACGCCATGCAAGCACGACGCGGGGTGCCGCCGCCACCTGTGCCCTGGCAGATGCCCCATCGACCACCGCCCTCTAGGCCTACACAACCGCAGATGCCGCCACCGCCGCGGGCTCCCTTGCCGCCGCCGCCAGCACCACCGCCTCCGGCGGCTCTGCCGTGCACAACCAAACCTGCAGTAGACGGCTGCAGCATTGCTGGCAACGGCACTGCTGGCGACGGTGGACGCAGTGATGGTGTGGGAGCTCGGGTACGTAGCCCGTGGCAAACGGACGTCTGGGCAATCCCAGCCTGTAGGGCCGAGGCGGTTATAGCGGATTCCGCCCAAGCAGCTGATGATGTTAGGGGCAGGAGGCCACAACGCCTTGCGTCGCTGTCACAGAGATCCGCCAGCTTTGATGGCAGCAGCGGGGGTGGGGGAGGCGGCGACAGCATACATACCAGCAAGGGCATGGCCTCCCGTGGGTCCGTAAAGAGTGGCCAAGCAGCTCATTCCGTGCCGTCCTCGCCTCGGGCTGTAGCAACCGTGGGATGTTACCCCAGGAGGGTGCTGCCGCCGTCTCCACTTGCTACTGCATCCCCTCCTACGACCAACGTTTCGTCTCGGCTCAGTTACAATACCCAACCTACGCTGCCTCCACAAGCAGCTGTGCTTCCCATAGGCGCCCAGAAAGCCGCCGGGCCCTTGGCGGAGGGCTTAGAGGAAAGCAACAACGCCTGTAGCAACAGCAAAAGCCCTGACATTGATCCTCATATGTCTGACCCTCGGTCGGCCTTCTGTGCCGCATTCGGCTGGCTGGTAGCCGATGTGGTGGGCGACACGGAGCGAACTGTAGCTGCAAGAGGCGGCCAATCCCGCTTGCTAGCAGCGCATCTGCTGTTCCTGATGCGCAGCTTGCTGCTTGCAGCGACGCTGGGCGGTTGGGCAGCGTACACGGCCCATGGGTCGCTGCTGCAGTGCATAGCGGTGACGGTGGTAACGGGCGCATGGCTCACGTACTTAGCAATCGTGCGGCCTTACGTCAGTTCGTGGACATTGGCGGTTGAGTTGGGCTTGTCCGGGTTAGAGGTGTTGGTTGGGCTGATGGCTGTGGTGGCACAGGCAGGGCTGCGCAAGAGCCCAGGGCCGGTGGATGTGGCGGTAGCGATGGTGCTTCTGGAGCTATGTTTGGTGGCGGTGATAGAGGCCGTGCGAACAGTGCGTGTAGGGATGTGCATCTGGCGTAGGGTGCGTGCGGCTACACGGAACGGAGGTGACGGCGAGGCGGCAGGTGGACCGGGAGGTGGGCGTGGCGGTGCTTCTTCAAGAAATGCAGTAGCGCCGGTGGGCGTCAGTTAGGAAAGTTGGAGGAGTGTAACGAATGTAGCAGTAGGGAAGGGAGTTGTCAGCCAACGTGGAAGTTTGCATGTTGGGTAAGATTAGCATTCCACGAGAGGTATGCATATTCATGCAACCAGGACCACGGTCTAAATTCATGCATGGTTTCGTTCACGTGTCAATGACCCTCGCTTTGGTGTCTATGGTAGAACTTGTCTGCGTCTACCTGCTGCTTGTGTGGGCCATTGTATATAAAGCAACGATGCATTGCAGGTTACTTTCATTTGGCTAGTTGAACTTGGCTCTTGGACCCATTGTGGTCCTCTACGCAGGATTGTTCACATTGACCTTCATCACTGTGGGACTGTGAGTGAGACATGAAGACGCGTGGTGACTGTTCTCCCATGTGTCGGTTTATTATTGTTACTGCTTCAGGGATCTACTTACCATGGTGCATTGGGTGCGACATTGTGCGGCATTCTCAAGCAAGCCTGCAACCTGCAGCTCATCTGGTGGTTTAAGAACGGCAGGCCCTGAACGAACAAGACTGAGATTTTTGCACATGTGTTTGTGCAACACCTACGGATTTGGTAGGACATGACGTACCAAGCGGTGCATAGTCGTATGCTAAGAGGCATCGTGTTCTGTCCCATGCTGTGTCAGATTCCTTCTGACGCTTCCTAGAGACATCAACCTTCAGCAGAGGTAGTGTGCTTACAGGGGAGGACAGACACCCCTCTCGGCCATGCCCCCCTAATCGACGCCAGCCGGCGTATGTAATAATAGTACCGGTAAGAATCGTGCTCTATGCACTTGTCATCGAAGCACTGACTCCTTTTTACGCTATAGCACTGGTTGCAGCACGCTTGCCAGCTGAGCCCTTCCTTCGACTGTAGCGTGTTGCTTGTGCGCTGGATGATGTATTACATACGTCTCGTTTTTCACTGACTGCAACATGCAGTTGGGGCGGCTTCGACTACCGTGCCCCAGAATGTTAGTGCGCATGCCACTGCAGTTGCAAACGACATCAACCAGCGTCAATTATCCGTGCCGACCCCCTGGAACAGCCATGTAGTAACACGCAGCCTCAACTCTGGCAAACCAAATGCTTCTACAGCAGCAAGTTTGCAGCTTGGCATCAAGCATGCCTGGGTGCCACATGTAACCCGCAGCAGGCTCCCACTGTGCGTGTGTCACATGTCCGCACCAGGGTTGCGCAAGGCCAGTCAAAGCTCCCCCCTATACCGAACTTGCACCTCTCTCCTTTTTCACCCCACCTCAACCCGCACTCTGTGTGTAGCCACTGCCACCTACCCCCCACCTACCCCCCACCGATGTGTTCACTGGTAACATGACTCGTGATAGGATTTTGAATACGACCTTAGCTGTCATCCCTTCTTCACAGTGCCCCAGCACGGTCCATAACTATGACCGCCACTAAATTTTGGTCAACCTGATGCTTTACTTCCCAACTAACCGCCTACCTACGGGTCCGACCCAAGCCGCTGCACTGCGTGTTCATCGCTTGGCCAGCCGGGAGGCCCAACACAGACTTCAGTCGTTTCGCAAGCGTACGCGTCACATTCGCTTATAATCAATAGCGTTGCGTACATCGTTTACATTACAGAATGCTGTGATCGTTGGCGTGGAGGTCTGGGAGGCCTCACAGACTCACACCCCCGTCCATAACATATATGATACAGGCGACCTGGATAATTCACGCGCCCTTCGCCTGGGCAGGATGGTTATCTCTGCTTTTCTATGCTAATAATACCATGCATATCACAGCGATCCCACTGCCGATGGCTGTGCATGATCGGCGCTGGGTCCCTGTTCTCTGTTGGCCCCCCCTGGACGGACAGGCCAACAGAGAACTGCCAGACGAAGGCTCTTTTTGGGCGGAGCCCCCGCCGCGAAGCGGCTTCGGGGGGGCTTCGCCCCCCAGGATTGCCCCTGTCCGTGTGTCCGTGTGTCCGTGTGTCCGTAACGGCAAAACATACAATCTAGACAAAACTATTTATTGCACCTAATAGATATTTGTTATCTGTATTCAGTAAAAATAACTGGAAGCCAAACAAACTTAATTTCGCAACAAACGATTTATTGACCAGCCATTGAACAAGGACCACCTCGGCAACAGCGATTAGCGCTCCTCTATGGTTTGTCCTGGTACCGTAAACAGTATTTAGTGAATTGGTAACAGCGGCGTGTCGCCAAAGGGCTACCTGTGAAAGTCGGCGGGAGCATGCTCGCATCTACTGTGCTACTCAGAGCCCACACAATCCTTTGGGACGATGTTGCAAGCCTTTGCTATGGGTTTATGCGTATGAACTGTAACGCAAACGGGTACGGGATACCTCGCTTATAAGCTAACATGTCATGTGACGGCGCAATGGCTGAAGTCCTTCTGAGCACGATGCCGAGATTGAGGAGCCTGACCTCCTCATCATGTTAGTAATGTAGGTGAAACTCTGCGGGACCCTGAAAGCACTTCCATGTGGCAGTTACGCCGTCGATTTGGGTTATGTAGCCTAAGGCGTGGGTGTTATCAAGCATGATAAGACGTTACTAAGTACTCGATTGAACAGGCGTAACCTAACAATGTGTGCAATGAGTGAGGACACTATGTACGCCATGGGTGAACAAGGCGGCCGGCCTCGGCTGGACAAGAGGCTCTGAGCCCGTCTAGCCATGCAACGAGCACTAAAACTACAGTAAACAAGGGGGTTCAGCGTCCGTATAACGAGGTGTGTTAGGTCAACTGGTGCCGTGGAGTCACAGGAGCGCATTCCAGGTCTATAAGGCCCATAGGGTTGTGCGTCGCACTTGAGTCGTTCCACTCCCCTGTAATAATCGCAATCATTCCAGTGGTAATAATACGTTCCTGTACTAAAGAGGAGGGGCTCCGCCCTTTTCCAGCTTTGAGGAAGCTGAAACCCCCTTGTTACCTTATTATTGACTCAGGGGGTCTAAGCTAATTATTGGGTGGCTACTTATCAATTCGCCTGCAAACTCTGAGCTCATTTCTCTGACAACGGCACCGCCAAGCTGCCACAGTAAAGCCCAAACTTGTATATAATTGCCACTAAATATTAGCTTGCAGGATGTATCTCCTTCAGCAAAGTGTCACGGTAGCCTCAATTTAAGTTATTCGCGTCATGTCCAGCGACGAATTAGAGCTGCCTCACGAGGATTCCGAGGAGGCCAATGACTGGGATGGAGATGCAACTTTGTCGTTGCTGTATCACCGGCGTTCCTTAGGAAGCGATTACGGCGATGGCGACGACACTAGCAGCGACGATAGTGGGGCTATGCGACAGCAGACGAGGGGGACTCGTACGTCTTTGAGGACGCAGCCAGTTACCAGTTACCAGACACGTGAGAGCGGGCGGCATACTAAGGTCTTGTTAGCCCCTCTCCTCTTGTACGGGTGACGTTGGGTTTGGGATTCACTAGTTCACTAGACTCACAGGGACAGCAACGTCATTCACAAGCACCTCTTGGCCAAGTTCCGGCTGGCATGCAGAATGGCGCAGCACCGGCTGGTGTTGGGGATGGACGTCAGCCTTCCCAAACTGTACATGATGGAGACGTTCAGGACCTAGCTGACGCCCTTCCTGCCACACCACTTAGGGGCAGCAACACGGCTGCACCCGTCCACTAGCCCGCCTTCATGATTATCATCATCCCAACATACCGTTATCAGCCCAATGTGCAGTGAGCAGGAGCAGAAGCTTGTCGTGGCCACCCAGCATCCTGATAAGCTTGGTTTCCATACAAAGCTTGATGGGAAAATTGGGACTAGGATACAGTACCGGTAGCATCTGGCGGGAGGCGAAACAAGTTGGACCCTGTACGGGTTCATCCCTTACGTGGCCCGGTGGCCGTGAGCCCCGCGCGCTTATTATTGAGATTTTGACACTCCCCCAGCATCACCACGGCATCAGTCTCTCCTCGTCATATGGTTTCTCACCTACCATAGGGTTGGCGTCATGAATGGATACGATGGAGGCAACAAACCTAAGGTGCTGGCATGGTGTGAGGCAAGGTGAAATCGTACGTGAATGCATGCGCTTGCATAGACTTGGTTCAGCATCTACCTGATTTGGACGGTTATGCTAGGAACCTCGGTGCCAGTGCGGTGTGAGGCTCAACTGGGTCCTCAGT